CAGTTGAGCTGTCAGGTGCTATAGCACGCAGCATTGCCAGGTGAGCAGCTGGTGAACGAGTAAATGAATCATGCATTGAACTACACTCTCTGGAATCATTTTGTTGGACAAAAGTAATTTTTTTTTGTTTTTACAAGAACAAAATTGTCACCAGAACAACTTGCATACAATAGCTGCATACCTGCAGCATCCTATCATTGCAGCGGTTTGCGAGGGAACGGTGCTTGTTTAGTGTGAATTCTCCTAAATGTTTAGTGAACAAATCACTCTCTGGGCCCAATTTACTGAGCGGACCTGATAAATAGCATACCATAGGACAGTACACTTTTAGTACACATAGTACGCAGCCCTCTGCTTCATTTGGGGACCAAGAAATAGTGGTAGTAAAGCCCGGCTTCAAAATGCTTCTGCTCCAACTGCCATTATTGCCTTTTTCTCCAAGAGAGTGGACAATTCTTTCAGCAGTTTCTTTATGTGTTGTGGGTCTTTCACGGTGGTGAAGGTTGACAAGTTTGTAAAAGTAGGCCTTGAGAAAACTGCAGACGGTAGTCATGAGTCATGGTGGACACCACCCATGGATCTGCCCCCAAGGCTAGCGAGGCCTCCCTGTGTCTACCTACCTGGCTGGGGCTACAGGATTGTCAGGAAGGAGGGAGATGCTTTGAAGACCTGTGTGCTATATCCCATACATATAATTTATCAGGGTTGAAAGAACCAAGTATTTTGAAACCCAGAATTCAAGAACACAGGATTATTTCATCCAACATTTATAATCAAGAACTCTAAAACATGGTATTCTTAAACCCAGATTTCCAGGACCCATAATTTCGGGAACCAGCATTGGGGAGACCAGCATTCTGGAATCCAGTATGTTACAACACCGTATTGTGTATACAGCATTCCAGAACCAGAAAATCCATAGTCCAGCATTTTAGAACCAAACATTCAAGAAGCCAGCAGTTAAAAACCTTGCATTTTCTCTGCAACCAAGATCTCCAGAACAGGATTTTAGAGCACAGCATTCCAGGAACCAGCACTTAAGAACCAAATATTCTCGAATAAAGCACTCTAGAAAAAATTGTTTCTGTAACCCAGCATCCAAGAGCCCAGCAATGGGGAACCCAGCTCTCTAGAGCCCAGCATTCAAGAAGCCAGCATTCTAAAATAAAGCCCATCAGAACCCAGTATGTCAAAAGACGCCATTCCAGGACTCTGCCATCATGAACCAAGCAATCCAGAAAGTAAGGTTCTATAACCCAACATTCCAGAATCTATCACTTTATAACCACAGTAGACAAATTCTGAGTTAGGCTCTGATGACTGACGTTAGTGATGGTGAGTGAATATGCACCAATATGCACCAAAATATTAATCTACATTAACTGTGGTGTAAAGATACACTTGGATGTGAATTTGGATGAATTGAGAATTACTCTAATTAGTGATTGTATAAATCATGAATGCATGATACAATATCAGTCCTGTTTGGAGCTCTGGAGGTTTGCATACTTAATTAAGTGAGGCTGGTCCTTGTTCTTGAGCATGTTCACTGAAGGTCCAGACTACTGGCGGTAACAGAGATTTGGCTCTGTAGGGGACCAAAGTCAGCCGAAAGATGGGCCAGGAGTCACAGCACACAGGCCTGAGTATAGGACCAGTGCCTTTAGAATCCTTTAGATGTTCCTTCGGTCTCACAGCAAAACTCTGGCTCAGAGGATGACTTCAAGCCCGTCGTGGGAGATTCAGAGGCAACTTTGAAATTATGCAAATAACCAAGAAAAAGAAGCTTGATGGCCAAACAGATATGTGGAATGCATGAGTTTCTTGACTCTACATTGGCATTCTAGAACTCAGCCCTGCAGAACCCATCCCAGTGTGAAAATGACCACAGCTCTGATGCTGGATTTACTGTTTATGGTCAAGAAAGTATGTTAATCTCAGAAATCTTGAGTATGCAGCAGCAGAGGTGGTGCTTAGTAAGGGGGTCCTCTCTATCATTAGTTAACTGTTTCAGTGTGTGTTTGATAAATGACTCTGGGCCAGAAATATTTTAGCAGCCTCATGCTCAAACAGTAACAGTGTTCAGTAATCATCAACGTGTTGGAGTTTCACTTCTGTTCAGCAGGTGCTGTTGTAGGTGGCTGTGATCTACTGGTTTAGCAAAGTGGATGAAAATAAAACCTTAATGAGCTCTGAAACTGTCCTCACGCATGAAGCATTGCTGTGAAAGGGGGACAAGGCCGTCGGGATTTAAACCTGAGACCCTCTGGCCCCCAGACACAGTAAAATTCCTCAAACTGAACCTCCAGAGACTTGAGCTCCATCAGCTGATCTACAATCTGAAACCTGACAGACCCTCTCAGGGGAAGTTCTCTACCAAAACAACTGTTCTAATTGTCCTGAATAAATTGGAGATCTCCCATCACAACATGCAGAAACAAGTCACTGATAGCAAAGACGGAATTGTGGTAACTTCTACACAAAAGAAAAGGAACCACTTGGACTTCCTAGATCAGACCAAAACTTAATCCCAGCGAGAAGAACACAAATTACAGCGAAAGGGAAAAACAGGTAAACGTGGGAAAGTAAAAGTGGGAAAATCAACCTGAAGAAGACGCTCCTTAAATAGAAACAACTCCCTTGAAAATGGTCCCCCCCCTCCCCGGTAGCCAGCTGGCTATTGTTTTTTTCACTTACAACACGAGTCAATAAGAGAGAGGGACTAGTGTGATACATGTTCACATGTGAAGTGAACAACTCTCTTTTTAAGATTAAATTTGTTAAGGTTTGGAAAATTTGGCTCATGCTGAAACCGTGCTATGTTACTTCTTATCTCACCCATATTTATATTTAATATGACATATTTAGAGGAAACTAAGTATCATTTTGACATAATGTAAAATACACTTTTGTTACTTTTTGTTTTGTTGTTATTTATTGACACTATAAGAGACCAAGGCACTTCAGACTTGGCTTGGACTTGTGCCTATCTCTGGCCTCCACTGTGCACCTACCCAGCTTCTGCTGATCTTCTCCCGCACCTTTACCGCCCGTTAGCTACTGACTGCTGCAACAGCTCTTTGTCAATCATGAGTTGCAGATAAACAAACACGCTCCACCTGAGTTTCCCAAGAGCTTTTAGGAGAAGTTGAAACTTCTGCCTTCGAGGAGTTTATGAAATGTTTCACCAGAGTTATCGTTTCATTTCTGCCCCATCATTTGGCCTTTTTAACCCTGTAAGAACATAAAATGATGATTCATCTTCGTGGATAAGGTTAACTGAACTTAGTTTCTGAACCTGCTGTAGGCCTTCGAGAGATAAAATAAAAGTCTATATGGAGCTCTGTCTCTGACCAGGAGCTGTTAAAACTGTAGCACTTCATGAACTTACAATAGAGACCTGCCTCATTCAGGTACTGATACTCAGGGCAGGTGGAGTTTTTAACTTGAAATGATCTGTAACCGTTTTAATGTTGTTACAGTTCAATTAAACAATGCTTTAGTTCAGGCGATTACACTTTCCACAGCTTCTCTATCCATCACCAGACTTTTTCTAACTCTGTGTTTCTTTGGTTGCTGCAGTGAAAGCATAAGGACATGTTAACAGTTTAACCGTATTAATAAAGACATAAATAATAAAGGATTTCACATATTTAGTTATGGATTAATTTCTGTGTTGAGTGCTTGAAAGTTTGTTTTGGCATGAAGTTTTCTTGTCATGTCCACAGAGCAGATTCAGATGTATTGAACTGTTTCAATGTGTTTCACTGAAAATTATGGTTGGTCACTCTTCATGATTAGAATCTGTGTTTCATTCCGCCTAGAAGAAGAAGAAGAAGTCTGAACATCAGAGAAAGAGTTCAGGAGTTTAGAGATGATTTGACAAGTATCTGTTTGAGTACAGTGTTAAAATGTTGTAAAATAGTAAGTCTGTTTTTTTCTTTATTCTATCTTCTGAAATGAAACAGCTAATAGTTTGAAGAGCTTCTGTGAATTTGTTAGAGAATGGAGTCGTAATAAAGTAACTACTTGCGAGAATAAAGTCATAGTAAAATCATTACCTACAAGAATAGAGTCGTAACAGAGCAATTATTCATGAGAATAAATTCGTAATGAAATTATTATGATACTAATGATAATGTGGTGCTGATGTGCCAAAAGATGAAGTATCTACTTGTTTGAGAAACTTATATTGAAGTATGTTTTCATGAAATGCTCAATGGCTCTCATTTCAACAACAGTCATTTTAAACATCAGGTTAGAATATAAGGACTTCATTCTGACTTTACTATTGTAAGTGATTACTTTACTGTGTACTTCACAGATATATACACATATTGTTATATACACACACAGCTATATGTATTCCAGTTGAGTCTCAAAACAACATTTTCCTTCGTTTTCATAAATTTCCCTTGAAATAGTGACCAAAAACATTTTCCTCCCCTTTATCATACCCCCTGACTTCAACAGTTCTGGCCCCAGCCCCCCTGTTGCTACTGTAAATGGCAAGTTGGCAAATATCAGGAGTGCAAAAGAGGGGTCAAGGGGTATTCAGGAGCATCTTTCCCTATTGTTCAATCAGCTGAGAGAGATGGGTACAGATACGAGGGAGGGGCTTAGTGCCCAGCGAAACCGAATACAGAAGGGGGAGTAATTTAGAATCAATGTCAATGTCAGTGTCAGCTTTATTCATATAGCACATTTTAAACAGCCAGTGACCTACCAAAGTGCTTTACAGTAAAATAGCCAGAAACAATTAAAACAATAAAAGCTATAAAAACAATAAAAGCATGAAAAACATAAAACAACAATACAGATAAACATAGCAACTAAATAAAAGAGCCAATAAAAGTAATTATACTACCCCGAAGGCTAAAGTGAACAGGTGCATCTTTATAAGTGTTTTAAAAATGCAGAAGGTATTCGCAGTGGGCACTGTCAGGAGTAAAGCATTCCACAAAGTGGGAGCTACAACAGAAAATGCTCGATCTCTCCTACATTTTAAAAAGGATCGAGGAATGTCTAGCTGACCTCAAGGCTCTGGAGGGCTGATGGATTTCAATAAGGAATCAGATAAGTAGGGATCAGTAACTGGTTACAGTGAACAAGGGTGGTGGTTTCTGCGCATGTCACATGTAACACTGTCTGAAGGCCTCTTTTTTTTTCAAATTAATTTAAATCTTTTTTTTTTCCCATTGGAAGCATGTCTGAAGGCCTCTTTTTTTTTCCAAATTATTTTAAATCTTTTTTTTTTCCATTGGAAGCATGACTAAAACAACATGACCCAAGAGAGTGTCTACTGAGTCTGTGAAAGGGAGAAGTTTTAAATGTGTGTGAGTGAGAGAGAAAGAAAGAGAGGGGGTCTAAAACAAAATAAAAAAAAACAGCTGACCTAATCTCACCTGTCCATCTCCCTCTTTCTCCATCTCCATCTATCAGTCTCTCCTCTGTCCATCTTTCTCTTGCTCATCTCTCTCTATCGGTCTCTCCACCGTCCATCTCTCTCTTTCTCCATCTCCATCTCTCCCCTCTAAATCCAGCTCAGTCTGAGCAGATGACTGTCTAACATCAGTCTGGTCCTGCTTGAGGTTTCTGCCTGTTAGAGAAGGTTCTTCTTCACCACATGTAGACCAGTGTCATCCATCAGAGTTTAATCTGTGAGTGCGGCACAGTTTAAACTCTTTATTCCCATTTTTCAGAACTAAAATGATTTCAGTTATAAAAGCAGTCGTTGTTTTTTACTCTCAGGCCTCTGAGGACTTACTGTCTCTGATGTTTCTAGGGTGTATTTCAGTCTGATGTAAGTTCCTGTTTTTAACAGATGAGGAGATAAAAATTCAAATATAAGAGTTGCACACTGCTCCTTTCACTCAAACTCCAACTCAAGAGTGTTGAAGCTACACCAAGAGAAAAAAGAAGAAGAAGAAGAGGGTAATTCTGCGGAAAACGAGCGCTCATTTTTTTTAAACTCTTGCTTTCTTGAAGTCAGGGTGTTTATGTTTGACCGTTACGGGGTTTAAATCTTCACTCTGTTCTCCTCTTCTTCCTCCTCAGCTCCACCATGAAGCTCCTGACTGTCTCTGCTCTCCTCTGTGGCCTGTTCGCTCTAACAGCAGCTGTTGGTGAGGAAATCTTACATACCCCACACACCCAATCAGTAGAGAATAATATCTCTAAAATAGATCGGATCAGTACAGAGGAAAGGCACCTGATCAGAATAATACCAAGATTTTTTGTCCATTGTTTGCATTGTGGTTTTTGGTGGTTTTGTGATGTTTTTTTTCTCTTTGTTGTTGTATGTTGTGTTTTCTTCTTCTTCTTCTTCTTCTTATTATTATTATTATTTATTTATTTTTTATTATTATTATTTTATTTTATTTTATTTATTTATTTATATATTTGCAAGGGGTTTTTTGTTTTGTTTTTTTGTCCTCTGTTTTTTCTTCAAATCTTTTTTTTATTTTTTTTATTTGATTTCTTTGATTATTTCTTATAATTTTTGGCTAATTGTTATTTTTGTAGTGTGTTCTCTTGTTAATTGATTTTTTAAGTTTCTTTTTTTGTTGATGTTAGTTGTTGTTATTCATTGTTCTGTTTTATTTTATTTGTTTGTTATCTTGATTGTTGCTTGTTGAAATGTTTATTACAATATTGAAGGTTTTGAAAAGTTATCTTTGCTGATTGCAATTTGCTCCAGTTAAATCTTGGTTTTTAGTCATATTTTAAACAGCATGTTAGCTCATGTGGTTTCACATTGAGTTATGCTCTTACGTGTTTTTAAACTGGAATATGATATTGTATGTTTCAGGTGTCTTTTTCATGATGTCTTATTAGTTTCCTTGTATAAAGCGGTGTTCGCAACAATACACTCAGTGTAACTCCTCATTATGTTTCCTTCAGAGGAGCTGGAGGATGTTGTGAAGAGGACATCGCCCCCTTTCTGTACGGAAAGCTCTAAGCTACAGCAGCGTGTTTTCATCTTTGTGGACAAAAAACTGACCTGGGCTGAAGCTGAGGTACGAAAACATTTTCTAGCACTGCGGGACGAGTCTGTGTCAGAAAGCTGGAGTTACACTGGCTCATCTTTGACTGATAAACCTGAACTTTAAATATTACATCAGAGATAGGAGAGACTGACTGAACAGGAACAGAAAACTTACTCTGTCACGTCTGTTGAGAAATTGGCTTTACAGGAAACTTTTCTCGAAGTTTTGTTTAGTTTTTTTGTTAAATCCTTCCTTTCTTTCTGTTCCACACATCTTTCAGAGTAACTGCGTCTCTATGGGTGGCCATCTGGCGTCTGTCCATTCACTCGCGACGCATAATCTTGTCAGGCGTCTGATAAAGCGAAGAGCCAATCGGAACTCCAACGCCTGGATTGGAGGCTCTGATCAAAGCTGGGTACGTCATCTATCACTGCAGAAACCTGTTCTAAGGAGCCAGACCTCTTCTTAAAACTTGAGCAAGTGAATCCAGCTGTTGTTGGATGTGATTCTTTCGGTTGATGCTGACTCTGTAAAAATATGTCTGATGCGATTTTTGTACTTTTTAGGAAAGTGTTTGGCAATGGACTGATGGAACCTGTTTCCACTACAACAAGTGGCTCACCGGACAGCCTAATAACTCAGGCAACCAGGACTGTCTGCAAATAAGTCTCAATGGTAAATAACCGATCTCATCGTTTTACCTGGGCATACCTGTAAGATAGTGTATAGAAGACATAGTGAGGGGTTCAGCTTCAAGACTGATTCTCAGAGGTCATGTTGGCCGGTTGTACCATGTAGGCATATGCTAGGGTAGCTTCTGTTTTTGGATGAAGTTCTCTCTGTCTCTCTCTCTCTCACTCTCTCACTCTCTCTCTCTCTACTGCCATTCTGAACTCCAGACCGAGGACATACCCCTTCTCTCAGGCTTTTTATTGCCTGTTAGTTTCATTTTTTTCCTGCTTTTGGTTATTCATTGTCCATATTTTAATCATGTTTTGCTTATTTCTTGTTTGATGTTATTGTAGAGAATTTTGATTGTTTTAATTGTGCGTGGTAGCTAAACTCCTTTGAACTGTGGTATATCCTGTTAGAAATAATAGCAGCTCATCTTGATCTGTCTCAGTACAATCTCTGCCTCCTGCTGTTTGACAGAATCAGAATTTAAGGATTCTCCTCTGTGTTTCTGATGTTTACAGGCTGGGAGGATCGTCGGTGTAGCTGCCGTCAGCCCTCTGTCTGTGCTTTGGTCCTGTTCTACCCTCTGGTCCGTTAAGTCACATTAACAGGTGGAGGTGTGTTTGAACCTTTATGAGAATCAGATTCCAGAGAACCGCGCTGAGTCTCTTTATTTTCTCTTTCCTATCGCTGAGACACTGCAGGAAGATCATGGTACAAGGATGAGGAGCTTATTAATCTGTTGAATCAGATTGTCTGATGGAGAATAGCTTTCAGCTTTATTTCTGTAATAGTTCCTTACTGATCTGATGCTAAAATAAAAGCTTCAAGCATTAAAAACCTGCTCTGAGCAACATGGTTTGTTTGTACTGTCTGGCTGAAATCTTCTGTATCTGCTTCTGTCAGGTTAAAGCAGAGTTCCTCTGCCAGTTACACAGCATTCATATTATTGTTATTATTTGGTAAGTATAGGGTTCCAAAGGGGTGGAAGATTTACAGTAAATTTCTGTTAAATTTTCAGAAACTTTCCATGAGAAGTTAAGCAGGGGAATATTCCAAATTGGAAACGTTCCATGGGAATTATTGGGAATTTATGGGAATTAACTGGAAATTGGGGGTAATTTAAACAAACTGTATCACATCCAAACATAAATGTAAATATTTTTTTGTCATTAGCAGAAATCCATGCAAAATAGGTCAATTAAGGGCAATGAACCATGGCATGAACAGAAATATAGTTGGTTAAACAACTGGAATGGTCTTCAAAATATTTCACAATTGATGTATAAATTATTGTATAGTTACAGAAAACCGTCTTGCAGGAGTCAGAATAAACAACATTTGAGGTGGCTACCACCACCATAATGAGCTAGCCCCTTACCATAACTGGTCAATTAAAAATGAAAAATAGCTAACATATAGCACCTTTTTTTATTCTTGCAAGTTAAATATGAATACTATTATAGACCCAATATATTTACCCCGTAATATTATCAAAACTCACTGGACTTTATAAAGTCTGTGGGTTCAAACGTCTTGTGCTTTGGGCTCAAAAGTGTGGCCTCCAGGGTTCAGGAAATCATCTGTGCATGTGATGGAGGAATGTACAGTGCACGTAGGGGGTGTGACGTCAATAGCCCTGCAGTACGCAGTGTGCCGTGTGCATGTGATTGAGGAGTGTACTTAATCTGCATTTAATCTGGTTGTTTTAGTCAAGATTATGCTACAATATATTTTCCACAACTGTATTTAAATTCCCTGTTGATGGCCAACCTTCAACGGTGTAAATTTCCGATTTATTCCCGTTATTTCCCGAGGAAAGTTTCCAACTTCTAAAATTTCTGGAATTTTGCAACCCTACTGTTAAGTAATTTCAAACATTACCAAGTCTTTTTAAATTTCAGAGTAAAACCAGTTTGTTTAAACTCTTTGAACTTCAGCCTTCAGGTGTGAATAAACACATAGACAGTTAGTGTTTCCTCTGAGGGTTTATTAGAATCACAAAGAAAAATATCTGCACAGATTACAATAAGAACATAACCCATGATCAGCTTATCAGCTGGCTGACTGCAGAGTTTGGACCAATCACTGATCACTCACTGACCAATCACTGATCAGTGATCAGTCATACTCCTCTTTCTATAATAAATATAATCAGCCAGAGACACGGTGAGGAAACGGGAAGCTGAGAGCCTCACAGTATGTACAGGTGGAAAGGTAGACAAGTATGTGCGTGTGTGTGTGCGTTTATCGGTACAGGTAATCAGCCTGTATGTTAGCAGCGATCTCTGCCTCCCACTTGTCTCCGTTGTTGAGCAACTTCTCTTTGTTATAGAGCAACTCTTCATGTGTCTCTGTGGAAAACTCGAAGTTAGGACCCTAGGAGACAAAGAGACAAAAAGACAGTATTACAAAGAGACAAAGCGAAACATATGGAGACAAAGAGACAAGGAAATACAGAGATTGAAAGACAGAAATACAGAAAGATAAAGAGAAAAAACAACCAGAGAGACAAATAGAGAGGCAGAAATAATTGAATTTGAATGGAGACACAAAAGAGAAAATGAAACAAAAAGACAGATACAAGGAGACAAAGAGACAGAAATAAAAACAGGTAGAGGGGACAAAAGGGACAAAGAGAAAGAGAGGAATCGAATATTATTGATTAGTTAAAAACTGAAAAAGATGAGTAAAATAAATCAAATAAGTGAATATTCTCACAGCTCATCAGATATCTGAGACACTTGTTTTGAGTTTAACTCTCTGCTGTACAAATTATCAGGTGCTGGAATAATTTACTAGATTTAGACTAAAATTAGCCTGATCTTAAAATTACCTGCAGGTTTCTCTACCTGTTAACACTTTTACATGTTTGAGGGTGTAGCAGACTCAGTTACAGTCAGGCAAAAAATGGTTCAATTAGTTATGCGCTAGAGCAGTGGTTCTCAAGTCCAGTCCTCAAGGCCCACTGTCCTGCATGTTTCAGATGTTTCCCTGCTCCAACACACCTGATTCAAATGATCAGCTCGTTAGAGAGCTTGATAACGAGCTGATCATTTGAATCAGGTGTGTTGGAGCAGGGAAAGATCCGAAACATGCAGGACAGTGGGCCTCGAGGACTGGACTTGAGAACCACTGCTTTAGAGGACAGAGGGAGGACACATCTGTCCTCTCATGCAGAAGGGGCACTGTGTCTGAGATGATGTTCTGTTTCACTCAGGAACCAAACCTGATCCTGTTTACTGTCAGATTATTATCCTCGGAGGAAACAGCTCAATAGCACACACACACACTCACCTCCACGATGGCATCCACAGGACATGCCTCCTGACAGAAGCCGCAGTAGATGCATTTGGTCATGTCGATGTCATAACGAGTTGTCCTCCTGCTGCCATCTGCCCGAGTCTCTGCTTCTATAGTGATGGCCTGAACACACACGCAAACAGGGGCAGGTTATATTATTTAATGATTGAGTGTATTTTTTGAGTGACGCTTTTAAAAAGGTTGCTGACAGACATGACCCTCTGAGTAGGTAAAAACTGGGTCAGGAATAAAAACACTGGACCATCAGCCTCTGTACAGTGGTTTGGTCCACCACCTTGTTCTCATCACTTAAACTGTGATCCAAATATTGCTGTATGTTATAGTCCAAGTTCTGTTTGGGGACATTTCAGAGCTTAGCTGGACCCTCAGAAAGCAAATTATTCTACAGGTACAACACACTTGTGTTACTCTGCCTGCAGCAGACTTTTACTCACCCTAACTTTATACAGACAACTCATCAGACAGGCAAACTTAGACAAATTCAGACCTGTGTTTGTGTTTGTGCATGTGTGTGTGTGTGTTTATACCTGTGCAGGACAGATAGCTTCACATAGCTTGCAGGCGATGCAGCGCTCCTCACCTGAAGGATACCTGATGTGACATCATCACAAACAATGTTACAGGTGACTTACACAAATCCAGTGTCTATCTGTTTGCGTGTCTATGTGTCTGTGTTTCCGACCTGCGCAGAGCATGTTCTCCTCTGAAGCGAGGTGACAGTGGTCCTTTCTCAAATGGGTAGTTAATAGTGGCGGGCTCTCTAAACAGGTAACTCATCGTCATACCAAGACCTGATCGCAACAATACAAAGGTAACACAATTATAATTACATCAACATCAAGAACAACAATAACACAAAGATAATGCCAAAAACAACAACCATTGAATGATGTTTTTTATGAGGTTCATCTTCATCAACACAACATCAGTATATCAGTGTGTGTGTGTGTGTGTGTGTGTGTGTGTGTGTGTGTGTGTGTGTGTGTGTGTGTGTGTGTGTGTGTGTGTGTTTTCTGACCTCTGAAGAGCTCCGTCCACAGCAGAGTCTGAGCAGCTCGGTCTGTGATGGACTTCATGTCTGTGGAAACCTCCTGAGCGTTCACATACTCTACACACAAACACAGAAACGCATAGCAACATGACAGGAGGAACTTAGAGAGATTTAAGCCTGATAAATGTTCACGTGCGTGTGTGTGTGTGAGCATGCATGCTACTCACTGAATCCTGCTCTCTGTGAGGACACACTGAAGGACCTGAGCAGAATCGGAGTGACCCCTAAAGACCCTGAAAACAAAGTAAAAACAAAGTATGACACTTGGTAGAAAGACACACACCTTAGAAGAACACTAATCTGTGTTTGTATACAATGTGTGTGTGTGTTTCATGTCATTTATGGTATTAGTTTATGTGTCTAATGTGTCATGATGTTTTGAAGAAGAACTTGATTTATCCCCGAAGGGATTGTCTGTCAATCTACTATTTATAGAAGAATAAGTAATAATTCATTTTTAAACTGAGAGTTCACCATTTCAAAGTCTCTGTATCTGCTCCCAGTATCTTTCAGAATGACTTTAAAGGGCATATTCCGGCATAAAATTAAGTTAGGGTCAAACACACCGTAACACCGAGTTGAATGTTGCCAACCGCATGCTTTTCTAGTTATACCAACTTTAGAAACGACTGCAGATAGCAATACAGAGAGCCACACGCTCAACCAAAAAGCCACTCTATAGCCACAAATAATTATCAGAACAGTTCTGGAGGGGGTGTCTAACTCAGTGTTACAATGTGTTTGACCTTAACTTAATTTTACGCCGAAATATCCCTTTAAGGTCATTGAAACAGTTACATTTATTCAAGACAGGTCTTGCCTAAAAATGAGACCCTGCATCTCAAAGAGAGAGCCTGTATGAATAAAGCTGATCAATAACAGTAATGAGAAAAGCTTTACAAATTAAGTGTGAATGGATTGATAGTGTGTGTGTGTGTGTGTGTGTGTGTGTGTGTGTGTGTGTGTGTGTGTGTGTGTGTGTGTGTGTGTGTGTGTTTGATTGTTATAGTCAGTTGTGTGTGGTCTGTGGTCTGTGTTTACCTGGTCTGCTCACAGAGTACAGCATACGCAAAGCAGCCATCACGTCTCTGAGCTGAAAACACACACACACAACTCTGATTTAATCACCTGTTATGTGTATTAATAACAACAGTGTCTAAACTGATTGAACTGAATGCAGTCTAACATCACATTAACCTTCTGTGTGTCTGTATGTGTGTGTGTCTTACCGGTATTTGAGTTCTTGACCTAAGCTAACCCTGATGTTGGCTGTTAGCTGCGAAAGCTGTCAGAGCTCTCAGTCAGTATAAACACCACTGTTTACTGTTTATTATTTACTGTTTATTGCTTACAGTTTCTTGTTTATTGATTAACACGTGTGTCTAAAATCAGCTCTGATTGCTGCACTGAGCTAGGCTAACAGGCTGTCAAGGACTTTTCAGCAGAGGTCGCGTGAGGTGAATCAACATAAAGTCATACGAACAGAGTAATGGTCACATCTGTCAGACAGCGTTTCAAAGATCGGATTTACCAGGAATTATCGCTTCAATCAGATTTAATCAACTTTAAAGGAATTTAACTCACCGCTCCGTCGCTATTTGGCCTTCTTAACCAGAACAGCGGACTGTTTATGGAACGGACCTTGCGTCTGCCGGAAGTTACACAACGTAATGACGTTGCGGCTGACGCAGGGTAATACCTTCGAGGACCGTCCTCTGCCTTCGGGTTTTTAATAATCATTAACTTTAGCAAAAAATATCATATATAAACAGAGAACAAAAATGAAGAGTGACATGACTTATAAAAACATAAATTAGTTTGTGTAGTTTGAGTATTTGGATCTGGTTCCAGAGTTTCTGACAGGCCTGGTTTTTGTATTTTTGGTTTTTCGAAACACAGATTATATGAGTTTATTTTTTTGTGTATTTAAAAATGGATTGATGGAACTAAACAACATTTGTGTGATTCTGTTTTTTATAATAGCGTTTATATTGACGAAAGTGATTGTTTTCTCTTTTACTTCAACATATATTTACACAAACTTCAGTCCTGTTCACGAGTTTAAAAATATCATTTATATTTATAGCTTTAACTCTGTCTCTGGGTTACAAAACACAGTGATCTCCAGCAGCTGGAAGAGCACATCCCAGTGGTTATCAGAAGAACTGTTAGCTTTTACTAAGAGGGACTAAAATAAGTGGGTAATTTAATCTGCTATAAAATATAATACAGCACACGTAAAGCTTGGCCTATAAGTTTAATGCAGAGTATAAAACTCTGTGTTTTTTATGCTGTGAGTATGTGATTTTTTTAAAGATCCTTATGGGATTAAATAATGGTGACTTTGGTCTGGAGAAACACAGGTCTATTACAGATGGAGACGACACTTTAAAATCATTCAGTATTTTTATTTTTTACCAAATAACATGGCAATATAACTATCGATTACGAAACAATATAAAATAAAAGGAGTAATTATAATTAGGAAAAATGTTTTCTTGGACTCATTGTATTTCTTAATGTTTTGGAATAATGTTCAGTTTTACAGTCAGTATTTTGTTTTTTTTCCAGTAGATTCTCTGAAACATGGTTTGAATTACAGATCCTCTCATGCAGTCACAAGCTTCTTGCAGAATATAAGTGTGTAAAAATGATGTGTATATGGGGTTATTTTGGTGTTGGGTGTTATATCACCTGTTTTTAGTGATTCCAAATAAATCAGAGTGATATTTAGTTTTAAAATTGTTATTCCAGCATGTCAGAGGTTTCATCCACAGACTGATTTAAGGTTAATATCAGAGCCTCTATGCAGTTTTGTCAAATTATCAGTTTATAATAACTATCAGCAGCCATGAATAAAACTCTTCATTTCACAAAATATAAGAGATTATGACCAACATCAGTTTGAGTGTAATACTGTCACAGTAAAATAAAGTCATAAACTTCATTATCCTGTTATATTAACCAAGACTGTCAGAGACACAGAGGACTGATATTTACCAGGGTTTATTTACTGAAGTCTGTCAGAGGAAACATTACACACACACACACACACACGCACACACGCACACAGACACACATGCGCAGGGAGAGAGAGTTCAATAGAGTGTGTGATTTTTAATTAAAGAAGGTTTTGTTGACGTGTTGTGATCAGTCCTCTACACACACCTGGATACTACAAACAGACAGAAGACTCACTCTGGCAGTAAGTGCACACTTTATTCATCTATATTAATATAAACTGTTTAATACAATGTTAACATACTCTGACAGTAAGTGTACTATTTCACTGTTTATATTAAATATAACTTGTTTATAACAAAATATGAGTCTCACTCTGACAGTAAGCATACTATTCAACTATTATGAATGAATCTAAACTATTTAACACAATGATACTAAATTCACGCTGATAGTAAGTGCTTGCTTTATTTCTAGTTATAAATATGAACTGTTTAATACAATATTTCTTGACTCTGACAGTAAGCACACTTTTTATTTATTTACAATGAATATAAACTGTCAAATGCAGCAATAACAGACTCACTCTGACAGTAAGTACACACTTGATTCTTTTAAATAAATATAAACTTTACACAACCCAACTTTTCAATACTACATTTGTTTAATATAACTCTCTTTGAGTCACTCTGTGAGGACACACTCAGGAAGTCAACGCTTTGTTTTCTAAAAAAAAAAGAAAAAAGAAAAACTTTACATAAAATAAGCCAGATCTCAGATAATTGATTTAAAATAAATCATGACATTTAACACTGCTTTCCTCCTTTGACAGATTTTCATGTAATACTCTTACTAAAAGATACCCCTAAAACAATCTTAGATTATAATTTAATACACTGTCAGGCAAAACTATATGATTATTTTATATTACAACTATTAAACTGTTTAATGTTACACATGTGTAACGATGAATTAAGTGTGGGAAGGGAATGGTAATAAAAGTCCCAGCCTGTAGTAGTCAAAGTCTTATGTTGTCTAACTCTGTAACAGTCTGAGTCTGTAACAGTCTAAGTTTATAACAGCCTGAGCCTATAACAGTCTCCCTGTACAGGGGAGGCAGTGTATAGGGGTGGCAATGCGACACTGCTGTGGCCCACCAGTGGGGCGCCAGTTGGAATTGAGGTTGTACCATGTTACTTGTGGTTACTAAGTAACTGTGTAGCAGATAGAACTCTTTGGAATAAGACCCTTCTTCTCCTGTCTCCATTAGTGAGCAGTAGGTTGAATTCAACAGTGCAGGTGGAGCGTCCGTGGCCAGAGGCAGAGAAATGGCTGTTGGTGGCGGTGCTGGGCTTGGAGATGCTGATGGGAGTTTTTGGAAACAGTCTGGTCCTGGTGGTCAAAGTCATGGTATGGGGGCCCAGGGGGGCATGTCATCATTAAGAGTCACATATCACATAAGAGTCACATGTTCATTCTTCCTCCCTGATGTTTTATTTCAGTGTCAAGGTCAGTTCTGCTGTCGGTACTGGCTGCCTCTTATCAGTCTCACCCTGTCTGACTTTGGTAAATATTCAGTAAATATAATTACTCATTACATTTTAAATGAATACACAGTTGTATTTTTATCAATTACACATCCTTATTTTTATAAACAACATAGATATAGTTTTATTCATTACACATTAATATCTTGATGTTTAATAAGTGACTCAATATTTTTATTTCTCAAAATTTTATGAATAACAAATTTCTATTTTGTAAATTAAATTTTAGTTTTTTGACTAATAACAAATCTATTTGATAAACAATCACGCATTCTTATAATTAATGAGTCTTAGGTTATCAGTTCTTGTTATTATAATCATATCATCCATTGTGATTAACCTATAACTAATCACCATGGTAACACCTTTTGATAAGCACTGTGACATGTTTCTTTCCTCATCAATTAACTGATTTATCAACATCCTAATTTATCTGTTAACCATGTTTTGTATGCTGTAATCCTCTCGTGGTGAAGGTTGCTCCTTCCTCATCATATCTGGGTCCTTCTTTGCCATGCTGACAGGAGGCCAAAGGTCACCGTGGTGTGAGGTCGTCAGCCTGCTGAAGTTTGCCTTCATCTCTTCTTCTATAGGGAGCATTGGTGCCCTCCTCTTTCTCATCATATCAGCTGATTTATGCTCTGATGGTAACTCTGTATCTGTCAGTGTGTCAGCAAGACATCTTCCCATAATTCCTGTTGTGTTTTTGTCCTATTTAGCCGTCCTCTGTGTGCAGCGGCTGATTGGCCCCACCTCCACAGAAAGGGCTCTGTTTAGTGTCATGGTGACAGCATGTTTAGCATCGTGGGTAACAGGTGTGGTATTTGGCATCATACCTGTGGTCTACACCTGGATCAGGTACTTAGTTAAGTCTTTGTTTTCAAACTGACTCCCTGCGTCCTCATCTCTGATCATTCAATTTGTCCTTTTTTAATTACCATGCATGCGTCCTCATCTATTTACTGTCTCACCTTGAAACTGTCCTTATGTCCTCATTGTATTGTCCCCTGTCCCCTTAGGTATGACCCTGCAGAGATGTTGTGTGCAGTTTTCTGGGAGAACAGTTACTCTGACATGTTGGTCTACATCCTGTGTGCGTTCTCAGTCTGTGTCTTCATCCCCTTCATCTTCATCTTCATCTGCTCTCTGCTGAGTGCCTGTGGCTGTGGACACTCCTGCTGCAGGTAGACAGCACCTGATTGGCATTATTAAACCTGCTGCAAGATTTCTGATTGTCTTGAAACTCTTGAATGTATAGATGGGTTTACCTGCAGATGAACAATCATCTAAATCATCTCACCTTGTTAGAAATACACTAACTGTACGTCCCGCATTACCTGTGAAATCATCTAGGTACATGTGTGTCTCTTCCTGTCCTGTTACCCTGTCTTTCAGTGATGAAGAGTCCGACCTTTCTGATGTCACTCCTCTGCTAGTGGCGTCATACGTCTTCTGTTACACGCCGTTTGTCGTTTCTGAGGTGACACATGCTGACATCACATGACCTGTCTACATCCTCACACTCTGTCTTTCTCTCTCTCGCTTTCTCTTTTGAGGAAATAAATTTCTGTTCCCATCTGTACTGTTCCTCAGTCAGCACTGTCTCTCTGAGTCCCCTCTAAGCTCTCTTTGTGATATACATCAGTTTCTACAGTCAGTCTATGAGTCTCTGAGACTCTATTTAGTCTGGATCTGTCTTCTTCTAGGTTGTTTTATCACAGTTGAATATTCAGGTCATTGAAATTCTCTGTTCAGTTCATAATATTGCCCTGATCTATGTATAGATTGTATTTCTAACTTCCACTAATTCACATATTTCTGTGTATTGTCCATCTAGTTTTTTAACCTGTGAACTGAGAATTGTTTTCATTACGCTGACATGTCAGTTGTATTACCTCATCAGAGGTATTTTTATCCTTAATCAGATGGTCCAAAATGCTCAGTGATAATGACTCTGAGGACATTTTTACAAAACTTCAGGTGTAATTTTTCCACTAGGTTTGAGTCCCATCACTCTTTATTTAATTATGGGCCCCAAATAAAAAGGAATGACTCTCTCTTCCACACCGTCTCTCTCCCCATCAGCTGATCCTGCTGGGCCGGTTGGATCTGTCGCCGGCGCCTGATTGGCTGAGGACATTATCATCAGTCATGTCATACCTGGACTGTGGTCTGAACCCTTTGATCTACTGCTCTAATCAGGACTTCAGGGAGGCCGGCCTCGCTCTGTTGTGGACCAGTAGGAAGCTGGCATCGGAGCCAGTGCTGACTGCCATCACCAAACACGAGCTGTGAATTTAAATGTGACTGACCTGTAAGCACCTGTACTAACACAATAAACATACCTGTAAAACTTTGAGAACGCAACTGTAAACACCTGCACGAACACGATGAACTCACCTATAAACACCTGCACTCATTTGATGAACTCACCTGTAAAACTGATATATACACATCTGTAAACACCTGTACTCATGCACTCTGACACTTTACACCAATCGGTGAATATGTGAGTGTCTACATGTCTTTGAGTGTGTTGACATGCAGACAAGTCATGTGGTGTGTGGTCTTTATCAGTCTTTTTTCCTTCATCAGGGTAAATGTTGATCAGAAAATGTTTCAGTTTGTAAGAATAAAATTTGCTAAAACATTTAAATAGTGTACTCTTGGTTTGCTGTAGTTCTCATATTGGCCACTAGAGGCTAAAGTGAGTCACTGCAACATGATATGGTCCCAGGGTTACTGTCAGCGTCTACCTAAAGCATTATTACCTTGAACATTTACAGCCCTATGAAAATCAGGAGGGTTATAAGGCTGACCTTCATAATATGTCAGGGTTAGGGCCTGTGTCCATCAACACTGTTTTTAATTCTGTCAGGGCCTATATACAAAACAAACTATTGTTTAAAAAGCTCAGTTTCCTCACATTAAAAAAGTATTAGCCTTCTACCTACTATCATTACACCTTAAGATTAGAGTATGATAAACACTTTTCAAATGTAGTTAATTTGATGGCATGTTAAAACAATAACAGTATTTTTTATTCTATTTTATTATTTTAGTTTTCTGTGTTGTATTTTTTGTAAGTCTTTCTCACACGTTAAAACAAACAAAAAAAAACTTTTTAAGTATTTTTCAAATTCTTTATAACACAGAGCATGCAGGACAAACATTATCATCACTGTTATCTTAAGCGGATATTAATTTTTTTTCTAGTTATCTAAATATTGAGACTATTTTGGTTTATTTGTTTGCATTAGTAATTTTGGTTACAAAGAACAACATAAAAGCTGTCACATCTCGACATCTAGAGAGTGAAATCTCTAATTAATTTAGCTGTTCAGAAGGTTACAGACTCTAACTGCTCACATGAAATCATAGAGTATCCTTCGGGGATCATTAAAGTTCTTCTTCTTCAAGGGCTAGTCTTCTCTCTCCTCTCTACAGATGCACTTTTAAACATGCATGTTGTATTTCTGGGTTGTTTGATATCTAATAATTTGTGTCATTGTTTATATTCATTTAACATACAGAAAGTGCTGATGTTTAATTTTATTTATGTTAAATAAATTTAAGAAAATCTGTGGGATTCCAGCAGGACATGTACGCATCATAGTCTCTCTCTCTGTCAGTCAGCAGGTAAAGCTGATTATCATCAATCAGCTGACTGTAACAGATTTCTGTTTTTTCTGTCTGGTTAAATCACAGGTGTCAAACTCAAGGCCCGGGCTGGGGGCCAAATCCGGCCTGTGGAACAATTATATCATATCATAAGATCATATCATAATTGTAGTATTATTGGCCCACCAGTATGAGGTCTGCAGATTTCCTCCTGTATAATAATGTAAACTTTAGCACCATTTAAAAGGTCTTTAGCCACAAAAATCTGGGAAATTAAAGAGTCAGGAAGATTTGATAAATAGTCAAGAATGTAGGGGGAAAATATTTGGTGTTTTAATTTATGTTTTCAATTTTGCATTTCAAGATTATAAGTCAAAAATGATTGGATTTTTTTATTTCATGCTTTGATTTGTTCAACTCAGTATTTAGACCTGTGTCATTTCTATACTTTAGATTCCAGTTCTAAATTTTATGTCATATTCTGAGCTTTTAAACCTGATTTCAATGTTCTCCTCACGTATTTTATCTCAGATTGCCTTTAAACTTATCTATTTTTCTTTTTTGAATTTCCAAATGATTTATAATCATTGCTATTTTTGTTCCATATTTTTTTGAAAAGGAGGTTAACAATTTTGGTGAAATGTTGACCCTGTTTGGCCCTCAGGTTAGACCTAAATCCAGATTTTGACCCTTGCTGTGGTTGAGTTTGACACCTCTGCGGTTAAATAAGAAAACAGACTACTTGGAGGTGCACATGAACCCTGTTGTTACTCTATCAGTCCGCTGGGGGGCGCTCGTGTCTCCTCTCTGAAAGTTAGTCCCTCACTTTTACCACATCCTGTGATCCCGCTCATGCTCGCTCTCTGCCTGTCTACCTGGAGTTTCTCGGGTTAAAGGGGTTAAAACTGTGTGTTTCTCACTCTCTCCTCATGTCCCTCCTCAGGATGTCCGCCCGCGGGTCCTGGCTGCTCCTCTGCGGCCTGATGAGCTCTGTTTGTGGGAAGAAAGTGGTGGAAAGCGGCTCCGGATCCGGGATGATCCAGGAGCTCCGGGGTGCCTTCAACGAGTTGGTCGGGGAGGGAAGAGCTTACCTGGGAAGAGTGGCCGGAGAGCAGACGGTGCTGTCGGTGCAGAAGGTAAGAAATGTTGCCATGGAAAGGTTTTTATGAAGTTTTAGCGCTCTGGGGGAGTAGGGAGGAGAATATCTGGAGATTTATTTTCTTTTTACAGTGTGTAAAGTGAAATAAAAGTCAACAAAGATGTAGTCAGTTAATACAAGCCAAATACTCTCACAGACTTTAAATAAGACAAAGTTACTTCAATGAGGTAAGACTGACCAGGTGTGCATTAGTGAACAGAAAGTGAGCACATCAGTGGTCTACGTCACTTCCTGTTTCCATTCATAAGTAAAAGCTCGGGTGTGTCCTCATTATGTAGCAGCTGTGGGTTTGAACACAGAATAGCCTCTTTTCAAACTTTGACCACGTTTTTACACATGCAGGGCTTAACTGACAGACAGGCTTGAGACTTTACAGTCTGCTTTGAACCTCTTCACACAGATTTCAGTTCAAAGATTTTTTAAAAGTTTCAGAGTGTGTCAGCCAGACTGCACAGAAAGACCAAACCTCATTCATCATGAAAATGGCGATTTAAAGGGATATTCCGGTGTAAAATTAATTTAGGGTCAAACACAATGCAACACTGAGTCAGACACCCCGTCGAGAGATGAATGTTGTGGACCGCTTGCTTCTCTAGTTATACCAACTTTAGTAACAACCGCATGAAAGCAATACACAGCGGTCTGAGGAGCCACACAAACTTTAACCAAAAAGCCACTCTATAACCACAAATAATGTTCAGAACAGCACCTAACTTCATCAACAGTACATATAGGGTCCTAGCCATAGCCACCAAACATTTTCTTAGCTTTGCCTAATTTCTTTAGGAAAGAGACTAAACACAACTCACCTACTCTCTTCCAGTAGCTGCTTGTTTGTATCAGGGCCGATCAGTTACAGACTACAGCGCGGCGACGCAGCTCAAGGATGAACATTTATGATGATCTGTATCATTTCCTTAAAGTAATAATCACCATATTTATCATTTTGCACTGCAGACTCGGTAGTTGCTCTGCCTTAGCCTCTTGGTCAGATTGCATTTCCATGAAGAAATGATCTTAAAGCGGCTTGCCAAATAAATTAGGCAAAGCTAAGAATAGTTTGGTGGCTAGTGCTGTGGCTAGGATCCTATATGTACTTTTGATGAAGTTAGGTGCTGTTCTGAGCTTTATTTGCTGCTACAAGTGGCTTTTTGGTTGAGGTGTGCGTGTGGCTCCTTAGACCGCTGTGTATTGCTATCTTGCGGTCATTACTACAATTGGTTTAACTAGAGAAGCAAGCAGTCGACAACATTCATCTCTCAACGGGGTGTCTGACTCAGTGTTACAGTTTGTTTGACCCTAAATTAATTTTACACCGGAATATTCCTTTAACCTCTGTGAACTCAGGAGGACCTGCTCCTCTTACAGTTGGTGTGTTTGTCTTATTTAAAGTTTCTCATCATTTAAACACCAAACACAGAATAAACTGGAGCAGGTTGTGGTGGATGTTTCGCTTTGTTATTTAATCCGTTGTCTGGTGTGTCTCTAGAGTCTGATGCAGAAATCCTGTCTGTCAGACTCTAAGATTAACAACCTGAGCCCGTCAGGGACAAATACTACAATTTATGGAGGATCAGTTTAGGATTATTATGCATACATTACAGTCAGAGTTGCTTTGTTCTTGTTTATCAGTTTGTTTAAACATGTAAGAAATCAGACAAACTCTTACTTTAGTTTAACAAAGCTAAGAAATCAAGCAGAGACCAACCAGAGAAGGATCAGGAGCCCTCAGTGAGGACAGATATGACAACTTCCTCAGGCTGAGGATACACCTGGATCAGTGTCACCTGTCCATCACCTGTCTGTCAGTCACCTGTCTGTCTGTCTCTCTCTGGCCTCCAGGCGTTCTCTCAGGTTATTGGTGTGGTTGCAGGAAGTGTAGCTGGTGCTGTGAACGTTCTCCTGAAGTACGTGTCACAACTCCTGCATACAGCTGGAGTCCATGGTAAAAACACACTCGCACACAATAACACATAAACACAACCCATCTTTGTTTATTACACACTGACCTGTGTATTCTCTCTGTCTGGGTCTGGCCAGTAAATGTCCCCATAGACAAAGTCACTCCTGACGGTCTGATTTTCGTGGCTTATTGGGTTCTCCTTGCTGTGATTGGCTACTGGCTGCTGTCCCTTGCCCTTCGATTGGTTGCTTCCACTCTGAGACGGACTCTGTGGCTGCTGAAAGTGGGCATGGCCCTGGTTTGTTTTGGATTCATCCTGAGCGACCATGAGGCAAGCTCAGAGACCACTGCCATCAGACTGGCCGTGCTGGTGTTTGTCTGCGTGATATTGGGTGTTGGAAGGGGGCGGGGCTTAGATGCGGCTGATAAAACGGCTCACCTGGAGGAGCAGGTGAGGGTCCTGGAGAGAAGGCTGAGAGAGATGGAGAGGTGGAGGAGGACCGAGGAGTGAGGGGTGTGGCCAGATTGACCTCTGGGTTTACCTCTGCCAGATTAATTTCAACCAGATTATATTTATCAGATTAAATTTGACCTGGTTAAATTCAACCTGGTTAAATTCAATTAAAATCAGTTAACCATCTTAAATTAAACCAGACCAGATTACCTTTAACAGGTTAAACTAGAATAAATGTACTGATTAAATTAAACAGACCAGATTTATTTTACCTGATTAGTTTCAACAAGAAAACATTTGACCAGATTATTTTCAACCATAGATTATTAAACCAGAATAAATTTTAGATTATATTAACCAGATGAAATTTGACCAGATTCAATTCAACCAAATTAAATTAAATGAGATTAGAGTAAACCTGAATGAATAACCAGATTAAATTAACCAGGTTAAAGATAATCAGATTAAACTAAACCAGATAAAATGAACCATGTTTAATTTATTAAGATTTAATTTTACCTAAATAAATTAAATCAAACTAGATTGCCCACATCCAGAACAACCAAATTATGGTAGCATTTAATCGGTTTTAACTAATCTGCAGGTATTTATTAAATCTTAATATCTCTGACTCAATCTTTATGCTGCAAGATCAAGATGGTATTTTTGACACTATCTATTCTCAGTCAGATGTGAGCACAGGTGTGTTTTTTCATATTTACAGCTGACTGAGATGTGAGCTGATTGGCTAAGGACATTATCGTCCATATTTTAAGATTCAGACTTATTTCAGAGACTCTGTTTGTGTCTCCAGACTTAAAAATTTTCATTACGTTTCAGTTTCAATTTTTATCATATCAGTGTCATCAGGTCATTATAATCCGATAATTATGATCAGACTATTGTGTGTTTATTGAAATCTGTTTCTTTTCAACCGTTTGTCATATTATGTTAATTGCTATCTGTCTGTTATCATCTCTGAATTATAATTGGTTCTGTCTGTCTGATGAAAAATCATGATCTCAGTCTGTTTTTTCATGAGGGTTAAGTTACATGTGGATGTTTTTATAAACATTCACACTTAAAGATGTTTTGGTGCTTAAAATGTCTTTCAAAGTGTTTTTTTACAGAAACAGAATAAAAGTTTAATGTTTGTATTTTATGCCTTGAATGTTTGTTTCTAAATGAAGCTCAGGCAACAAATAAAACCAAACTTCTTTCAGGTGTGATTATGATCAGAATCTGTTTATTCTTTCACGTTGAAAGAGTTTTACTTGACTTTATCTTGCTGAGTTTGTACGAACATGTGGGTGGGGCCAAAGCTGGACAATGTAAAAGAGCTTTCTATTAGTCAGTCTCCAACAGGTCTACACATGGGGGTGGGGCTGAACACCATACACCCTCCCTCAGGTGACCCAGCCAAGGTTTATCAAGCCCTGGCTCGTGTCCCAGCAGCATTGTCCCACTTATTGCTCCTCCTGATGCAAAGCCAACTGGAGGCTCTCTCTGCAGCCTCGATGGTATTCTTCATGGATTTCCTTTTTGCAGCCTCTGTGATACCAAGCAGTGTGTAAACCTAACACAGTGACCGGCCTGCAAAGCCTCGACACCCGACTTCTATGTGCTCGCAGATTGCCTTCTAGCACTTCCTTGGTATTGTTCCACCAGCTCCTGGTTCTTAGACTGCTTCCGCTCATTTGCCTCATTGATGCAGTCCTCCCATGAAACTGCCTGTTTGACCATGAGGACTTCCCTTGCAAAGAAAGAGGAAAGCATAATGTCTTGCCTCAAGGATGTCGTAATGTGTTCTAGGAACTGGGAGTTGCTTGCCCAAGTCTACTCAACTCCCAGTCTGACACTGAGGTGAATAGGCCAGCTGCTGGTTTGGGTTGTGACAGGGGCTGCTTTCCAGCCTGTATGGTTCTGTGGGCTATGGTTTTGGAGGTGGCTGTAGCAGCTGCCCTCAGCACCATGCCTTGCCGTGCCACCAGTGATAGCAGCGCTGCCCCAGGGCTTTCATACAGCTATGTCATACGCAGCTGTGATGGCGAACATATTGTGCAAAGGTTCTGCCTGCCAAAGCTCAGCCCAGGTCACCTTCCTGACCAGTCTAGTATTAACTTTTGAATCTCAATTTGGCCTCAGGTTGTTTTTCTTTAGAGTTAAGATCAGATCAGAGACTTCATTCAGCAGTCTGTTTCTGTCTCTGATCTCCAACAGCAAGTTTTTATTATCAATTTAATACACCTCAAACTGTTTTTTTTAGCAAGTGATCCGTATTGATTTTTTTTTTTATTGTTCCTTTTAAATAAAAATCTCCTGACTGTGACGTTCTGGATTTTTTGAAGTCTGAATTTATTAGCGTCTCTTTTTACTTTCTTACACTAGGTTTCTCTGTAAAAACTTCAATGTTATATTCATGGTCAACTCTCAGCTTGGAGTGTACAAATACAAACTTTATTGACATGTTGTTGGTTGACAAGGAGCATCACTGAATAAAACATGGTAACGTAATCAGAGGATCACAGGTACACCTTAGAGAGTCACACAGGTAAGAAACCAAGACATGACTAGATCTGTACACAAGACTGAGGCACCAAGTGAGATTAGCGGACCAGGACTACAAACAGGAGGCTGATACTTCCTGCTTCTCTCTGATTGGCTGATATGTATCCCATGTGACCAAAGAGAAGGGTTAAATTCCAAACATGAGGTAGCTGCTGTTTGACAAGACCACAAAACCAGGACCATCAGAGTTCTGCTGTTATCAGAAACATGAAAGTCTTACTGGATCAGAACCATCAGAGTCCCTCTGGTATGAGAACCATCAGAAACCAGAACCAGAACCATCAAGAACAATCAGGTATCTCACTCTGAGGCAGTGTGTAAAAATGTAACAGTCACTCACAGTAGCAGTTTCCTTTGTAAATGAAGGTGTAACAGGGTAACACACTGGACTGTGATATGAGGGGAACAACAGACTGTAGTGCACGCACTGTCACACAGTAAGACTATGTTACATTGTTACCCAGAGAGTATGTGAGTAAGAGTGTAACACATTTAATGCTGTGAAACACTTTGTGTAACACACTCTTGCACAAATTGTTTCACAATATTAAATGTTGTTTCTAGTGTGCAGTATTATTACACTTTTATAATTGTTACACAGTCTTACAGTGTAACCTTGTAACATTCACTGTGTTATATAGTGAGTCTAGGGTTAAAGCACTGTGATTTAAGATCAGAACTGGTCTTCATTCGGCAGCACAAAGTTACAAACTGCATCACAGTGTGTTACTTTGTGTAAAACTGTTACAGAGTTTGCTACATCATGTGTTGTGTTGTTAGTAAGTATTGTGTATAAAGAGCACTTCTGGAGGAGAGAGGCTGCAGGTGAGCTAACTCTGCAGGTGTAGTTGGCTGACCCACAGGGAATAAAGGCTAAAGAGAACCAGACTGTATAAAGATCTATGTTACCACAAACCACGGTTAGCTGTTAGCATTATCTGGGTCTGAGGCTGAGCTTTGAGTAACTCTGAGGACTGTCTGTGTTTCTCTGAATCGTGTCTCTGATCTCACTGATAAACTAACATTACAACAAGAAAATCTGTCCCTAAACAAGGTCAAAGGTCAGATTTGATCCAGTGACACACAGGTAAATATATTCACCAATAACATGATGAGCCAGAGGTTACAGGTGAGAGTATACGGTGGAATAAAAGAGATAAATGAGATGAATAGTTATAGAGTCAGTGTGTTACACTAATAAACAAACAAACACACATGAGGTGTGTGTGTGTCTGTGTGTCATGATGTAGATCTAAAACTCTGCAGACTAATAAACTCCACTGTCTTCTTTAAATCTCAGTGATAGGCAGGCAAAAAAAAGAGTTGACTGTTAAAAAAATGACTAAATGGGAGACTTCAATGCTGATCATGTTTGAATGAGATTAAGAGTTTTAACCATGGACGGTATATAGAATGAACGCCATCTGCCTCCTCACTGGGTGAAGAGAACAGCACCCTCTGGTGACGAGCTGCAGTATAGGTCATAAATCCCACCTCCTCCAGCAATCTCTATGGAGCTGTGGACAAACTTTAGAACTTAATTACACAGAATTAACTTTCATCATGTGTATGAATGAATTTAAATGAATCAACAGATTTAAAGTGATCCCAAACCTCTGATCTCACACATGCTAACAATGCTAATAATGCTAATGATCCTAACAATGCTAACACACCTCCATCTTCAGTAGCTCCTCCTGCAGGTTTAAATACCCCACCTCACCCCACCCCCTACCCACACAGACAGACACACACCTCCCTAACATAAACCCCGCCCTGCATCCCCACACTAATACTCCAACTGTCTACCAGGGGGCGCTATGACATCACATCCTGCAGCTTTACAGGAAGTTGGTGGTGTTTTTCGCTCCATCAATCTGGAACTTGAAGGCCCCATCAGGGGCAGGGGCATCCGTGGAGGCAGGGGTGGGGTCAGTCTGTGTAGGGGTGGAGCAAAGAGTTTATCACACACATATAATTACACCTGATAACACCTGAAAGTTAATTTCCACTTAATCTGAATATGATAGACACACAAACACATTTTCACACACTTGTAAACTCACATTCCTCTAACAGGTTCACCGAGAAGCTGAGAAGGTGTGTTATCATTTGCAGAGATAATACACCTTGATGTAGACACTCTACAGGTGTGTGTTTTTCTCTACAGGTACAGGCATATTTTCTACAGTTATGAGTGTGTTTTTTACAGATGTCTATTTTCTACAGTTGTGTGTATGTGTTTTTACAGGTGTGTATTTTCTACAGGTGACTGATCAGACTTCCTACAGGTGATCAGACGTACCTTCCTCTGAGTCAGACAGCTACAGGAGGTGTTACAGGCAGGTGAGTTCAAAGGTCAACATCAGATGCTGTCATGATTCTTGTGAGCATACTTTTGGTTGTTTGTGAGTAAATCACCAGATCCAGGTGATTCAGTAAGTATTTAAATGCTCTACCTGTAGAAACTCTGCTACGTATGAGGCACACTCTAAACTACCAGCCTGTCCTGGGATGGCAGAATTTCATCCTCTCTTTAAAGGGACTGGGGGGGTGATGGGATGACAGCATCAGTCTTAGAGAAACAGCACATTCTGAGCAGTCTGTCCTCTGAGTTTAACATAAACATCTGTTTATACACACAAATCTTTAAAGCATCTAAAACGCAGCAGTGCATGGAGAAAATAATATATAAACTTTCAAAGGGGTCCATCTTTTTCATCTGATTCAGAGCCGGCTGTTATATCATGTAAAAGTTGAGAGCACGTCGTCTTGTAGCATATTGATTTTTTCTGAAGTCAGTTCATAAGGTCTCTAATCCATGGAGGTTCTGAATAGTATCAGTCTCCTTGTCAGAAGCGCAGCAGGAGTGATCATGTCTCTGCTGGGCGGCTAACAGAGCTGAGTGCTCTGATGCTGTGACAGCTCTGATCCCGCTCACACAGCTGAGCTCAGCCAGCAGGAGGCAGCAGAGAGCTCAGAGTCCATCCAAAGGCCTCCTCAGTGTGTGGATAGCAGGAACCGGGATCAAACCCCAGCAACTGCAGACTGTACCACCAAGCCACAGCCTCCCTACACTAACCTATTAACACGACCCTGCCCCCTAAATCATGGCCCCACCTACTGATCCGGTGATTATGATATCATACTTAATACCGTGTGTGGGGGTGTGTGTGTTTGTAAGTGTGTGTATACACATACCTGTGGTTTGTCAGTCAGCAAGGGCTCTGCAGGCGAGGGGTTCATGTTCTCCATCCTTAGCTCCTCTTTAGTCTCACTGCCACCCCCTGCTGGGGGAGCGCTGTACATGACAGGAGCTGGAGCATAGCCCTACACACACACACACATACAAACACAGGATCAGTGTGTATTAATCAAAAAGACCTCCTCTGTATTCACTAATATATTTACTGTATTTAGTTACTCTAAATATTAAAGATCGAACCCAGAGTTAGAGAGAGGGTTGTACCATTGGAGCAGCTGGGCCTGGTGGGAACTGGGCTGGAGGTGGACCGTTCCATTGTGGACCAGCAGGGGGATAGCTGGGGTTCTGAGGGGGGTAGGCAGGGTTGAAACCCTACAGAGAACCCAGAGGTGAGATCAGTAAAAAAGAAATAAAAGGAACACAACTTTTATTTTGAAATGGTTCAGTAAATGAGGTATATCCTGCTCACCGGGGCGGGGGCGGGGGCGGGGGCGGGGCCAACCCACTGAGGAGCTGCAGGCTGAGGAGGGGGGTAAACTACAGGTCCCTGTTCACACACACACACACACAAATTAAAACATGCTTTTAACCATGGACTATAACAATCCAGAGATAAATTGAAAATAATCAGACAATCAGAATGTGCATAATTACCATGTTAGGGTCAGGACCATGGTAGTACACCTGTACATGCACACAAACACACACACACACACACACATTAGAAATGGGCCCAGTCAGTGATCGCCATGTTTTCAGATATTTGTCCACCAGCACAAGTTAACAAATCAGATTAATAATCTCAGTCCGGATCAGATTAGTAAATCAAAACAAGAATTTCTACCACAATCAAATTAAATCAGATTATTAATCTCACTGGGGATCAGATTACATCATATTGGTAATCTCAATCAGGATCAGATTAGATCTTATGATTGGTTCTGATTATGTTAATTATTTATTCTGTTACCTGCTCTAATTAGAACAGTAATTTCACAAACATTCAAGCCACAACAATTATAAAAACAATCTCTGATTATTGGTGCTTCAAAAACAGAGAATGTGAGCATCCTTTATATCTTAAACCCAAAATTCAGAGTCCTGCCGTCTATGTTCTCACCCCTCCAGGTTGTCCAGGTGAGCTGTAAGGAGGAGCAGGACCAACAGGACCAACAGGACCAGGAGGAGGGTGGACAGCAACAGGGGACCCCTGGAGAGAGACAGAAAGGGAGACAAAGAGGGTCAACAGTTGCACGACTAAAGCTCACCCCTGAGCAGCTGTAGATGTATCTATACATTGATATTCATACTGTACATAGACTGAAAACACACATCTGTACACTGTTTCAGTCTGGTCTCTCACATTTCCTTTCTGCCTGTTGACACTGTGGTAAAACTGTCAGTGTCTTCTTCATGCCAAATATGTAGGCTAAAAGGTGTGGAGGGTATTTCCTGATCTTAACTTTAACCATGAGCAGTAGTTCAAAGTTATGACCTTTGCCTTGTTTCTGTGTAAAGGTGTGTGAATGTCATAGGTCAGAGAAGAGGAGGAGATAATTGAAGATGATGCAAACATTCCTGCAGAGATCCTGTTCCGCTGGTTTAACCCTGCCTTCAATGGGAATGTTCATCTTGATTTTAACTATAGCATATGAGCAGGACCATGTCTAAATATATAACACTGAACTGATATGTACCTACAGTGTGAATGATGTGTTTATATCTACAAAATGTGTTGAACTGCAGTGTGAGTGTGTTTTTTGTGTACCTGCTGCGTGGTGGCCATGCTGGCTTTCTTCTTGAAGATCTTCTTACGGCAGCAACAGCAGACTCCTGCAGGGATCCCGAGCAACAGCAGCAGAGCCAGGAGAGGGTTTCCGTCTGCATACTCATGATGATCTGCACAGAGAGGGGACAGAGTTAACATTGTACTTTAGATTTAACAGCAGGTCTGAGCCTCTGGAGGTCTAAGCATGATACGTTAGCCCACCAAATTTCAGAGTGGAGGTGCTTTGGAGGCTGAATTTTGAGCTCAATAATAATAATAAGAAGAAAAGTTATAATAATGATTACAAGTTTGTATGTATAGCATCTTTCTAAACAAGATGTCACAAAGTGCTTCACAGTCATCAAATTAAAAAGGGTGATACAACAAGACATTAACTTAAACAAAATGCACACTAGCGGCCAAAGTCCTGGTCATACAAAGGCCAGTGTAAACAAATGGGTTTTCAACTGCTTTTTGAAAGTATCCACAGTGTCCACAGTCCTCAGTTCTCGAGGGACAGAGTTCCAAAGTTCTGGAGCAAAAAACTCAAATGTTTGTAGACTACTTTAGGTCGTAGTCTGGTCCGGGGACAACCAGCAAATTCCTGAGTCCTGCTGGAGCTATAAGGCTTCAGCAGGTCTCTGATATAAGCTGGAGCTTGTCCGTGCAAAGATCTGAACACAAAAGAAGGTAATCCAATTGGATTCTGTATTGAATGGGGAGCCAGTGTAAAAATCTGGGGATGGGTGTGACATGGGACCATTTGGAAAATCTCCATCAAATGTCTGGAATCAATCAGACATGAATCTGCTAAAACATGTTTCTTCCTGCCGAGGAATGAAAAGTTTTTTCTGATGGTTCCATGAAATAGACCGCACCCTAAACTCTTCCTGTGTGTAAACACTGTCTTGCCCTGTCTTGCCATCTCTCAGCCAATCAGCTCTCGAGAGGTCTTTGTTTCTAAAGGTCACCAGTAAACAGAGAAGAACACTTGGAAGCCTTCTGTGTCTCTAAACCAGGCTGTAAAAGTGTTTACTTTTGCTCCAAAAACAGGCGTTTTTTGGCTTAGTGTATACATGGTTTCCAGTGCTGACAGCCTTGAGTGTACTACAAGCTTTAGCACTTCTACATCAGCTTCATTTCTCAAGACCCACAGTTGCGGCTCTCAGAATGTATAAGAGCTAGTCCAGGCAGTAAATCCAGCTTTTGACACACCTGACAGTGTTTACTGTCAACTGACAAACATAGCTTCAATAAACCACCACAATAAAGAGGATGACAGATGTCTTTAACGCTGCCTGCACTGGTACTGCATCTGTAGTGTCAACCCCACCCCTCTCAGCATCCTCACTGTCAGAGTGATGACGTGACCTCATCACTCATCAGGTGTCCTCAGGTCACACCTGTGAGGAGTAATTAGTCAATCAATCACAGTGTCAATTCATAACAGGTGTTATCCCAAGGTGCTTCACCAGACTCATATTATTATGTAAATTCTGTACAGATGTAAATATGACTCATGTACAAAGTTTCTTTATCTTTTAATTATTCTCTTTTTGAATCTATACTTTGCTCCTGTAAATTTAGAATTTCCCCTCGTGGAACTATTAAAGGAACAACTTATCTTAACAAAAAAGCTGGTTGAGAGCAGACTATTTTCAAAGACCCAATGTGAAGACTTGACGAGACTGAGTCCCATCTTGTAGGATCAGACCCACTCCCATCCCATCTTCAACCACACAAGTGAAACACTTTGAAGCATTTATCAAGGTACAGTGGAGAGGAAGAACTTCCTTTAACAGGCAGAAACCTCGAGCAGAACCGGACTGATGTTAGACCAGTGGTTCTCAATCCAGTCCTCGAGCCCCCCCTGTCCTGCATGTTTTGGATGTTTCCCTGCTCCAACACACCTGATTCAAATGATCAGCTCGTTATTAAGCCATTACAGAGCTTGATAACGAGCTGATCATTTGAATCAGGTGTGTTGGAGCAGGGAAACATCCAAAACATGCAGGACAGGGGGGGGCTCGAGGACTGGATTTGAGAACCACTGTGTTAGACAGTCATCTGCTGAGACTGAGCTGGGTTTAGTGAGGGGAGAGAGGGAGATGGAAAAAGAGAAAGAAGGACAGAGGACAGACTGATAGAGGAAGATGGAGAGAGAGAGAGCAAGAGATGATGAGGGTAGAGCCAAGATGCCACACACCATTCAGGGTCTGCAACGATTTAGAGTATTATGAACATGCCTGGGTGACCTCATGTTTCCAGTTTAGTACCAGATTAAAACGTCAACCAATCAGACATTATGTTTTTCTGAGTGAAGGAGTGTAACTCTGTCACTGCTGCACTGCTACATGGATGTAGAAAACACCATATGCTCATGTGAAAGACATATCTGACAACCTTAAGAACAGAATATCTTTGAATGCACCACACTTTGAGGGAAAGTGCACAGAAATGGAAATATTCTTCTACATTCTGCTGTCAGACTACAGACTGAAACACCCCCTTGCTCACCCTTCCTTTTCATGAAATGATGGTGGCCTTTGAGGACAAATAGCTCCAGTATTTGTCAGGTTTCCACCTTAAAAAACATCCACCAGCACAAAATCTTTTAACACGATGGCTTCACCATCACCTGGGAAGACTCAGGTGTGTCTTACCTGTCAGGTCCATCCTGGTGATGGACACCACTCTGTCTCTGCGGTCTCTCAGCTCATATCGTCCTTGGTCGCTGACGTTGACGTTGAGGATCTCGATATTCATGGAATGCGTCCGAACCCGGTCCCAGTACTCAGGTATGTCCTGAGACACACGGGCCCCATCTCTGACCTGAGGACAGAACACCTGCTGTCAGATGGTCACACCTGAACACCTAAAGCTGTCACACCTGAGCCTCTGACACCCTGAGGCTTCTGTCTCTCTGTTCTGCTGCTTCCTGTTGATGCTGTGGAGAGCTCCAATTGGTTGAGGATATTTATATCCTCAAAATTAAGAGCTGAAAACTTTACGTGAACACAGACTCTTCATCATAAACAACCCTTATTCAATTAATATACTCCCATATTTATTGGTCATTTATAACTTTTAACCCTGTCCTTACTAGAGTGACGTTGGCAGCTTCTCCGCTGAACGTCAGGAAGCTGTCAGCGAGGTCGAGTCCCTCCAGAGAGATACGCAGAGTCTCTCCTGCTATACACTTCACAAAGTTATGACGTGCTGCAACACAAAGACACAGAATTAATGGTCTAAAATATATATAGTCAATATATACATCATTGATTCTAAGAAAAGTTTGGACTTAAAACTGATTTTAGTGGTTTATAGTCATGAAAAGTTTCATTTTGAACAGAAAATAGCGCAAAGACAACATATTAAAGTGAAATTCAAAAATATTGTTATACCTGAAAATATCTGTTCATTTTAAGTTTGATGCAGAAACATGTTTCTAGAATGCCGTCACAATGACAACACACCAGGCAACCCATGGGAGACTGCGTGAGCCAATAAGTCAACGGTTACAGAATAATGTTCCTATCTACTGTATCTATGTATCTATCTATCTACTGCCATCCAGACAAAAACTTTTTCAGGGCCGACCTTCATATTTCAGCAACACAATGACAAACCACATTCTGTAGGGATTACAACAGCATGGCTCTTTAGTAGAAGAGTCCTGCTGATAAACTGGTCTGCCTGCAGTCCTGACTTGTTCCCCATTGAAAACATTTGGAGCATCATGACACCAAAAATAGGACAAAGGAGACCCTGAACTATTGAGGAGCTAACAACTCTATCAGTCAAGAATGGGACTTTTGAATTCCAGACTCCAGAAACTGGTCTGCTGGGTTTATTAATGTCTACAGAGTGTTGGGAAAAGACGAGCTGATGATACATGATGGGAAAAATTTACCTGGAACTACTTCATAGAAACATGTTACAGCAGATTTTTCATAAAACAATAACAGTTTTTAGTTTCAACATTTTAATGCAGTATTTTCACTATATCTTATTATATCTTATTTTTCATGTTACATATCCTTGCAATCTGACAGAAACCTTTTATCTCCAAAACCAATATGAGAAAAGACAGATTCAAGTATAATATGTTGAGTACTGGATGTTCAGCTAACTCACGTGTGATGGCCACTTTGACATTGGAGATCTCCTTGTTCCAGTAATCTCTTTGTGTGTACGTCCCCTGGTCTTCATAAGTCACCTGACACAAATACACACACATGTACACACAAACGCAGAGAGTCAGTATGATGATGTATTTCATGTCTCTATGTCGTCTCCGGGTTGACTGAGCCTCACCTTGTCAATGTACCAGCGGCGGTCACTTCCTGTCCCTGACACACGTCCCCTGGTCACTCTGCAAAGAACAACGCATGTATGCTACTAACATGATGACAGACACACTTTGCCCCGCCCTCAGTGACCCCAAGTGGTCCTCACCTGGAGTGGCCCCTCTCCCACAGCAGGAAGTTTTTACCGGGCTCATCAGCAGGGGTGAACTCAAGCTTCTCAGCGCTCTTAGGAAGATAAATCTTCAGCTGACGGCCATGATTCAGACGCTCATGCTGGTCCCGCACATGGTACGATTCTGAGGCAACAACCACACACAAAAAAAAAAAAACAGTGATAAATGTGTATTTTATCATTATATACGTATGTTAATCATCATTTGCTGAAAATGCGTGCCAGTGTTATATCTGTTTCTTTTTAATGAGCATGGGAAAGCTACAATTTCACTCAGGTTGTTTTCCCAGCAGTGTGACATTGATCTGATAAGCAGGAACCTGATGATGAACTTAGCTGTCTTTGTCTTCCCAGTACAGACCACAGCTGCAACCTGTACCCTATTTGGATACTGTTGTAATGTCATGCCACTTTTGAGATGATGTTCGTGGGCAGGGGTGTCTGTTTCTTGACCGCATAAGGGGTTCTCAAGTCCAGTCTTCGAGGCCCACTGTCCTGCATGTTTTGGATGTTTCCCTGCTCCAACACACCTGATTCAAATGATGAGCTCGGTATCACGCTCTGTACCAGCTTACTAACGAGCTCATCATTTGAATCAGGTGTGTTGGAGCAGGGAAACATCCACAAATCTGAATTCCTCAGTCAGATAAAGCTGCCTTTGTTGTAAGCTGCTGACTTCTTACACGTAATAGATATTGTCAGATGCAGTATTATTTTTCTGACAGTAACATAAAATAAAATTAAAGAAGTAATAAATTAAAATAAAATGAAAACAGTGTAATATGATGCTCAAATAAGAGCACCAAAATAGCTCAATGAAAGAAAATTCTTAAGTTAAAAATAGAAATAAATAAAAGCTAAAACATTGACATTAGGTGCAGCCCTCAGGTTTTCAGGTAAGCTATTCCATAGACGGGGGACATGGTTAAAAAAAAATGGCTCACCGTATGTTATGTTTTAACTTCCCGTACTGTTAACAGAGAAATTCCTGAAGACCTCTGAGCTCATAAGGTAAAGGAAGATCAGATAAATAGGAAGGGCCAGAACTATCTAGAGCTTTAAAAAACAATAAAACAACCTTAAAATCTATTCTAAAAGAGACAGGTGGCCAATGCAGAGACCTTTAAAGTGGTGTAATGTGATCTCTTTTTCTGGTCTTTGTTAGAATCCGTGCAGCTTAATTTTGAGGTAGTTGCAGGTGTGAAAATTTATTTTTGGGGAGACCAGAAAGGAAGGCATTACAATAATCTATTCTACAAGTGATAAAGGCATGAATTAAAGTCTCTGCATTGGCTTGAGAGAGAAAAGGCCACACTCCATGTAAGTTTTTTAATGATAAAATGCTCTCTTGGTGATATCCAAACTCAGCTCTGAATCAAATAACACACCTAAATTCTTAGCCTGTTGACATAGATTAAAAGATCATCATCTGAGTTTTTTCCTGGTTGAGCTGTAAAAAGTCCTCTGCCATCCATGATTTAATGTCTAAAATGCAGTTAAAAAGAGCATTGAGTGGCCCTGTGTCATCAGGAGAAACAGCAACATAAATTGTGTGTCATCCTCATAGCTGTGGAAATTGATGCCGTGCCTCCTAATCTGATAAAATTTATTTTACTGCTGAAGAGGACTGCAAGGTCATCAAATGAAAAGTGTAAACTGTGAGGTTGGTTAAAAACAGGGTTGATTAAGTGGTCTACGGTTGAGGAAAGTTTCCTATGAACTAATGTGTTTTAAAGTATTCCCTTTTGGCCCGTTTGATTGCTCTGTTGTAAATGATCAGTTGTTCTCAGAAGATATAATAGTTAATCTGCAGATTGCCTTTTCGCCACCTGCATTCTACTTTTCTGCAGTTTCCTTTCAGATGAAGTCGGTTAAAATATCAATGAAATCTGCTGCCACTTCAGCAGCAAGATAGGACTTCCTGGCAGTACACACTGGAATTTCCTGCTGCTTGAAATCATTTACATTTAAAAGGACACAGAAGTGGTTCCACAAGCCCACATGCACGACAACAACAACAACAACAAAAAAAAAAAACAATTACAGCAACAACTTAAGTTAACAATGTCAGAAATTAACAAAAATAACATCAACAACATCTGAAACCGAACAACAGCAACAACAGAAACTGCCAAACATCGACAATGTATTTCAACAACAAATTCTAATGACAAAAAAATCCAAAGCAGACACAGAAAACAGAAGCAATTCACTCGTTACTGATTAATTGATTAATATAATTATCCTTTCAATTTCAGTTTAAACTTTGTCTGGGTTTGCTAATCCTACCACAGGGAGGCGCCAAAGACAGTAGGGCTTAAACAGAAATGAACCACTTAATAATGCTTAATTAATTGCTATAATAAAAATCTTAATTATGATTAAGTAGGAGTATGATATTCAACCCTTTAGAGCCTGTGTTCATTGACCGTGATCCTATTACCAAAGGCACTAAAGAAAAAGTCCATCAAACCACAGACTGAAGATTTAACAGATTCGTCTCTCTGCACTCTTAAAACAACCCAAGTTGGGTTGTTTTTAACCTAACACCAGGGTTAAAAAGGGACCGACTACTCGTTGGGTTATTTACCCAGATTTTGGGTCAACTCCATAACTCTTTTGAAGGGTCAAGTTAAGCCAATGTTCAAGTTAATTTGACTCATGGTCTTGGGTCTTGGTATGCATATGGAGAGCTGTTTTGGGGAGTTTTGCTTTTACAACCTGTACCTTATTTTCCCTTATTTGTACTTTTCTCTGATTGTAGGCCTTAGCACTAAGGGTCCTGCCTAAGGACCCACACTGGTGGATGCTCCTTACAGATGTGTCTCATGTGGGATCCAAGCCCCAACCCCCCAGTTGGGGGTCAAATGCTCTGCCCCTTGAGCTACCCCAACCGCCCAATATATATTAAGGTAGCTACCCCAATATATATATATATATATATATATATATATATATATATATATATATATATATATATATATAGTTTATAAAATCAAGGTCAAAGTTCACAAGGTCACTTTAATTGCAATTAGGCCTGGAAACCACGCAGAGTCAATCGAACCCAAAGTTCTGACCCAATTTTTGGGTTACTCTCAAAAAAATAATCCATAATCATTAACCCATTCAATAAACCCTCAAATTGGGTTTCAGCAGAATCCATATGACCCAAGAAATGGGGATGGATCTGAAAAATAACCCAGAAATTTATCTCAACATGTAAAACCCAGGAATTGGGTTAAAGAAATAACCCAAGAGGTTTTAGAGTGTGGTGAGCTCAGAAACTCGGAGGATTAAAGATCCTCCAGGTTGGACTTGGTGTAAAAAAACTGTATCATTAACAGAAAGGATGATGAGGAGAGTCCAGAGGAGGTTTAGATCATGATTTAATCAAACAGCGGCAGACAGCTGAGAGAGAGTAAATGTAACACTGACAATCTGACACTGAGCTCTCTGTTTACAACACCACTGAGAGGTTATCAGCTAACAGTAACCTTTGACCTCTGGATCGGGCCTGTGCTGTCTAAAGGCACGTGTATCAGAGAGGTCATGTTTACAATGATGATAAGGAGACGATGATACTTACCGACTGAGAGAACAGCAGAGAGCAGCAACACACACCTCCACATCATCTGCAAAAAAAAACACACACACATACACACACAGTTAGTGTCTATCCTTTGCCTTCATTATTCTGTTGTCCTACTCCTTGAGTTTTAACCTCTTCTCTGGTTTCTGAGCTGTATTCCTCTCTTCATCCTCTTAGCTTTGACTTTACCAACAACCTGAACTTTTTGAACCTCTGAATAGACTGACAGATCCTACAGCTGAAATATAGGGGTCAGAATGCAGCTGTCTGTGTGTGTGTGTGTGTCTGTGTGTATATCTATTCTCAGAGAGCAGCTGAGTCTTATTTTAGATGCTACAGTACAAACCTTTAGACGCCTGATCCTCTATGTATAATCACTGATTAAGAGGATGGAACGAATACTAGAAATGTTGTACATGCAGGAAATACAGTATTACCCAGCGGACCAATCACAGAGCTTGTGGTCGGCGACGTTTTGATATAAGGTTATACTCTGAGGCAGGATCTCTTGGCAGGATTTGTAGGTTAACAGCATTTAAGGGGATATAGATTTGATACAGAGAGCAGGAGCATGATACCTGTGGCTGGCCGGTGGTTACTATAGAGACAGAGCGCTATATAAAAGAATTGACTGATTGATTGTTTGAATGATATACACACGTCTTCTCTCCCTGCTCTCCTCTCTCAAACTGTGGCTGCCTAATAATTTGTACCTCTGGTGCAAGAAAATACCAAGTGACCAACAAACCTGAAGAGCTTGCTTTTTGCATTGTGGAAGGAAGTCAGGGAGTACCCAAACATACACACAGTGAATATGCAAACAGCACACAGGGCTTTCCGTCTGTTCAGGGAATACAAAACAGGAAACATATATCACGGAAGCGTATTGCAAACACTTCCCAAAAAAAAAGGGAAACTGTTTTTTTTTTTTTTTTGCTGTTCTTCAGACAGTGTGTGTGCTTAAGTGTGTGTGTGTGCGTGCGTGCCTGTGTGTGTAATTCTGCAAGCTGATGGATTTGATTATTTTACACACTAAAATTTAGGCTGTGGAAATACAATGTCTGATCTACACAGCCTTTTAAAAGTATTTTCTACTTTTTATCAGTGTTTTTGCAGTTTTCTTTATTTTGGGGGTTTATTAGAATTAATTTCTCCTCTCTTCTGCTGTCAACGTGTTTCATGTAAATATCCAAAAAACAAATCATTTTTTTTCAGTTGCTGACAAGCGTTTGTCCAACCAGATGTCACATTTTCAAAACTCTAAGCACAATTAGCACAGCAACAATTAAACCATTCAGACATTCCATGTCGTTTTCACACAATATGCAGTCAGTGAACACCTTTCCACAATGCTATACCGCCCAACAAAATTATGGATTGTTTTTGTATTATTTACGAATGTTAACACTTAACAGCCCACAATAGCAAAAACAATATCCCAAACCTTAGATACAGTATTAACCTCTGCTTCTGCAATGATATCAGTTCTAAACCAATATATCTCCGCTGATAATAAACAAACAATTGAATAATTGACACACGTCTGATTTATATCAGTTTTATCAGTTGATGACTGCCAAAGGTGGATCCGACATATGAAGTGGTTTTATCCCAGGTTCATCACCTTGGATAATATCAGATGAAATGTTGATGAAAACATGTGGCCTAACCCTGAAGATCGCAGAGATGAGATACAGTAATTTTGTGCTTTTTTTAGTCTAATCTGGGCTTTTTTCTGTTTTTTTGTTTGTTTGTTTTTGTTCAGAATGCTCTTGTGTGTTTCATGGATATTTTGTACGACTGCATGTACCTTGTGAAGTGAAAACATAATTCTTTGACAGAATAATTTCATTTTGAGTCAGATTTCCAGTGTTTTGGTAAAGTTAGTGTGTGCAGAGAAAGATGTGTTCTATTTTGAAATGAAGAGTTAGTATATATTTACAGTTTTTTCAGTCGCTTTGGTGCATTTCTCACATCAGTATGAATATTTGAACAACAGTTAGTGCATTTCACAGTATATTCACAGTCCCTTATTTGGAACAAACATAGGATCACAGTGGTTCTCCCTACATTTGGTTGCACCCGTCGACCAGCCTCAGCCATAGTGAGGCCGTGATTGACAACATGGTCCACAAGTGTAGCCCTAATTTCATCAGGAATTTGCCTATGTCCTCCACCTCTTCTTCCTCTGCTCCTGTTTTGTCCCCTCCCCCTTCCTCCCCGCATTCTCACCCCTCCTCCACAACGCTGACCTTCCATTCTTGTGTCACAGAATTGTAGAAATGGTTCACACTATGTCCTGCTGTTTTATATGCTTGCCAAGGGAGGGTTCACAGGATGCAGCTCTGAGTGAATATGGACAAGTGGCCTGACATTGTTTACAACTAATGCCTCACACAACTCCTCATGAGTAAAAGCTGAGGTTCACCTGAGAGAAATTGTTCAATTAAGGAGACATTTTCAGGAAGAAAAAAAAAGATTGTTTAATTGTCTTAATAGATTTTGAGAACTAACTCAACAATTGTAATGACTCAAGCAATGAAATTAGGAATATTAGTTTTATAGGGAATGACTATTCAGCATTTATAAAAGAAGCATAGCGTTAGTTCTGTCAGGACACGACGTCAAGCGCTGATCCACAGCCAATGGCTAGTAGCCACCTCAACCGGACCACAGCCAGCTGATTCCCTTCTAGCTCCTATTGGTCCTATGCCTATACAGTGCCCTATTTAAAACTGCACTAACCCAGCCTCTGCCACTGCTTCGACAGCCAACCCGCAACCCACCGCCACCCCAGCTCCGCCCTTGTGCCAGCTAATTGCTCCACTACTCATGATGGCTCGTAAAGGGCAGGAAGGGGCTTTTCCTGCATCTGGCTTCCATGCAAGCACGTGGGAGGGCAGGGACTCGGAACAGAATCATGCCGCAAAATTTAACTTTGCTTTATAAAGCTAAATTTTGACAGTGTTCCTGACTGAAGTAGAGTTCATTTTGACTGACATGACAGAAGCAAACGATAATGTCATAAAACAGCATAAATTGTATGAAAGTAACTGATACATATCCAAGAGGATTTGCAATTTGTTCAGAGGAATGAGAAACTGCTACGATGACGTGTACAAATGACTCAATGTTGTGGAGGTTTAACTAAAACTTCTGAGAACTGTCATTCTGATGTGAGAAATGCACCAAAGCGACAGAGAAAAACTGTAACAAAATGTGTTTTTGAGAAGAAAATTATCCATTTGGCTAATTGTGTTTGAATGGGTAAGTGCTTGTTAGCGACTGGAAAAAAACTGTAATTGGCGGGAATGTGATCCTCTAATCCTCTGGTGGAGGGTGCTGAAATTTCCGACAACCAGTGAAGCCTCACAGACCACCCGCCCTAAAAAGAGGGAGGGGGCTGCCCCTCCCTGTGAGCAATTATTGTGTTAGAGAAAAAAACATGAAGACAAAGGGGGGCGGATTCCTCGACAGACAGAGGACACGGAAAGACGCAGATAACACGTCATAGTCCCACAGTCGGTTTCAGCTCCATTTAGAAGAGCAAAGATGTTTCAAACACGCACACACAGAAATCTGATCTGTTCACAACCACAGCGCAGAAGGGCGGGGCTCCGACAGAGACAACGTCTGGAGTGTGTGTGTGTGTGTGTGTGTGTGTGTGTGTGTGTGTGTGTGCTGTGCTCGCACGGAGAGGAGGAGTGGAAATCTTGATTTAATTTGAACCCCGAAAGAGTTCAATGCAAATCTCACCCACGCGAAAAAACACGGCTCTCTGGTTATGGTTGAGTCGGTTCTGTCGGTGTAATTTCGGCATAAACCGGTGAAGAGTCTCCTCGTGTTTAAAGAAACTCACCTCAGCTCGCGCTGTAGTCAGTTGAAACCGCAGACACGTAAACGCCTCACACCTACAGGGGCTCTATTTTAGGCAGTAAGCCCCCCAGAGTAAACGGACTGTCCCGTTATACACACCGAGCATACGAACACACTGTTCCCAGGCATAGGTCACAATCACACTTTTCACATGTACACTATCTCACACCCACGCACGGAAAAATAACCCCGTTATTTAGGAAAGTGTATGCGTGTGCGTGGTTGTGTCTTACCGTCTCGTGCAGATTTCACTGGGTCTGCTCAGAGCTCATCACACTCCCTCAGGTCAGTGTGTCAGTGCTGCATCCACACAACACACATTCCCACACACACAAACACACACACTCAAGGACCAAAGACACAACGGTGGAGATGATGGCGGAGGAGCGGCCAACAAGTGCTGCCTTTAAGTACTGTCGGAAAAAAGGGATAACCTTACAACAGGTTACACCACAGTGTTACAGGTTTTTTTTTCAGGGTTTGTCCAAGCAGTTGTCACATTTTCAAAACTGTAAACACAGTAAGCACAGCATCGGTCTTTTGTGGCCATACCACTCACGCAAATTGATCATGTGACCAAATATTAACTGTCAGATATGTTTAAAGTGGATTTAATCTCTTTGTAAAGCACTTTGTGATTTTGGGGCAAAAAGAGAAAAAAAACTCCAAGGCACTCCTTCACACTATTAAAATGCCTATATTAAAACAGGAACAAACTTTGAGGAATTTCCTGCATCAAGCATTCATCAGGAAGTCATACAAACAGATGTTAGGCTGTAGTAGGTCCTTTTTTCAAGGGGTGCTCCACAAATAGGGAGTTGCCACTTTGGCTTAGACTAGACAAAAAAGAGGAAAACCAGTCTCATGCTGTTCCAGTACCCTACAACTTAAACTTCTATTACTGCCACAAGTATTTTCCTTCTAAACTGTGGATAAATTCCTTTTAAATACACTCATTTCTTCTACAGCTTCTGCAAATGCTACTACAATTATAAGGACTTCTTGCAAACATCTGTTTACTCTACTACAGCTTAACTACTGTTGCTGCTGATGGTAAAAGTGATGACAAACCCGATAAACAAAGGGTGATGGTAATATGGTAAAATGGTTAAAATGATTGTGATGTTATTAAAAAGTTACTACCAACATCTGTGATACACAGTGTAACCAACACACACGAGAGGTGCACATCTTTAATACACAGTGACACACGCACCTCTTTTGTTCAGATACACATTCAGCAGCATAAAAGTGAGTCAGAGGAACTTCTTCTGATGATTTCGGTCTAGACTCTGTGTCATCTGTACTGATGTCTACATCTGTACAATAAGGACGCTCAGGCTGCTCTTCAGATCTCACCCTGTCTCCTGTGCATTGATTTTGCTCCATACTACACATATTTTCCACAGCAATGGGTAATAATGATGGTTTTGAGATACTCCAATAGTTTGTTTCTATTTTTCTGTCTATCTGTCCTCTATTTTCAGGAAGAGAATCACATTCACAGTTAGATATTTATCTCAGTGTTCACAGTGATGACTTTGTCAAGTTTTTAGAAGAAGTAGATAATACTTACGATTAATGATGTACCTCTTCTCTCCTTATGATAAACATGTATTTGAAAATGATTATTTACAGATTTAAAGATTGAGCAGTCTATTCATGTTTCAATAAAATCCCCATAAACATTTTTAATATAAGATATGTAACTTTGTTGTAAAGTTTTATCCTGTTTCCTGAGACCAGGGGTGTCAAACTCAACCACAGCAAGGGCCATAATCTGGATTTAGGTCTAACCTGAGGGCCAAACAGGGTCAACATTTCACCAAAACTGTCAACCTCCTTTTCAAAAAAATATGGAACAAAAATAGCAATGATAATAAATCATTTGGAAAGTCAAAAAAGATTAAAAAAAAAGATAAGTTTAAAGGCAATCTGAGACAGAATATTTTTTTATTCTATTTTTATTTATTAGATCAGAGCATGATATTAAAAAAAAGAAAAATAATGCATTTAAAGAGCTAATACACGAGAAGAACGATGAAATCAGGTTTAAACGGTCAAAATATAACTTAAAATTTAAAACTGGAATCTAAAGTATGAAATGACACAAGTCTAAATAATGAGTTATAAGTCCGGCCCCTGGGCCTGAGTTTGACACCTGTGCCTTAGACAGTCTGGATTCATGAACACTGAGTGTGAAGCTCAATGGCGCTTTCTGCAGGTCATAAGGGCTCATCACAGTCTGTAAGAACCCAACAGGTAAAATAAACAGTAATGGAAAAATCATCATCCTTTTGATATGTTTATATTTTCAATATCTAAATGTGAGTTTACATTCTGACAGACATAATTATAATTATAATAATAATAATTTAATAATTATTTTTTACTGTATATCTAAATATAGACTCATTCTAGATTAACTGACACATAAACAGGATGAAACTTTAACTTCCTTTTACATGAACATGCATGAAACATACAGTTTACCTGTAGGGGAGTGGAGGAGGGGAAGGAGGGGTGAGGGGGGCGAGGATTTATCGTCCTGGAAACTGTGTCTCTAATCCGTTCTTAGAGGATGAGGCTTAAAGAGAGTCCAGGTTGTGTGTCAGACATTTACACACACTCACACACACTCTCAGGACAAACGCACACCTGTTACACTGATTCATTTTTTTATTTATTGATCTGATTTTGTTTGTTTGTTTTGTTGATGGTTTGACTGTGAATGTGTGTGTATATATATGTGTGTGTGTGTGCAGAGACAGCTGTCCTCTCTCAGCCTGTGCGGTCATGTGTGTGCGTGTGTTCAAGTGTGTGTGAGTGTGTGTGATCAGATCAATCAGGAGGACATTTTAAAGCTCAGCGCTCCTCTTTCTGATTCTTTAGTTTCTTTATTTTTTATTTTTGTTTTTATTTTGATCGCAGACGGGACGCCATGAAGGACCGGCTGGCTCAGCTGAAGGAGGTAAACACTGTTTATTTATCTTTATATGTTTACCTGATGAACACCTGTTGCTGCTAACATACACACAGAGAGGCCTGCTGATTGTCTGCTATATGTTAGTTATCATTTGGAGTGTGTGGGTGAGTGTGTGTGTATATAGCCGACAGTGTGCTAAATAAGGTTGTTTCTGACAGACAGGGTCAAATATCAGGTCGGTGTGCGAACATGTTCATTATCAGACAGAGTCAAATATTTAGTACGTGGACAAGGCTGTCAGGATCATTCGGTTCAGACTGGCTGAGCTGCCTTTGATATCTTTGAAGAGACTCATAATAATCATCAACTCACTTTGACCCTCTATCAAGGAAATCAGGTATATTGAACAGTAGTTTGAGTCAGAAGTGTGTCTGTGTGTTTGTGTGTGTGCGGTGGAGATGACCCTGCGTGTCCTCACGAGATGCTGTCACACACCCTGACGCTCTGGGTGTAACAGGTCATGTGATCATGTGACCGTTACAGCGTAACAGTAAATTACAGTCGCTTAAACAGACAGTTTAATTCAAACTTAGCAGCTAATTAAACATGAATACACTGATTCATAAACTGTATGTGTGTGTGTTTAGACAGCAGTTAGCTGAAAGTCTATCTATCTATCTATCTATCTATCTATCTATCTATCTATCTGATGCACTGAAGGATTGTGAGAGTTCTAGTTTAGTTGTAGCTGAGCAAATGAAACATGAAGACATACACTCAAAGGACACACTGGTTTAGTGATAAACTCTTACTGTCTGCTCGTGATTGTGCTGGGATATTTATGCATGTTTTCACAGTGATGATTTTCTCTTCTGAAATCAGTGTATCTAAACACAAAGTTTTTTTTTTTTATCACTCTGACGTCCATTTTTTTTAAATTCATTTATTTATCTATTTTTATTGATCTTTTGGTCAGACACATACTGAGAAAAACATATACATTTATCAGTTAAAAAAAACTGAAATATATTGTGTCTTTTTCTCCTTTTTTTTTCAGTCTGTCACATCTTTTTCTCTCATACTTTAACTTTACAAACAAGAACACGTATTCTAAACACAAATATGAGTCTGCAGTCCAGCAAAAACATACAAACAAACCAGACTTACACCAAAAAAATAAAAATAAAAATAATAATACTCTTAGGAAGTCTATGTAGTATACATCCATACAGTGGAATACAGCATCCTGCATTAAAAACATACAAAAAAGAATTTATTATATGCAGAGGTAGGCAGTGTCAATCTCTCACATCCCACAATTGAGCTAGGAATGGGCCCCATATTTCATTAAACAGATCCTCCCTACCAGCCGCTCTATAAGAGATCCGCTCTGACGTCCGTTTTTTTAAAACCCCTGCTCCATAAGAATTGACATGCTCTGTGAAATGTTGATATTAGTCAGGGAAATCTAATCTGACATTCTTTTTGGAAATCTATCTCTATGAGACTACCAGGTCTGTGCAGCAAAGAGCGGCGATGCCAATGACTCATTTTCACAACAAGCTGCAGAATTGTATGAGAAAGCAGAGCTGTAATATCATAGGACACATCATATATGATTTTTCTGTGTGTGTGCGTGTGTGTGATTTACAGAAGAGTGATGGCGGGGATGACATTGTGGTTCCTGTGGAGAGCGAGGCGTTCATGGATGATTTCTTTGCTCAGGTCAGTTTCTCTTCTGCTTTAATGTTTTTTGAGTCACTGTCAGGCATGTTAGCGCTTTTAAGTGATTTTGAAAACTGAGAGCAGACAGGGAGTACAGGGTGGGAGAGGGGGACACAGGATCAGGGAGGGAGTGGAACCTGCAGCACTCTGACCCCTGACAATTGTTTCAGGCTGAAGATATCCGGACAAGCATTGACAAGATCGATGAGAGCGTGGTAGAAATCAAAAAGCTGTACTCCACCATCCTGTCAGCCCCGACGTCTGACCAGAGTAACATGCACACGCCTACACCACACACACACACACACACACACACACACACACACACACATTATTTATAAGGATCAACACTAGTATAACATGCTGTGTCTTTAGAGACCACATCGCAGCAGTGGGAAGTTGTGCTTCATGATTTTATGTCATTATGTCTATCATCAAAACATAATTTTGAATGCATGTTTTTATTGTCTCTGTCATAGATAAATAGATAGATCAAATCTAATCTGATGTTTATGTTGATGTTCTGTCTGTCAGAGACTCAGGACGACCTGGAAGCTCTGACCAACGAGATCAAGAAATCTGCAAACAACGCAAGAAACAAACTCAAGAGTCAGTAACTCAGTCAGTGTGTGTGTATGTGTGCGAGAGAGGGAGAGAGAGAAAAAGAGAGTTCATGTTTACTGTTTAAAAACATTTAGGTTGTTATCACACACCTGGTGCAAAGTGTTTTGTTTGCAGTGTGATTTTCAACCCTGCACTCTTGTCATTTTTACGCCCAGCACCATGTGAGCATTCATAGGTCTGTTTGGCCTAAAATGAGGTGGTCAGAGAAGTGTCTGCGCTTTCTATTCTGTGTTTCTTTAGAGAGTGCATTACAGGATCAAGCGTGCACAAACTATTAATACTGAGAAGCATAGCAGACTCCACTCATGCAGAAGTATGAAATAATCATTCCTGAAATTGAGATTTTTGGAGGTCAGTATTTTTCAGTAAATCTTAATGGAGCTTTCAGTATGTGGCTGATTTTAGGGAGGACAGAAAACAAGGACACTGTCACTGCGTCACCTCTGACTTGGGTGCTCTGATTTACTTTGCACAGTGAGCTTGTGTTTGACTGTGAATTTGAGATTATCTAAATAAAATTCTTAATGTTTCTAACCCAAAATTTCCTCTTCCTACCTTTCTATGTGTGTGTGTGTGTGTGTGTGTGTTTCAGGTATTGAACGTCAGTTGGAGTCGAACACAGATGAGAGAGCCTCAGCTGACCTTAGGATACGAAAATCACAGGTCTGCTAACTTTATAATTATAAAACAGTCAAACTACTTTCCAATTGGGTCAAAGCAGTCAATCAAAGTGATTGTGGCAAATGGGAATTCTGGGATTTTTAGCAACTCATTGATGCAAAACAAAAACAAAAAACTGGATTATTTAATGGCTGAAGCAGGTCTAACTTCAATAGTCAGTGAAACACACACTGGAATTGTAACTTGTTTTCATCTGTGATGTAACATCAGAAAAAAAAGTACAAAGTTTTAGGGTTTCTGTGAGTGTCCTCTCAGTCTACCTCCCTCATTAGACAAACAACCTCATCCTGAGACCAGAGGTGTAAAATACTGATATCACATCATTCTATCTGTATTGAAACAGCTGTATGAGTCAGGTCATCCCTTTTAAACCATCTTTCTTGGTTATAAAATCTTACACCATATAGGGCTGTGATGAGATAGTTAATCAAACAGCTTCAAGCTCTTCAACGGGAGCAGCAGGCTGTCTCTGTCACCATAGCCAAGGAGGGTTAATCACAGCAAATGCTCAAATCTCATTAAAACTTTCTCATTAAAAAAGTCAATATTTCATCAAAGGTGCTCACTACAAGATGAATCTTGAAACGATTACTTGTTTTACTCCTTGTCTCAGAGCCCTCATGAGAGTTTCCTTGGTCTATCAACTATTGTACTGCTGAAGACCCTCCAGTTTCCATTTGCTGCCAGTCAATTCAGATTGACTATGTGCACCTAAAAGTGGGCAGAGCTACAACAGTTTTCCTTTAAAGGGGGCAGAGCCACAAATGCTTTAACCAATAAGGGAGCAGAGCCACAACTTCCACACAAAGCACCTGGATGGATTGCTTTAATCCAGTGGTTCTCAAGTGCAGTCCTCGAGGCCCACTGTCCTGCATGTTTCGGATGTTTCCCTGCTCCAACACACCTGATTCAAATAATCAGCTCGTTATCAAGCTCTGTAATGGCTTAATAACGAGCTAATCATTTGAATCAGGTGTGTTGGAGAAGGGAAACATCCAAAACATGCAGGACAGTGGGCCTCGAGGACTGGACTTGAGAACTACTGCTTTAATCTATTCTTCAGAGTTTAGGGGTCAGGGGTCACAGCAATCGATACTTTTATTTTATAGATTTGCAATTGTCGTTCTAAAGGTCGGCTGATGTAATGAATGAGACTCAGTGATTTAATTTCATGCATATTCTGTCTGTGACTGTGTTCAGACTGTCATAAAACCCGTCACATTGACAGCAGATCAAAAATAAATTCATGTTAGTACTGCCTCTCTCCACTAGGCGGCCAAAAATTGCTCTTTATTCACTCTTGTGTTTTGCCTCATCCACTGCTTGACAGTACCTGTGTCCAAATGATCTTAGAGCACTTAGTTACTCTTACTGATTTGTTTCCTCACCTCTAAATCTTTGCATGTGTTGTTCTTGTTCTCGTGTGTACATCCTTTCAGATAAAAGCGTCTGCTGAATGATATTGACATTGCGACATCATAACTATGACTCCTGGTGAATATCTGTGTGTAGATGTGTTCAGAGGCAGAGCATGAACATATGTGTAACCTTGAATGAACACTGAACCTTCAATGTGAGGGTTACAACAATTTCCTGTCACAGACATCTCCTTTGACTAAGACTTCTTGTTGGAGCTTTAGTGGAGAACTTTTATTTTGCATAAACGTTGGTGCCCCCTGTGGACAAAGCAGACATAAGACTGTTGACGGTCAGCATGTCTCTTTTATTGTGAGTCTTTGATAAAAATGTAAAACAGGCTGCTTCTTTGACTGCTCGGTTTATACTCTGCTCTAACCTGTAAACCAACTCTGGCCTCATTTATAGGATCATACTGATTTACAGGTTGATTCAATATCACATGTTAACCTTTTCATTTACACCATTTACACTACATGTGTGTTTATTTTCCCAGCATGCCATTCTGGCTAAGAAGTTTGTGGAGGTGATGACAAAGTACAATGAAGCTCAAGTCGACTTCAGAGACAAGAGCAAAGGACGCATCGCCCGCCAGCTCGAGATCAGTGCGATATTTTTATATCATATTCCCTATTATGCTGTTGATTACTCCATGCTAATTATAACATTAATAATGTCATACATGACCCCATCAGCCAGTGCATGTTTCAGGCATGTGATGTGTCCAACAGTTGTGTGATTCTGTGTTTTGTGTCCATGGCAGCGGGTAAAAGTACGACTGATGATGAGCTGGAGGAGATGTTGGAGGGTGGAAACGCCGCTGTGTTCACAGCGGGGGTGAGAAAACCATGCTTGGCCATGTTTGCATTTTGTCTTTGCTCTAATTTACATTTAGGACTGATTTTAGATGACTAACAAACATGATTAATATCTAAATTTATTAACATAATATGCAAGGTCCAAGCTTATTGAATGACTTGATTGATTAATTTTGCTTCTGACCTGTTCCTTAATGACTAAAATGCCCTCTTTTCTCTGTTTTCACACACTCACAAACATAGATCACGGAGTCTAAGATCAACCAGCAGGCTCTGAATGAGATCGAAGCTCGACACAAAGACATCATGAGGCTGGAGAGCAGCATCAAGGAGCTGCATGATATGTTTGTGGACATCGCCATGCTGGTTGAAAACCAGGTACACACTGTTGGAAAATATGTTGGCAACACACACACACACACACACACACACACACACACACAAATACAACATAGCCCAGAATATAAACTTAACGTGTTCATGCTTGTTGGACATGTGACTGAGAGTTAAACCAGACTGTTACTGAAATCCTGATTGTAATGTTACAAACAGGTGAGTGTGAGTAAGTCCACTGTCTCATCACTGATTGGTTCATACAGCTGAATATGTGATCACATTTATGAAGAGGTCATGTGACCTGAAGGCGTCACAGACTTTGGGCTCTATTTTCGTGTAGGCCCGTGAGGCGGCGGAGGGCAACGAGCCCCGCACAGTTGTATTTTCGTCTGGTGCAGCCCGGCGTACAGCCAGTTTGGTATTTTCGTGGACTGAGGCGCACCGAGATCCGCCAAGCTGGGCGTGGTGGCGTGGCAGGGGGAGGTGTCAACAGAAACAGCGGGCGCAGTGACATTTTCGTGCTCACCACCGGCGTGTAGAGTGCACTGAAAGCTCGCCGATTCAAACCTGGTCAGCTTTCAGCGCAAGCGAAACGCAGCTGGTCTAGGGGTATTTTGGTAGACCGGCGGCGTATCGGCATACGTCACCGATGCCTCACCGGCAGGTTTCCACAGTGTCAGGCACATTTCAGTGCAATAAATAATCATCCACAACTATTAATCTGAGTCAGCACATACATTTAGATCTATATCGATATATTCTGATCTATATCTGATCTGATGAGCGTGTTTGGCACGTGTTTGGACACACAACCTGACCGAATCAACACAGCTGAAACCACATTAAATTAAATTAAATATCTAGTAAATAAACACACATGATGAAGTTAACAAGATATGTAATTCGTCTCCCTCCTTTTCTTTCTTCCTCTTCCTCTTATTTTTCGCACAGCTCGACCCCGACATGTCTCCATGTCCTCTCTCCTTCCTGCTGCAGCTGCGGCTGAACAGATGATTTGTTTCAGTGATCAGATGAGTTATTTACTTTAAGCCTACATACGGATATTATAATATTCAGTTTTGTGGGCCAAATTTATTTTATATGCCAATATCTATGAAAGAAAGAGCCAGGCCACAGAGCGCGATGCGTCATTTACGCACAGATGGTTCCAATTTTAATGCCATTTTCGGAGTCAATGTTGTGATCTGTGCGCACAACCCACCTTTGTCACGTGAGGTTTGAATATGTGCAACTTTATGTGAGTGTCTTTATTTGTGGAAAAGGATGTTTGTCTTACCAGTGGGTCCAACTTTACACACACCAAATCCATCTGTGCTCATATGAGAGAGTGTGGAGGACGCCCAATGCAGCGCTTACAGTGACACTTGTTGAGGAGCTGCCTTCTGTCGCCATCTTGTGGCATTACTGTCTTCAGACATTGATCTCTTTGACAACTTCACGACAATGGTAATACGCCTCGCCGGTGGCGGATTTAAAGGCGAGGAGAGGAGCTTATGTGATTGGTGAAAACAGGTCTCAGCTGTGTTAAATCCACTCCACGCCCTCTCTCCTCCCTCGCTACGACTTACGCCGTTGGGAGGAGCTGAGTTAGGGAGGGGGGATACTTACGCCGGGCTGCGCTGCTCACCAAAATACCAAATTGTGCTTGGGAACGCCTTGTCGGCGGACCTGACTTACGCCGCGCCTGCGGCACGTCTCTGGCGAGGCACGAAAATAGAGCCCCCTGTCTCAATTCAGGGTCTGCACACAAGGTAGTGCACATTTACAGTGTGCATGACATTATCACGTGGTGCTAAGGGTGTCCAATTTCACTCGCGATTCTGAGGGCGTTCAAAATGCAGGCCCAAAACCACCCTGTCCCTGCCCCTTTTACAAGGGTGCATCCTTGCGCACTTTGTGGTCTTGGGTTCACCATAATTCCTTGCATGGTGCTTTACAGTTGTGCATTTCGAGTGAGATGTCAGACTCGCTTGGAGGCACAGCGCCTCTTCAAAGAGTCAGCTCAGGCTCCAAAAGTGCATGATCTCTTAACTCACTAATATCTGCACCTGCAAACCAAATATTATACTCTTTAGAAAAGAACTGATCCTCTATGCTACCACAATTAAAAACATTAGAAATAAAAAGTCTGATAAAACATATGCCATCATGGAGAAATCGATCTGTAAAGTCCTTTCCTCTTTTTGGTTGTTACTTTGTTGTTTGTTGTATATGGTAACCTCAGTGTGTTTATCAGGCTGTATTGTTTTGTGTGCAAAAACAGTTTGGGTCTCTGTAGCTCATTTTTCTGTTCATGACACCTGTACAGACTGAATTTATTGAGAACTCACCTGGTTTCCTGACTCCTCTTCCTCCATCTCCTCTTTTCCTCTCTGTCTCTTCCCAAGGGAGGAATGATTGACAGGATTGAGAGTAATATGGACCAATCCGTGGGCTTCGTGGAGCGGGCAGTTGCTGACACCAAGAAGGCAGCAAAGTTCCAGCAAGAAGCACGCAGGGTAAGTCCAGACAGACACACACACACACACACACACACACACACACACACACACACACACACACACACACACACACAGGTGAACATCTCACTTCGACATAAGGAGAAGAAATTTCGCTGTGAATCAACATCCATAATGATGATTTTAATAATGATGATGAATGTGATGATGATTACGATAATGATGAAAGTGAGTATGCTGATGATTATGATGATGATGATAGTGATGATTGTGATCATGATAATGATGATGAGTGTGATAATGATTATGATGATTACGATTACGATGATTATGATGATGATAGTGATGATCATTTTGATGATTAATGTGATGATTATGATAATGATGAAAGTGATTATGGTGTTGATTGTAATGTTGATGATGAAAGTGATGATGATGATGATGATGATGATGATGATGATGATGATAGTTATCATGATAAAGATTATGGTAGTGACGCTGCTTTACGATGATTATGATGAGTATTAATATGATGATCATAGTGATGATTGTGATTATATTAATGATGATAAATGCTTAAATGATTATGATGATGATGATTACGATGATGATGATAGTGTCGATGATGATTATGATGATAATGATGATTATAATGATGATGATGAACGTGATGATGATTATAATAATGATGATAGTGATTATGCTGATGATTATGATGATGATTATGATGATAGTGATGGTGATTGCATTTCTTTTCTTTCTGGCTCTCTCTACAGAAACAAATGATGATTTTCTGCTGCTGTGTCATTCTGGCGCTTATCCTCGGCTCCTTCCTGTACAGCTTTATCAAATAAACAGCTGGACAAACCTGAGGACACCTGGAAAAACTAGAGGTCACCTGGACGCACCTCTTGTGATAGTTAGTAGACATAGTTTGATTGACAAGTGATGAAGACTAAATTTGATGGACAGGTGATGTAGCCTTTGCTTGGTTGGCAAGTTACATAGACTCAGTTTCATTGACAGGTGATGTAGACACAGTTTGATTGACAGGTAGTAGTTAGTAGGCTGTGTTTCCCCCGTTGCTTCATTCAACACACATATTTTGCCTTGGGGGTGTTCAACAGTTTTAGATCTTTGTTGTTTTTGTTTGTAACAGACATTTTTATTGCGTGTGTGCAAGTATGTGTGTGTGTTTGTGTGTGTGTGTGTGTGTGTGTGTGTGTGTGTGTGTATGTGTGTGTGTGTTCCCCCTCCTTTTTTAAAGACTCCAGCTGTTTCCAAAGAGCTTGTTCTTGTTACTCATTGTGGTTCCTCAGTTTTCTGTCCTCACCAATTGCTTTTCACACTCAGACACACGCAAATACATACATAAACTCACTTACTTAAGTATGGACACAATTTGAAACCTTTTAACACACTGTACTAGTGCACTAGCCCCAGAAATGTTGGTTTATGTAATTTGGGACAACTCCAGCTGAAATGTGAGATTCTGGTTTAAGGCTTAGAAGTACTTGAATTTGTACTGACCAAACAGATTTGGAAAACTATCCATGTTGTATGCGTACCTTTTTAAAGATCATAAGATAATAAATATGCCATAATTTTAAATATTTCACTGAATAGACAGACATAAAAATTCAAACACTAATCCTACATTAACGTAAGGTTAAAGTGTGAGACTTCCTTCTTTTCCTCATTAAAGCTCTATAAGTGAAATTTTGGTTTACCACAAATCTCAGTTTTGGAGTCACAGTTCAGTTTATCTTCCTTGCTGTTTGTTTGGAACTCAACAAGCTTTCCTTTTCCAGCAAAAATTATTAAGCTTTGCAGGCCTGTTATTTTTTTTTTTTCACAACATTTTGGATGAAACATTAAAATACAGTATATTGAAATAAAATTCAATTTAGCCATCTGCTGCAAATGTCCATTAAAGCTACAGCAGATGTCTCCAGCAGTTTTTGTTTGTTCACAAAGGGCTGGTGAGACTTCACTGCTGAAATGTGGATGAGAAGGATTTTTTTTATATTGGGACTTTTTAACCTTTAACGTGTTTAAACCCTGTGTTCTCAAAAAATTTAAAAAAAATTGATGACAGTTGTAGATCTGCTGCCATAAAAACACCAACACTCTTTGTCATTGTTCTGGATTACCAGGTAAAGGCTGTTAAAATGTCAGAGGCAGCTACAGTTGAAAAATAATGTCTTCTTTCCTTGTGGCATTGACGTTTCACGTCCATTTGGTGCTTCAAATGGAATAACAAGTTGAGGATCTTTCCAGTTAAGGACCCTCGGTGACAAAATAGTTTTTGTCTTAATAGCTCAGAGCACCAATGTCAACCACAGTACCAAGAAAGTTTTTTTTTTTTTTTTTTTTTTGTTGTAACACATTTGTTTTAAAAATATTAAAATCCCAAGTTTGACAGGAAAGTACATTATAGCTGTTAGTAAGAAGGCTCAAGGTCTGGGAACACCTGGTGACCTCATCAGTGCCGCCTGACATGTGAACACAAATTCAGGACAGACATTTTCACAATATGTGGAGCAGTTTTCAGCCCCTCATCATCGTCTTTATCAGATCTGACCTCATCTTCATCATCTCTGAACTCATCTTTAAACCTTTCATCATCTCCTTCAGCTTCAGCTCTTAAACTTGCAGTAAAATAATTCACACAGTCATAGAAGATGCTTAATATCAGCTCACCACTGTTCTTGAGATTAATGTTTAAAGGCAGTATCAGAAGCTTCTCAGACTCAGATAACTGGTCTCCCTCTCTGAGTAAAGAAACTTGTCTGTGTGAAGGTGTGCATTCAGAGCGGCGTGCTGGAAACAAAGACTGACAGTTGATGGCCATGTTTGACAGAACTCACTGTTTCTGTTCACATCTATCTTGGTGTTAATAACTGTTTTATTTCATGTTATAGGCTGTGATATTTGCTGTAGAGAGAGTTATAATGTGTTTCTGCTAAAATCTTTCAGGCCTGTGACTCTGTAGTGCTTTATAATCTCTGCTGTAACACAAGGTCTTTTGTCTTTTTGGTCTTTGTTAATTTGAATAAATCAAAACGTGACTTTTATTTCTCTACTGTGATAATTTACCTGTTAATTTAAATGTTAGCATAGTTTGTCTTTCGTATGTTTTAGCTCTTCTTTCATAATGTTGATTTTATTATAACAATATCAATGCTGTTAAAATCGCCTCCGCTCGACGAGTCTCTCTCGCTCGCCGTAGTCTCCCTAACAGACACACATCATCCACCAATCACAGAACATATGACTTATTCTCCGGCCAATCAGCGCTCAGCAGCTCAGAGCACACGTCCTTTTATGGAAATGCAGGCACTTCCTCGTAGCGGTGAGGTGTTCAGCGTGTCCCCGGACTGAGGTGAGTCTGAGGCGGCGACAGAGAACGCGGGAGGTCGGCGGTGATCCCGGGCAGTCGGAGCGGAGAGCGGGGGGGCGGAACCTGTGACGATGAGGGTGAGGGTAACAAACAGGTTATTATAGAGCTAACTGAAGCTAACAGGCTAACAGCACCATGACTTGTTTCTTTGGGGAAAGGGGCGGGGAAATGCGTCATACTGTCACCTGACTGGATACTCTTAATGATTGACAGATCGTCGGTACCGTAAACTATGCGTTAAAGTCACATCAACCAATCACATGTGAGATCCTTTTAAAACTGTGCTGCTATTGGCTGCATTACAGCGTTTCCGCGTGTCTATTGATAACGTTTATCCAATCATAGTGCCTAGTTTACGCATGTGACTGACAATGCTGTCGTCCAATGAACACACCCGTAGCGGGCCTCCGATTGGACTATTGTGTGTTTCTGGGCGGGACTTGGTGATGTTTTGTGTGAGGGTGGAAAATGGCGGCTGTTCGGAGAGCGTATTAACTTTAAACCAGAGCAGAAGAGAAAGAACCGAACGGGAGGTTAAAATCGTGGTTAAGCCTAATTTCTGAGTGTTTTTATTCGGGAGATAACCAGGTCAATGGAGATATTTCTTTCCGGTGGAGCGGTATTCATACCGAAGAAGCTAACATTAGCCGGTCACGGTGTGGAGGGAACAAAGATCGTGTATTCAGACAGATTAGTTCAATATTTTTGATTAAATTTTTATTTTTTGATACTTTGCTGCAGCTCTGTACAGTTAATTACTGTTTTTACTCCGTTTCTGTTAATCTGGTTTACATCTACCTGTTTTATCTAGGTTAAAACGACTTTGGGGTTAATAATAATAATGGTTTTTACATGTGAGCAGCTCCTCTGGTTAACTGGTTAAAAGTTAGTTTTAGTTAGTGATCTGGGAGTCAAACAAGCAGTCTGTCCCTGTTCTGATGGAGCCCACTCAGGGTCCGACTCTGCCACTTATGGTTCTCCTTTAGTCCGTGTTGTTATGATGGATGACTCAAAGCCTCGGTACAGTAAACGGCTGGTAAGTTTGGACAGTGTCCATCCCTATAACTGCCCCTAAAAGTCAAATGTTGACAGAACATTGAAAATAATCTATATTTGATTCAATGTGGTGCGAAGACAACATATAGGATGTTGCAGATGAATAATGTCTGCACATTTGTAATTTGATACATGTGTCTTAGAAGTAGTTGTAGACAATGAAATTCACTCATTCTTTCACATTTGACACTCAGGAACATTATTCTTTAACTGTTGAACTATTAGCTCACACAGTCTCTCACAGAGAGGTTAACCTCCTCCCATCTTTTCCTCTGAGAGACTTAGCCCTTCTTGAATGTCTTTTTCATACCCAGTCTAGTACTTAGCTGTTGGAAATTAAACTCATTAGTTGGTGTTTATTAGCATTACACAACCTTTTACCTGTTTAGTTATTCTTCCAACAACTTTTTGGAAACAAGTTGCTGCCGTCAGATTTCAAAAGACAGCATTGACAGTGTTATTGGCGAGTGTATGAAGTCTCCATCTTTACACCAAGGACACACTAAGCCAGTGGTTCTCAAGTCCAGTCCTCGAGGCCCACTGTCCTCCATGTTTTGGCTGTTTCCCTGCTCCAACACACCTGATTCAAATGATCAGCTCGTTACTAAGCCATTACAGAGCGTGATAACGAGCTGATCATTTGAATCAGGTGTGTTGGAGCAGGGAAACATCCAAAACATGCAGGAAAGTAGGCCTCGAGAACTGGACTTGAGAACCACTGCACTTAGCAATGATGTTATAACAGGTTGAGTGTCCATGTTTTATTAGAGTTTTAACTGATGTTAGATTTCACCTATTTGATTTAACTACCTTCATGTTACCACCGAACAAACAGTAAACAAATCACTTCATAATCATGATGATAATGATAACAGTAATAATAACAACGACGATCACAATAATAAACACTGATCTTAACAGTTCCTGCTCATTTCAGTCTGTGTGTCATGTTGAACTGATTCTGGTTTTCAGTTTGTTTTGTCTTCATCACTATAATCTCTTCCTATTTTCCCTCACAGCGGGCTGGTACCCGCCGGCGTTACCATGACGACGGCATCTCAGATGAGGAGATTGATGGACGGAGGATGTTTGACCTGGAGGAGAAAGTCAGCAGTCAGAGGTTCAGCTCTGACCGAGTGCTGCGTATGGAGGGCAAAGGTAAGATAGACAGAGAGAAATAAAAAATAAATGAAATCTGTCCATGTCAGACCTCACAGGCAGTGGTGCATGATGGGAAACATGTCTTCTTTTTGTCGGTCAGACCTGACGTACGAGTTTGTGCAGAGAGGAGGACTGAGAGACCCCATTCTGTTTGAGAAACCTGAGGGACTCGGACTCAAGTAGATCTTCATTTCTCTCCTCTTTTTTTTCTCATTTTTTTTCGTCCTGCTTTTTCTTATTGTTTCTGTCAATAATGGTCTCTTTGTTGTGCAGGATGCCTGATCCAGATTTCAGCGTGAACGATGTGAAGATGTTTGTCGGTAAGAGTTCAGACTTCTGTTGATCTGTCCATAGATCAGTGAAATACTCCTTGCTTTGATGAATCTAGACTTGTACATACACACTGTTTGTGACTCTCACAATCAGTTCTAGATCAAACATTCACACTGGGACACTAATCTGCTTGATCCTGAATAGTCACTAAAAACTATCGGCTTGTTTGTTTTCTTCTCCTCTTGAGGACAGACCTGACAGAGCTTGATCTTTTCACTTTCTCTCTCTCTGTCTCTCTTAGGTAGCAGACGTATGATCGATGTGATGGATGTCAACACTCAGAAGGGGACAGAGATGTCCATGGCTCAGTGGACTCGTTACTATGAGACTCCGCCCTGTCAGAGAGAGAAGCTCTACAACGTGATCAGCCTGGAGTTTAGCCACACCAAGCTGGAGACACTCGTACACAGACCCACCACTGTACGCCACACACACAAACACACACAGATACTTCTCTGACATCTCCATCTGATGTCCCAGGTGTTTCTACGAACAGTCAGGGATACAGAGAGCTTGGTGTCCCTGTCTGAACGCTCTGTAATAATCTCCTCTGTCTCGACTTGCACAGGTAGACCTGATAGACTGGGTGGACAACATGTGGCCTCGACATCTGAAGGAGAGACAGCGAGACTCGACCAACTCCATCACTGACATGCAGTATCCTAAAGTGCAGAAGTAAGAGTCTGTGTTCGCTCTGCAGGGGGAAGAATTCACCAGCAGGAATCAGACCCACCTCCTCTTTAACACTGTACCCCTGTGTGTGTGTTCAGGTACTGTTTGATGAGTGTGGAGGGCTGTTACACTGACTTTCACATCGACTTTGGAGGGACATCTGTGTGGTATCACATCTTGAGAGGGACAAAGGTGAGGCACTTTGTCCAACAGACGGTCTGAAACACACTCACTAGTCATTTATGCACAGTGTGTGTATGTGTGTGTTTGACCTGCAGCTGTGTTTGTGTGTGTGTGTCGTCAGGTGTTCTGGCTGATACCGCCTTCCCCTCAGAACCTGGAGCTGTATGAGAACTGGGTTCTGTCAGGCAAACAGGGAGACGTGTTCCTGGGTGACCGAGTGTCGGATTGTCAGAGAATCGAGCTGAAGCAGGGCTGCACCTTCATCATACCCTCAGGTGATCATTGGAAAGAATTCATTTATATTATGTTTATTTATATTTGTTTATCTTCTACCAGCACTGCATCTCACCACACATTCAGGTAAACAGTCATTTATTCATTTAAATAATTCTCCACCGTCATTATACCACTTCTTCTGTAGTGAATATTCAGTGACTTTTTTGACTGAAGGACTTAAGTTATCCCTCACTTTTGGAAAAACCCTCCCTTCCACCACATGGCCTAAACACACACACACACACACACACACACACACACACACACACACACACACACAGTGCACTTTCAGGGTTATATTTGTAACAGTGTGTGTTTGTATGTGTATGCTCAGGCTGGATCCATGCTGTCTACACTCCTGTGGACTCCATGGTGTTTGGAGGAAACTTCCTCCACAGCTTCAACATCCCCATGCAGCTCAACATCTGTAACATCGAGGACAGGACGCGGGTATGAGTGCACACCAACACACATCCACACACTGCTTAATGCTGATCATACATACCTAGACTATGCATTAACTCTCCCTTCTCCTGGTCTTCAGGTCCCGGTGAAGTTTCGTTACCCGTTCTACTACGAGATGTGCTGGTACGTGTTGGAGCGTTACGTGTTCAGCCTGACGAAGACGTCCTACCTAACACCTGAGTTCCAGAAACACTCTTTGGGCATCGGTAGGAGCTGGAGCACGACCTCATGATGGGTCACCAGTTAATTACTTACATGGTCTTAAGCCTGTGTGTGTGACTGAGTCCTCTGTGGTTCAGGTCTAAAGAAGCCGGCTTGCTCTGATGCAGCCTCCGAGCAGGTGAAGGAGGAGGAGAAGGAGGAGGAGGAAGAGGAGGAGGTGACGGCAGACAGAGTTAATGTAACTCCTCTGGAACTCGAGGGACTCTGCAACCTGCTGGGAAAACTGGAAGCTCTGCCCTCCAACAAGAAGTGTGTCCCTGCTGGAATACACAACGCTCCAGCCCTTATCACACACATTAAGGTATTTCTGAGCGCGTGTGTGTGCGTGTGTCTCATGCGAATGTGTGCGTGTACACCATCACTGATGTACCTCATGTCTAAATCTGATGTCTGCAGGCTCTGCTGAAGGAGCACGCCAATGACAACCCCAAACTGTCGTACACGGGGAAGCCAATCGTCAGGTGGCCAAAGAGGGTAAGCAGACCCACACTGAGGAGGAGGAGAAGGAAGGAGGAGCAAGAGTTAAAACCAGGGAGGCACAGTGTTGCTTATGTATTTAGCTGGTTTGCTGGTTCTTAGTTATTCACACACAAGCCAGCAATAAATGGCAGCATAGTTGAATAAAAGGTACTTTGAAGTTTGGTCAACACACTGTAAAATGTCTGCTTGCAAAGCTGATTGATCGAAGAGCAGAGCCACAATCCTTTAATTTGACCTCTAACTGCACCAACAGAAAATTTCTGTTTTGATCAAATGTTGTTAGTCTGAGTTTGAAAGTCTCTGTCTTGGGGATAAATCAAGAAAAACAAGTTAAATTTGAATGCAGGAGAGACTTTGTGCTCTTTACAATGAAGTAAATTGTGTGGGTATTTACTGGTATTGATATTTGCATCAGCAAAAATGAGTTTAAAAATATCAGTCTATTGGATTTATATATTTTTTATTGGATATTTGCAAAAATCCAATATCCTGGATCTATGATTATGTCACAACACGATTGTAAAAAGTGTCGATGTGAAAAACAGCATCACCTTTTATTAAAACAGTTTCTAAGTTTATGAAGCGTTAAATGATGAAATTAAGTCAAGCCACATCAAGGTCACATTGAGGAACTTATTGTTGTAATGTTGCCTTTTTAATGAACGTCAAGTTGTAAAAAGAATTAAATTGTGTTACGACCACTTTATTCATGTGAAAAATGACTAAAAATGTATTTAAATCCTTGGAAAAGTTCTTCTCGTCATGGTCCTCCAAATCCCCTGGTTCAGCTGGAATTTAATACTAACTGTGAAACATTTTCAGCACAATGGTTTTTCAGTTTCTCTGTAAAAAAAAAAAACAACAACAAATCAAATAACATGCTGACTGAATTGTCAGCTGATCACCTGATCCTGGATTCACCTGAGCTCAAACACAGCTCACCTCTTCAGTCACTCTGTGAAGGTACCGAATACTAACTCTGTTGACATACTGTGTCTGCTCCTCCCATCAGCCATCATGGTACCAGCCTCCACCCCCACCTCCTGCCCCTCCTCGGCCCAAACTGGCCTCCACCCCCATCGTCCCCCGCCCCCAGAAACCAGCGTCCTCTATGTCAGTGCTCCGCCGCCGCAGGGTCAGGTAAGGCCAGTTCTGATTTGCTAGAATCAGCAGGTAGAAGTACGTTTGTGTTATTCCTGTAAATGAATCAATAAGTGACCTGCTCAGGTGTGTGACGTTCCAGTGTGTATTACCTTCTCAGTTGTGTTGTTACCTGTGTATGTGCAGGTGTAAGCGGTGTGAGGCATGCATGCGAGCAGAGTGCGGAGAGTGTAATTTCTGCAGAGACATGAAGAAGTTTGGAGGACCAGGAAAACTGAAACAGACCTGTGTGCTCAGACAGTGTCTCTCTGTACGTCACACCTGGATGGCATCGTGTTTTAGGACACATTACTACCTGAGGGTTATCACGTGATATTAACTCAGTACATGTCTCCTCCTCCTCCTTCGATAGCCGGGTCTCCCTCTGTCTGCTGTCTGTGAGATCTGTAAGGAGCCAAACCAGGAGGAGACCGGAGACCCTTCCCTCATCCTAATGGAGTGCTCCAACTGTGCACAGATAGTCCACCCCGCCTGCCTCACGGTAACACACACACACTTACGCGCTCACACCAGCAGATTCAGAGTGTTCACTAACAGTCTATTCAAGCCGACTGTGTTTCCTCTGTTCCAAGGCTCTTCTCAGGCCCCTTACTGTGTCCTTGTCACAAATGATGTGCCACAGCTCCACCACTTTCCTTAGTAATGAGAATACTATTTGTTTGATTAAGGTTTCCTTTATTTGAGGAAATTTACCTGCATGTTAAACATTAAGCATGTCTGTTAGGTCTCTGCTCCACAAACAAAGTAAACATGGTTGGAATCAAGAGTCCTGCTCCTACCTTAGTATCCTTAGTGGACACATACCTTAGTACCCTTAGTGGACACAGACCTTAGTACCCTTAGTGAACACAGACCTTAGTATTCTAAGTGGACACATATCTTAGTACCTTTAGTGGACACTGACCTTAGTACCCTTAGTGAACACAGACCTGAGTATCCTTAGTGGACACAGACCATAGTATCCTAAGTGGACACAGACCTTAGTACCCTTAGTGGACACAGACCTTAGTATCCTTAGTGGACACAGACTATAGTATCCTAAGTGGACACAGACCTTAGTACCCTTAGTGGACACATACCTTGGAACCCTTAGTGGACACAGACCTTAGTATCCTTAGTGGACACATACCTTGGTTTCCTTAGTGCACTCAGACCATAGTATCCTTAGTGGACACATACCTTACTACGCTTAGTGGACACATACATTAGTTTCCTTAGTGGACACAGACCTTAGTTTCCTTAGTGGACACAGACCTTAGTACCTTTATTGGACACATTCATTAGTACCCTCAGTGGACACATATTTTAATGCTGTCAATGAACACAGGCTTAACATTATAGTAAGTCAGATTCTACAAAATCAGGTACTTACTCATGTCTGTTTCCTGTATGTTCTTCTCCTACCTTTGTTTTAATCCTTAATCTCGTAACGCTGTGTGTGTGTGTGTGTGTGTGTGTGTGTGTGTGTGTGTGTGTGTGTGTGTGTGTGTGTGTGTGTGTGTGTGTGTGTGTGTGTGTGTGTGTGTGTGTGTGTGTGTGTGTGTGTGTTTCTCTGTCATGTGCATGTGTGTTTTCAGGTTCAGGGAGAAGGACTGGTGAACAAAGACCTGCCCAGCTGTTGGGAGTGTCCAAAGTGTGTGCAGGGCATCACTGACCCAGAGGTACTCTCTCTCTCTCTCCCCCCCGTCTCTCTCTTAATGTCTCACTCTTGATGTCCCTTTCCCTCTCTCAGTGTTTGAGTCTGTCTTTAACAGCTCCTGTCTGTCTGTCTGTCTGTCCCTCTGTTTTTATGATGTGTGGTTGTTTGGGTTGGTTTACTTCCTGCCTCCTGATTGGTTGATTGTGATGTCAGTCATCAGGCAGTGACGAGTCGTTGGCTTCTGCCCACCAGCAGCACGTCCGTCCCCGGGGGCCCCTGGTCCTCAGGCTGGGCCCCGGACCCTCTGCTGGGGGGTCTGGTCAGGACGGGGAAGTGGTCCGCTGTGGTTTCTTCCCTCCTCCTCCTCCTCCTCTCTCCTGCTGCTCCTCCTCCTCCTCAGCCTCTCTCCTCTTGGTGGCGGCCCCTCTGCCTTCTCAGCCAATCAGCTCGAGACTGGTGAGAGGAGCCGCCTTCTCCACATCCACCCCCACCCCTCTCTGTTGCACCTCTTCCCTTTCTCTTCTTCATCGTCTCACAGAGCTTCTTGCGGCACCCTGTTCTCGTTCTGTTTCTTTCTCCTTCATTTGAAGCTTTGTCAAAGGTGGTTTCCATCCTCATCGACACTGTGCCCCCTTTTCCTCCTGTCACATCTTTTTTCAGACCTCAGTCCTCATCTGTGTTTGGTTTCTCAGATGTTTCTCTTCCTGCTGAGCTGGCGTTTGGTGACTGTTTGACTGAATCTCAGTCAGTTTGAATGATCTTTGTTTTTTATAGAAACAGACTCCACAGCCTCTTCCTCCTAAGGGTGGGGATGAGGATGTCTGTCCGTGAGGGTTGGGCGGTATGACGATATAAAAGTGTCTACCGGTAGAAATTTTGCTATTCCGTTTATACCAGAGAGAGAGAGGGCAGATGTCTGCTGCGTCTCTCTGAGTCAGTGTGTAGTTGTCTGCACTTGCTAACAGGAAAGCCGGAGAGCATCTGTCTGGGTGCGTTTCCGTATATTCACCTGCGTGTCATGCAGAGTTTGTTTGCTTCGTTTGATTGGCCAGGTTTGGGTGCACTCCTTATTATTACCAGCGTGTCCAGCAGACTGATTGGCACAGTTTAGACCGGTGGTTCTCAAGTCCAGTCCTCGAGGCCCACTGTCCTGCATGTGTTGGATGTCTCCCTGCTCCAACACACCTGATTCAAATGATCAGCTCGTTATCAAGCTCTGCAATGCCTTCATAACGAGCTAATCATTTGAATCAGGTGTGTTTAGACGAAGAAGAAACAGCTTCACTGGTCGTCATGGCGGATGTGGAGATTGGTGGCAGTACCGAGCAAACGGAGGCAGCCCAACCCACCTAATTTGAGGAAGAGGAGGAGGAACTCATACCGAAAAGGGCGCGAGTCACGACATCGGTTGCCTGAAAATCCGACACTGACCAAAAAGTAATACTATGCAAAGAGTGTCGTGTGGCTGTCCTTTCTGGAGGAGGAAATACCAGCAACCTCTTCCACCATGTAAAGATAAAACACGCCAAGCTCTATTATGAGCGCCAAAAGATGCGTGGCGCACCCGCCGCACAAAAAACTAAAGCTCCTCTCATACAAAAGAGCTTGGCAGAGTCTTTCGCCAAAGGTACGCCATATGATAAAAAAAATCATTGCAGTTTATAATTGCAGTGACTGAAGCCAGACTGGTCTGACATTTTGTTTGCATTTGTATTGAAATCCGAGCTTACAAAAAAAAGGATTACAAATGCGACAGTGTGGTTATTTTTAAGCCATTAATTGAATTTACAGGGGGAAAAACATACCCTAAAATATATACCGTTACCGTGAATTGAAATTACTCATACCGTGATATAAGATTTTGTTCATACTGCCCAACCCTGCTGACCATTCATCATTGCAGGGACACACTGGTTTCTGTGAGACATGTGTGTGTCTCTGCTGGTCACTCTGTCCGTCTCAGTTTAGTGAAAGAAGGAGAATTCTTCCTGTTTTATTACAGCGACATGACTATACAGCTGGGTCTACTAGGGGCCTCTCTCAGTCAGAGGGTCAGTGGTTTGATCCGCCCCTCTGCAGTCTCATGCTGTTGAGTCCTTGAGGAAAAATTGTGATACCTGAAATGTTAGAACCATAATATCATAAAAAGCAACATGTCTGTCAATGTGTGTGTGTGTGTGTGTGTGTTTGATCCTGTCGATGTTTTTTTTTTTTGGTCGTTTAACACTGTGTGATCTGAAAGAATAGATCTCAGATATTTACAGATCTACAGCTAAAGACCCACTCTGTTGAAAATCTTGTTTTTCTGTTTTTTTTATTTGTTCATATGGCATTTTTCTGATGCTACAGGACATATCATGAGAAAACTAAATAAGAAATTGCTTTTTTGAGTATTTCTTCATTCAAATCGCTGTGAATCTCTGGCAGACCCAAACGGCAGGTTCAGAAACAGTGAGATTTCATACATAAGCAATCCAAGCTCCACACCCCGAGCTCTTAAGAAAGCTAATTATGATATTAGTTTTCATCATGCCTCTAAAGAAATTAGTGTCTGAGAGCTGAATAGCTTTCATGTTACCTGCCACTTCTGCTGCACCGGCAATGTTAGGCTACAAGCTGACATGAAGATGAGTGTGCAGCGCAGCGCTGTCTTCGCCCACGGCTCAGAGGTGAATTGTTAATGCAGGAGAAAAGCCCTTGAAAATGACACAAATAACGCGGTTATTGGTGAAAACCTCATAATCACAATTCAAAGACCACTGAGAACACTTTAAGTAGTAAAAAAAAGGAACGGAGTGGGACTTTAAATGTGTCAAACATGTATAAGGTAACACCACAAACCTCCACTGAGGGCCGTCAGTGCTGCTGTTTGGGTTTGAGAGTCACAGCTGGACTTCACACAGAGCAACGCAGATGTTAATGTGCTGCTGATGTGAAGTGAGATGTTTAAGGACAGAGAACATGAAGATGAACCTGCTCTGTTCTGGTCTGCTTTTAGCATCATAGATGAGGGTCAAATGTAGCAAAAGCTCCTGACATGAAACATCATCATGGGTCCATCTTTGTTACCAGCACGCTAATGTTTGTATTCTTCTTTCTCCTCCTCCTCTCCCTCCTTCAGGCCAAAGGAAATAAGTCTGAGGCTATTCCCGTTGTGAGTTTGTTTTTCTCTATTTCTAAATGCTAATTTTTGGTTTAATTTAATGTTAAACATCCAGTTACTGTCAACTCTTAACTCCCTCTTTCCCCCTGTGCTTCCTTGCATTTTTCCTCCTTCTGTGTCTCCTTACTTCCTACCCTCCTGTTGTACCTTCCTTTCCCCTCTCTTTTTTTCTTCTATGCTTTCCTGCATCCTTTCCTCTCCTTCGTATCTCTCCTCTTGGTCCTGCAGAAGCGCAAGTCTTCGTCCCTGTTGGACGCCCGTATGGCAAAGATTTACCGCAGACAGAGACACAGCCGCGATGGAGACGACTCGGCCAGCGACGACGATGATGAAGGTGAGCGCTGCTAGATCTTTCGTCATGATGGTAAACTTTAAAATATAAAAACAGAATAAAGGAGAGTTTGTAGTGTGACATCTTCTATGTTCATAAATAAAACACATCGAAAACAAAGCATGAAAAAGTTAACCATGTAAAAATAAGAAGAGTATAAAACAGTAATTGAGATTCTGAGTAGAAAATTCTGTTGTCTTCCTCTGTTAGTAGTTTAGCACAGTGGTTCTCAAGTCCAGTCCTCGAGGCCCAGCTGATTCAAATGATCAGCTCGTTATCAAGCTCTGTAATGGCTTAATAACGAGCTGATCATTTGAATCAGGTGTGTTGGCGCAGGGAAACATCCAAAACATGCAGGACAGTGGGCCTCGAGGACTGGACTTGAGAACCACTGTGTTAGCATATTAAAAATCTTGTTAAATGATTATGACAACGTTATAAAGATATTGATAACAGAGTGTTAAGTAGTAAGTAAAATCCTGATGATAAAGATAATACAAACAGAATAAAGATGCTCTAAGTAAATGGTCTGCTGCCTTCTTCTGCCCCTCAGCCTCTCAGAGGAGGAAGATGGCGCTCCACGCTCGAGGGGGGGTCCACTCTGCCAGGAGGGGGTTCAGCGCCAACAGGAGGGGCCTGCTGAGAGGAAGCTCCGCCCATAGAGGGAGCAGGGGCGGGGTCATACCTCCTGGCAGCTCCTCGGTCCTAAAACTGAAGCGAGGGATGGGGGTGAGGGATGGACGCAGGGGGAGGGGGGTGAGGCTGCGGGGGGGATCTAGGATGCAGCGCAGGGGAGACGAGTCGGAGGAGTCCGACGATGAAGACGAGGATGATGAAGAAGAGGAGGAGGAGGAGGAAGAAGAGGAGGACAGCGAGGACGGAGGCAAAGAGCGCCGTCACCGCCGAAGGAGGAGGAGGACTGACGATGACGAGGAGGAGGACAGCGAGGGGCGGGACTATGACCCTGAGGAGGAGGAGCTAGACACACTGGAAGATGACGAGGAGGAGGAGGAGGAGGGCGAGGGGCAGTGGGACTCGGACCCTGAACCCCCAGTCCTCCTGGTGTCAGACCTGAATGACGACCTGCTGAGCGGCTCCTACCTGACCGTGACTCTACAGCGCCCCCACAAGGCCCGGCGGAACAGTGGTGAGCTATGAAGAGTTAATATAAAGAGTATGTTCATAAAATTCAACTGCACATGTTTAAAACATGTTTACACACTGAGTTATACAACATTGGTTTCCAGAAGAGTTAGCATGCTGTAGTTTTAAATGTGATGTTTCTATAAAGTAGTTTCAGGGTCAGTTGCATATGTTGTCTTTGCTCTGTTTTACCTCAAACTATCAGGTTGTGTTTAATCAACATTTTACCCTCCTTCATTGCTCTTTGAAATCTGTGTTAGATGTGCAGTAGTTTTACACCCGTCAATCTGCACCTGTAAAGTCACCTGACTTCTGTCTGCGTATGTTTAGGCTCCATTGTTCCAAAGCTGGAGGCTGCTGTGGGTCAGAGGTCAGGGGGGGCTGCTGCAGGTCAGCAGACTTTTATCCAGAGGAAGACTTTGTCCAAACCCCCAAGACCAAAGAGCTCGGACAGCACAGAGTGTGCTGCACCTCGAGGACCCGGCAGGTACCCGACATAAATTCTAGCTGTTACTTCCACTGCGACTGACTATGACTAGTTCAATCTGTTAAGGGAGTATGGAGGTGACTCTCTCGGAAGTATTCAGTGAACAGAGAGATTCTGATCGTGTCACAAAAAGTCATGCACAACCTGCTCTGTGTGATGTGACAGGCCTCGTCTGCGGGGTAACCATGGAGACAGAGGAACCAGAGGTGGCTCCGGGTCTTCATCAGAGGAGGAGGAGGAGGCCCCCCCACCTTCCTCCTCCCTCTCTCCCCCCTCACTGCTGTCCCTCCCCTCCTTTAAGGACGTAGGGAACGAAGGTGGGGGAGAGAAGGAGGTGTGGGTGTCCGTGTTCAGGTTCCTGGATCGAGCCGAGCTGCTGAACTGCATGACAGTCTGCAAGGCCTGGTATAAGTGGTATGACAAAGACACAGAAACACACACACTCACAAAGAAACACACACTGACACACAATTTAATTCATATACACAAGTTAGACACTAAAGGAATCATCTGTTAATTCACAGATTAACAGACATCATACACATATGTAAGGGGATCAGTTTTCTGCAGCTCTGTGCAGTTTGCTCGTGTTCCGTGTCTGATTGTAAGGAAAGGCTGTCAGCATCTCCTCTCTGTTGCTGAGTCCATCATAAATCAGAGCTGGGTCTGAAGGAGACTGTGGATAACATCTCTGTCCGTGTCCTCAGGAGCTGTGATAAGCGTCTGTGGACCCATGTGGACGTGAGCCGCTGCAGTCCTCTATCCAATCAGTCTCTGGCAGGAATCATCAAACGTCAGCCGTCCTCTCTGGACCTGTCCTGGACTCCACTGGCTAAGAGACAGCTCAACTGTCTGCTCACCAGGCTGCCAGGTACACACACAATAACACACTCACACAGCACGTTTTCTGAGAGAGCAGAGACATGCAGACTGCAGGACACTCAAAAGACTGTTTAGAGAATCGAAAAACTTGTCCCTGACACGGTCCACCCTGTCTGTCTCTGTCTGCAGGTCTGAGGGAGCTGAGGGTGACTGGTCTGTCCTGGTCCTGTCTCTCTGCCCTGGCGTCGCCAACTCTGCCGTGTCTCAGACTGTTGGACCTGCGTTGGTGTGAAGGGATCAGAGACGCTCAGCTCAAAGAGATTGTCCTCCCCCCAGGTCAGGAAAAACACGCAGACACACACAGACACACACTAAAACAGAGAATGAAACTCAGAATGATCTCTCCTTACCCTCCACTTCTCCCTTTGTGCCCCTTCCCTCAGGCCTGGAATCATCCCGCAGCCGTCTGAGGAACATGGTGACGCTGCATCTTGGCGGTCTGGAGTTAAGTGAGGTGTCCCTGCGGCTACTGCAGAGACACATGCCTCAGCTGCAGAGTCTGGACCTGTCCCACTGTAAGGACATCTCTGACTCCTCCATCGCCATGCTGACTGCCGCAGGGACGCACACACGACACAACCTGACCGAGCTCTCTCTGGCAGGTAAGGACACATCACATGACTACGGATGTAACTGTATCGTCCGTATCAGAATAGCATGAGACCTCAAGTGTCTCTGTACCATGGGTAAAGGGAACTAAAGAAACAATCGTCCTGTGTCGAAGACTCTGTTAGACATTTATAAAACCAACCCAAAAATCATCACTCCTCTCTGGTCACATGGATCCCACATTGTTTGATCTCAAACACTTATCCACATTTAGATCCAGACATACATTAGTTATCGAATACAGTTTCTGGTTGATATGTGACTCCCAGCCAACTGGTTAATGTGTGGTGATGGCTGAGCACAGTCTTAGTATTTTTGGGTTTGGCTAAGTACCCTCAACTGTCCACCAGTCAGGTTCATGGTGCTGCTGGCAGAAAGTTACCTCCTCTTCCCACACCAGCTCTGCTTATCCCACCCAAACCTAAACTCTCCAACATTGAACCAGTAATCCAATGTGGGCATCGGTGTTAAAAAGCAGGAAAAAAAAACTAGTTAGGTAACTCAAGATAATCACCTATGCTAACTTTATGATATGACATATTCAGGGTCCTAACCGAGATCTCAGCAGACAGTAAATATCTCACTGACTGTGTGAGCTGTTTACCCCAGTGTGAGGGAATAAGGAACTGTTTCCTGTAGGGCTGGGATGATATAACAATATGCTTTTCTCCCGATTCGATTCCTCTACGATTTTTTTGGATGCCGTTTTGATTTAAATTGCGATCCTACAATATTGTCGATTTTCTCAATCTTTAGTCTGCATTTTTAACACCAGTGAAAGAGTTTAATGATTATGATTGTCTACTGACTATTTCAGGAACCATATTTCCCCAAAAATACACATCACATCTAAGTCAGTTTTTAAGATTTATTCTTGAATTTGAAAAAGTAAATCGATTTTTTAACATAAAAACCTATTTAAAATTTGTAAAACAAAAAATCGCAATATTTATGTCAATCCATTTTTTCTCCCGCCTCTACTTTCCAGTGAGGCTCATTTGCATAGACAGAGGTGTGTTTGGCTCTGAGTGTACAGTTGCTGAATTAAATCACTGCAAACATCACAGAAGCTCAGACGCTTTCTGCTTTCTTCTGTCTCTCTCCTCCTCTCTATACCTCTATCTCTTCTCCCTCTCTCTGCGCCTCCCTGTCTCTCCTCTTTCTGTGTCAGGCTGCACTGAGCTGACAGACACCTGTCTGTCCTACCTGAAGCGTCTGTCCTGTCTGTCTCTGTTGGACCTGAGAGGATGTTCAGATGTGAGCAGACGAGCCTGTGACGCCTTCATCTCTGACCTGTCCCACATCGCTCTCTACTGTATGATGGAGGAGAAGCTCATCCAGCGCATTGACTGACACTCACACACATGGACAGCTCCACTAATGCCAAGCTAAGCTAGACACCAAACACGGACATGTTCGATCAAACAGTGTATTTCCTTTTTCTGTTACTCTGCAGACTCAGAGCTCTGTGTTTAACTGTGAACACATGCACGAAGGTTGTGTGTAAATCTCAGTGTGTGTTCACTGAATGTGTATATTGTATTAGTGTTCATGCTGAATGTTCTTGTACAGTTTATTTTCTGACTGAAAGAATAAAAATTTGTGTTACTGATCAGTGTGTTTGTGCAGGGTTTGTTTTCCTTTGATCTAAGCTGGATATTATAAAAACAGACAATCCTAAGATATTTTTTCTTCCTGTGATTTATATTTGGGTGTAAATGAAAACAGGAATTTAAAACAGATTAATGCTGAGCATTTAAAGCGCTTAAAAACTTGTTTGAAGTTTAAATTACACATGATTATGTCTCCAATCTGGATCCTACAGTTCACTTCAGACTGAGAAGTGTTCAGTTGTAGTCCTTGAAGTTGCAACCAATCTGAAAGCAGGTAAGTCTGTATAGAGAGCAAAAGCAGGAGGAACACAAACCACCATCATGACATCCAGCTCCTGACGATGAATATGATTTTTTTCTCTGTATAAACAGACATCTGCATGAGGGTCATCTTACAATCTGTTCGAGATCAAACATTTACACCAACAAACTTATCTGCTTGACGCTGAGTCACAAAAGACAATCAGTTTTAAGATTTCCTGACTCCCCTGAATGTATCAGAAAGGATGGACCGGAGCTCCACTTAACATTTTCCAAGTTATTTACTTTTCTTCTTGAGGACAGACCTGACAAAGTTGACCTTTATTATTAATCTAATCTGATGCTGGGTCAAAATCAGAGTGAAAAACTGATTCCGGTTGAACCATAGACTGTATGTACTGAGGACAACTTGGTTTCACCTTCCATCATTATACGAATTTGAGGCCGAATTGCTCTCAGTATTTCTGGGATTTTCTCCACTTCCTGGAACCACCACTTGCGCAGTAGATTGTACGCATTCGGCAGGAGAGTCACTGTGATGACGCTCTGTTCTTATCCCCCGGGTGAGCTACACAATCTTCTTACACCCATAGGCTGTATCAAGTGTCAATCACAGAAAAAATGAAACCCCTTATAACTTTTAAAAACGGAGCTGCACAGAAAAAAAGAGGACTTAAGCACAAACCAGTCTTACAGTAACTACATTTCAACATCAGAACCAGGGGGGAGAAAAATGTATAATCCGTGTAATAAACTTCTAGGGATTGCTGGAGGAGGCGGGATTTATGATCTATACTGCTGCGCATCACCAGAGGGTGCTGTTCTCGCGGTGGCTTCACCCAGCAAGGAGGCAGACGGCATCCATTCTATATAGAGACTATGGTCTGAACCAACAGATCGTCTCATAACCAATAAACACACAATCTCTGTTTCACCTTTTATTACAAACAGATCTGTTAATACAAGAAACACAGACATCAGTGTGAGAGAGAATGTGTGTGGGTGTGTATCAGTAGCTCTTGGTGGTTTCGTATGTGTCAGGGAAGGGGAGGCTGATGTGACCACTGCCAGCCACCAGGGGTAGGATTCCTGCATTGGGGACGACATTCCAGGACAGAGTCAGAGTGATGTTCTTATTGGCCCTGCAGGAGAGACAGAAAGGACCGTCAGCCAATCACAGACCAGAGAACATCCAACTGCAATCATCAATCAATTTTACTTTTAATGGTGATGCACAATCAGCTGTAATAATGTTCTTTCATAATGTTCTGAATCTACTCAGTGATGAGAAGACGTACAAGCCCAACATGACAAGTACAAAGTTTCAAAGCCTCTAACCCTGCTCAGAAGAGAGAAGTCTGGGGGAGGGGCTAAGTATGACATACTCCATATTTACGAGATAGAGTTCACAATCAAACAGACAATGAATATAAACATAAACATGAAATAAATAATGACCAATCTGCGGGTGAGATGATTCTGATGGCTCTAATCAGGACACAGAATAAACGGAGTACCGGTGGTTTTCTTCATTTTCCACACAGCTCTGACTGAGATTTCAGATGCTGTGCAGAAAACAGTGTTCAAGATCACAGACTATCCACAACCACAGATTTATGTCCATACACCTGAGTCTCACCTGAGCCCGTTACCATCATCGAAGAAGAAATACTTGGACTTCATGTCTCTGAGGTTCAGCTTGGTGTTTTCACCCCTTAAGACGATTTTATCCCAGAGGACCACCTGGTTCAAAGACTGACACAAACACACAGATGTGATCATCAGTTAATAGTCTCTCTGTTGTTCCATGTTGTTAATAATCTCAGTGTGTATTTAGTCTAAACCTGGAGCAGAGTTTCTCTTAAGCCCTGTCCACACGCAGCCGGGTATTTGCTAAAACGAATATATTTTTAGACGTTTTGGCCTGCCGTCCACACGAAACCGTGGGATTACGTCATTAAAAACTGTGCTTTTGGAAAACTCTGGCCAAAGTGAACATTACAGAAAACTCAGGTTATGCATTTGAGCGTGGACATAGAAAACCAGTTTTAAATTCCCAAACGTAATTGTGCGCGACATCCCATAAATAAACATCAGTAGACAGCGCAGTTAAGTATATATTTTTGAGGAGCAAAGGAGAAGGAGTGCTTTGCTGTCACTTTTTCTCCACCAAATAACCCTTCCTCCACCTTTCTTGTGTCTTTTTGACCTAAGTCTACACAAACAAACTACACAACGCTATGCTTTATGTTTGGGGAAGTGACGACGAGAAAGGGAAGCTTGCTCTGATTGGATAGAATGGGTCTAACTTTTCAGCAGATACTACCAACTCCAGGTCTGGCATGCCTAAAACCGTGGTCACTAGCATATTTATGCGGTTTGGTATGGATGGGATTTTATTTGAGAACGATTACTATTGATTATTGTGTGTACGTTACTGTTTTTTAAACGGAGGAGGTTGAATATTTGTTTATAAAAATACCCGGTTATGTGTGTACAAGGTCTCAGACAGACTGTTCCTGCTGCTGCTGGTGGTGGTGGAGGTGGATCATATATAAATGATTCTGTCACATCTTCCTTTTCATCTTGCCAAAAGCTCAATTTGTGTAATAATACGCATATTGGGAGTTCAGACTGTTATTGTTCTTGTGGATCATGTGACTGAGTTTAGAGTGGACACAAGTGTGTGTGTGTGTGTGTGTGTGTGTGTGTGTGTGTGTGTGTGTGTGTGTGTGTGTGTGTGTGTGTGTGTGTGTGTGTGTGTGTTTCCCCTCACGTTGCTCTTAGTGGCGTACTCTGCTGACAGATAGAGGAACAGCTGTTTGACGTTCCAGTCAAAGATGGGCTGAAGATGTGGAACTGGTTAAAGACCAACAATAACACTGATAAACACACAGAGAGATGCTTCCTGCAGCTGACCCTGTGCTTCATAAATTCATACATCACTGTTTATCGTGTGGCTGTTTGATTCATTTTGTTAAAATTGTTTAAAATGCGATTTTTCTCTGGATCTCTGAGGAGACTCAGTCTGACACACTTTCAGCTGTTTAATGTGTTTTAATGTTTTCAATAAACTGCTGATAGATTTTATTGAAACATTGATTTCTTTCACTCATCTAGAGATTCATTTCATTTCATTTTTATTTGCTTTCAAACTCTGCCTTAGTCTGCCTTTAAGAACAAAACTTTCTGAACTTCACAAAGTTTAGTCATGTTTATGAAACTTCAGCAAACTCAGAGAAACTTAATTTCATTTTTAAACTTAAAAACAAAAAGCGGAGTGACACGTTTCTGTAATTACTAAAATCATTTTTCTGCATTTCATCAAAGGATATCAGCTGAGAGGTCAAAGGTGACGAAGCCAAGGTCACTGCGCTCTCTGGGACCCGTGAAATCATCCACGTTCTTCCTGTGAGACACATGAGGAGACACAAGGAAGAATACCGTGAGGAACATCAGGTGAAAAATGAGGAAACACACGATGGACATACAAGGAGACACATTAGGAGACCAATGAGGAGACACATGATGACATACGAGGAGACACGTTAGAAGACAAATGAGGAGACATATCAGAAATACATCGGGAAACAAATGAAGAGACATATTAGGAGCCATGAAACGACAAATGAGGAGACAAAAGGTGAGACTCGTTAAGAGACACATAAGGCAAAATAAGGAGACACATGAGGAGATAAACAAGGAGACAAATGAGGGAAAAACATTAGGAAATTTGAGGAGACACAAGGAGAAATATGAGGGGACACATCAGGAGACAAATTAAGTGACACATTAGGACACAAACAAGGAGAGACATATTAGGACACAAACAAGGAGACATATTAGGAGTCATGAAAAGACAAACGAGGAGAGACATCAGGAAACAAATAAGGACACATATGGGACAGATGAGGATATACAAGAGACAAGAGAGGACAGGTCCAGAGACACATAAGAAGATATATGAGGAGACAAATAAGGAGATGCATGAGGAGACACAAAAAGAGACAAATGAGTAGACATATGAGGAGACATAGGAAGGAGACAGGAAGTGAGATATTAGAAGACACGTGAGCAAACGTATGGAAACACATTAGGGCACAAGATCTGTGAAAAGCAGCATGCTATAATTCAAATTTTCTTGAACAGCATAGAAGAAACTGATTATTTTATATGATATCTGTTCAAATCGCACCTACAGGAAATATGACCCCTCTGCTCTGTGGTCACACATTGAAACAGGAACACTTTACATCATAACACCTGCAGACTGATTTGCACCCGTTTGTCTGAACCGTCTTTGAACTGCTCACAGTCCTTCTGGGTGATAATAGGATTTATAATCTGCTAAACAACATCATTCAATACAAAGATAACATACACAGACTGTGTTCATAAGGTAACTGAGCCGACAGCTGTTTGACACGGAGACTCTGCAGACCTGGTTATAGACAAAGACTGTCTGCATTCAAACTCTGATCAATATCACTGAGATATAACAGCAGAGGAACAGGTGTGAAGTACAGCTGTGTGTGCATGTTTGTGCGCGTGTGTGAGTGTCTTACAGCAGGACTCTGGACACCTGGATGTGGACAGGGACTCTGCGGTCTTTGAAAGCGGTGGTGATGAAGCAGCCGAAGGTAAGAGCCGCCATGACGGACAGAGAGAAAGCGAAGAGGGAGTTCGCTCTGGAGAGGACCGTATTCATGTCTGCGCACACCGAGGGTAGAAATAAACTGAAATAAATTTATAAAAATATTAATATAATTAGACTCAGAGAGAGCAGGCTAACGCTAAAAGCCTCTGTTCACACTCCGGAAGAGTCACACTATCATAGGTTACGATAACTTCCTGTAAGTCACTTCCAAAATAAAAGCATTACCATTTAAAACGAAGGCCATGCCTAAATATAGAAAGAAAATACTGCAGAAAAATAATTACAGACCACACTTAGTTATAAATATCTTAGATGAAGGCTTTTATCTGTATCATGATTCACCTGCTATACTTTCGTTGTTAAAATCGTTTTATTTTTTAGAGCCACCAAATTAACTTCTGCTTTGTATGTTTCCGATTTAACTTGACGAGTCAGAAAACAGGAAATGATTTGAAACCCAAACGATGAGTAAGCGGAAGAAGATTTTTCTAGAAAAACTTTATTAATATCAGGTAAGGAACAGTAGGCTGTGGTATATTATTAATATAAAATTGCCCCAACAGCTGATATTCATTGCAGAGTCTGTATATTGATTGCTCAGCATTTTACCGAGAAATACTAAGTTAAAGCCTTGGATGTCCATTCTGAAGCTGTTTATAGTTGGGTAAAGGTGTTTAGAGCAGTGGTTCTCAACTGGTCTCACTCTGGGACCCACATTTTACCATGGTCCTTAAGTTGCGACCCACTTTTATAGAATTCAAACAAAGCAAATTTATTATTATTAATAATAAATAAATAAATAAATAAAAAATTCTAATCTTTAACATATATCCACTTGTTTTATTGAGTAAAGTGCATTTCAGAGCACATATAGGGAATAACATGAAGACGATAACTACTGAAGTTACTGAAGCATATACAGAAAATATCAAATATACAATAAATATCACATTAAGTATTTACTTTTTTGACCAGGTGTTTGTGACCCATCCAGAGCCTGTTTGCCCACCACTTATGGGTCGGGACCCACCAATTGAGAACCACTGGTTTAGAGTATCAGACTGAGATAAAGGTGTGTTGGAGTAATCCCAGGATGAGATTGTGGGCTGCAATGAACAACGTCTTTGAAAAGTCGCAGCAAAACTTAAAAAGATTCACATCAGATAAACTGACATCATGGCAGCTTTGATTAATGGATGTCCTGATAAAATAATAGTCCATTTTAAAAACAGAGAGATGACCTGAGCATGGCAACAGTGGGTGAAAGTTCCAGAATGTCATGTCTCTGGATGCTGTGTTCTGGAATTTTAGGTTCAACCATGCAAGGTTTTTTTCTATTTATCTATGTATTTATTTGTTTGTCTGTTGTTTTTGAATGGTGGGTTCTTGGTGCATGGTTCTGAGGTTCTGGGTTATAGAATACCTAGAATGCCAGGTTTCAGGAGGTCTGGGATCTGGATTTATGGCATCTATAATGTTTTATTCGAGAATGCTGGGTTCTGGAATTAGGGGTTTTAGAATGATGCATTTTAAAATGTTGGGTTTTTAATCGCTGGGTCCTGGAGTGCTTGGTTCTGGGATGATGGGTTTGGGAATGTCAAGGTCTAGAATTCTAGGTTCTTGTATGTTTGGTTCTGGAGAGCTTGGTTGTAGAATGCTGGGCTTTAGAATGATTGGTTTCTGAATGCTGGGTTCTGAAGGTCTTTACAGTATCTTTAAGTCAAAGTGGCTGAATGAAGTGTTTCATACAGAGTGGCTGAAAGAAGAGCTTTCAAAGACTCCAATCAGGGATTAGTAATGAGATTCTGAGTTCTAATAATTGAAAGAAGCTCCAGAGCAAGCAGAGGGAAAAAGACTGAACAGGATACACACCTATAATGTTATTTATTTTTATTAATGTATTAATGACAGAAATTAAACTCTTACTTTCCTCTGAACTGTTGAAAAATCTGTTGTCATGGGACTGTCGAGTTGGGATTTCATTCAGTCTTCATCAAAAAGTCAAATAGATAACAAATCTCGTTTTAAGTAAAGCTCCACCAATAGGAAAGCTCCAGATTGGGGCTGCTGAGCATGTACGGACATGAAACCTCCAGCAGATGGTGCCACTCAAGAAGTATGCTCATTTACTGTACACCACACAAATGTTCATCACATAATAACCGCTATGGTTCAATCCTCCCCACAAAGACTGTCAGACGCAGATTCTTACTCAGATTAGAGACCGGGGGTAGCTTTAGTTGGTTCAGTTTGTCTATCAGAGGCAGTGAGTGCTCAGTGTGTGTAATGTGAGTGTCTGTGTCTGTGTCTGTGCTGTGAGTCGGCTCTGCACAGTATTCATAGAAAATATAAATTCATTGTTCATTAAAATAAGTTTATATCCTAAATCAATATTTAATCTGTCTCTCTTTAAAGTTATTGAAGTTCAAAAACACTGACTCCCTACCACATCTGCCTATCAGATTTTAGGCTGGATGTGAGAGTCAGCATTTTTGACTCTGTCAAAAATATCATCTCATAGATAGGTGGACCTGGTGTCCTACCTGACAACATTTAGTTGACTCCTCCTGTTAGGGGTATCTGTCTTATAATAATTCCAGTCCATCTCAACATATAAACCTTTGTACCTGTTTCCTCTCCTTAATATCAGTACCATTTCCAAAACATTTTGTGCACTCTTATATTTATTCATTTATTTATTACTACTTTCTTTCGCTTTCCTTTGCCCTCACTTTGATTGTATTATCTTGTACTAATCTGTTCATAAATTGTCGCCCATCTGGTCCTTTTTAAGAGTATCCTCAGAGCATCATTGTAAGCAATTTGCAGTTTCTGAAGGCTGCCTTTTTTATAGTTCAGCCACAGGTGTGCGGTGTACAAAGGTAAACAATACGTTTTAAACAAAGTGAGCTTTACATCAATAGTGCAACAACCAAATTTACGTGACAATACATTCGCTCGAACATACAACATATGACACTGGCGATAAATGTCTTCATCATCTGTCAGCTGGTCTGTGATGATGTGTCCAAGATATTTCACTTCACTGCAGACATTTAATACTTTACCAGAGAGTTTAAAATCAGGAAAAGTCATAAGTCTATCTTCCGTGGTTCTGCAGATCATAATAACACTTTTTAACCCATTATACTTGATGTCATGTTGTTCTCCAAACACAGAACACACATTAAGGAGCTGCTGCAGACCAGCTGAGCTAGGACTAAAGATGACTTCTTTTGTATGTATGTGTCTTGTGTTGTAACTAAACTCTTTAATATCTATTTTTAATATGGCACACTTTAGGTATAGTAGGTATACCTAGTAGGTATAGCGCATTGTCACCTGTAAATGCTTTGTTTTTTTAATTTATGATAAGCCTTTAGATGGAATCATGTGTCCTATGTTCTGGGGGGCATTGTTCTCTGTTCTATTCAAAAGAAAAACAATGGAAATATGTAATATAAACATATTGTAAATCTGTGCTTTTATATTTCCAAATAAAAAAATTATTCATAAAAAACATACATATATCATCTCATCTTTGCACACACAAGACTGACGAATAGGATAATGCAATATTTAGCATGTGGCGTGTGTGTGTGTGTGTGTGTGTGTGTGTGTGGGATGTCCATTAGAGACAAAAATAGCCTCTGCTGTGCACACGTGTGCGTGCATGTGAGCTGGTCACGTGCTCCGAACGGGACAACAACAAAGCACTGAGCCAATCAGAGAGCAGCTGTCAGCCTGCTGCAGTCTGTCAGAGTTTTAGGGGACTCAGAGGAGACCCGATAGTGGGGAAAAAAAACGTTTTAGACCCGTCAGTGGCCCAACAGGGACCCGACAGTCTAAATTCTGGACAGCGAGGAGGCCGAGAGAGCTGCAGCCGGTAAAACATGCCTGATATCCCGCCCGGAGCTCCGGAGGTGTCCCGGAAAAGAGGCGCGGAGCCCGGAGCTCCTGCGGAGCTGGTCCCGGAGAGAAAGAAGGCCTGCTGGGGGATCCTGACCAGCCAAGGTCGGTCTTGTGTGGGAGTGGGGGGTGGGGGGGTTGCAGAAGTAATTGCCTATAGCCTACCTGCGAGCTGGTTTAGAGCTGCAGGTGTGTGGACTGGTGATCCCTGGGCTTATTTATTATTATCTCTCAGCTGTTTGACACCGTGTGTCTGTGTTTTTTTTTATTTCAACGGGTATAAAAGTAAAAACAGTTATTTAGAAACAGACAAAAAAACCTCAGAAATAGACTAAAACAATGATACAGAGAGTCTATGGTTTACAGACACAGTTTGAGTAGTTTACTGTAAGACCAAAGGGTATTCAAAATAATCCAAGTGTCACTCAGATCAAAGCCTGCATACAAATAAACCCATTAGATAGGCTACCACTTATTATAGTGGTGTTAATATTAAACAAAGAGGATTAGAAAATTGAATGTCACATCAGTATGAATGCAATATTATGCTGTTCAATGTTACAACACTTATAAAAAACAACACATTAAACAACCAGCTTTCACATCCATAACTTTTATTAATAATCAGAGTCATGTGACTTAATGAAAGTAAACACTCACTGAACACATGACCTCACCATGGTCACATGACTCATCATGCAGAGAAAAAGAACCTCATTTAGTTTTTTTAGATAAATAAATAAAAGTTTAAAATAAAATGTTGGAAATTTCCTGTATTAGTTTTTATCATAATTATTGTGATTTTCATTCTTGCAATTGTTGATGTAAACATAAACAGTGTTGTTATTTTTATAATAGTTGTAAATAATTATTGTTGTTTCTGTTACAATCACTTTTGTTATTACTCTCTCAGTTATTCTATTATTATTGTTATTATTATTATTATTATTATTATTATTATTTCCAGTGTTGTTGTTGCTGTTATTATCATAATTGTTGTTTATTGCTGTTGTTTAATTGTCATTTTGCAGTATGTATTTACTATACACTATATTACATCACCCAGCAGAGTAGTATAGTACTGATGATGCTGTTGACCTTCCTAATATGGCCACTATCTTGTTCCACATAGAGGAGGTCGGTCAGTCTAAATATGGCCGACTGTGTATGCAGAGGAGAGGACGGTTAGGGAGGCTTTTACCTGACAGCAGAGCCAGAGGGTTAGTCAGCTGGTGAAAAAACAGCTAGTTAAACAGGTTAGTTTTAGTGTTGTGTCAAACATATTCTGATTATAGTCAGTTTTCTGGTAGCTGTTATTTTTAGCTGTTAGCTGTAGAGAGAGAGAGTAAGTGAGTTTGTGTGTGTGTATTGCTGTCAGTTAGAGGCCCTCAGTCTGTCCCTGCAGGATGTCTTATGTCTATCAGTGGCTGGACGTGCCGTGGGGGGATGGAGACATGGGTATGTTTCTTATCAGGCCAAGTCTGTATCACTCACTCACTCACTCACTCACTCACTCACTCACTCACTCACTCACTCACTCACTCACTTGCTCACACACCCAGTTTCTCACTCACTCAGTCTCTCACAAAGCTGTTTTTTTCACTGCCAGCTGTCAGGATCTGTCAGGTTGTGTGGATTATGTTGCCCCCTGCTGTCAGGCTCTGTAGCCTGCAGCAGTCTCATTCAGAGTTTTGGTCATCTGAATTTGGTGGTCTGTAAAAGCATAAACCTGGATCAGACTGATGTGGTCCAGTTTGTCTTTTAAAAAAAACAGGACTGATGTGAGCTGAGAGGCATACACTGTATCAAATTTAGAACATTTATTGATCACACCTGTGTGTCTCTGTTTCTGTTCAGGTTCTTGGGCTGATCGCTCTCCTCTACATGAAGCAGCTTCTCAAGGTCGACTGCTCGCCCTGCGCACTCTGCTCTCACAGGTAACGCACCTGTAGACTGTCCAAACAACTCCAAATTACATCAGTGCTGAAACACTCTCTTCAGTGTTGATTAAAAGGAGAGAGGATGAGTGAGACAGATAGAAAGAGACAAAGTGAGATGGACAGAGTGAAATTGTGAGTGAGACTGACAGAGAAAGACAGCTTGAGTGAGTAAGACAGATTGAATAAGACAGGGCAAGTTAGAAGGACAGAGTGAGACCGGGTGAGACAGCCTAAGTGAGACATAGCATGAGATGGAAAGAAAGACAGACAGAGTGAGATGGACCATGTGAAAAAGACAGTCTGACAGAGTGTGACAACCAGAGTGAGGAAGGATGTGTAAGAAAGAGTGAGATTGACAAATGTTAAACAGATGGAGTGATACAAACAGAGTAAATCAGAGAAATACGGAACAAGTGAGACAGATGAAATGAGACTGATGAAGTGAGACAGACAGTGTGAGACAGAGTGATATAAACAGCGAGATAGAGTGATGGAGACAATGTGAGACGAATGGAGTGAGACAGATTGAATGAGACATACAGAGTGAGACAGAATTAAGCAGACGAAGTGAGGAAAAAATGGGGAGTGACAAAGACAGAGTGAGACATATCACTCTGAGAGAGAGATCATTACATCAGAGTTGTTCTGATGTCTGTGCCTCTCTGTGTTCAGGGGTATCACGCCAACATTGTAACCATTGACCATGTCTCTCCGCTGCACGAAGCCTGTCTGTCAGGACATGTGGCCTGTGTGAGAGCGCTGCTCACCGCCGGAGCTAATGTAAGTTAACAAGTGTCTTCTCCTATTCCACGGCCGCTGCTTCTATGTTGATCACTCCTGTGTTCACCCTCATCTGTGTGTTCAGGTAAATGCGACCACCATAGACGCGGTGACTCCTTTGTTTAACTGCTGTTCCTCAGGCAGCGTGGGTTGTTTGGAGCTGCTGCTGCAGAACGGAGCGAACACACACTCCACACACACACACTTCCCCTCTGCCCTGCACGAAGCCTGCAAGAGAGGTGAGACACAAAACAAAATATACAAACACATGCCACAGGAATATACAGTACAGTATGTGTGATGTGTGATCATCGGTACACTGCAAATTATTTGGTTCTTACCAAGACAAAAAAACTTAGATTTTGAAGTGTTAGATAATTTCTCTTATTTTAAGTGAGCTTTGTTTCAAGATCAGCCTGCTTGGATTGAGACAGAGTTTAGCCATTCTTTACTAATACTGGGTATTTTTTCTCTAAATTTCTATATTTTGTTTAACTTATCTTCAGCTTAATTTGCAAAAAGTAAGAAAACAAAACATGTAATTGCTTATAGCTAGTTTATTTCGCTGTAAAAAAATTTACTTTTTAAGTTATCTCATCTTAAAACCATCACTTTCTCCTTACCTTATATTTAGTACATTTAACTTATTTTAGGGCTGTAAAAGTTAAATTTCAAGTACTCTGATCTTAAAACTAGCATTTTATAATTACTTTATGCTTATATTAAGTATATTTAACTTATTTTGGGGTCTGTAAAAGTTACATTTTAAGTAATCTGACCTGAAAAACCAGCATTTTTGGCTTACTTTAGGCCTTCCAAATACATTTGTAGACATGCTCATTTCTAGATTTAACAATCTTAATTCAAGAAATCTTGTCAAGTGAAATTATCTTGCTGCATGGACAGATAATTTCAATGTTTTTAGTACCTTTTCAGACACAGTGCTTATCTTGTTTTTAGACCCCCCTGTTTTTGCAGTGTATGCAGGTACAGGTGTATCAGTGTGTGTTTAATGAGTCAGGTTATGATATCAGAGTAAACAGATAACTTCCTGATGATAACCAGAGAACAGGTGGTATATATAATTTTAAATGTAGGTTACCCTTGTGTGCAGGTAACACTCAGTGTGTAGAGGTCCTGCTGTCACATGGAGCTGATCCAGATGAGGAGTCACACTTAGGCACACCCCTCTATCTGAGCTGTTTACACCAACACACAGAGTGCTGTAAGATCCTACTGCACAGAGGTAAGACTCACATCTGTTTATACTGTCACACCTGGAAGTCACTTATAGCTCACCTGTGTGACATGTTCCTCATTTGTATTACATGTTACTCACCTGTGTTACCTGTAACTCATTTTTGTCAGACTCAAATTACTGGTGCTTAACCTGTTCTCTTTATCTGTGTTACCAGTCCCAATCAGGGTTTCCATCATCATACCTGATCTTACACTATTGTTGCCTGTATCATTGCACCCATGTTACAGCTTTGTCACCTGTATCACAGGTGTACTTATGTCACATCACACTCGTATAACCACTGTACCTGTGTACCTATTCACACTTGTGTAAACTTCATGACTTGTGTGACTTTGATACACCTGTGTTACTGGTGGCATACATTTGTATATTAACTGGTACCAGTCTCATTCCCTTTACTTGCACCACACCTATCAAACCTGTCTCATTTTTACACCCGTCAAACCTGTAAAGTGCCATTATTATCTGTCCCAACTGTTTTTTTATTTCACCTGTATTGTCCTTTAACATCATAGGATTTTTTTGCTGATGGTTTGAGCTGCAGTCAGTGCCCACATATACAGTACATGTATAAATTTTACCTGTAATACCTGCAGATTGGTTGGTAATTTGACCCCACATATAATCCAGAACTGTGTCTTTTTTACACCTTTATGGCGGAAACTCTGACTTCACTGTCTGTGTGTGTTTGTTTATCAGTGTGAGTTTTTATTTATATTATGTTTGTTTTCACGCTTTCATATGTGTGTGTGTTTCCTTATATTTCTACATGTGTTCAGGAGCCAGGGTGAATGTGGGTCGTGGAGCAGAAAGTCCTCTCCATGTGGCAGTCAGGGGGGACAACGCTGATCTGGTGTCAGCGCTGCTGGATTTCGGAGCAGACGTGAACCTCAGAGATGAAAATAACCAGCGGGCTCTGGAGGTGGCGCCCCCTGGTGGTCAGACACACAAACAGTTGCAGAGTTTTGAAGGTAACAGCTCTGGGATTTGTCAGATTTTCCGACACCCCTGCGTTGATTGGTTTACAAAGAGGAATAAAAACAAAATTTATTAAAGAATATCTCACTCTCTCTCTTTCTCTCTCAGCGTCCCCGAGGTCCCTCTGCCAGCTGTGTCGCCTGCAGATCAGGACGCTGATCGGTCGATCCAGGCTGAAGCTCCTCCCTGTGCTCCCACTGCCCCCTCTGCTCACTGATTACCTGGATCACACGTAGGAGGGGGGCCTGCAGCATGCCCCTAAACATGTCAATAACACGCTAAAACAAATGCATGTCAACATATCACCTTGGTAACGCCAGGCTAAATCATTGTGACATCTCAGTGCACTTCAAGTTAATTTTTAGAATGTCTAAAGAGCATCACTGCCTGTTTACCTGTGATCATCTGACCTCTGACCTCATACTGTCTCTGTGACCTCATGTGGACTGTTTTTATTTTTCATTGTTGTGTTTCTGCCTGTATGTGTATCAATAAATAACCAATAACACAACCTCAGAGAGTCACCAGCACTCTGTGAACAGAGAAAGGGAAAACTCAGTCTTCTGTCTGTGTCTTGATCTGTTGGTACATACACTGACTAAAACCATAGATACATGATCAGCAGAGAACATTACAGCTTAATTTCTTCAAAGATATCAGTTATAACTTTCAGGTTTGATCTTTCAAACCTACATCCTTTCCTACATCACAACAGTTATAATAATAATAATAGTAATAACTTTATTTATATAGCACTATTAAAAACAAGTTTACAAAGTGCTTTGACAACAGTTTCAAAGCACAGAACATCAGCACATGAAAATAAAAACAAAAGCTCTGTTAAAAACAAGACCTAAGGCTAATTTCATTTTTCATAAGAAACCCAGGCAATACAAGAACCCTACAACATAAAATGAGACCATGAGGACCAAAATAGAAACATAAAATAGGTGAGAAGAAGAAATAAAATAGAAAAGGGGGGGCAGAAAGCAGGAAACAGGATAGTGAGTCTAAAAGAGGATGTTAATAATGATTATACAATCATAATAAAATAATAATGATGGTAATATTATTGATAAAATTGAATAATAAAAATGAGCAGGAAAAAATAATAAAATCAATTAAGGACCTGAAAGGTAAAATAAGAAAAGTAAAGTAAAAGCTTAAAGGATAGTAAGTCGAATTAAGATAGAGCCAAAAGAGATAAAAGAAAAAAGGGAAAAAAGAGAAAAAAGTTATAACTATTGTTATTCTGTGGAGTTTTTTTTTCCGCTTTGTGGGACAAATTATACATAAATATAGTTTAGGGAACAAACTATCAAAAAGAGCGGTTTAATCGGGATTGGTGCACTATTACTTTTCTCTTTTGCATGTGAATTTTTCGTGACTTAAGTTGCGAAAAACTGCAAGAAAATTTTACATTGAAGTCAATGGGACAAGTCCCCCCAAAAAAGCATTTATTGGAGTATTTCAAACGTCTACTGCTGTGCCTCTGTTTTTTTTTTTATGTTTATTTTTTTTGTATGAATAAGGAGTGAAAAAGGAGTGTTTGTTTTAGGTGTGCTCCTTGTATATACAGGTAAAACTCAAAAAAGTCCTCTTTTCTGATGAGAGCAAATTTTGCATCTCATTTGGAAACCAAGATCCCAGAGTGTGGAGGATGAATGGAGAAGCGCACAATCCAAGATGCTTGAAGACCAGTATGAAGTTTCCTTGATCTGTGTTGGTTTGGGGAGCCATGTCATCTACTGATGCTGGCCCACTGTGCTTTATTAAGTCGAGAGTCAATGCAGTTGTCTATCAGGAGATTTTAAAACCCTTCATGGTTCCTTCAGCGGACAAGCTTAATGAAGATGCTGACTTCATTTTTCAAAAGGGCATGGCACCTGCCCACACTGCCAAAAGCACCAAAACCTGGTTAAATGACCATAAGATAACTGTACTTGATTGGCCAGCAAACTCGCCGGACCTGAACCCCATAGAGAATTTATGGGGCATTGCCAAGAGAAAGATGAGAGACAAGATGAGAGACATGAAACTGGACAATGCAGCAGCTGTTTGTGCCGAGCGTCATCACAGCGACTCTCGGCGACTCCACCGCGGAATGCGCACAATGCCACTGCACAATGCTGGTTTCAGGAAATGAAGAGTAATCACGGAAATACCAAGAGCTTTTTGGCTTCAAATCTGTATACAGGTGGGAGGCAGAATCAAGTTGTCCATAGTATATACAGTCCATGGTCCTAACCAAATGACACATTGAAAAGCCCATGTGTCCACTTACTTCTTTGCTCATCTTCTCGCTGCTGTCTTCTGTGCCTCGATCGTAAAACACTGGTGCATCATCATTATTAGTCCTCAGCAGCTCACTTCCGTTGTGGCTTTTTTTTTTCATCCTTTAATTTTTGCTGTAAAAAGAAAAAAAAATTTTTTTTTTTTTGCATTCTTATTTACAAACCAGACAAAAGCTAAGGTTTTTCATTTAAAAACTATAAACAGCCTGTTTAGACAGCTGAGCTCAGATAGCTGGTTAAACCATGAGCCCCATCTCTAACAGGAGAAAATGCCCAATCAGAGTTTAAGATTTTTAGGCGTCACCTCAGGTGGCCAATCAGATTTTAATAAGGGAAAACGGGGGTATGTCAGCCCCTGCCTTCCCCCCTCTTGACTCAACCCTGCTGCTCTCTGCTCCCAGCCTGCCATCATAATTATTCCTCTGTCACTCCCTCTGATGATGTGCACACCTGTGTAAGCTCACCATCACGACCAGGTGGAGTCGGCAGAATCGGAATCTCCTCCTCTCACAGCACACAACCGGAAAATAACTGCAGAAACCACGTCCACACACTTATCTGGAACGTGTCTGACGGACCAAACCGGTCTGAGATCTAGGACCAGTCAGAACGATTAAACCAGTCTGAGAGTACATGGAGTAAATTAAACCAGTGTAAGTTATAACCGGGAAACATATCAGCCACAGGTATTCAAACTCTAGGCGGGTCAGACCCTGCTGCACCAGGACTGGGATCAGGACCAGGACAAGGACCATTGTCAGTGAGCAGACAAGGAGATTAACACCTGGACTTTCTCCTGCTGGCCTCTAAACAAAACCTCAATCTGAGACCATTTCAGCCTCCGTGTTTGAACTCTTGGAGTTAGCACTTAGCTCGGTTAGCTCGGTTAGCTATTGGCTCAGTTAGCTCTCAGCCGGTCAGCCCCCTGTCTGCAGCTAGCAGCTAACCTAGCCTAGCTAGTTGAGGTAGCCCAGGTATGAGGCTGAAGGTGGGCTTCATTCTACGGGCTCTACTGTTCGTGGGTACGTTCCTGGGTCTTGTGCTCCTCTGGTCTTCTCTGTTTCCAAAAGCCAACGAGGACAGCCCCTTTGGAAAACGGGTGAGTTAACCACAGCTAACTAGCAAGGCTTAACTGTTAATATAGGTAATACACAGCACTGAATCAACGGGTCAGTCAGAGTGCGGTGTGTATTTAGAGGTTATGATGTCATGAGTTACAGGTGTACAGGTGTGTGTTTGATGATGGTCATGAAAATCAGGGTTAGCTAGCTGTTAGCTTCACACTGGTTGTCATGGAGATTGACTCTTAGCTAGCTCCTGATGCCGACGAGCTGCTCTGTCGTGTTTAAATGGAATTAATAACACACCGTTATAAACCTTTTCTTTAACTTCGGGTTGATTTTGTTACTTATAAACCACACATCTTTATACCAGGATACACATCCGCATACGTCTGCATGCGGCCGTCACACGTCACCCAGGAAGCGCGATGAGAGTCGACAGGTGGTACAATATGCAGATGATTGAGTGACAGCTCACCATCTCAGTAAAAAGACACACTTTTAATAAGAACCTATTAACCCGAGAACGCTATCGCTAAAATTAGTAACACCATCACTATCGACGGGGGATTTTTACCCGAAATAATATACCTAAGAAAAAGTAGTCATCTAAATAGCACAATACATGACAAATTAAAGTAGTTTTCTTTTATTATTAACTGTGCAATGTCCAAAGAGAGGGACAAAAGTGACATGAGGGGACCATATAAAAATGCAACAAAACAACTGAAAGTAGAAATTCATGAACAAAGGATTCCTCAAAAAAAAAATGTATATCTATATGTGTAAATAGGTATATATCTATGTGTGTGTATATATGTATATATGTGTGTGTGTATATATATATATATGTGTGTGTGTGTGTGTGTATGTATATGTGTGAATATGAGTGTGTGTATATATGTGTATGTGTGTTTGTATATATGTATATGTGTCTGTGTGTGTGTATGTATATATATGTGTGTGTGTGTGCATATATGTGTGTGTGTGTGTGTGTGTATATATACGTGTGTGTGTATATATATATATATATATATATATATGTATGTATATGTATATCACCATATGTATTTCCTTAAGATCACTACTTAGTGATCACCACGGAGGAAGAGGAAGGCTCCTGTTTACCTTCGTCATAACTAGAGAAAACCTGCTCCACCAGTTTGACTTTTAATTACTGCAGATGAATCCCTTCAGATGTTATTCTGTTTGCCATATACACTTTATGAACATACCTCAGGCTTGAAGCATTTTATAGATTTAAATCACAACAGATTGTTATTGATGTGTTTAAACTGAGGTCTGATTGTTAAAGGGATATTCTGGTGTAAAATTAAGTTAGGGTCAAACACACCGTAACACAGAATAAGACACGCTGTCGAGAGATGAATGTTGCTGACCGCTTGCTTTTTTAGTTATACCAACTTTAGTAACGACCGAAGATAACAATACAGAGAGCCACACGCTCAACCAAAAAGCCACTCTATAACCACAAATAATGCTCAGAACAGCACCTAACTTTATCAACAGTATATATAGAGTCCCAGCCATAGTACTAGACACCAAACATCTTTTTAGCTTTGCTTAATTTCTTTAGCAAAGAGACCAAATGCAACTCACCTACTCTCTTCCAGCAGCCGCTCGTTTGTTGCGAGACCCCAGGCCAGTCCATTATGGACTGCTGCAGGGTGATGCAGCTCAAGGAAGAACATTTATGATCATTACTTTATCATATCCTTGAAGTAATAATCACCATATTAATCATTTTGCACTGCAGATGCAGTAGTTCTTCTGCCTTAGCATCTAGGTCTGATTGCATTTCCATGAAGAAATGATCAGGCCCTCAGGCAGCACTGAAAAACAGACCGGATTCTGGAGTGGAAATCACTACATGGTCTCATTATCACCTCCAAAAACCATTGTCTGTGAACGCAGTTCATCACTGCATCCACAAATGAGATTAAAACTGAAGCATGCAAAGAGGAAAACAGATAGAAACATGATCCAGAATCAAATTGGACTTTTTTTGTCTTTGAAATCATTGACACCACATACTACATACAACAGTACATGCTGCCATCCAGACAATGACTTTTTCAGGGAAGATCTTTATATATCAGCAAGACAATGACCAACCACATTCTGCAGGGATTACAACAGTATGGCTCTGTAGTAGAAGAGTCCTGCTAATAAACTGGTCTGCCTGCAGTGTTGACTTGTCAACAATTAAAATCATCTGGAGCATCATGACACCAAAAATAGGACAAAGGAGACCCTGAACTGAAAATCCTCTATTAGGCAAAAATGGGGCAACATTTGACTTTGACTAGAAACTGGTCCCCAGGGTTCACTAACGTTTACAGAGAGTAATTAAAAGAAGAGCTGATGACAGAAAATGAGAAACATCACCCCAGAACTACTTTATAGAAACAGGTTGTTGGTTTATCCCTCTGCTCTTTCCTCCCTCTCGTTTCTCAGGAGGATGCTGCCCTGCCCAGAGTTGACCCTGCAGACCACTTTAAGCCTGTGGTGCCTTGGCCTCATGTGGAAGGGGTGGAGGTTGACCTGCACTCCATCAGACTCAAACGTGGTAAGACCCCATCGTGAGCATCCTTTATGAACCCACTAAGCTCTGACACGAACTGTAGACACTTTAAAATCTTGATCCAAAATCTTGGTTTTGGTTTTATCTCTCCAACAGACCCTGAAAACCCCCCAAAACCAGATCAACAGCCCAACCAGAAGCAGGTGATCCAGCAGCAGTATGTGACGTTCAAGCCCCACACTCATGCCTACACAGACCCAGTGCTGAAAAAAGGTATCCTGGGAAACTTTGAGCCCAAGCAACCGGAGCCTCCTGGGGTCGCTGGTGGTCCTGGAGAGGAAGCCAAACCTTTTGTACTGGGTCCAGAGTACAAAGATGCTGTGCAGGCCTCCATTAAAGAGTTTGGCTTCAACATGGTGGCCAGTGACATGATTTCTCTGGACAGAAGCATCAGTGACATCCGCCACGAAGAGTGAGTCAAACCGTTGACACTGTAAATGCATCGCTTTGCTGAGTTTTAACTGCAGTCAGGGTTTACTCAATGAATAGACATCTGCATAAAGGTCAGCTCACAATCTGGATGTAAGTCCACATTTCACAGGACCAGTGTTGAGTGTGTTCCGTCAGCGTTGCATTCCCTCTCTGATCAATGCAGCATATTCCACAGGAAATGTCTCTGCTCCGTCCCAGTGGCATGATGATGCGCTTCTCTGCTAAAGATATGTGCAGTCTATTTTTCCAACATGCATCAATCTACACAGAGAAAATCGTTCTAGACAGGATGTTGAGCACGGAAAACGCACATGTCATCTGGTCAATTTCAAAATAGAACACTGCGTGTGGACTCCCAACTGTTTATCAGTTTGAGTAGATGAGAAATACTTCCTGGTTATGGATTTATCAGTAACACAGAGCAATCCAATGGTCAATCCCTGATCCATGTGGACCCCAACGGAACTTTTAACTGCTGACTCTGTCTGAAGGTAACAGCACAGCATAAAGGAACATAGTTTACTTTATTAAACACGAGTAAACCTGCAAAAACGTCAAGTCCCGTTGCTTTTTCACAGACCACAGAAAGGCAAAGCAACCTGTTGTATGCATATTTTCTATATACTGAGTCCAGCTGACCAGGGCTTTGCTTTACCGTTGCCACGCTCCAAACATGCATCCTGTGGGCTATGACGAGCACTGCCTGTGGGTTATTGACTTAAGAATCACCACAACCAGATAAACATGAAGCCAGAATAATGACTCTGAACTACAGAGATTTTATCCTACAGGAAAACTTAGACGTACCTCAAATGAATGAATGGGCACACCTTTAGATAATGCAATTAACCAGAAAATGTGAGCATATATTCTGCAGACAGAACTGGAGGGCTTTATTTATTTTATTTTCTCACCAAATTCATGGTCACTTTTTTAGTTTTTAAGGAAGACATTGAACCATATTATTCAAACCCAAGTTATGAAGAGGTTTACTCATATTAAGGAGGATTTATTCTCTCTCTCTCTCTCTCTCTCTCTCTCTCTCTCTCTCTCTCTCTCTCTCTCTCTCACACACACACACATACACACATATTGCATGAGCAACAAAGCAGAGTGGATGATCATCATCAGATTGGAGTAATGACGAGATATAAAACTTTTCTTTGATTATCTTTAATCTGGTGTCTCTGGTGGGTCGGTTCTGTGGTTACGCTTTGAGTTAAGATAACTGCACAGCAGCCTTTAATTTGTGAAAAAAAGAGATAAATGGGCATCCTTATTTACACACAAATTCATTTAATGTCTCCTAACTGCACCGAATTAATAAAACACTCATTCATAGCATGTGGGGGCATTCATCATGCATTAATTCAGAGTGTGCACTGAGATAGAGGCCAGATTACTCAGTGTATGGAGTGACAAACAAAGCATGAAAAACAGATGGACAGACAGATTAGAGTAATATCTGCACATCACCTGGTCCTGGTTACTCTTTGTAGCTGTGTATTAGCTGTGCTATAATGTAGGATACAAATTACATGTTAAATCATTAGTGGAAAGGGGTTTGTAGACTGATTTCTTTTCACTGTTGAAATGCAGCACAGAGATGTAAGGTCCATCTTTACTGTACTTAACTGTAAAATTCTGTTGTTTCTAAGATAACATCAAAACATGAACATTGAACATTGAAACTGGGGTCTCAGGATTGTTTTAGTTCTTATTTTACTCTTTTTATCACAGTATTTCTTATTGCATTTTTGCAGGGGAACGTTTGGGCCATATGCTGCTGTGAATGTCTGGTATTTGTCTGTTCCTTGATCGCTTACCAACAAGGCGGGTTACTGTGAAGTGAATTGCCCTTCGGGGATTAATAAAGTAGTCTGAATCTGAATCTGAATCTAAATCTGAATCCAGATATGAACATAGAGAATATTTGGAAAAAGGCCTGATCCTCTTTTACAAAAGAGTTTTGTTTGATTGGATGGTGGTTTCTGAAGAGACTCTCTCCACACCCTCTGCAAATACACGATAGTGTGTCAAAGTTAAATCAACAAACCACCTCACAATAATCCACCACAAAGTAATCCTCAAAGAGCAAACATGCATTCGTATCGCAGAGAAAGACATCCTGGACTCCAGGGTGGAGCCATACTTATCAGCTATGACGACTCTGTCTGTATAAATATGTGGGTTAGAGAGAATAACACCTGTCTGAATGTGACTGACCTGCTGTGTCTTACCTGTCCAGGTGTAAGTACTGGGAGTATGACGACAGGCTGCTGACCTCCAGCGTGGTGATTGTGTTCCATAATGAAGGCTGGTCTACACTGATGAGGACAGTCCACAGTGTGATCAAGAGAACCCCCAGGAGGTACCTGGCTGAGATCGTCTTGATTGATGACTTCAGCAACAAAGGTCAGAGGTCACTCCTAAAATACAACAAATGAAACCCTGGTTCCAAAAAATTTTAGATGCTGTGTTAATTAATGAATGGAAATTAATATCTATCCAGTCTTGGTTTTGGTCCTCTAGATCTTTATAAATGATAATATGTACTGTAGATGATCAAATCCACTGATTCTTTCACATTTGACACTCAGGAACATTATTCTGAAACTGTTAAACTATTAGTTCCAGTGTTGTTTTCGTTGACGATGACGTTGACAAAAATATTTCATCAACGTCATCGTCAACAAAAAAAAACACTGCAGAATATACTGTATGTTTAGCGTTTAACTGACGAAATGCTCATGAATTTTGCAACTCTGTTCGCCGTCCACCACTAACGTTTTCATCTAGTCTCATCTCGTCGATGTAAACACACATTCGTCTTGTCACATCTTAGTCATCTAAGACTTATGTTTAGCTTGTCAACATCATGTCTTTGTCGTGGAAAAAAGGGGCGTTGATGAAATATTTTGGTCAACAAAAACAACACTGATTAGTTCACAGTCTCACAGAGTGGTAAACCTCTTCCCGTCTTTCCTTCTGAGAGACTCAGCCTCTCTGAATGTCCTTTTTATACCCAGACGTGTTACTAACCTGATAGAAATTAACCTCAATAGCTGTAAATGTTCTTCCAGCTTTTTTTTTTTTTTTTTTAGAATTACACAACTTTTTACTTGTTTGGTTGTTTTTTCAAAAAACTTTTTCCAGTCATGTTACTGACATCAAATTTAGAATGAACAGATTTTTTTTCATAAAAAAATGTTTCAATTTTAACATCTGATATGTCGTCCTTGCACTATTTTCAATTTAATATAGACTAAATGATTTAAAACCATCAAATTCCAATTTTTGTCAACAGTTTTAATGCAGTGTCACACTAACATCTGACTTAGCCAGCAGAGGACCAACTGCTAATAATGACTAATTTATTCTTGTACAATATGAAGCTTACATGAATATTGCGTGTGTGTGCAGTCCACTTGAAGGAGCGTCTGGAGGACTACATCAAACAGTGGAACGGTCTGGTGAAACTGTTCAGGAATGAGAAGAGAGAAGGACTGATCCAGGCCAGGAGCATCGGTGCCCAGAAGGCCACTAAAGGGCAGGTAACCAATCATGTCACTGACACACACCTGGATCTTTCATGTCACTGATGGGAAACACTGTCACTATACACCAGTGACCCTGATTGAACCCAAGTGACATAAAAGATGGGCAAGATGAGGTACAGTTTGTTGCCCTGACCTCAAACCTAAGTTTACTAGTCAACCTTAACTCTAGATTTTACACTGTAACAGACACCATCACACTCAGGACACATGCATCAGCTGTTTGTGTTTTGTTGTTCTCAAGGTGTTGATCTATCTGGATGCTCATTGTGAGGTTGGAACCAACTGGTACCCTCCTCTGGTTGCTCCCATATCAAAAGACAGGTAACACACACACACACACACACACACACACACACACACACACACACACACACACACACACACACACACACACACACACACACACAGTGTAAATCCTCAAATATAGGCCAGGGTTTAACTTGTTTTTACTGCCGCAGGTACCAGGCCTTTATATGAGGCAGGTTTTATTAGAGGCCTGCCCTTATGTCAAATTCTCCCAGTGTGTGGGAATTATAACTTCATATTTTATACAGAGTGAGGGTCTGATCCACTAAAAAAAAATGTAACCCTAGAAGCCCCTCAAAGTCAGAAGACCCAATTAATACATCACAAAGGGCTTAGTTTAAACCTCCAATCCTCACCCAACCAAGGACCCAGTTTGAACTGTTCGCTATGGTTGTGATTTAACCCCACAGAGAGTCTAGTTTAAACATTGCACTATGGTTCCTGTTAAAATCCAGCAAAACTCAAATGTAACCCTACAAAGCCCCCAGCAATAACCCCCCATCGTAGGCCTTTCTAATGTCCACCCAAGGCCCAATTTGAACCCCCCAGAGGGTCCAATTGAAACACGAGAAGGCCCAGTTTAAACCCCATCGAGAGACAAGTTAAAACCCTTGTAAGATACCAATCTTACATCCCTCACTATAAGCCCAGTTACCTCCCTCTCCCCCCTCCTCTTAAAGGGTCCAGTTCAAACAACAAAAAGGAACCAGTCTAGACCACCCACTATGGGTTTAAATCCCTCATAATGGGTCCCAGTGAAACCCACAGGTAGCCCAATCTTCAGTCTCTATGATATCCCAGTTTACACCCCACCTAAGACCCAGTCTAAACCCCTAAAGGTACTAGTTTTAACCTTACAGGAGGCCTTGTTTAAACCCCAGAGAAAGCCAAGTCTTAACCGCCTTCGATGGCTCAGTTCATGATTTGCAGTCTTAAAGTGATGATGACTGTCTGGCAGAGACACAGATGGATAACTGTGTGTTTGTGTCTGTGAGTTTGTTTCTCTACATTTTTGGGGTTGTTGCCTGTGTTTGTGTGTACAGGACAGTGTGCACAGTGCCTCTCATAGACTATATAGATGGTAATGAGTACAGCATGGAGCCCCAGCAGGGTGGAGATGAAGACGGGCTGGCTCGTGGAGCATGGGACTGGAGTCTGCTGTGGAAGAGAGTCCCACTCAGCCACAGAGAGAAGGCCAAGAGAAAACACACCACCCAGCCCTACCGGTACCCGTAGAACAGAGAGCTGACAGCATGCTAACACTCATCCCTCTTCTTTTTGTGTCTCCATCTCCACCCCTCTGTCCACCCACCCCATGTCTCTGTGCTTTCACTGGCACTGCTGTCTGTGGCTGCCTGTGTCTGTCCTGCATTTACACCACCCCCACACCCTCCACCCCCATGTATTCTGTTTGTACGGCCCCTCCCTACTTTGTCAGAACGGTGTGTACAGTGCCTCTGATTGATTCCATCGATGGCCAGAAATATACCATCGTCCCCCAGGGTGGAGGAGACGACGACAACTTCGCTAGAGGTGCCTGGGACTGGAGCATGCTCTGGAAAAGAGTCCCTCTGGGAGAGAGGGAAAAAAGACAGAGACAGACTCGCACTGAGCCATATAGGTACACAAAACAACACTCCCCTGACCGCTGTGGGTGGGGTCAACACAGAGAGTAAGGTGTTGGTATTTAATGTTTCTCCTGACATTTTCACTTTACTATGGTGTCGGAATTAAACAAAACTTAACTGATCCACATGGACAGTGTCAGTGTAAATGTAAAATGTAAGGTGACAGTTTGTTATTGTAAAGTTACAGTTCTTTAATGGAAAACTACAGTTCTATGATTTAAAGTTGCAGTTCGACTATGTAAAGTTACAGTTCTACTGTATAAAGCCACAGTTTTCCCATAAATAGTTACAGTTCTAAAATGTAAAGTTACAGTTCTACCACAAACAGTTACAGTTGATGTTAAGTTACAGTTCTAAAATGTAAAGTTACAGTTCTACCATAAACAGTTACAGTTGATGTAAAGTTACAGTTCTAATATGTAAAGTTACAGTTCTACCATAAACAGTTACAGTTGATGTAAAGTTACAGTTCTAAAATGTGAAGTTACAGTTCTACCATAAACATTTACAGTTGATGTAAAGTTACAGTTCTAAAATGTAAAGTTACAGTTCTACCATAAACAGTTACAGTTCATGTATAGTTACAGTTCTAAAATGAAAAGTTACAGTTCTTAAATGAAAAATTACAGTTCAACGATGTAAAGTTACAGTTCTACTATATAAAGCCACAGTTTTCTCATAAATAGTTACAGTACTAAAATGTAAACTTACAGTTCTACCATAAACAGTTACAGTTAATGTAAAGTTGCAGTTCTAAAGTGTAAAGTTACAGTTTTACCATAAACAGTTACAGTTGATGTAAAGTTACAGTACTAAAATGGAAAGTTACAGTTCTACCATAAACAGTTACAGTTGATGTCAAGTTACAGTTTTAAAATTTAAAGTTACAGTTCTACCTTAAACAGTTACAGTTGATCTAAAGTTACAGTTCTAAAATGTAAAGTTACAGTTCTACCATAAACAGTTACAGTTGATGTAAAGTTACAGTTCTAAAATGTAAAGTTACAGTTCTACCATAAATAGTTACAGTTGATGTAAAGTTACAGTTCTTAAATGTAAAGTTACAGTTTTACCATAAACAGTTACAGTTGATGTAAAGTTACAGTTCTAAAATGAAAAGTTACAGTTCTTGAAAGTTACAGGGCTGCAGTGCAGTTAAGTGTCCACTTAAAGCCCTATAGAGTCATACTATAAAACATTTTTGCAAAGCAACAGTCTTTTACTGCTAGTTTACAGTGTCATGGTGTAATTGTACTTCAGTGTATAGTGACGCTGTTGTATTTTTCATACTGTATAAATAGTGCAGAGATGTGACAGTTGTGTATTGAAATTATTTTCAGTCTTTTCGGAAGTTTACTTACACAATTTCATGTAATTAAGGTTTATTAAGAGCGCAGTGCTGTTATTTGAAAGGTCAGTGTTTGTATTATTTAATAAGATGATATCGATGTATAGTAAAGTGAAATTTTAGAGAGAGCAATGCCAGTTGATAAAAAGTGCAGTATTTACAGCATCCTGGCAGTGTAGTGTCAGGTTTATAGATTACAGAGACAGTAAATGTCCGATACAATCACACTGTGTGGAAAGAAAAGACACTGTTTGGTGAATATAGTGACAGTTAATAATAATGTAGAGATAGTGTTGAAAATTCAGCGTGTTCTTTGGATGACAGTATTTTGAGTATAGAGGCAGTTTGATAGAAGGTTTCAGACAGAGCAGTAGATTGAGGAAGGACTTTGGTATATATGCAGCATCTCAGTCTGGTGTGACGATATTTCATGTTAATGTAAGTGTTACTGTAGTTATGATAAATGTCAGGTTCATGTCTGAGTCAGGCTGTGCTAACATACTAAACAGTCTGCTGTGCTCTGAGCTTTCTGCTGCTGAGAGCTGACTACCTGTGGATGAACTTGTTTCTGTCTCTGGTTGTGGTCTAACAGGCTGTTGGTGTCAGGTCTGTGTTGTCGGGATAACCTCTCTTGTGCCGTCTCAGTCGACTCTGTGCTATGTTTGGTGTCACTAACAGGAACTGTGGGGTTTTCAAACAGTATCAGTCATCACTAAGGGCAGACTGGGTCCTAGTCCTGGTCTGACTCCGGTTGGCTTCTGTGTGGACGTACACTGGGAGCTTGTGGTGTGACTGGGTGTGAACCTGGGCACCATCACCACCCCCTCTTCCCCTTTAACTTCTTATTTCATTGTCTCAGTGTGTGTCAGTTTGTTTCTCTCATAGCTGTGTTTTCACTAACCCGAGCTTGCACTGTCTGTCTTTCTGTCTTTCTGTCTGGTCTGTGTGCTTTCTTTTGTTGATAATTAATTACCATTATCCTGTCAATCAGCCTGTTTATGACGTGTTGATGTGATTCGTTGACAGATTACCAGATATGCTGTGTTTACTCCTGTGTGCGTATGCATGCATGTGTGTGTGTGTGTTTGTGCGCCTGCAGGTCTCCGGCCATGGCAGGGGGTCTGTTTGCTATAGAAAGAGACTTCTTCTTTGAGTTGGGTCTATATGATCCAGGACTGCAGATCTGGGGAGGAGAAAACTTTGAAATATCCTACAAGGTACACACAGAGTACTGCACTATTACTATACTTTGATAGTTAAAGGTTTCAGAGTATTACTCTCATAATATTATTTAATCTGTGTGTAGATCTGGCAGTGTGGTGGTCAGCTGCTCTTCGTGCCGTGCTCTAGGGTGGGTCACATCTACAGGCTGCAGGGCTGGCAGGGCAATCCTCCTCCTGCACATGTGGGATCCTCCCCCACCCTAAAGGTAGAGCTACACACACTTGCACACATCTGCAGAGGGAAGTAAAGATTAGCAGGAAAATGAAAGGATGACCAATGCAAAAACATCTTCTGTATTATTTTATACATTGTAAAAATGCATTTGGTGGACTGTTCTACAGATTCATGTGTAGACTGCACAGCATTAAAAAAAATATACAAATACTGAAAGATGTAAATCATTGGTTTACTGATCCTTAGGAGTAACTCATGGTAATGATTTTCCTGAGGGCAAAGGGCAGCAAACATCTGGCACTGCTCTGTTTCTATTGTGCATGAAGGCGTGAGAGGTCACCGTCTACGTCCACTAGGTGGCACTAGAGTCGAGTAAAATAATAATGCAGGATGACTTACATTTTACTTAATACTCTGTACCTCTACATGGAGCTGTGACCCTGAATATTTGCACTTATATATATAAGTGTCCAGGATAAGAGTGCTGTGGTATTTATGCAACATAACGATTCACAGAACTGATCGTCTCAGTTTAGGAGACACATGTAAATAAAAAGTGGTTCTTTAGTGTGAACACATGATCTGTAGATCTTTCTGCCCTTATGTGAAGTCAGAGTGTGAGAGGATTTGTATGGGGGGCACTTCCCCCCCTGTGGCCCCTTCCCTGTTTATCATTCACTTCTCTATCTCTTGTTCCCGGCTCTATCCACTGTCCTTTCCTCTGTCAATAAAGACCAGAAAGACCCCAAAGGAATTGTACAAAGTAAATTTACTCAGCTTTTATTTGCATATGTAGGTGAATAATCGTTGGGCATATTTATCCACTCAGAAATGAGGTTCATTTGGCACCTCAGTTTTATAAGCTCAAAGGCTCTTTCTGCACTGTTGGCTCTGAAAGTAGCATTAAAAAAAGTAAAAGGATTATAGATGAGGTGATCAGAATGTTTAAAACTATGTTTATAATCCTGCATGTTTGTTTGATCAGAACTATGTGCGAGTGGTGGAGGTGTGGTGGGACGAATACAAGGACTATTTCTACGCCAGTCGTCCTGAGACTCTCACACTGGCCTATGGAGACATCAGTGAGCTCAAACGCTTCAGGTAACACACAGTCATTGATTCTAGACAGATTTATTCTGTATTCTGTCTGAGTCACACTTTTGAACACCTTTGAAAACCTGAGGACCCTCCCTGAAGAGTCACTGTGTTCAGATTATCTCAGACTAACAGACTGCGTGATGGTAGTTCAGCTACAACACTCCATGTAGATCATTGAGTCCAGATCCTGTCAGTGTCTGATAATTCAGCTGTACAGGGCTGTGTTGACTTTTTGGGCTAGCAGCACCTATTTTCTATTCAAACTGAATGCAGCTCAACATTCTTGTACTCGATGTCTTCGGTGCAAGACTCTGATGCTGGTTTAGCGGGTCAGCTGTTTGTATTAAACCTGTCGGTTTCTCTGTCTGCAGGGAGGAGCATCGCTGCAAGAGCTTCAAGTGGTTCATGGAGGAGATTGCTTATGACATCCCTGCGCACTATCCTCTTCCTCCTAAGAATGTGGAGTGGGGGGAGGTAGGGGCACACACAGACACACACACATACCGTCTCTGTCTCTCAGTGTTTGTCGTCATGCTGTGTCCTTATTCATGCCGTGTGATACTGTGACTCCACAGATCCGAGGCTATGAGACCAGTTACTGTATCGACAGTATGGGACACACTAATGGGGGAACTGTGGAGATTGGACCCTGCCACAGGATGGGGGGCAACCAGGTACTGACCCACAGGGAGCTGCTGGTCTGCTTTCGACCAGAGAGCACTTATAGTTGACTTATATGCTTGATGGTATGCCATAAAATTAGATTGCAGTGTCTTTCAAGATTGTGGCGGTATCACAGTTTAACACAGTTTTTTGAATATTTTTACCATTGTTCAACTACTCCCATATTTTACTCAGTGATGTAAACAAACACTTTTTCCCACAAAAAAATAGATTTAAAGTACAAATTATATGTTTTGCAAATATTTTGTCTCACAATTGGTTGTGTTGCACTATATTTCTCACCACTAAATAAAATACGGTATGAAAATGTGTTGATATTTGACAATTATTGTAACCATGAGTAAGGTGGGCGTGCACCTCATAAGGGAGGCTGCTAAGCCACTTAAACTGACCAGACTAGTGTTTTGTACATAGATGGAAATGTACTCTGTTTGTCAAATGCCTGATGTACCGTCCTCACTTTAAGTGTGTGTGTGTGTGTGTGTGTGTGTGTGTGTGTGTGTGTGTGTGTGTGTGTGTGTGTGTGTGTGTGTGTGTGTGTGTGTGTGTGTGTGTGTGTGTGTGTGTGTGTGTAAAAAGTTGTTCCGTATCAATGAAGCTAACCAGCTGATGCAGTATGATCAGTGTCTGGCCAAAGGAGCGGATAACTCAGTGATCATCACACACTGTGACCAGAAGCAACACACTGATTGGAAGTACTTTAAGGTATGTGACACGCACACACACACACACACACACATTGATTTCTTAACAGTAACTGTATGTTTTTGTCTGTGTGTTCAGGATCTGCATCGGTTCACTCATGTGCCAACAGGTAAATATTAAATGTTAACCCCCGTTTCTGTTGTCATTTTCCTCCTCCTCTGTCTGTGGTTGTGTTGAGATGTGGCTGAACGGTATCTTAGCTAAGAGTATCTAAGAGTTTTAATGCCATGAAGGTTTTTGTGTCTCTGTGATGATGGCACCATGAAACAAAGTAACCAAGACACTGCCGAATATCTCTGTAGTTTTAACAATATGTAGAATTGATGCTTTGGAGTTGAACTTCTGTACGCCTCTATGGAAGTTGCTGACTGTTTAGTCATGTTGCTGTGTATTACTGTTGCTTTGTAGTTGTGTCGCACTGAGATAATGTAACCAGCTGTCCAGCAGTGTTGCTGCATGTTGCTCTGCATATTTGTAGTAATGTAGTTGTGGAGTTGATGCATGTATGATCTTGTTATGATGCTCTTTAACTGTGGAGCTTAGAGGCTGTGTGTGTACTTTGGAAAATGGAAAAGTACTTTTGGATCTGTTGTTTTGCCTTTTTGTAGGAATGTGTTGGTGTGTATCTTTGCATTAATATTGTTGTGTATCATAATGATGTTGCTTTGTATGAAAACATAGCTGTGTAACTTTGTAATATTGTATATGTGAATATTTGTAGTAATTTACTTGTGTATCTTTGTAGTAATGTGTCTATGTATCTTTGTATTATTGTATGTGTGTATCTTTGTGGTATCATAGCTGTGTGTTGTCTCTTTGTCTCAGGAAAGTGTCTGGACCGCTCTGACCTGCTCCACACAGTGTCCATCTCAGATTGTGACACCAGTAAAACCAGTCAGAAGTGGGAGATGAACAACATCGTGGCTGTGTGAACAATCTTGGACTTAAAAATAGAAACACATCTATCAGACTGTGACCCTGATGAAATACACACATACACACACAAAGACACACACACATACACACACCAGACACACTCCTGCTGGTCTGAACTGGATCCATACCGGTCTCTTATTGGTTGTGTGGGGCTCTCAGGTGTTTTAATCCTCTCCTTCTTGGTTTCATCAACAGTCCTCAATCACACTATCAGCTCACTAACCAAAGAGCCCCCCCTATTGGTGGAGGAGATGGTGATATCATCAGTGGTTTTAATTCACCAGTCGATGTTGGTTAAACTGGTCTGATCTGGATCAGTAAGAGAACAAGAAACTTTAACCCCGAGACCAGACACAGACAACCCATGAAGACCAGTAACTGAACTGAACTCTGTTTTCACTAAAGACTCTCACACACTCATTATTTCTACTTCAAGAGTGTGTGAAATCTGCACACACTCCTCTGAAACACTCACAGCGAAGCCCAATTGCTGACACACACGCACATACACGCAGTACCAGTCCGACACCTCCACCTCCTTCTCCATCACATCAGTCACACTCCGGTCTCTCTCTGGTTGGATGCAGCTGTTTCTGGGATCAGCTCTGATTAGTCATCTCTCTCAGATCCTGTGTCGTGTGTGAGTGAGGAAGACTACTGCCTGCCTTATGATGGACTGATGAAGGTTCAGTATCTGACCAGCTGACTGTGATTTTGCCTGATGATAGTATACACTGTGGTGTTTATTTACTTTTGGGTGGGGTGGGGGTATGACTCATGACAACCCATGAAGAAGGTAACTGTTCGTTCGTTTGTTTTGTTAGTTTGTTTGTTTGTTAGTTTGTGGGGGTGCAGAGGGCTTGGTGAGTGGACGATCTTGTATGCAATGTTTTGTACAATGTAAATAATTCTTTGTAAAGATGCTGAATCATTTTGTGAAGGGCCTGAATGATGTAAATATTTAACTTATAGCAGAGATTTAATATGAGGGTGAAGGAGCAAATAAACACCTGATTTTTACAGCTCACACTGCCTCCTGCTGGTCACTGAATCTTGTAGAAATACCTCCTACTGCTTTCTAATGGATAAAAACCATACTACATTTTCTAACTTCTACTATAAAACACCTCCTTGTTTCTAAATGAAAGCCTCATGGGAAAATATGTCCAGGTGTTTACAGCTGACCAACAAATGAATACTAATCACATTAGTTCAATGACATCTATTCATTCATTTATTATCTATTTATCTCCATCTAACCTCAGGAAAACCTCAATAAGATTAAAAATCACTTTCATGTGTGTGCTGGGTGTGTTAAGCTGCAGAACAATATATCATCAACTGAATGCCAGCAAACCACAGGAGGAGCTCCACCACATTCCCCTAAAAAACTAAAAAACACAACAATCTGACAGCACACTAAACACAGTCTGATGACCAATAAAATGTAGCAAAAGAACCTCCCAGTGTCAAAGTCCCTGTACCAGTATTCACAAGTAGAGTGTTACTGGCTGGAATAGAAAATAAGAATAAGAATAACTTTATTAATTCCCGAAGGGAAATTCAACTGTCTGTTCTCTCACAAAATATGTCTCTAACAATTATCTGCTATTTACCCAAGAGTTATAAAGTCTGATGGCTGTTAGTACAAAAGATCTTCTGAGTCTTTCTGTCCTGCAGCGAAGAGAGAGGAGCCGTCCACCACCATTGGCCCTTTGGTCCATCAAGGTGTTGTGAAGTGGGTGATCCATGTTCTTTAGAATAGTCTCCACCTTCCTCAGTGTAGATCTCTCCACCACATCCTCCACTGAGTCCAGCTTGAGTCCAACCACAGAGCCAGCCTTTTTCACCAGTTTGTTCAGACGTCTTGCATCTTTGTGTTTGATGCTTCCTCCCCAGCAGACTGCAGCGTAGAACAGAACACTGTCGACACCACAGACTGATAAAACATCTGCAGCATCTTACCACAGATGTCTATTGATCGGAGTCTTCTCAGCCAAAAGAGGCGGCTCTGCCCCTTTCTGTAGATGAAGTCTATATTCTTAGACCAGTCCAACTTATTATCCAGATGTACACCTAGGTATTTAAATGATGTCACCACTTCGATGTCCACTCCACAGGTGTTCACTGGCTGAAGAGGGGGTTTAAATCTATGGAAGTCTATGACTATATCCTTTGTCTTTGAGGCGTTGAGGAGGAGGCAGTTTTTGTGACTCCAGTCACTGAAGGCTCTTATTAGATCTCTGTATTCAGCTTCTTGTCCATTTCTGATACATGCCACAATAGCGGTGTCATCTGAGTATTTCTGGATGTGGCAGGACTCAGTGCTGTATTTGAAGTCTGACGTATACAGTGTGAACAGGAATGGCACCAGCACACTGTCCCTTGTGGAGCCCCTGCACTGCTCATTAATGTCCCAGAAACACAGTTCCCCAGCCTGACAAACTGTGGCCTTCCTGTCAGGTAATCTGTGATCCAGGAAACACAGGAAGGATCCACTCCCATCTCTGTGAGCTTGTCTTTGAGTATGGTGGGTTGGATGGTGTTGAATGCGCTTGAAAAGTCGAAGAACATGATCCTCACATAAACCCCAGGTCCATCCAGATGAGACAGGGCACGGTGAAGCATGTAGAGGACAGCATCATCCACTCCAATGTGTTCTTTGTATGCAAACTGCAGGGAGTCCAGTTTGTCTTTGACCTCAGACCTCAGACCTCAGAAGGCGTAGAATCAGCCGCCCCAGGGTTTTCATTATGTGTGAAGTCAGGTATTAGTATATAGTATTAGTCCAGGCAGGCTATAAAGTCGAGTACCATGTACAGAACATCAGCTGATCCTAACACAGCCTGTGTCAGCTGACAGCTCAGCTGATTACCTTCTACCATCCAACAGTCAATAAAAATGTTTCTATCTCAACTTCTTCCGTCTGCCTACTCTTCCTCTGCAAACAGCTTTGCAAACCCTCCTCCTCAGCTCCTTCCTTTAATGCTGTGTCGGATTTTATGAGATGGTTTGATTGAGGAGTTGGATTTGACACAATTTGGTCAATTCTGTCACTGTCAAGGTTGCCCCCCTCTCTTTAAAGTCAACCTCCCACTCTAATGACAGGGAGAGTAGTTTGCTACTGTTTGGTGCAGGCCAACCAGGGGCACTAAGCTTATGTTTTAGTCCCACAATAGGTCCCATGATACATCTACCAGTCTGATTCACCAGAAAATCCGTCATATCTTTCTGATGACATTCAAAAGCAGCTGCGTCTCAAAGGCCAAAGTTAGTTAACCAGATGGTAAAGGAATGTTAACTTGAGGTAAAGAGATGATAATGTAAAAGAAGTTACACCTCTAAACCCTATATAACAGGAGCATGAACTGAGATCTGGGAGAAGGAAATCATTGGCAGTCATCTCCCAGTGCCAACTTGATACTGGTGTTGTCTTTGTAATTAGGGTCATGGGGCAAACACACAGAGGCGCTATTGTTATACTGTGGATTTTTTCTTATTCCTCTTCCGGACCAATTTTAATTCGCTACTTGTCCTACAGCTTAAGAAGTTGTCAGACAAATTTTATATCAAAATGTACGGTTTGATCAGGATCGGTGTGTTATTATTCTCTACTGTATATGAATTTTTCGTGACATAAAACGTGAAAACTTTTGCACTTATATCAATGGGACAAGCAAAAAAAAGAGCAATTATTGGAATAAAAGGAATACTTGATGTAGGTGTGCTCCTTGAAATCTCTGAAGAATCTCATCATAATGTACACTCCCTGGCAGTAACAATTTCTATTATACAAGCAAACCAGTGTCACTGTATGTCTCCTTTTGTATCTACACATCAGGACAGACGAGGTACAACAATAACTTGTCGTAAAAAGTGGGACATCATGATGCAGCAATTTGAAATGGGGGTGAAATGCATGTTTTTGCCTCTCTGTTTGTGTTGATAACATTTTTTCATAAAAAAGAAGAGGAGCAGAGACTTCCTGTGAGTTCTCAATGAAGACATTCAGGCATATAACTTTTATCTGAAATATTTCATATATTACATTATGAAAACTAAGTTTTAATACTTATTCATATCACTACATTCACTTTTCAAACAAAATCCTTCCACCCCTCAATCAAAGGGTCCAAATCTGTTTAAAACCTTTTCTTTGTGTCGCTCTGTCTGAGGAATTACAGTGTACAGAGCTGGTGATTAATCAAAGGATAGTCTAAATGTCACTATTTCAGCCCTGTGGAACCTGAAGAACCTGAAAAACCTCTTCATTCAGAGCTGAATCCGGATCTGTGAGGCTAAGACATGCCAGAGACCAGGATCACAGTCAGACTCTCAGCAGGCAGGCGGAGGAGACTATACCTTTCTTATGGTTGACAGCAGCCATAGCTTAGTATAGCCTATCAACAGGCTAAGTATGAGGGGCAGGGTGGGCCTGAGGAGGAGGACTCTGCTGCTCGTGGGGACATTTCTGGGACTGTTGGTTCTCTGGTCTCTTCTGACGCCCAAACCCAGCCACAAAAACCCTTTTGGAGAATGGGTAAGTAACAACAGCTAACCAGTGGTGATTTAAATTTAAAACCAAAGGCTTGAGATTAATGTTTGATAATAATCTTAAATTATGACATTTATGCACCAATTAAAAGGGGCACCAACACCTTAAATAGCAGGAAAATACTAGAAAAACAAAAGTTTAATTCAGAAATCAAACAATAAAATCAGTTTTAAAATTAATTTTTAAATCTTAAGCTGGAATTCTCATTTGAGGGACTCCGCTTCTGGAAGAGCACTAACAGACAGGATCTGTTTAATATAGGATCAGTAATGTTACAACATACATGCAATGTACGATAAGATAATAGGGATAAATCATGATAGATAAATAATAATAATAATAATAATAATAATAATAATATAATATTATTATTATTATTATTATCATTATAATGATGATGGATAAATAATGATAATAGTAATAATAATAATAGTAGTGATAAATAATAATAATAATAATAAAAATAATAATAATAATAATAATAATAATAATTATTATTATTATTATTATTATTATTATGGATAAATACTGATAATAGTAATAATAATAATAGTAGGGATAAATAATAATAATAATAATAATGATAACAATGAGTAACAGAGGAAGAAGAAGAAGGAAAAACAAAAATGAGGTGATGTTAAAGCTATAGTGCTTAACTTCTACGTGTCTGTAAATATCTGTTTCACCCAAGCCACTATGAGAAGAGATGCTGAAACACTGATTAAGCCGTTTGGCTCCTCTAACACCTTGCTGTATTTTTCAGTATTTGTTCTTTTTGTATTTTGTGACACTCCCGCGCTGACTCACAGGAAATTATGCGTAGTATGCTGTACGTCATATTGAGGTGCCAGCCCTATTGTTGTAATTACGCAGAAATCCTCTAGGGGATGATTAAAGTAAAAGTAATGCACTACAGTTTTAAAGAGAGAAGAAATGAGAAACATAACCCTGGAACTACTTTATAGAAACATGTTGTTTCTTACCTCCCTCTCGTCTCTCAGGAGGATGCTGCCCTGCCCAGAGCTGACCCTGTAGACCACTTTAAGCCTGTGGTGCCTTGGCCTCATGTGGAAGGGGTGGAGGTTGACCTGCACGCCATCAGACTCAAACGTCGTAAGACCCCATCGTGAGCATCCTTTATGAACCTACTAAGCTCTGACACTAAAATCCTGATCCAAAATCTTGGTTTTGGTTTTATCTCTCCAACAGACCCTGAAAACCCCCCAAAACCAGATCAGCAGCCCAACCAGAAGCAGGTGATCCAGCAGCAGTACATGACGTTCAAGCCCCACACTCATGCCTACACAGACCCGGTGCTGAAGAAAGGTATCCTGGGAAACTTTGAGCCCAAGCAACCAGAGCTCCCTGGGGTCGCTGGTGGTCCTGGAGAGGAAGCCAAACCTTTTGTACTGGGTCCAGAGTACAAAGATGCTGTGCAGGCCTCCATTAAAGAGTTTGGCTTCAACATGGTGGCCAGCGACATGATTTCTCTGGACAGAAGCATCAATGACATCCGCCACGAAGAGTGAGTCAAACCGTTGACACTGTAAATGCATCGCTTTGCTGAGTTTTAACTGCAGTCAGGGTTTACTCAATGAATAGACATCTGCATAAAGGTCAGCTCACAATCTGGTCTAGATCAAACATTTACACTGAACACTAATCTCCTTGGTGCCAAGTCACTATAGTCAGCATTTAGATTTCCTGAACTCACTGAATAAATCAAAAATGATCAAGACAGTGTGCCTGCCGACCTCCACTGTCAGGACCCTTGGTTGCAGACCTCCACTGTGAGGATCTGCTCCACAAAAGACCAGAAGTTGATTCGAAGCATTCCCAATTAAAAGCGATTACACCTGGAAGTACGCTAATATTATTAAGGTGTTAAAACATAGATAGATAGATAGATAGATAGATAGATAGATAGATAGATAGATAGATAGATAGATAGATAGATAGATAGATAGATAGATAGATAGATAGATAGATAGATAGATAGATAGATAGATTTTAAATTAGTGCCAATTGAATGTTGTTGATTGTGTTGATTCAAGCTTCTGGCAGTAAAAAAAAAAAAAAAAAAACCTAGAGCAAACACACGTGAACACATCCTCCAGATAGTGATGCCAAACATCTGACAGAGCAAACAAAGAATGTAGGTGTGTCTGGTTCTGACTCATAGTAGAGGCTGTCTATTTTAATTTCTTTGAAGGAACCTTCTCAAAAGGATATATAAAGTTGTATCTAATCTAACCAATCTGACAGACTCCGATAACTTCTGTTAATACCCAGCAATAACATTAGATCTGGATGATATACATAACATGTGACCAGCTTTAAGAGTGAGTGTATCCAAACTGATCATCTATGACGGCTGTCTGTCTGTATGAATGTGTGGGTTAATGATAATTATCATAACGCATCAGATTATATAGCACTTTTTATCAGTTACCTTAATGCGCTTGACACTGGATACATCATTCATTTCGCTCACACAGTCACACCCTGGTGGCGGTAAACTACCTTAGTATTCACAGCTGCCCTGGGGCAGACTGACAAAAACATGGCTGCCAATTTGTTGTGCACTTTGAGATTTGTTTTTAAATGTAAAGTGCGTTACAAATAAAATCTATTATTATTATTATTATAATTTGTGCCCACGGCCACTCCGACCATCATCAAACATCACTCACAATCACACACCAGTGGAGCAAGGCGAGTTAAGTGTCTTGCCCAAGGACAACAGACAGACTAGGGATGAGATGGAAATTAAACCGTCAACCTTCCAGTTATTAGATGACTGCTCTACCTCCTGAGCTACTGCCAACCAGTTGGAGAGTGATATGTCACACCTGTCTGAATGTGACTGACCTGCTGTGTCTCACCTGTCCAGGTGTAAGTACTGGGAGTATGACGACAGGCTGCTGACCTCCAGCGTGGTGATTGTGTTCCATAATGAAGGCTGGTCTACATTGGTAAGGACAGTCCACAGTGTGATCAAGAGAACCCCCATGAGGTACCTGGCTGAGATCGTCATGATTGATGACTTCAGCAACAAAGGTCAGAGGTCACTCCTAAAAAATAGGAAAAGAAACCCTGGTTCCAAAAAATTTTAGATGCTGTATGAAATGATAAATGAAAACTAATATCTAATACTAATACTTTTTTGGTTGTTTTTTTTTCTCGAAAAACTTTTTCCAGTCATGTTACTGACATCAAATTTAGAATGAACAGATTTTTTTCATCAAACAATATATGTCAATTTCAAAATAGATATGTGGTCCTTGCACTATTTTCAGTTTAATATAGACTAAATGATTTAAAACCATCAAATTCCAATTTTTGTCAACAGTTTTAACGCAGTGTCACACTAACATCTGACTTAGCCAGCAGAGGACCAACTGCTAATAATGACGAATTTATTCTTGTACAATATGAAGCTTACATGAATATTGTGTGTGTGTGTGTGTGTGTGTGTGTGTGTGTGCAGTCGACCTGAAGGAGCGTCTGGAGGACTACATCAAACAGTGGAACGGTCTGGTGAAACTGTTCAGGAATGAGAAGAGAGAAGGACTGATCCAGGCCAGGAGCATTGGTGCCAAGAAGGCCACTAAAGGGCAGGTAACTGATCATTTCACTGACACACACCTGGATCTTTCATGTCACTGATGGGAAACACTGTCACTATACGCCAGTGACCCTGTGTGAACCCCAGTGACATAAAAGATGGGCAAGATGATGTACAGTTTGTCGCCTAACCTCAAACCTAAGTTTACTAGTCAACCTTAACTCTAGATTTTACACTGTAACAGACACCATCACACACAGGACACACAAATCAGATGTTTGTGTTTTGTTGTTCTCAAGGTGTTGATCTATCTGGATGCTCATTGTGAGGTTGGAACCAACTGGTACCCTCCTCTGGTTGCTCCCATATCAAAGAACAGGTAACACACACACACACACGCTCACACACACACACACACACACACAGTGTAAATCCTCAAATATAGGCCAGGGTATAACTTGTATTTACTGCCGCAGGTACCAGGCCTTTATATGAGGCAGGTTTTATTAGAGGCCTACCCTTATGTCAAATTCTCCCAGTGTGTGGGAATTATAACTTCATATATTATACAGAGTGAGGGTCTGATCCACTAAAAAATGTAACCCTAAAAGCCCCTCAAAGTCCCTCAGAAGACCCAATTAATACATCACAGAGGGCTTAGTTTAAACCTGACAGAAAGTCCAGTCTTCACCCAACCAAGGACCCAGTTTGAACTGTCCGCTATGGTTGTGATTTAACCCCACAGAGAGTTTAGTTTAAACATTGCACTATGGTTCCTGTTTAAATCCAGCAAAACTCAAATGTAACCCTACAAAGCCCCAAGCAATAACCTCCTATAGTAAGCCTTTCTAAACTGCACCCAAGGCCCAGTTTTAACCCCTCAGATGGTCTTGTTTAAACACATGAGAAGGCCCAGTTTATACTCAGATAACTGTGTGTTTGTGTCTGTGAGTTTGTTTCTCTACATTTTTGGGGTTATTGCCTGTGTCTGTGTGTACAGGACAGTGTGCACAGTGCCTCTCATTCCTCTTCTTTTCGTGTCTCCATCTCCACCCTTCTGTCCACCCACCCCATGTCTCTGTGCTTTCACTGGCACTGCTGTCTGTGGCTGCCTGTGTCTGTCCTGCATTTACACCACCCCCACACCCTCCATCCCCATGTATTCTGTTTGTATGGCCCCTCCCTACTTTGTCAGAACGGTGTGTACAGTGCCTCTGATTGACATCATCGATGGCCATACATATACCATCACCACCCAGGGTGCAGGAGACAAGGACAACTTCGCTAGAGGTGCCTGGGACTGGAACATGCGCTGGAGCAGAATCCCTCTGGGAGAGAGGGAAAAAAGACAGAGACAGACTCGCACTGAGCCATATAGGTACACAAAACAACACTCCCCTGACCGCTGTGGGTGGGGTCAACATAGAGACAAAACTTTACTGATGCACATGGACAGTGTCAGTGTAAAGGTTTGTCATTGTAAATAGAATGGAATTCAACTAAAAAATAAAAAAAAAACCTCATTTAGTAAATAAAGTTACAAAAAGGGAAAAAAAAGGAGCAACCGACAATTTAAGACCATTGAGGAATTAAAATGACTAAGTTCACATTTATAGTAACAGGGCTCAAGTGTAGAAGTGTAATGTGAGGTTGAAAATATAAAAAGTAACAGTAACATAGTGTAAAATGAGGGTACTATTGGTAAAGTAACAGTATCATAGTTGGAAGTAGTTGCACCATCAGGAAAAATATCAGTAAGGTAGTGCATGGCAATCGACGAGTAGTGTGACATACCAAAACCAGAGTAAGTAGCAAAACATAAAACAAAAAATCTTACTTACCGGGTGTAAATTAACAGTACTGTCTCAGAAAAATTCATAACTATAGAGTGTAAAGGAAAAAATATATAATGTTAAGTAAATGTTCTTTGGTTTAAAGTAATGGTTGAACATGTACAATAACATAACTATGGTGTAAGGTAATAGTTCTACAGTGTAAAACTGTATTTGTACTGCATTAAGTTACAGTTCCATGGTATAAATGATCATAACCTTGGTAATAAGTTATGGTTCTGTGATGTATAAAACAGGTCATTTAATCTAATGTAACAGTACCATAGCTTAAAGTAACAGTAAAATTTGAAAGTAGCAATGCCATGGTGTTCAGTGACACATCTAAAAACAATGTTTAAGGTATCATTACTTAAAGATAAAGTAGGAATTCTGCTAATAAATTACACTGCAGTGAAAAGTTACATGACCATGAGTTTTATTCAAGATATTTATTAAAAGGTTAAAGTTAGAGTTCTATAATGTAAAGTTACAGTTTTACCATCAACACTTACAGTTCTATAGTGCAAAGTTGCAAATCTATGATGAACATTTCTTTAATGGAAAGTTACAGTTCTGCTGTAAACAGTTACACTTCTATGAGGTTAAGTTACAGTTCTTTAATGCAAAGTAAAAGTTCTATGATGTTAAGTTGCAATTCCTTGATTTTAAGTTACAGTTCATGAATGCAAAGTTACATTTAATTCCTGTAAAGTTGAGGTGCTTTAATGCAAAGTAACAGTTCTACCTAACAGAACAGTGATGAACATTATCCTGTCAATCAACCTGCTGATGATGTGTTGATGTGATGTGTTGACAGATACCTGTGCTGTGTTTACTCCTGTGTGTGTTTTTGTGCGCCTGCAGGTCTCCGGCCATGGCAGGGGGTCTGTTTGCTATAGAAAGAGACTTCTTCTTTGAGTTGGGTCTATATGATCCAGGACTGCAGATCTGGGGAGGAGAAAACTTTGAAATATCCTACAAGGTACGCACAGAGTACTGCACTATTACTATACTTTGATAGTTAAAGGTTTCAGAGTATTACTCTCATAATATTATTTAATCTGTGTGTAGATCTGGCAGTGTGGTGGTCAGCTGCTCTTCGTGCCGTGCTCTAGGGTGGGTCACGTCTACAGGCTGGAGGGCTGGCAGGGAAATCCTCCTCCTGCACATGTGGGATCCTCCCCCACCCTAAAGGTAGAGCTGCTCACACTTGCACACATCTGCAGAGGGAAGTAAAGATTAGCAGGAAAAGGAAGAGAAGATCAATGCAAAAACATCTTCTGTATTATTTTATAGATTGTAAAAATGCATTTGGTGGGCTGTTCTACAGATTCATGTGTAGACTGCACTTCTGTGCAAGATGGCGAGAGGTCACTGTCTATGTCCACTAGGTAGCACTAGAGTTGAGTACAATAATAATGGAGGATGACTTACAATTTACTTAGTACCCTGTACCTCTACATCACATATGTCAGAGTCAAGGCCCGCGGGCCACATCCGGCCCGCGAGAAGGTTTTTTACGGCCCCTGGGATTATCTTGATTTATTATTAGAACCGGCCCGCAGACCGCAGCAAGCCGGCAGCCCGCAGATCTTTTACACGCACCAATACTACATTTCCCACAATGCAACGGTGACGCACCGAGCAGTAGGCTGCTTCATTTCAATATTTATTAGCACAGCAGTCGTCAGCATAACAGTTAAATTAACTTTCAGATACCCATCAAAAATGGCAAAACGGAAGGTGGACACTGAGAACCGGGGGTTTCAAACAAGGTGGGAGTCGGAGTATACGTTCACGGAGGTAGCTGGAAAACCTGTGTGTCTTCTGTGTGGAGAAAGTGTGGCGGTACTGAAAGAGTGTAATCTGAGACATTATGAAACGAAACACGCGGACAAAAACAAATAAATACCGAATATGAATAATACCGGTTTCTTTCATTTAATGTTCATGTTATGGGGATTTTTATATAAAGGAAATTTGTCTTTTGTGTCTGTTGAAAATTAAAGATTACTGACAGAGCCATAAGAAAATATTGCTTTGTTTATCTGATCATATTGGAATATATTTGTTAGGTTTTCAGTAGGTTCAATTAGGTTCACTAGACTATATGCGTCATTTAAAAAAATTTCAATGAACATTCGATCAGTCCGGCCCTCGGCTTGTAGCTAAATTTTTTATTTGGCCCTCCGTCCATTTGACTTTGACACCCCTGCTCTACATGAAGCTGTGACACTGAATATTTGCACTTATATAAATGTGTCCAGGCAAATAGAGCTGTGATATTTATGCAACATAAGGATTCACAGAACTGAACGTCTCAGTTTAGGAGACACATGTAAATAAAAAGTGGTTCTTTAGCACAAACACATGATCTGTAGATGTTTCTGCCCTTATGTGAAGTCAGTGTTTGGCCTGCAAAGAAAAATTTTAAGTGTAAAGGATGTCTCATAGCCAGCAGGTGGCATTATAACTACAGTTAAATATTGTTTGTTAATTCACACAGACATGGACTTTTCCAAGAGGGAGGCAGAGCCATGCTCCAACCCCAAAACACCCATCATTCCATCAACGTTTCATCTTTTACAAACTGATCAAGCCTTAAGGTTGATAAAACATTAAGTGTTTAACAGTTAAAGTGTGAACCCTGCCAATGACAGAAATGAGCCCTGATTTGAATGTAGACCCAAATAGTGGAAAGAGGTTGAGAGTGCGTGGGACTGATGTGTAAACCTGTTCAGATTATTTGTAACAGGATTCCCCCCTGTGGCCCCTTCCCTGTTTATCATTCACTGCTCTCTCTCTCTTGTTCCCGGCTCTATCCACTGTCCTTTCCTCTGTCAATAAAGACCAGAAAGACCCCAAAAGGAATCGTACAGAGTAAATTTACTCAGTTTTTATTTGCATATGAAGGTTAATAATCGTTGGGCATGTTTATCCACTCAGAAATGAGGTTCATTTGGCACCTCAGTTTTATAAGCTCAAAGGCAGGCTCTTTCTGCACTGTTGGCTCTGAAAGTAGCATTAAAAAAAGTGAAAGGATTATAGATGAGGTGATCAGAATGTTTAAAACTGTGTTTATAATCCTGCATGTTTGTTTGATCAGAACTATGTGCGAGTGGTGGAGGTGTGGTGGGACGAATACAAGGACTATTTCTACGCCAGTCGTCCTGAGACTCTCACACTGGCCTATGGAGACATCAGTGAGCTCAAACGCTTCAGGTAACCCACAGTCATTGATTCTAGACAGATTTATTCTGTATTCTGTCTGAGTCACACTTTTGAACACCTTTGAAAACCTGTCATCACTCTGAGGACCCTCCCTGAAGAGTCACTGTGTTCAGATTATCTCAGACTAACAGACTGCGTGATGGTAGTTCAGCTACAACACTCCATGTAGATCATTGAGTCCAGATCCTGTCAGTGTCTGATAATTCAGCTGTACAGGGCTGTGTTGACTTTTTGGGCTAGCAGCAACTATTTTCTATTCAAACTGAATGCAGCTCAGCGTTCTTGTACTGGATGTCTTCGGCGCAAAAAACACCCTCAGTGCCTCAGTTTTTCTTGACCACTGACCAATCAGAATCAAGAGGGGTGGGACTTCTAATGTCTTTGACAATAACAGTGGCAGAATCTGAGTGCCAAAACACACGTGTGATTGCAAGAGAAGAGCGAGAGAGAAGAGGTTCCTGTATGTTGGGTCAGTCTCCACTATCCTCTACTATCAAGATAGTAGAGGTTGATAACATTGTGAGGATCTGTTGAGATAAGCAGACCCTCTCACTCCCTTTACTTCAGCTGAACTCTTGTTTTTACGGTTAATCCCCCATTTTCCACTCAAATGAATCTCTGCTGGTCTGTTGTTGACATGCTCCATTGGGGTATCTCAGTGCTGATTGGTTATCATGGTTTGAACAGCGGGTTAGCGGGTCAGCTGATTGTATTTGATCTGTCGGTTTCTCTGTCTGCAGGGAGAAGCATCGCTGCAAGAGCTTCAAGTGGTTCATGGAGGAGATTGCTTATGACATCCCTCTGCACTATCCTCTTCCTTCTAAGAATGTGGAGTGGGGGGAGGTAGGGGTACACACAGACACAAACAGACACACACACACACACATACCTTCTCTGTCTATCAGTGTTTGTCGTCATGCTGTGTCCTTATTCATGCTGTGTGATACTGTGACTCTACAGATCCGAGGCTATGAGACCAGTTACTGTATCGACAGTATGGGACACACTGATGGGGGAACTGTGGAGATTGGACCCTGCCACAGGATGGGGGGCAACCAGGTACTGACCCACAGGGAGCTGCTGGTCAACAATCTGTCTTTAGATAACCATGATCATCAATAATCAGGTCTAACAGCAGGCTAAACCCTAGGCAAGAGCCAACTGTTACTGACTAAAAACAGCTTACTCATTTTAAGTGTGTGTGTGTGTGTGTGTGTGTATTTGTGTAAAGTTGTTCCGTATCAATGAAGATAACCAGCTGATACAGAATAATAAGTGTCTGGCCAAAGGAGCGAATAACACGGTGATCATCACACACTGTAACCACAAGCAACACACTGAGTGGAAGTATTTTAAGGTATGTGACACACACGCGCACACACACACACACGCACACACACACACACATACACACACACACACACACACACACACACACACACACACACACACACACACACACACACACACACACACACACACATTGATTTCTTAACAGTAACTGTATGTTTTTGTCTGCGTGTTCAGGATCTGCATCGGTTCACTCATGTGCCAACAGGTAAATATTAAACGTTGAACACCTGGTTGTGTTGTGTGGTTGTGTTGAGATTTGGCTGAATGGTATCTTAGCTAAGAGTATCTAAGAGTATTGTTGTCATGTAGGTTTGTGTGTCTCTATGATGATGGTACCATGAAGCACAGTAACTGGGATGGTGCTGAATATCTCTGTAGTTTTCACAATATGTAGAATTGATGCTTTTGGAGTTGAACTCCACACTGTACGCCTCTATGGAAGTTGCTGACTGTTTAGTCATGTTGCTGTGTCGTTGTGTTGCACTGAGATAATGTGACTAGCTGTCCAGCAGTGTTTCTGCATGTCTCTAAAGGGGGGTTACTGTGCATATTTGTAGAAATGTAATTCTTGAGTTGATACATGTATGATCTTGTTATGATGCTCTTTATCTGTCGAGCACTAATACTTTATCGATCCCCAATGTGAAATTCCTTTGTCTGGAGTCTTATCGTTTATAGAATTGTAAAGTCTGATGGCTGTGGGTACAAAAGAGTTTTAGAGTCTCTGTCCTGCAATGAAGAGGAGTCATCCACCACCATTTGATCCAAAGGGTGAGGTGGATAATTGATGTTTTTAATAGCCTCCACCTTCCTCAGTGTTCATCGCTCCAACACATCCTCCACTGAGTCCAACTTGATTCCAACCACAAAGCCAGCTTTTTTCACCAGTTTGTTTAGACTTTATTAGTGTGGCTGTGTAGGGTAAGGGACAATCACAGGTTTACACTAAGGTAGACCAACAACGCAACCTCGGGACTTTCACCCAAAGAGTTTCACATAGTTCTAACAATATACTGTAAGGCTAACACAGGTTCAAAAATTCTACAAGCAAGACAGATGTGGTTAAAAAACAAATTAGTTGTTTTTGAACCACGTCAATTATTGCTTTTGTTGGGCAGAGAGTTTTTTTTTATCTCCATTCTCTAGCCTTCAGCTTTGCCTTCACCTTTGCACCAGCACTGCAACTACAATTACACCTCTTGATGTGTCTGTGTATATTTGTAGTAATGTATCTGTGCATTCTTGTAGTAATGTATCTGTGTATCTTTGTTGTGACGTAGGCCTAACTGTGTATCTTTGAGGTAACGTATCTGTGTATCTTTTTAGTAATGTATCAGTTTTTCCTTGTAGTAATGTACAAATTTATCTTTGTAATAATGTGTCTGTGTGTCTTTGTAGTAACGTATTTGTGTATCTTTGTAGTATCATAGCTGTGTGTTGTCTCTTTGTCTCAGGAAATTGTCTGGACCGCTCTGATCTGCTCCACACAGTGTCCATCTCAGTCTGTGACACCAGTAAAACCAGTCAGAAGTGGGAGATGAACAACATTGAGGCTGTGTGACCAACTGGGACAGTCCTCAATCACACTGACAGCTCACTAACCAAAGAGCCCATACTATTGGTTGAGGAGTCAGTGACATCACCAGTGGATTTAATTCTCTCCATTTTGGTCTCAGTGTGCACCAGATTGTTCTATTTATTGGGACCAAGGGAGCAAACGCACCGAGGTACTATTGTTATACTGTTGATTTTTCCTATTCCTCTTACGGACAAATTTCTATTCCCTACCAGTCCTACAGCTCTCTGACATGAACAAGCCAACCACTGTTCACGTGATCTTAAAATATGTGTGAATGTTGTCCTTGAGGCGTGTAACTTATGAAGCAGACTTGTCCAGCAAATTAAAGAGAGCCTTATGGTTTAATCAGATTCCTGCTTATTGTAAGAATCAGTTCTTTAGTGGACTGCTCAAGGACAACCAGGGAAGTCTTCAGGTCTCAGATAAACCTTTTAATATGGTCACAAGTAGAGTAATACAGTGCTGGACTTGCGATGACGGAGCTCCTAGGATCTCCATCACAACAAGTGCCCATTTCCGGGTATCTTATTCGCCAGTTATCTCTGACGTGAGCGGGCCAACCACTGTTCACGTGGTCCTACTGAAATGTGCTATGAAATATGTGTGTGTGTGTTGACCTGTCCAGCACAATCAAGAGAGCCTGGTAGCTCATCGGGCTCCTTCTTATCAAGCTAGGCCCCACACTGTTCTGATTAAATGAAACCATTCAGTAAGTTGCATTAAATTAGTGGGAAAGTATAAATCTGAATCTGAAGTGAACAGAAAACAGACAGGGAAAAAGTACAAATTTAACGTTAGCAAATTGAAACTTGATTATAACATTTCCCCTTTTGACGTCATTTTACAATGCCAATAAAAACACAGGTGGGAATGTTTTCCTGTATTGTGTCCCAATTTCTGTACAGCAGCCAACTCAACTGCAAACTGTGAGTGAGTGACTAATTGTCTTGAGCTGAAACACAACCAGGTAGGAAATTATCTAGGCATCCTCTTTTTAGCACATTATATTAAATTAACACAGATAAAAACCTTATAATCATAAAGTGGGTATATAAGCATGTCTTCATTGCAGCACCCTATATGTGTGCCAGGATGTGTAAACTCTTCTTCATTGCAACTATGGGCAGCAAGCAGTTCTTCGCTGCACATGCATGTGGAAATAATAAACAGAGCCATGTGTAAACAGATAAAATCATCATAATATACAAGAATAAGCTAAAACCTTCATATTAGGAGTTTTTATCATGATACTGGTAACAGAACCTCTTTCCCAGGAGTATTTAACTTTAAATGTCTCTACTGATAGCATGTCCGCAATGAGCACAATAATCAAAAAAGAAAACTACGAGTCTCACACCTCCATGTGTGTGTAATGCTATATGTGGATATGTGGTAACTTTAGCAACACATGTGTATCTATAGAAGTTCAGGGGTACAAACAACGGTCTTCATTAGCATCCTCGTAAGCTGCAGTCTCACCCTCTTCAGGCTCAAAGAGGGAGACACCAGTGAGAGGTGGTATGGGGGACTGTATCATTAATGACCATGGTGATACAGTATACTTTGGATCAGTGGTTCTCAAGTCCAGTCCTCGAGGCCCACTGTCTTGCATGTTTTGGATGTTTCCCTGCTCCAACACACCTGATTCAAATGATCAGCTCGTTATTAAACCATTACAGAGCTTGATAACGAGCTGATCATTTGAATCAGGTGTGTTGGAGCAGGGAAACATCCAACACATGCAGGACAGTGGGCCTTGAGGACTGGACTTAAGAACCACTGCTTTAGACAGAGGTGCCCCATCGCACAGTTTATGACTTACTGCTTTTTGTGTAATTTGCCCATTCACATTGTATCATGCGACGGCTTTTGCTGCCATTTCTGCAGCATTATTTCCTCTTGCTACTCTGCTGTCTCCTTTTTGGTGTCCTCTGCACTTGACTATGGCTACTTATTTAAGTTCCAATAAGAAATACTCGGAGAGCCAAGGTCTCAAAAATAAATTTTGTGCTTTTTCTATTAACTTTGACCCTAAAAACCAATAATTAGAGGGTCTGCTCTAGCATAAACATTGCGAGAAAATTTTTTTTGGGGCCATTTTACTGTATGTACCCTTCATTTTTTGATAGAAAATTTTGCAAAATGAAAATTTTCCTCAATCCTCAGTGGGGTAGGGTAACCTGTCGATAAATGCATTCCAGGTGCACAGCTAAAATTTGTGGAGATGGTGTTCCCTTGGTGAGCAACAACAGTGGAACTGAGAATTATCCTTATGCAGCACAGAGACGGTTGTTGGAAGAAGCAGGTTAAATATTTCTGAGCACAAGCTGTGGAACAATTGGCAGCTTCAGGACACCTTTTTAAACTCAAAGTTTCATCAATTACGAGGCTCCATCATCAAATAAAGTGTATAATCACAAGTGTAAATATATCAAATAGACGAAAGGTGAAGATATCTCCAGTTGTGATCATTTTTTGTCGCAAAAGTTAAACACAAAACACACTATAATTTTCACTCATTCTTTATTTTTTGTTGTATTAATCACTCATACTCCAGCAGTTATTTTTGTTGTATTTACACTTTGCTTATATCATGTTTTGAAGCTTTCTCTTCCATACCAGCACCTATGATCACCCGTGTCCCACCCCTGACCTCTCATACACAACAAGACAATCACACTGGGCCTGTATCCACAGACAGGTATTTTTTTAAAGTAGATATTGCCTTCAGAAGAGATGAAGTCCTGCTGGTGGAAAAGAAAACTAAAGGGGCAACATAAGAGGAGATCTGAATTGCTCACACCACCACAGCCTCAAAATAACCATTGACCATTATTCTTTCTCAAAGAAACCTGAGGTCACTCATCATATTGACCTCACTTCACCAAGTGAACCAACCCAGAAAATAGAGTGATATAACTAGTTTGATGTTTTATGTCTGATTCAATGCCACAAAAGTTCTTTTCATGATCACAATACGTATTAAAAATCAACAGAAGTGATTTACTGATCATACAAAATCTGTGTTTTTTTATATTGTTGTAGAGTGTTTGGGCCAGACTGAGCGACAAAACTGCCGCAACAAGAGAAAGATGTGATCCCATAATTTTTTTCAATATTTAAGAATCTTTTTCACTCTGCTGCCTGTACTTTGACACTAATGCTTTGAAATATGAAGGAGTTTTTAAAAATTAGATTGAGAGGAGGAGGACTTTATTCTAATTTGTATTTTGAAAGAAAATAAAGTGAAATGTTGAAGACAACTGTTTAAAAGAAGAAATAGAAATAATAAATAAAATAAAATGTCCAGATTTTGCCAACCAACAGAATAACATTTATCTTAACAAGGTGGTCTTATTCTGAAATAAATTTGAACCTAAAATGAGACATCACACACAAAATCAATGAGTACAAAATGAAAGGTCTTATAAATAATAAAAAACAGATGAAACTTACTTAAATTTTTTTGCTACTGCTGTTAGTTTTATCAACTTGTAACGCATTAATACTGTGGGTGAATTAAAATGTGCTTTTCCAACTTTAAAAATTTTGATTTGAGAGGGCAAGGCATTTATTTAGACACATTAGGGACATGATGCGCACTATAACCGGTTCTACGATCTCTGTGCTTTGGCAGATCGTCATCATTTTTTAATCCTTCACAAAATAAGATGGTCAGATCGCACATTCGGTCCACTGGAGTCTACTGCATCCCTAGCAACAGTCTGTTCTCCATAGTAACAATCTGCCATAGAGGAATAACAGACTGCATCAAAATCACAGATTTTAGTCTCCAACAATTAAAAAATTAAAAAAAAAAAAAATCACAGCGGATGGTGTTCATTGATATCTGAAAGGTGGGGTATGTACTTAGAAAACCTAACAGGGCTGTGATCGCTGATTGAAAGTAGTTATTCAGAAAATACAGAAATCATTTAATTGCTTCCCCCTTTTTCTTCAGCTGTTTGTGCCGGATCCTTTGATAAGCAGCTCATTACTTCTGATGTCCTCCAAATAACACAACCTGTGTTTTCACTCAAAATTACATCATGGCAACAGGTAATCCTCAATGTTGACTCAGTGTTGATGGTGACATGGAGTAACTCAACAATCAAAAACTAGGAAACTGACTGTGGTTTAACTTATTAAATGTCTGGTTCTTAAATAAACTGACTCTCAATAAAAGCAAAAGGTCAATTCAACAAGGGCAACTTTGCATAATTAACAACTTAAAAAATTGTGTTTCAAAAGTTTTAAAAAAAGTATTAAAATGTCAAGAATGCAGGAAAAATAAAGTTAAAAAATGTATAAAAATCCTCCACCTCTCAACATTATTTTTTTTGTTGAACTGGCTCCATTATTCATCCTAAAAAGCTGAAAATATGACACTAGGAGCAACTTAATGCAAACTTCAGAGATCTTAAATTCTGGGATACAGCCTCAGTGCAGACCAGAAACTGGACAAACAACATGTGGAAAATGAATCTTTACATCACAGAAAAGCAAGCATACATGGGCTTTTACTCACTATTAAATTTCAGTACAATTCACACTCAGATAAAAGTCTACCATCAGATTACTTTTCCAAAGAAAAGACAATGCAAATCAGCTTAACGTCTGTACACGACAAAAAGACTCTGTATTTAACAATACTGTCTTTGTAAACCAAAAGTAACAAGTTAAAAAAGGGCAAAATTAACATATCGTACATGTACAAAATGAAAGAAGGCAGTTTACTCTATAATTATATGAAGAAAAATGCTATAATAACAAAAGTGTAACTATATTTAATATTAAAAAAAATGAAAATTAGCATACTGAAGTTACCGTACAGGGAGAACCATCACCAGAGCTACAGGATGATGGGACTCCTGTGGAGTACCAAAATAAAAGCCAAAACTGGGAGCATGTTGGCAGTAAACACACTACACAGAATTTCTCTCTCTCACACACACATTCACACACTCACACACACCTTGTTACCTAATCAGACTGGGCAGTGTGTTGGCTACCATTAAGGAGAGGAAGAGAAAAGAGAAGACAGATCTGATTACTGACTACCAAATGAATACTTCTTATGCTCTTTTTGTTCAACCAATACATGATCTTTTCAGGACTCAAATTGCTCCTAATTTTTACTTATTGTACTAAAAAACAAAAACAAAAAAAAAAACAGGGGACATATTACAATCAGGGCCTGAAATCAGCACCTGCCAAGCATCAATTGTGGGCAGATTTTCTTTCTTTGTGCTTTATGGCCAGTAAACATTTTTACCAAAATGGTCAGGGAACTACAAACTGTTCCTCATAACAATGGCTGTCGAGCTGCGACTTCTGTTTTTGGGAGTAAGACTTCTATCTTTTTGGTGATATTTAGGATTTAATAATAAGATATATTGTGCAATGCATAAAAACACCACTTAATATGAATCAAATCAAAAGTGTGATTGGCCAGTGATTTTTTTCAGCTGTTTGCCAACTGGGCTGGGTCGAAAAGATAATTTCAGACTTTGATTACAACATTTGTTGATTCAATTTAACGTTCCAGATAAGACATAACCTACTCAGTTTTTTTTTTTTTTTTTGGAAAGCATGAATCAATAAGTGGAACAGAACAACGACTTGATGTTTTGGAGACTTTAAATGAGCCCTTGAATAGATTCACTCTGAAAGATTAAGAATAGTTTTAATGTTGAAGGGAAAAAAAATAAAAACCACTTAAAATTTAATTTTTGAAATACTTTACCTAAATCTGATTTTTGGGGGGTTAATATTTTTCATGTTGCGGCTTTAAAAGTAAGTTTGCATCATTAATGAACAGCTCCATCATATTTTTAACCTTGTGTTTTCAGTTTGCGTTCTCTCTGTCTTCCCCTCTTTCTCAACACACTGCACAATCGGCGGGGCTTTTGATTCACAAACAACCCCTCAGCTTTCAACTCTCGTCATCAGTTTGTTCTTTTAAACTGGTGTCTCATGTTCAGGGCACAAAACAGCATTAATATCTGTGTGAACTGTCAGCATGAATAAAAATAAAATACAGATATATCAGTAAATACTGGTACCTGTGTATCTAAGGTTAACTCGTACCACAGTGGCTCAATAGTAAGACTCCAAAGAGGCTGAACGACTCGGCCTGAGTTTGGTCTTTTGTCATTTCACACACACAATCATGAATGAACGGATCGTACAAAAACTCATTGAGTAGAAAGTAGGAGGTAAAGTATGGAATGGTGTTAAATGAGGATTTAAGTAACAATGATAAAAACAGTAACACAGGTGCAGAACTCATAGTATCGATTGGATTTGTTCCAGTAGCTTCCAGGCAAAGTGTAGTTCATCAGCGTCACCACAAGAGGGAGCAACGGCACCACAGTTTATCCACATGCAGGCGAGTGGTTCAGACTAAGCTCACGCAGTCGGACTCTTCCTCCTCACACTCTTGGTTTCTTTGTGTTTGCAGCCTTCTCTAAAGTTCCAAAAAAGTTAGTTTACTCTACTCCTATCCTACGCTACATTCAGACGCCATCTTTTCCATCTTTCTGCTGTCACCCCTCCACTCTTTCCTCCTGTCCTCCTTTCCCCTCCCCTTCTGCTCCTGCTTCTCTCTCTTTGCTCTACCATTTTTATTGAACCGCGCAAACGTTTTCCTTCTTTTTTTTTTGTTACTCTTTCTCTCAGTAAAGTAAACTTGTTTTTGTCCTAAATGTTAGTACCGATTCATTCTCACTTCCTGACATTTAGTGCCTTGCTGTAGAGGCTAAAAACCGTGAGTGTGATCCTCCTCCTTTTCTGTGCAGCTTTCCTGTCTGTGCTGCAGTTACTTCAGACTACCTCCCGACCTCTGTTGTTCGGACGGACTGGCATTGACAGGCGGATCCAGCAGTGACTTGATCCACATCTTGAAAGTGGTTACCCCTGTGAAACAAAATCAATCTTCGCTAACCCCAATCGCCCCCCTGAACCCTGTTTTATTTAAGTGCTGGCAGAGAGAGTCTGTCTCAGTCCAGGACCTCCACTTTTTCCCTCTGTCGTCGGCTGTTATTTAGATCCTCATCTTCTTTGTTTCTTCTTCTCCTCTGCGCTCATTCTTTCACTTCTCCATCAGAGCATCATCCTCTGTGATGCCCTGGGCTCGGAGCTCCTCCAGCACGTTGTCCAGGTGTCCGGGGTCGGGGAAGCCGTGGCCCGTCAGGTTGGAGCCAAACTCTGTCTTATGGTGAACCTTGAAGATGGGGCAAAAAATACTTCTTTAATTTCCTTTGAACTCTTAGATAAACACAAACCTGATCCAACTGAATTCTAGTTTCAGCGACAATTTACAATTTATGCATTCTTTTGTCACAGTAAATGGTACATTTGATTGTCAAAAGTCAGCAAGATAAGACTTTTTATTCTGATGCCTGTACAGGTCAAGCACGGCTAAAGGTCCTTACACACCAGGAGCGTTTTTTTATGTGCGATTATTTCGGACGTCGATATTATTTTTCGAACCCGTATCCTGTCAATACAAGCGTTCACATCAGTGACGTTTTCCTGTCCTGCGATATTGCAGCATTTATTTTTTTTTAGATTTTTAGATTTTCTAAAGTTTCAGATACTGTGTGTTCACTTCGGACCAATCAGACTGCGTGTTGTTGCGACATCTGATTCACCGGTATATCCAACATGGCTGACCGGCTGATTGTGCTTTTTGATTAAAAACACAAACATTACAAAGATAACGACCTGAAGGACAACTTGTAGAGAGTCATAGTGTCGGATTTCTCCTATGACGATGGTTTGTGTGCTTTAACAGTTTGCTAAACGTCTTTGTTTTAACTTTCATCTGTGCTAAGTAACTTCAGCTCGTAAGCTAATCTGTTCAGATACAACATACCATATGTATTTTCACTGTCTCAGACTCAATTGTGTTGCTGTCACAGCACCATTAGGTCTCGGTTGTTACCTTATGTTTATGGATTATAGTTTAATGTGTTTATCTGTTACTGGCCCCGATGCAGCACATGCTATCATGACAGACAGCCATCTCAACATTAGTGTCTAATCAGAACTGAAAAACAGTCATTCTGCCGTGGTGTCAGTCTTCTTGCTTCTACCCAGGATGCCCCCCCGTCGCAAAATCACATCAGGCTTGATGTGTATAGTCAGGCGCGTCAAAATCCGCCTCCGAATATTTCGTAATTTCGCGTTCTATATTCGCATCAGCCCCAGTGTGTAAGGACCTAAAGTCTGCTTTCTTCACAAGGGGCGCAACAGAAATTTCTAACCTATGCAATCTTTGCTTTTTTTTTCAGAGTGAATCATGCAGCCTCTACTGAACATTGTTTATTTGCATCTTGACCTGACACTCTCTAGATTTGATATTTAAGGTTCTGCTGGTTTCCTCTTCTTTTGAGTGAGGCAGTGTTAGGAGGGACCCAGCAGAAAACATCCTATGGTATCAATCTCTTGTCTCTCTCTTCATTGTTGTTGGCTGTACCTCGTTCCAGATGACGGTGTCCGACTCTCCTGTAGTGCTCGAAGTACCGACTGAGAAGATCAACCTGCGGTCCCACGCTACCAGAAGCAATCTTAGTACCTGAAGACAGGTAAAAATAAATAAATAAATACATAAATATGCATATATGAGGACCAAAGGAGTTTATTACAAAATACTCAACCACGTACCAACTCTGTGGTATCCCTAGTACACAGCTTGTTTGCATTCTTAATACTATACTATATTATTCAATCTGAGTTAATACTTAAAAATAACCCCAATGAATCATTTAGGTGGAAAGGTTTAAAGTTATATGACTTATAAATATTTAAAGAAATAGAATTAAAGTGACTAATTTTATCAAATAGTAAACCAACCAAACACCACTGCAGTCTGTTAAATATAAGTATTTCCAAAAACCCCAAAAGTAATTTAGGGTTAGTTTTCATAAATGGGGGTGTGTGTTACAGCTAAGGTGGATTTTATCACCTTGCGTCCTTTCTCGCTGTCTGGGAGGTAGCAGTGTCGGGGGAAGCCTCTGGCAGTGAAGGGCTTCCCTGGGTTTGGATGCTCTGGTCCCTGTAAGGAAGGAGGAAAATTAGAAGATTAGAAAGGCAGGGCTGCTGTCACCGTGTCCTAACTCCATGAGACCTCTTTGCTGCTCTTGTTAACCCAGCTATCAGAGTAAAACATAAAATGACTTCTGAAATGGATAAGCAGTAGCAGATTGGATCCTTAGGTGATGCAAAAAAATCATAAAAATGTTCTTTGATGTTTGGAAATAAAGAAACAGATTAAGGAACCTACACTGCACGCATCGCTCCATTGGTGCCTCTGTATGCATTTTCCTCACTAAAACAACTCTCAGATAGGCCGCCTAAGTATATATATTTTTTATATTTTCAGCAAGTATTCAGAGCCCCTCTTTTTGCTTCTCTCTCACAGCCAGGAGCACCTGACTGATGCTCAGCAGGTAATCAGAGAGAGACAGAGAGGTGGTCCTTCAGTGCATCACTCCTGATGATGCACTGATTGCTGTTTATGTTAATTAAAAACCTTCTCATGCCGGTGGGGCAGATGGTTGCTGCAGATGTCCTTTTGAAGTATCTTTGTTTTGCATCTGAACTATCGGAGTTTTGGACTGAATGACAATGACGAGCCTTGTCCACGCATGGAGTAGGTGTAACGCTTTGAAATGCAAGTTGTGTTTCCCCAATGCCTTTACCATGTGTGTTTCTGATACGAACTATCAAATGATCAGACACAGAAAGAAAAGAGACTCAGGATCTAGGGGCTCTATTTTTGTGGCCGCCAATGGCATGGCGCACAGTGGTGCACCCCCGTGCAGTGTTTATTTTAGTGCAGCGCAGCACAGCGCACAGCCAGTTTGGTATTTTCGCCCAGCTTGGTGCACTAAGGTGATATTTTCGTGCCCGCCTGCGTCATAGAAAGTGTTTTGAAAGCCGATTTTAACCTGATCAGCTTTCAGCGCAGGCGGAGCGCAGCTGGTCAAGTGGTATTTTGGTAGACTAGCAAAGCAGTGCGCACACTTCACCGATGCCTCACAGGCAGGTTTCCACAGTGTCAGCCACGTTTCAGTGCAATCAATAATCAACAACAACCAATATTCAGTGCAACTATCTGAGTCAGCATATACATTTAGATCTATATCAATATATTCTGATCTATATCTTACTTGACGAGCGTGTTTGGTACGTGTTTGGACACTCAACCTGACCGAATTAACACAGTTGAAATCACATTAAATTAAATATCTAGTAAATAGTCACACATGATGAAGTTAACAATATAATTAATTCGTAATTTGCGACACTTGTTGAGGGGCTGCCTACTCTCACAATCTTGTGGCGTTGCTTTCTTCAGCCATCTCTTTGACGACTTCATGAAAATTATAAAACGCCTCGCCCGTGGCGGATTTAAAGGTGAGGAGAGGAGCTGATGTGATTGGTCAAAACAGGACACAGCTGTGTTAAAACCACTCAACGCCTTATCTCCTCCCTCTTCTCTACTTACGCCACTGGGAGGAGCTGAGTTAGGGAGGGGGGATAATTGCACTAGGCTGCACCACACACCAAAATACCAAAGTGTGCTTGGACATGGCTCATCAGCGTGGCGGACCTGACGTATAATGTACCCCTGCCACGCCGCTGGCAAGGCACGAAATTAGAGCCCTAGGAGTGACACTGCTCATCTTTGGTACCTGAATGCCTGGTGGGATGTTGTAGATGATGCGAATGGTTTTGCAGTCAGGATGCCCGGGGAGAGAGTGAGGGATGACGTGATACTCCATCTTCCCTGCAGGTTGGTTGCCTGTCTTCACGCCGTAGATGGTTTTACAGGTGGGACACTGAAGACTGAGGAGACATTTGATTTACAAAAAAATAAGAAAAACAGTCTTTCACACTACTGTATGTTAGAGCTTTTACTCAGCAAAGTGAAGAGACAATAATGTGTCATATGGGGTAACCTACCTCCCATCTTTGTTGCCGTTGTTGTACATTGCCACCAGACACTGAAAATGGTACTGGTGTCCACACTGTGCTAGTCTCCCAACAGACTCAGCCCGAGACACAGGACCCACTCCTGGACCTTTATACCCGGATGGACCCCCTAACGGCTCCATGCAGATGGTACAATCCTGAGAAAGACAAGGCAAGATGAAACCTTTTCTTAAAACTTACATCTACATGGGTCAAAGTGAACCAAGAACAAATTAAGAGTTATAAGGCAAAGGATTGTGTCTGAACCCACACTGTTTTCATCAAGTCAAAGCGCATTTCTGACATGCTCAGTGTTTAGCAACATTAAAGAAATGTTTCCTATAAAATAACTTGTTTTTAACCGACAGAGATCTTTATTTTGCCTCTGTTGCAGCAGCCAGACTCCACAGACAAAAGCTGTAATTTTGACTCATTTTTGAATGCAGGAGTTGCTGGTCTATCACTTTCTCGATCAGCGTTAATGAATAACAATGGTCTCGATCACAGCTTATGTTGTTACAATTCATTGTTTATGTCACTAATAATGACACAAAAAAGGGAAAAAAAATATGAACAGACAAACAACTTCAATGTTCTGTGAGTTTAAGTTAATGGTTTATTTATCAGTGGAGTCTGGCGCTTTTTTCAGAGAGCCATTAGACAGCTGTCTCAGGTTAAAATATGGAACAGGTCTTTTTCTGTAGGGATATTGTTAGAATAATGTGCATAAATGTATATAGAAGTTATCATTATTCCTCATATTCTTATGTAAGAGTTTACTACAAGTATAAACTGTTTTGACCTCTTGTTACACATATAAGAGTGTTTTCTAACTTCTCTCTCCAATAGCTTAATTACACAGCACATGAATGTTTCTTAACTTCTCTGTGAACTCGTTTCTCTTATCAGCAGGTGTGTGTGATGTATCCTCCACTATGAATCGTGGGAAGTTAGAGGAGGATCTGCTCTTATCAGAAGGAGCTCGTTAGATGCCGCCTTGACCTTCACATATTCACAGTTGTTCATTATTATGTTTTATGAATATGCTTACGTTGCTGCACATATTTTTCCCCCACCCTTTAGAAACATTGTGTAACCAGGGACAACCCTAAATAAAAGAGGCCGGACAGAAAACCACTCTCAGAGAGGTCTTAAGAAAACACCTGATGCTATCTCTGTCCATTCTCCTCGAGCATAAACCATTGTCTTTCTCTTCTTTGTATGTTTTCAGGTATTTGGGCAGGTTTTAGACCTAACAAATATATATGATAAAATTTTCAGAGAATAAATTCTTGAACTTGTTGGTGACAAAAACATGAACTTTTTTGGATGGATGTGTCCTCAAACTTCCATCACAGCAGTTTTCACAGCGTTTTAAAAACTTTTATAGCTCTTAGCGATCACATAAAAGCCCTAGATAAAATAGATAATAAATAAGCTGCTTTTTTTTTTTTTTACACAGCAGTAATTCAAGGTGCTACATAAAGTAATCAAATAGTAAAAAAATACAACCATCGTTTACAATCAGACATATCAGAGATTAATTTAAAAAGCATCCGTACCTCCTCTGGTGGACTTTTTACTTTCTGTAGGTACTTCTTTACCACCTCCTCTGGAGTTTTACCTGCAGACAGAAAACAGAGGGACAGAAGATGAACAGGCTGCAAACAAAGTGATAGAAGATTTAAACCCATTAAAAACAATACCAGAAATGCCAACAAGATTGTGAAGCCAATCTCAAAGTATTTCAAGATCGATTGTGTCAAAGGCTGCGCTCAAATCAAGCAGCACAAGGACATAGTTGCCAAGTCCACTTATTATAAGCGACTTTGGGCTTGTTTTTCTCAAAAGTCGCTTGTTTAACTTGTCGTGGGTTGCGTTTTTTGGGCTTGTTTTGAATTAGTAGTTAAAACTGTGAATCCCCCATGATTATCTCGCAGCTCTCCGCAAAAGCAAAGCAACACGAGTGCAGTAGTGCGGTAGACCCCAGAGTGACTGAAACGAGTGAAGAGACAGAGTGAGAATGAGGGAAAATTTTTTCTTTTAATCAGAGTTTAAAAATGTAAGTTATTCAAAGAATTAAAATTATCAAAAGTTTTTAAGTTAACTGTTTATTTTAATTTTGCCGTTGCTTATGCAAAGTCTTTATGAAGCACAGCAGTAGTTCAGACAGCCCACAGAGTCAAAAAGGCATCTTTTACACACCATTATCACTAATAATTAGGGAGTTGTAATAGCAATATATCTGCTTTTGTAACTAATACATACTAAAACTTAGTGCTCATTATAATATCTTCAGACTTTTACCGTACAACACTTCCACAGCACAGCAACGATCACCATCAATAAAGGGTTACCAATTTGCATTCCCATGGATATTTTGGGTCTCGTGGGTCCTCTTTCTGGGGGGTGAATCTGGTTAAATCACATCCCCGATAAATGTTTCTTTCTCCAAGGCTGTTACTCACCTTTGCGAGCCTGCTTCTTGGTGGTCTTTCTGCAGCAATGGCCTAAGCCTGGCACGGGTTTAATATCGCTCTTGCTGACAGGAGGGGGGTGCAGCACGAGTTTAGGAGGCCGGGTCAGACACACTGGTAGAGCGGCAGCACTCATCAGGATACCTGTGATGCCTAAAAACACATCAGAGGAGTCTGCTTAGACAAGGAAAAACATCAACCAGTGGAATTCTGGAAAGAGTCTTATCAAAGTTTGATTTCTTTTCTATCTGTGAGTAGCAGCCAGAGGTTTTTTGAGTGTGTTTTCTTACCAGCGAGGGCTGGGTGAACGGGGCTCGATCCGTTGAGGTTCTTCACTGGAACAGTGGGCACACTGCAAAGAGAGGAGAAACTATTTAGTGCATTTTTATCATGAAATCTCATCAAAAAAGGACTCAACTTCTAAATACTTACTTAGAAAAAGAGATGATAGTCATTTTTAAACTCAAAAATCAAAGTTAATGTTTTACAAAGATACAAGAAAGCGTCGACTGAAAAAGAGACCCGATGTCTTTCTGTTATGAAGCGCTCTTCAATTTCTCCTCGTCTGTCGAGTTCCCACCTACTCAGTGAGCTCAGAGAACTCACCGTCACGGAGCAGCTCATGAGGGATTAACCTGCCCCGTTACAAAGCCCCTCACCATCACCATCGTCATCAGTGTCTTTAGGTGACACACAAACAAGCTCATTTTACTAGTCCCACAAGGTCATTAAAAACAACTCACATCCACTCTGATCACCGGTGGTGGTCCGTGTTTAAAAGTTCACTAAAGGTACTTTTTATTCACTGTTATAGTACTGATTGAACATTTGCTACAAGTTCAAAAACTGGCGCCTTCATAACAGGCAACAGTTTTATTTGAGTAGGGGGAGAAAATGGTTTCTAAACATATACCGGTGGGCCATTCAGGTATCATTTACATGTAGGAAACAATAGACGCTTATATACTGACGTGGGATATTTAAGTGTAATGTGTAACTCCCAAAGACATGATGGTGGGGTGAAGTTGTTCCACCTCTGAGGTAGTAAAAAAGGCAAAATGGGGGGAAAAAAGGTAGCGATATTTGGCGCCAGAGCTGGCAGGAACAGTGCTGTGTGTATAGCTTCTGCTATGTGTTGACAAGCCGTGCTGCTTACACTCCTGCAATGACGTAACGACATGCTGGGAAACCAATACTACGCCTTCACAGATTGCAGGGTGTCAGTATAAAAGCATAATGATGGCAGTACTCTGTTCCAGCAATATGGCAGTTGTAGTTTGTGTGTGGCGCCTTGTCTGTTCACCTTACTTAGGCTTAAGATGTATGGATGGACTGATGTTTAAGAAGATAAGTCAACAACAGATAATGGACCCTTATATTTAGAAAGGGTGTTGTGATTTTTTTTTTTCCATCTTACTTATCCAAAATGTGGGGGTGGGAGAAAAATTGATTCACATAAGTATCACGATTTTTTGTTTTACAATTTTTAAACCAATTTTTTTTCTTGTAAAAAATCACATTTTCTTTCCAAGAATAGATCTTTAAAACTGACTAATGTGATGTGTATTTTTGGGGGGAAATATGGTTCCTTGAATAGTCATGAGACAATCATAATCATTTAACTGTTTCAAAAAAAAAAAAAAAAAAAAACACTTATTCACTTGAGTCATAAAAAAATATATTTTTTTCATTTTGGACTCAAAGTGGCTGATAGGACCAAATGTTACGCAAACAAAGGGACTGTATCGGCTTATTCCTTATGCATAAATGTGCCTTTTTTAGATAGTTTTATTGTAATATTTGTTGCTTTTTTTTTGCTTTCATTTCAATTTAGTAGCTTTCAGTGCGGCAATGTTGTTGTCAAACATTACAGACTGAATGACTTCTTTAACAGACCTGCTTTAAAGAAAGAGTTAACCTCAAATGACTTGGATCCAGCCTTAAAGTAAGCTGTGTTGATGAATTAAAAACTATTTATTTAGGTCACAGTAAGTCATTGTAGACCCAAAAATATACTGACAAACAGCCCTGGGTTAAAAATGACTAACGTGGCCTTTAAACGCTGAGGTCGTGTGATAATAAACCACGCAGCTGACGTCAAAATGTGCCAACACAGCTTTTCAGCCGAGGTCAGAGGCAGCCCGTTATAGACTACACTTATTGACCTGGAGGATACTCAGACTCAACAACAAAACACACAAACACTCACACGCCGATGGTTGAGAGTGTATGTGGCGCTACAGTCCTCACAGGACAGGGTTGTCCTTTGTCTGCAAGTCGTAAAAATGACCACACACACACACACACACACACACAGAGGAAGAGACGTGTGCAGGCAGGAGGACAGAGTGCAGCAATGATCTGTTGTTTCCTGTCTCTGGTTTAGTTTTAACAGCCTTGTCTGTCAGATCACTAAGCTGCTTTTACTTAACCCGACTCAGCCACACATGACGACACGCGTGTGAATGACTCACTGGGATTTGAGAGTGTGGAAGTCCAAACAGCGCTGGTGTGTGTGTGATGGTGTTATTTCACAGTTTTAGAGAGAGGACCAAGAATAAACAGAGAGAGAGGGGAAAACAAGAGACCACCTATGTAAATTGACATCAGGGAAATTTAACACTTCACACCTGCTCATGGCCAAAAAAAAACAGGTTGTAAACAATCAGTGTGTTTGCTGCCTTTTAAACCTTTGTGTTCAGAAATACGGTTGCCATTGTGTTTGTTTCATACAAACATGACTGCAGTGTTAGTGTTGTACCCTACTGGTATCCTGCGAGATGTGATAAAGCCTGGACATGCTGCCAGAATGGGGTCGACTGAGATCTACACATGCAGGAGAAAACCAGTCCTCAACCACATTCAAGTGTTTGGGTATGTCGGTCTGACTCTTAGAAATCCAACTAAATATCATTGTTAGACAAACAAGTTTTAATGTATCCCTAAAGTCCAGCTTTAGTCGGGTTAATGGGCTGAATCTTTTCTTTTTTTTTAGTATCATGTTTACTGGCTGTTCAGGTGACAAAAGAAAAAAACTAACTGCAGCACAGGCTTCAAGGTTGATGGTCTAGAAGGGAAATAAACCACAAGCTGAAACTTCTAATTTAACAATTATTAGAATCCTCCCAAAAGCACCAACAATACAAAAAAAAAAAACAAAAAAAAAAAAACAGCCAATAAACAGAAACAGAAACAAGAGTAGCAACAACCTGCCACGATCTCCTGTTATGCAAAACCTTAAACTTAATAAAGTGATAATGACTGAGTTTATGAAAACTAGCTCTGCGTATTTGGGATGAACGGAGACATTAGGAGTCAAAAATCAAAATGTGTTTTCTATAAGGTTGTTAACATGTTTAAATCTGCTGTTGGACATTTTAGTATGGGGCCAAATGGGGAATGACTCACTTTGACAGCCAGCCTCAAGTGGCTGCTTGAGGAACTGCAGGTTTTGATAAGTACGCTGTTGGGGTTGCAACCTGGCATTAACATAAAAAAATGTATATTACATATTGAATATATTGCAATGTTGTATCAATTCTGTGTTTTTATGATCACAAAAACATCGACCACGCTTTCTTTTAACTTAGCTTTGAGACTACATCCCCACAATCATAATCGCATCAATTTTTTATCCGTGTTAACGAGCTCACAGCTGTCACATGAAGTCAAAGTGGTTTAAGATATTAAACTTATCATGAGGACTTGTTTTATTATGAGACAGGACTGACTCATAGCTTCCTCTGTGCCCCACCTGTGGATCCCCGGTAGGAAACACCTTCATCAGATCTGCTCTGGATCAATTCCGTGAGTGACGGAAACACTGATCCTATATTCACACTCTGATCACCTGTGGACAGTCAATGGAGCTTTAAATGTGAAACCGGTTGCTGTGTTAGCAAGGAGGTAGAGTATAAGGTGAAGCGGATGTTGAGTCACACCTGATCCTGGATAAGCTTCGTGTGGTTTGTTAACACACTTGAAAGCTGTCTCAGTGATGTGTTGATGACACGCAGACACACAGCTAGCCTTCCTCTGACGTTGCGGTGGAAAATTGTCTCGACCAAATCCAGACACATGGCGCACATGCAGCATAAACTTCTGACCATACAAGGAGTCGTGCATGGTGACTGGACATCATGGACACCATACCCTCGACTTTAAAATGAGATCACCCACTTCATTGTTAATAAAAGCCAAATGATGGCATAATTGTTAAAAAGGTGTTTTAATATGTTAACGCGTTATTTTGTATACGTTGCCTTTGTTCTAAATACAAAAAAGAGGAAGTCTAAGAAGAAGTCTGGCAGCTCAGACCACCAGAATAGCAGAGAAGAAGAATAAAAAAAAGGCTAAGAGCTACAAAAAAAGACCCATCCCCCTTTCAGGGATGGATGGGTCTGAACTGGACTCTCGTCTCTTGACCCCCTGTGACCCTAAACCCACCCTCCTACCCTCCGCCGGCTTCCCACCAGATCACACACTCCCTCAGCTTTGTCTCTCTCAGTCCCTCGGCCCCTCTACCCCTTCTCTTACTCCCCCGGGCCCAGATGGACATCAGCTGGACTGATTGAGACTCTAGACAATAACACAGTCCCACACATTCTCACACACAAATAGTCAGACGCACATAAAGAAACAGGAAATCTCACACACACAGGCACACTTTTGAAACAAGACATCCTCTGTTTTTGTAAAAGATGATGACTATATACTAGAAAAGAGCTTGCAGTTGTGGATTGCAATCGTAGCATCAACTTGAATTATACTAAGTTTCTACGGCAACTGTGAGTTCTCATCAGACAGAGAAGGGGTGTAAATAACTTACGCAGACAATGACCGCAGACAAAGAGACCATTGTAGGCGAGTTCAAAAGTGTTAGAATTAGATATTTATCATAAGATCATGACACTGCTATAAGCTGAAATCTTAGAGAGCTGATTCTACTGTTGTAACTTTTCAGAACACAAACACACGAGTAAATAATAATAGTGGATGAAATGCTAAAATCTGCTTTACTGCGAGAGAAATTTTCTAGAAATTTTCAAGCATATAATTTTCCAACAAAGTTGACATACATTTGATTTTTGAAGACGTCCCTTATGTAGATGTTTTGAAATCCATTTCTTGGAGCACATAGTCACACCTTTTCCCCTGCACTGAACATTAAATTTGTCATGTAATAACATTTATCTGTTATCTTTATTGTGCCAGTCTTTTTGCTTTAGAACCAGACATAAAAAAAAAAACATCTAGTTTTTTACTAAATGATAAATCAATTCATTTTCATCTACACACATTCAGTAACGTGCATCTCCTTTTTACTAATAGTACAGCAGTTTTTGTACACTTCTAATAACAGCATGATGAAAGATGAACAGAGAGCCACAATATGAGGATGTTTTTCTGTTTATATTAAGGCATCCTGCAAAATGACCAAGTGAAGACATCTTGTTCCCCTCTTTAAAACGGTTTCATTTTTTCTACAATTTTAAATATTTTTTTAATCTGTCCTGTTGCATGTTGCTCTTCTGAGTCAGCAGGAAAAACACCACCATTCCCAGCTTGTGTTACCTTTTCATGAATAATCCCTGCACTATTATCACCTAATGGTGACAAGTCACCAAAAATGACTTGCCTTGACGTCTCACAAAAAAATTCTGGAGAGGGCTGACAGGAAGAGTCTGGATTAAATTGGGTTGTTTGCATTCGCACATTTACCTCACACTGACAATAGAATGTTGTTGTTTTTTTACTTTTTTTTATTTTCAGGACTTTTATGCATACTGGTAAGTGAACACAGCTTTTGAGTTTGCTTTAATCTGCTGGTGGAGTTAATGCATTTAATATCTAACTTGAAAAATGTTTCTTGGAGTTTTTCAGTTTGAAAACTTCTAATACCTGAAACATTTCCATCTGAAAACAGGTACGTTAATAGGTACTTTCTTTTTCATTTGGACATTATTGTCTGAAATTATGTTTTAATGAAACTAATATTGCTTGCTCTACTTAAACCTTTTTAAGGCATATGAATTAGTTATTGATACGAATGGAAAAACTTTGGGAAACACTTCATATTTAAGTCCTTCTATTAAGCATTCATTAGCGATTAATACCTCATTGATGTTATTAACATGAATAAGAGTAAGTAACCCTATAATTAACCATGAAGAATTAAAAAGTCTAATAATTTTTATGAACATTCTTTTATCGTTTATAACAGATTTAAGCAAGTTTTTAAGTCTACAATTTTGTTAAAGGTACTAGCAAATGTGTGAATTATGCTTATTGACACTTAGGGTTAGGATTAGGGTTATAAGTGTCTTACAGGGTATTATGAGTGGCCTATTAACAATGACTGAATGCCGAAAACAAGGGGCTTAACATCAGTGTTCCTGAACTGCTATCAACCACAGTCGCTTTTAAAATCAGGCTTGAAATGGAAAGAAACCACCCAAACAACAGAAGAAAGTTACCGTGGAAACCTTTTATCCGAGCCGAATATATCAGTCGAGGTCAGTGTCACTGATATGTGTAATCTTTTCATATTTCTCACACATTCAAAGTTTCCTTCTGCGTTCATGATAAGATTTCCCTGTCTGTACCAACAGCTCCCTCTATTGGCCACATATACAAAAAAAAAAAGGCAGCAGCAACCTGTTGTTGAGCTGAACAGGTGCCAACACACTCGCTGCTCTGCTGTTCTTATCTCACTCTCCTTTATGGAGTCACATTTTTTCTTTCGTGAAGCCCCCTCTTGTTTAATTTGCTCTTCTTAAGTGTGCGCCGCCACAGTCTTTGTTTCAGTCCTAAACTCCCCCACAGGAGAGGGAGAGAGAGAGACATCTACAGCACACATTCCTCTTCACTGCATCTCCCCTCTGGATTGTCAATATTTACTTTTACTGAATGTGAGTGTGAAGGACAGTGTGTGTGTGTGTGTGTGTGTGTGTGTGTGTGTGTGTGTGTGTGTGTGTGTGTCACCTCCCTCTCTCTCCATGGTGTTGGCCTGATTTCTTGCACTACTGTGTGATCAATCTTTGACAGTTTGCTGACTTGTTTCTTTGTCTCACACCCCCACCCCACCCCATCCTCGTTCCCACGAGCCCTCTTCTTAAGCGCTGTCTGAGACGGAGACTGTCCACACACATATAGCTGTACACACACACACACACACACACACACCCTCCTCTCCTGAGGATTGTGACTGTCTGGGGGAAGAAACAATGCTGACTTGGACCTGCATCATTGTCTACTTCTTGATCTGCAAAGTATTCCTGTTATGAATATTGATCAGGGAAAGCATGGATCTGTTTGAGGATTCAATCACTTTCCTGTTTCAAAAACCCATCTTATTTCATGAATGCAACCTAAAGTTTAGCATCCTATCCAAAACTAAGAAGCCCCAAATTTCTCAGAGGACAAGAAACACAAGAAACAGGAAGAAACGCAGCAAAAACTGGAGGAAAAACAAGGGGAGGATAAAGTTGGGGAAAAAAAGCAGAGACAGGCCGGAGCAGAGAGAGGGGGAGGGAGAAGGAAAGCAGAGAGAAACGAGTGGAGGCTCAGCATTGTGCTGCTAATGCAGCCCAGGCTTGGCTAATCCAACAAAGGTTACTGTGGAGACCAACAATGAGACTCTGAGGGGCCCAGACTGCTGAGACGCAACGAGAGAGGAGGAGGGATGAGAGGAGAGGAGCCAGGGAAGGAGAGGAGATGTGGATATGGGGGGGGGGGGGGGGGCAGGGAAAAAGCGACAGGGTTAAGGAGGGAGGGGGTACTTCCAAAATAATCTACATCTCAAAAACTCTCTGACCCTGCTTTCAGTTTCAGAAGCTATTTTCTAATTTTGAGGCTGAATTTAAGCTCATAAAACAAATTTCATAAAACAGCTCCATAACAAAATGCAAACACAACGTCTCTCTGCGATCCAGTTCTCTTTCTGTTTAGAGCCTTCGCAGGTTGAATTGTGACATCTCTCACAAGATGGTAAATAGAGCCAGAAACACTGCAAAAGCAGTTCACCAGGACCAACAGAATTCAATCCACAAGTCCTTACTTCTGACAAAGAAGTTTAAAGAAGAGAGCTCAGTGCTGACACAAGCACAGCTATGTGCTCAAGGTTGTAACAAGACTCAGGATTCAATGAGTTAACATTGGCTCTAAGTTTGGATAAAAGTCGGAGGAAAACAGTCTTGAAGAATTGATGGCAATAACAGAGACAGGAGGCAGAGAGGAGGAGAGAGGACGGCAGCCAAACCAAATCAAATGTGACGTGGATTTATGTCCAACATCTTATGCAGCTCAATCCCACCCCCAGATTTACCATCATTCTCAACCGCTCAACAGTGTCACCTGTGTACATGTCTTCTTGTCAATCAAGATGAGCTGCTTAGAGTGCTAGCTGACATGATGTCTGACCACCTTTTGACACAAACCTACAGGAAAATGGATTTGGTTTCCACAGCTGCTGTCAAACATCGATTAATGTCGGAAGAGAAATAAATAAAAACAATTTCTTTTTGTTTTGCATCTCATCCTAATCTTTGCATTAAGCAGGAGTGAAATCTGTCTGTTAAATTCGTTGCCTCAGCAAGTTGGTGGCGGATAGTGGGTTTGTTTGTATCTCACAGCTATCAGCACTTCTGTAGGTTAAGTTCAGGTACCTCTCAGGAAGCCCCCTTAAGTCAGACTGCATCTTACATATCAGTGCAACTCAAATTCAGATACTGGGTGTGAACTGGGCTTCCTTGAAAAAACACAGAAGTTCTTTTGCATGGCTGGAGAAGAGATGCGCAATGGCGAGAACTAGGGATGCACCGAAATGAAAATTCTTGGCTGAAACTGTGCTGGCTCAAATTTTTGCTTGCTTCATCAAATGATCCAGTTTCGGCAGTGTTGTTTCGTTGATAAGTCTCTTTGTTGGTGCTGAATTTTCAGTGCATCATACCAAGAACCTCATGATTACAATAGTCATGACAAGATACATACTGTAAAACTAAGTGACAATGTAAGAAACATTTTAGGAACCACTCTTTCAATATGTACACCAGCTTTGTATCTCTCGCTCAGGATCTGCTGCTAAAGGTTGTAAAAAGTCTGAGACTGAAACTGAGACTAAATCCAGACTAGTGGTCAACCATTTCCCCTGAAATACCGTGACTTCTCATCAATGCTGAAAAACATCTGATTGAAACTTGTTGGGTATTGTCTTGTGTTAGGCTACAGGTTTACCAATCCTCCGTTTAAAGTCAATGTAGATACAGCTCCTGTGTGCTCTGTCTGTGTGTTTTCTCAGGCTTCCTGCGGTTTCAGACTTCAGCCACAAAGGGAGGTACCTCTGACCCGTGGCCCTCACACTCGTTTGCCCTCCCTCACTCCCCCCTCCTCTTCCTCCCCCCCTCTGCTCTACAGATGCTGCCTCACAGATGGACAACACACAGAGGGCCTGGCTGACTTTTAACACACGCTCATGACACACAAACACAAAGCTACTCGGGAGCGTGAGTAAACAAAGTCAGTTTTACATTTGACATTTTTCTTCAGTTTATCAAGAGGCTCTTTGAGTTATTTATCCTAGGGCTGGGTGATATGGCCTCAAATCAATATCACAATATATTGAGCAGTTCACCTCGATAACGATAAATGGACAATAACTACTCCACGAGCTGCTCACCCGCTCCCACATTAACTTTTCTGAACTGCCCTCCATCTCCTCACCTGTCTATCCCTCTTTGTTATGGACTGGATGAGGTGGAGTCACGTCTCTGACATAGTACAGCATCTTAAAGGGACATGAGACCATAGCCTACCTACACACATCCAAAACCAACCAAATGACGTTGGTTATTGACGCAAATTTCTGTATCAGTGAATTTTCGTTTTATCCACATTTATGAAGACTTCAATTTTAGGAGGTTTTCAAATCAAATGTCACCAAAGTTTGGTATATAGCAGTGGTTCACAAGTCCAGTCCTCGAGGCCCACTGTCCTGCATGTTTTGGATGTTTCCCTGCTCCAACACACCTGATTCAAATGATCAGCTCGTTATCAAGCTCTGTAGTGGCTTCATAACGAGCTGATCATTTGAATCAGGTGTGCCTCTAGGACTGGACTTGAGAACCACTGGTATATAGTAACATGTAACACATAGATGGAGTTTCACTTCCACTAAATCTGATTTATTTCACTGTTTAAAATTCCTCTTTACACTCCTCTGCCTGCTAATCTGTCTGTCCTTCATGCAACATCACTTTCATGTCTGTTGAGTACATTTTGCACAACACACCAAGCATTTAATCACAGAAAATTAACATTCAATACTGAGTAGGTCTGCAACTTGAACAACAACGATCTTGTAAAACATATCTCTGTAGGTTTAAAGATCAATCTAAGGAGTCACTCATATGAAGTTGCTGTGTTTGAGTAAAAAATGCATGAATCCTTATTACACTAGAAACACTGTATGATAGGAGAAACAGGATGTATTTACACTTACGGGAATGTGTGTGTATGGGTTTAGCTCTGCATGCTCAGGCATGCTTGTTTGTTCGAGTGTTTAACGTGTTTGGACAGGCGAGTGGGCATGTGGAAATGTCAGCAAGCTGATGAGCATTTGTCAGGAGCCTTTCGATGCAGATGCATACTTGTGCAGACTTAATAAACGTTCATAATCGAAAGCATGCTGCACAGTGTGGGAAAATATGCAGAGACGCACTCAGACTGTTATTAAGATAATGACACTATAAGAAGCAAATTAATGTTGAGCTGCATTGATTCTGAAATGACAGTCTGCAGTGTACTACTTTCAAATTTCACAACTTTAATGAATCAAAACATGATATAAAAACAGCTGAGACTTTATCCGATATTCTGAAACTGCATTTCTTCATGATGTTAAGCATTACTGTTAACACTGCAATAATGATGAAAAAATGTGGATGCTTAGATTTGCTCCAACAGGACAAGAAGTCAACTCATCAGCCAAAGACGCTAAGTAGGGCTGGGCGATAAAACGATAACGATGCATATCAAAAATTAATTTCCCTCAATACCAATATAAAACATGGTCAATATGCCTTTTCATTAGTCGGCATTCTGCCATGTTTTGGTAGACTACACAAATAGCCAATGAAAAGGGGAATTGCTCCAGGTCTGTTTCGCGCTGAACCAATCATGTGCTTAATTAAAGAAATTGATTAAAGAAAATGAGTGTTAACCCTGGCAGAAACGCAGATGAAGGCTGGACAGATGATGAAATCGTCTACAACACTGACTTGAAAACATCAGTGGCTTGAAAGTATTTTGTTTTTTTGAGGTCAAGTACATGTTCTTGCAAAGTCAGGGAATACCTCCAATCTTTTTCACCACCTAAAGTAGTGCCATGCGGCAGAGCACGCGCAGTGCACAAGGTTACAAACCCCGAGCGGAGCAAGGAGCCCATGTGTAGCCAAAACAGCCGACCGTTCAGTCCGCTTTCTCTAGCACAACACCTTACGACAAAACATCAAAGAGACACAAAGACCTCAAAGATGCAGTAGCTTATTGTATTGCAAAAGACATGCTACCAATAAGCACTGTTAAATTTCCTTTTTTGTATCGTGATAAATATCGGAATCGACTGAAAAGAAAAAAAAATATTGTGATCAACTTTTTCCCATATCGCCCAGGCCTAATGCCAAGAGTTGACTTTGTTTTACCTGTCAAATCTTTGCATTTTCCCTTGATAAGGGGCAGAAGTGCAAACCGAAAGGTGCCACAATGTATCCTTTGACCAACTTCAAAACGGAGCCCCAACACTAAATCACAGTATCTCTTGTTAAATGTGTCAGTTAAAAACAGCTGTGTTGAAAAGTTGGTTGGATACTTTCTCTGTGGAAATCACTGCACGATGCGCTAAATCACTTGAGGAAAACATTGTCTATAAGCAAAGTTTGTTCAGATCCACAAATGCAGGTGAAGACTGCACCATGGAGGGAGGAAACTATATACAAATATGACCCAAACAATGCCAAAATGCCCAAGCCTATTTGAGATGGACTGAGGTGAAGTGAAATACTATCCTGTAGTCTGACAATTCAAAACTAGACCTTATTTCTTAAAACAATCAATACTGTGGCCTCTGCTTTGCAAAGGGGAGGGACCACATGGCTTGTAATCAGTGAACAGTTTCAAAGTCAGCCTCCAAAATTACTTCTTCTGCAGCCCATGTAAAGCACCACAAAAGGTCTCCGCCCAGTTTTTCTGGCGTAGCTGTGTGTGTTTGTGCTTGTTAATTTGTGAACTCACCCTGATGCGATGAGGGCTCTGGACTGAGCCATCGCTATCCTCTGTAAAGCTGGTCTACTCAGCCCGGCTAAACTCGATCTCTGTGGCAGTGGGGCATGGCACACTGATGAGGCAGATGACGCGCTACGCTGCGGCTTCATCACCACTGGTGATGGGGAGGGCACTGGGGAAGGAGGCGTGGTCACGCTGTTGGCAGGTGTGATTAATGTGGCGGTTGGCACGGAGTCGTTGGCTGATGATGAGGCCGAGAGTTTAGGTGGGATGGACGGAGGATTTTGATTGGATGTTGGAGGCTGAGGAGGGGGCAGGGATGGCGGTGGCGGCCTGTTCAAAGATGAGGAGATACCCAGGGAGGAGGTGCCAGCGGTAAGAGCAGCAAGGGACTGAGCAAACAGCTGGGCATTTCTCCTCGGGGAGGCGACGTTTTTTGAGATGGCGAGGCCGTGCGGGAGCGTCTGGTAGTAGTTGGAGTTGGAGTTGGAGTTCTGCTGCTGACCTCGGCCCAGAGTGGCGGATTTCGACGGACTCAGAGGTTTGGAGGAGAAGGATGCAGAGTTCTTGGGCCGTTGCATGGTCAGCGAGCGTCTACTTAGAGTCTGTATCCCTGCGCCTCCGCCTCCTGGTCCTCCTGTGTTAGCCTTCACACTGAGGACCAGCATACACTGCTGGCAGGAACAAGGCTGGCCCAGTCCTGACGCTGGTAAACCCCCATTGGGATAGAGAGAACTGCTCATTCCCATACTGCTACCTGACACCCCGACACCGAGTAGAGCTCCTGTTAGACCTCCACCTCCTCCCACACCTCCTCCTTTGGGCAGCGGGAGAGGACCGGACACTAGAGGGTAGGCCACGTCAGCACGTCTCTGCAGCCGGCGACACCTCTGGCTCTGTTTGTTCACCTGCAGCAGGACAATGAAGTAGTCCATTCAATTGTTCATGTTGCTCATTCTCAATTCACTTATACAAGTATTTTCAAACACAACCTCCATACGCAAAGAGTTGGGAACCTGTGTTGTTAAAATCAAATTTTGATGGTTGGCAAATCATTTAAACTCTAAATTTGTTTTAAGTGTTCCAACAGCAAAATAGAATAGAAACAGCCATTAGAGAGAAGATTTCAAGTGCACTAGTCAAAAATTTTAAGAACGATGTTCCTCAACATGGAATTGCAAATAATATCCAGAAGTCATTTATAGGGGTGTGCCATATCATATGGCCTACGGTAATACCGGTGTACATTTTTTTGGTGATATAAATTTGTCATACTATGGCATTTAAGGTCCTTTCACACTGGGACCGTTTTTGTCGTGCAATTGTTTCAGATGTCAATATTTTTTCCCGTCCTGCAATATTGCGGCACTTATTTTTTCGGATCATGGTTGATTTTTCTAAAGTTTCGCATACTGTGTGTTCACTTCTGACCAATCAGATTGCGTGTTGTTGTCACGTCTGATTCACCGGTATAGCCAACAGCTGATTGTTTGCGTGTCTAAGAACAGAGTGCTTTTTGATAAAAGACACAAACATTACAAAGATAACGACAAAAGTCCAAGATAACGATAATTTCTTTTAACTTTCATCTGTGCTAACGTAAGCGAACGGTTGTTACCATAGTTTCATGTGCTTATCTTATCATCTCTAATTGGCTGACTATTTGGCTTGAGCGTGTGATGATGCTTCCAGCTTCTCTAGCTAATCAGAGGTGAAGGAGGTGGGACTTTCCCCGGGAAAAGTCTTCCCCGGTATGAGTCGCAAAATTGCATCGTGCTTGATGTGTATAATCAGGCGTATAGGTGTATAATCAAACTTTTACATTTGAGGAAATATTTTAAAGTACAAAACATGGAAACTCCTGTCCTGCTAATGTATAGCAAATCTGAATTAATTCTCATAATTTTACTCCTCTAGATGACCCTTTCAGTAGAGACTTTCATATTTCAGCAAGACGATGACAAACCACATTCTGCAGGGATTAAGACAGCGTGGCTCTTTAGCTCAAGAGTCCTGCTGAAAAACTGGCCTGCCTGCAGTCCTGACTTGTCCCCAATTGAAACATTAGATTAGGAACAATGTTAAACAAAAATAAATAAATAAAAATAATGAAGGAGACCCTCAGCTGCTGATATTCTGTCTCCGTCAAAAATGGGACATCTTTCCGCATGATGATCTCCAGTCTCTGTTTCAAGATACTGTTTTTCTCATTAAACAAAAACATTTTTCACTCTTCACATTTATCATTTCTTCTCTGCTGTGTTTACAACTAATGATTTGCAAACCATCAAATAATTTTTTCATTCAAATACCAAAACTTTGCTTGGAACTGGGGCTGTACTTCAGAACCCTGAATTATGTACAGCCTATCAAAGTATGTAAATAAACCATTAAAAATGCAAACCCTGGTCATAGTGACTCATCAAATGTTTGCCACGTCAACACAGAACAAATTCAAAAGTGGAAAAAGCACACCACGTTTCAAAAGACTGAACAAGTCATCATGATAATGAGTTATGATCACTGTTGCGAGTAAAGAGCAGAGGAGCTACAAAAAAATTTGCAACTGAATAACAGCTCCTGCTTTGTTTTTTTTGCTTCTCATCATATCTTTTTGGGGTATCTGGGAATTTTTGAAACACTGTAAAACCCAAAAGCTAATGCAAGTTTTGCAAGATATAAAGTTTTAAGTTTATTTGGCTCTTATTTTAACTTAAGTCGAACAGGATCAAAAAGGCAATCTCTAAAAACACAATGACAAAAGGTTTCTTCAATAACAGTCTTCATTTGAGAACAATTAAAACAGGATTATGTCAATGGCTGAAAGTCCATTTCTGGCTTTAAAATTGAACATCAAGACTTCTCTTTCAACAAACCTGCGTCATGTTCTGAAAGTCAATGAGGTAGCAGAAGCCGAGTGGTGTCAGGTCGAGGCAGGGCTGCTGCCGGTTGTGGGCGTTCTCGATGGTGATGGCCACCTCCATGTCGTAGGGCGTCCACGTGCCAGCATCATTCTCCCACTCCCACTGCCAGCCCTGACCCGGGGCAGAGGCTGGGTCATAAAAGGTCCTTCGCACCGGACGGATAGTTCCTGAAACAGGACACAGGACCGAATTATAATAAATCGAAGATGCCATGCCAATACGATTATCAAACAGATAAACAATGCAGGAGGATAATCTCACACCTTTGCTACCATTTAACAACTTGATAAACACACTAATGGAGTTTCTTCAGATATTGTAGATGTGTCTGATTACATTTTGACATGCACCACAGCTGCAGTGGTGCTATTCTAACCTTCGGGTTTGAATCAACTAAGCCCAATTTAGATTGGGAAGGAAAGCCCTATTTCAGAAAATCTGTAAACGTGAATAAATTGAGTTTTCAGGATCTGATTATAGGACTTTCTACCCCTGTAATTCAAATAGTCAATACATCTCAGTGTATACATATACATCTCTAGTACAACAAGTATAGCGCCACCTGGGGGAAGACATTAGGAATGCAAGCAGGGCACTAGTGTTGTTTTCGTTGACGACGACATTGACAAAAGTATTTTGTATTAGCAACATCAGCTAATGCCAGAAGAACAGACAGAATTCATGTTAATCACTGCAGGTATGTACTTTCATCTGGTCCAAGAAAATTTAGAAGATTTATGAGATTTTGTTGAACTGTTGCACATCATTTGTGCTCTTGACACAGACCACATTGTCCAGTTGCACAGGTGTATCCATCAGGTATAGATCAATAAATGACCCATGATCGATCAGTCAAACCCCAACCCGATGGCTGTATATGTGCACTTTTTTTCCCTCCGTCATGCAACCTGTGGTGATATGACTATTTCAATCCCGAAGAAAAGTCAGCTTCAGCAGATTTAATCCTACTGCTGAAGCGCTTTAATCTTGCAACAGCCCACTATTAAGTGCATTTCATGATATCTCAGTTTGATTGACCTCTCTCTTTGTCTTCATCTTTCTGTCAGACCACTCAAACAGACCCCCGTCATTCAAACCCTCTCTGTTTCATATCTGTGCAGATGCCACTCACTCACCCTCTCTCTCACACACTCTTACATATACACATTTGCCGTCCTCTCCTCGTCCTGGCATTGACTGAATAGCCTGTTACCCCTGGAGACTGAAGTAGTTTGTGGTTGGTTGGTTTAGGGGCCCTCCTCTTGACCCTCAGTCCCAGCCACAGAGGGGACAGAGAGGCATTGTTGCGTTGTTGTGTATTAAGGAGTATTTATTTTGTAGTCTTCAGACTGCTGAGAGGAAACCCTGCTGTTAAAAAATAAGGTTGAAAGTAAAGACTTAAACTCATATGGTGAAAAAACGAGTAGATCGTGCCACATTTTTTTTGCCTATATCACCCATCCCTAGTGTCCACAGAGAGAAAATGAGTACGTTTGAAGAAAATCCATCTATGTAATGCTTTGTTGAATAAAAGAAATTAGATATTGAGGACAAAACAGTCTTCAGCATGTTTCTTTTTTGTGTAAAAATGGAGATTTTAGCGTAAGTGTTAATGGGGATTCTTGAGCTTTTGGGGCCCAGCCTCATGTGGACACTTTTGAAACTGCAGCTTTTTGCACATTTTGTGTGTTTTCATGCACAGCTAAGTGACAGTTACGGCTATCTCAGGTGATTTAACAGGATTACTAATCTGTTCCAGTCGAAGTACTGGACGGGAATTGATTCACTGACAAAATGATGTGCACCTCTGCTGTTGTAGACAGAACTATGCCTCATTTACAGTTTGTTAGGAACAAAGACAACTTTACAGGCCTAAAACTTCCACCGCATTAGCTCTTAACGAAAGCTAAAATGTGACATTAAAATATTTGTTTTGTAATGATTTTAAAGACTATGGATTTTTTATTTTGGATATTCCTTTTATGTTAGACAATTTCACTTCAGTGTGGGCTAAATCAGTAGAATTTGATCTTGCAAAAGATGTGAGATGTTATTAACACAGGAGTAGAGGAGGTTTAATAGTTGGTTTAAAAGCTGCTATGATGTGCAGACTTTGAGGTGAGCCAGTCTTTTTTTATTCCATTCTCATTTATTCATTTACCTCCTCAAAGAGATAGTCAACCTGATAAACTTGCTGCAGAGGCAAACAGCTAAAAATGAAAGTTGTCCACTCCCAGAGGACAAACCACATGAGTGCGCCTTCATAATGTCCCCATTATATTAATAATAAAAGAAACTCTGTGCAGCTTCACGGATCTCTGAGGGGGTTTTCTCTTTGTGCGCACATGAATACAGCAGGAGTCATTTTGGTAGAGGGAGTTATGTATAGAAAGAGAGACTGGCAAACCGCATGAGTATTTAGTGTGCAGTTGAATCTGAATGTGGTCTTACTCTTGCTCTTCTTCATCAGGTCAAAGTCTAACCACAAGCCTGCTTTTGTCTAAAAGTGAGGTGTAAACATTTTGGGTCATGTTGTCCAAAAACCTCTGAGCATTTTTGCCCTTTTTCAGAAAATTCCTGTCAGAGCTGTCATCTGTGAATCCAGTTTTTCAACCATCGAGTCTTATGACATTCTGAAACGGATGACATGATGCTGCAAACTCTTGTTTGTGCACAATTCTTAGCATGCAAACAGCAAATCCTGTTGCCCTCTCACACACTGCCACACCCCTTCTACATTTTTTCTAACAGTCAGAGATCAACACGAGGCTCTCTGCCTCTTTTATACGCCAGTCACAGTTTAAATCAAGTGCAACATGTGTGGGTGTGGCCGCGCTGGGTTTCTACTCAAGTTCGACTGCTCGTTTCCAAGTACACCACCAGGGTTTCAAAATGCACCTTTAATCTGGAAGGGAATAAAAGCACGAAACTCTCATGCTTTGAACAAGAAATTCAAGACATCTAGGAGGTGACATAAAGTGTGTTAAAGAGCTTAGAGTAAACGCAGGAAAGTGTGTAAGTATTTAAGAACAGCAGTGAGAGAAATGAACATGTGTGAGTGTTTGAGAGAGAGGACAAAGAGGCCTGAGGCAGGTGGAGAAAGGGACTGGCCATCTGGTCTGTATTGTTCTTCCTACCACTGACCCCTCCCTGAATGCACATTCACACACAAAAACACACACATACCCACACAGAGCTGCAGACTGACCAGCAGGCGAGCACATGTTGGGGTGGGGTCAAGCTTTATGCATGGCAGGACGGTAGCTCTGTGGGAAAATTCAGCCCCAAAGATGAGCTAGCACTTCCTTTTCCTCTTCCTCTTGGTTCTGCTCAGTCACATTTCAGCTGGTTCATGGCTTCCATTCAAACTGGTGTTTTGATCGCATGCTCGTTTTGGATCGCTCTATCTAGGCAATGCAATAATTCACTATTGAATGATTGTCTGGCTCCCACCTGCAGTATCAGAGTGAGAAAACGCCTGAAGGGCTTTCTCAGCATCACCCAACCACAACCCAATACTTAGTGTGAGGTGAAGACTCTGAGGTGAAACTGCAGTTCATCAATTATTTGGGGAACTGCAGAGAATTGATCATAAAAGAGTTCGCAGTCAAAATCAAACCTGGTTAAATATCACTGGCTCTCAGGCAAATGGAGGAAATTTGAATCATCTTTGTTTTCTCTTTTTAAAAAAAAGAGTAAAAAACAAAGGAAGCGTGTTTCCTACCGAAACCCATACTGAGTGTTCATAGTGCAAGAGATGTGCAACAGTAGAATTCTTGTGCAGACCCTGAATGGCTGTATGAAATGTTTCATGGTAAAATGTGTTTTTATGTGTGCTTTCTACAAGGACACCAGACTCCAACAGAAAAAAAAAACAAAGAAATTTCATTTAGTACAACATGGAAGTTGTTGTTAAGGCAAAGCAGTAAATTGCTTGGCCAGAGCAAAAGTAATGTGCAATAGGGGTGTCCTGATACGATATTGATATCGGTCCGATATCAGAAAAAAGAAAATCAGATTATATCAGCCTGCCGATACCTCTGATATTATCACTCCGATACAAGCAGTCCATTTCAAACTCCGCTCCAGCATCTTTATCTAGCAGTGTCCTAATCCAGCAAGCTGAACCCACAAAATCACAACAACAGTGTGTACTAAGCTACAAACAAAGTAGCAAGGAGTAAGAGCAATATTGACCTTGTGGCAGTATTTTTTGTTTAAGTCCAAAAAAGACATTGCAGCCAAGTGAAAAACTTGGCATGCACAATTTTGGGCCAATATCAGATCAATATCAGTATCAGTCAATATTGAAGGCTACAATATCGGTATCATATCAGAAGTCAAAAAGTTGTATCAGGACACCCCTAATGTGCAAATGCACAATTTCACATAGCTGGAGATGCAGTGTCAGTCCTATGATTATTGAACACAAACAGCTCTAAAAAGTTCAGGGTGGGATATTTATGCTCCTCTTCTTCCTTGTCTGTTATGTGTGGAAAAGGAGGAAACCCTGGAAATGCAGTTGTGTCAGAACCTACACATGCTTCACTGTAGTGGCTGACGGTGTCGTGAGTGCCTCTTACTTCTGCGTTGGAGTTTCTGCTTTGCTTTGTAACACTTCGCTAAAACACAACTCAAGTTTTACATAATCATCAAAGCAGGAAAAATTAGCGTTAGTTGAGTAAAAATGAATCCCTATCTTAATCTCACCTAACTTAAATATGAACAAAATCTGACCTCTCCTGGAGTGGCTCCAAACCTGCCAGTCTCCAACTGGACTGGGCTGTACACAGACGGATCTTTGTCTATTAGCTAACTTACACTGTGATGATTCTTTATAAGACTATAAGAAACTTGTTCCATGGCTACAAGCTGGATCAGTTTGCAGGAGCAATTTGAAAACTTCCTGTAACCTTAAAATATGTTTAAAAATGCAAAGGTTTGAAGATACTGCTACTCTCCTTTAATAATGCATACAAGAGATGTCAGTCTGTGAAACTTATGACAACATACAAATGACACTTGAGGCAGCGCCAAGTTTAGCTGATATCACAGTTGGAGCGGAGAGCGGAGGGAGGCTTCACAAACTCCCACTCATGCTGGGATTCCCTTCGTTTTCCGTCCACTTAAATCAGAAACAAATGCAGAAACAAACAGTGTGACCTCATGCCTTCACAGCAGAGTATCCACCCACCAGAGAAATCAAATATTTTCTGCATAATCTCGAGTATGTTTCTTTCCACTTCACTCTGCTCAGTCTTGCTGTGTCCTACTTTGAACTGAGATTGATTTCTGTCCCGACATGAACCCAGTTCAAGGCAAATCAGGTTAAATATTGTTTTTTCCCCCCAATGATAGCTTAAAGCACTTCTTAAAAAATACTGCTTGACCTTTCACTTCTCCACTCATCATGTTGAGAGAGCACAGAGACAGGGCATTGAAAAAGATGACCAAACTGACATACAGCTTTAATGTCTAAAAGATGACTAACATTTCAGAAGAAGAAGAAGAAGAGGAAGAAGAAGAAGAAGAGGAAGAAGAAGAAGAAGCATGAGATAAGAGACACAGACAGGCTGAAACAGAGAGCTTGAATTATCTGAAAGGGCAGACTGACATGGAGTACATGAAACTAAGTATGGCTTATTCCTCAAGAACTATGATGGCTACCTCTTTTGTTTGGTTTTCTCTCGACTTTTCATTACTTTCTTCACGTTCCTGTTTTCATAACATTATATCTCATCCTGCTACTCTTTAATATGATCTCTTGGTTCATCAACACTTACCTTTATCTCACACCATCAACATCTTTTTGTCGTCTCCCCTTCTTAAATGGAAACAGTTTTCTTATTTCAGTTAAGTGACATTATAGTTTGGTGAAACAAAAAAAGAGTAGTTCTCATATTTAGATGTAGACAAAATCAGTTAGTAATAGAGAGCAGAAGCAGACAGAACTCCAAAAAATTGCCTGACTAACATCACTGATGGTCTGATTCCTTTTTATTCATCTCTACAAACAAGAATCTTATCAGGTTTACTACTTCAGCGGTGAAAATACAGAGGCTACAGTAAGAGTTGCCCAGGTTGATGGTGCAACTTTTGGCCACAAACCACTCTCTGTTCCTCACATTTACTTTCTTTGGTTGTCCAATCATATGTAAAAAAAAAAAAAAGGAAAAAAAAATCTACTAAAATGATGTTTTTAATGTCAGTCTTGGGGACTCAGTCCAGTTATGAGGAGAAGCACCAACATGGTTTCACTTTCATGTGGTTTAGTTTGCTTTTACACAGTGAATGACAATGATGAACCAAACCATCTGGCCAACCTCACTGCTCATTTGTGGTGGTGCTGTCCCAAACAAACACTGGCGAAGAGGACGAAGATGAAGATGATGGAAACGGCTAGAATAACAGCCAGAAATGAAAAACTGAATCACCTCAAATGAACTGCACCAGGGTTCATTGAGAACTGAACACCAAACGTGCGTCGGATTTCTCATATGACGATAGTTTGTGTGCTTTAACAGTTTGCTAAATGTCTTTGTTTTAACTTTCATCTGTGCTAAGTAACTTTAGCTCGTAAGCTAACTTGTTCAGATACAACATACCATATGTATTGTCACCGTCTAAAACTCAACCCAGGCCCCGACTCAGTACATGCTATCATGACAGACAGCCATCTCAACACTAGTGTCTAATCAGAACTGAAAAACAGTCAGTCTGCTGTTGTGTCAGTCTTCTTGCTTCCACCTGGGATGCGTCTTTTTCCCTCCGGAAAGTCGCAAAATTGCATCGGGCTTGATGTGTATAGTCAGGCGTGTCAAAATTCGCCTCTAAATATATCGTAATTTTGTGTTCTATATTTGCATCGGCCCCAGTGTGTAAAGACCTTCAGCATTAACGCCCAAATGAGCTCCAAAGAAGTGAACTATCTGAGGAAACGGACTGGATTTCATTTAAAATGGACCAAACAGCTCTGGTGTGAATGTGATCTGAAGGTGTTGTCCCAGGTCTCAAAAATATCTGACCTTTAGCCTTTTGTCACATGTCATCCCTTCTTTCGCTTCACACTTTCCAGCTCTATCCACGGTCCTTCACTTGAAAGAAACCGCTGATGGAAGTGAGAGTAAAGCCTCAATGTAGAAACAAAGACTCAAAAGTAAAAAAATTGAAAGGGTGCTAGTCTGGGGGAGAATAAAAACAAGAAATGAAAGTGTAGCTTTGTTTTGTAGAAGGGTGGGGGTCATTTGGATTTGATGTGGATATGCTCTCCAAGTTACTAACTGTGCTGTGAAGCTCAAAGAAAAGGAGGTCTTGTCTGGAAATGGCTTATAAACATGAAAGTGTAGTCTTCATCTTCCTCTAAATCTCTCTGGTATTTGTTTATAGCTGTAAACTTGACTTTGGTTTTTCATTTTCCTTTTCCCTTTCCTTGCTCTTTCGCTCCCTGTGAGCCCCACTAGACCCAGTCACATGAGAGTCATAAGACACAGGTAATCCTTTCTGCCTGCATATGCCTACATATGTGTATGTGTGTGCGTGCGTGTTTGGTGATTATGTCTGGTCTACTTATTAAGTGCTGAGGAAAAAAATGTTGTGCTTTCAGTTTGAGGATGTTTGTTTTTACTGACTATGACAAACAGTCTGATGGTGTTGACGATAAAACAAACAGGCAGTGACACTGATAATTATAGATGTCTTCACATGCTGTTATACACATCTGCCTATGTGTGTATGTGTGTGTGGGACAGGCAGTGAGCGATGTCCCTCACAGTTTCAGTAACTCGACACGCAGAGTTTCACAACTCAGAGAGAAGAAAGCTGCGCTCTGACCTCTCCACCTCACTCGTCCCTCTTTCTCTGCACTTCCTCCCTGCGCTCTTTTCTGGGTTATCGTGTGTCCATGTGGAAAAAAGGAGCACGAAGCTTCCAGTAAACTAACCTGAAGTTAAAGAAGTCCTCTAGAATCAGTTTTATTTTTTTTTATTTACAGATAGAATCATTGGGCCTCACTGGAACAAAAATCTGAAATATTTCACATTTACAAGGGTTAATAATGGGAAAAAGAAAGACATAATAAACAAGATCAGAGCTCATGAACTTTACAAACAAGTTATCTGGCAAATTGCCACAGATGCAAACTGCAAAATGTATGCATCAAGGACTCGTACATAAAAAAAAGAAAAGGGGAAAAAAAAAGTCAACCAAAACTAATTTCCCATGTCTTCCTTCTTTGTCACCAACCCCAGCATTAAAACCCCCCATTCGCTCCCACCTACCAGCTCTTCCTACCTTCCTCCTGCACAACCATTGGTTTCCAAGGAAGGCCATTTCAGGCCAGACCTTCATCTTTTCTTCCTCTTTCAGTTTCTTTATTGGTTCCTCTCACTTGGTTCAGACACTTTTGATTCCTCTTCTTTTCCTGGCCTGATGTCAAATGTACATTTTGATTTTTGTATGTTTCTTTGTTTCACAGTGTGTCGTAACCTTGACTTAATACATGTTACAGCAGCAACGATGAGGACATTCCCAGTGGGTGGATGGGCTTTGGTTCCTCTATACATGTTCCGGGGTGCTGCTTAATGCAGTATCATTAAACTTTATCTATAACGTAATGTTTTATTTTTACACCTTGCAATATGATGCCATAACATAGGATAGGATATGCTGGGTTCACAACTCAAGGCCTATGTTACTTGTTTAGTAATGTTTCCTATCTACAGTTTCATGAGTTCTTTTATGTAACAACAATGCGTCCACGCCAAACGATACCATACCATACGATATAGTTCAATATGACGCAATACTGGGTTCATATTATATACTTTTCTATAACTTCTAGTGTATCTGACCAAGTTTTTGAGGCTTGAGATCACAAAGTACCTGGTGAAACTATTATATACATATACTACTTTGTCCTTTTAGTGTCCTTTCTCCTTCCTGTAATATTTCCCTCTATGTTCTAACTTTCTGTTGACCTCAGGGTTGTTCTGACTTTGTTGTGCCGCCTCTTCTCTTCAGCTCTCTCTTTGTCTTTGTCTCTACTTTGTCTCACCTTGAAAGAGTCTGATCCCCCGAGTTTTGGGTTCAGAGTCAATTTTCAGCTTCATAGAGTACAGGAGAAAAGAAACAGATGCAGAGAGGGATGGATCAGGTAGACCAGAGGAAGTCGGACGTGAAGCCGACAGAAAACTTAAGAGGAAGAGACCCTGTGCTTAACAGCGGAGCTGAAAACTATCGATTCTAAGTTCTACCAGGAAGTGTTTTAATACAATCAATTTGAAGTTACAAAGCAAGATCTTACTTAACCCCTAGAAAGAAAGAAAAACTTCATGTAACAGCCGTTTGTTAAGCTACATAAGCATGGTCACATCCAGAGAATGATGAATGCCAACTATTGTGCCATTGTTCAGCTTAATACTTTCAGGCTGAGGTATAAAACATTAGCTGGTTCCAGCTTCTGATGGGGAAAGATTTGTAGCTTTTGTGCTGAAATTGGCAGGACAAAGGCTGGGTTGCTCACCAAACGAGGTAATGTAAGGTTACTTTTTGATGTGGTTGAAGTTGGTCCCGTCAAATTAAAGCAAAAACCAGGTCTGTTAAAAATGTCCTGTGGTCACATTTTCCCCCCCAGCAACTATTCAAGTGTCAATCAAAACTCAGACTATTACTGAGGCTCCATCTTGCTACCAATGTCACTAGAAATTCACGATCCCCATCCCAATTTTACAGTGCAGTAGGTAGAAATAGGAAAAACTGAAACATCTAACCATTTAATTGGACGCTCCCTTGCTCACCCCTCAACAGTGAATCAATGGTGGCCTTTGTGGACAAGAAGCTCCTGACCCACATGATAGGTATGATCATCCATTTGCCCAATTTTTAACTATCAAAAACATCTATTGATAGTTTTGTGCACAACAGCTGTTCTCTTCCTCCTCATCTACAATTCGACCATTCTTTCAACACAAAAATGCACGTTACTAGTTTGTTCGTTCAGACGACAGACTTTATGGAAGGGGATCTTCTTCTATGTGGATATAAAAGGCTTATTTTGGTTCATAAGAAGAAAAAGATTTCCTTATTTAGTTACCGTAAAGTAATTTGAACATAGTTAAGAATATTACAATCTATTCTTACCAAGTCTGTTCTGCTAAATGCTGCTGTGGACTTTATGTGGCACATTTAAAGCGTATTAATATTTTCCCCCACAAAATCCATTTTTATTCCAAAAAAACTCACACACTGGGGGTTGAAATGTGATGTGGTTTGCAGTGGGACCATGGGTGGGTTTTATTGCTCTTACAGCGTTTGCATGCATATTACGTCCAGAGTCAGTTTCTGTTCTTTCAAAATACTTTTTCAGCACTTCTTACTCTGGTACAGCTTTGTTTGTTGGGACTATAACCATCACAGCACATCACTGCAGTGTATGTAAACACTGTTCTCCAACTTCCTGCTCTAATCTGATGTGTCCCAGTTACCTGGTTTGTTGTGTGGATGTAAACGAAGACTGTTTTTCAAAGTTTGCTTCCACTCCCTCCCCCTTCCTCGTCAATACAATTTACCCCCCTCCCCTGTGTCTCTGGGGAGTCTCCCATCCAACCCCTGCCCCCCATCTACCGTGACCCTGATGCCCCAGGGCTTTGTTGGGGTCTGGGAATGTGTCTCCTTCAGCAGGACCAGCTGGAACAAGAAGAGCAACAAGCTGCAGAAGCAAAACCTCATCACATGAAAAACAAAATCTATCTAGATAAGTTACAGAAAATGATTCCCCCTCAAACAAACGCACATTTTGACCAACATGTCAACAAATTAATGCAGATTAATAAACCAAAGAGTCATACTCTATCCTCAGCTGCAGGAGCCTTAATTAAATCATTTTAAGTGTTGAAGTGAGCCCCTCCTCATTTTAGATACAAGACCCTCCAAAGGCCAAGAAAATTGACGCACTAATGCCAAATCGCACCATGAGCAATCTAAGTGTATGCTCCAACGAGAAATATTTCAGCTCGAAAGCTGAAAGACGACAAGGGCAGAAAACGATTTGATTGGCTTTGCATTAAACATGATGGTAACACTTGGAGGATTTCGCTCAATACAGACTATGATACAAAGAGCCTACGTTTACTTCACAGACAGATTCTGCGGCTCTGAGCACAGACATTGGACATAATATTTCAAACAGTAATTTCTAAAGGTTTCTATGGCCTAAAGATGATCTACTGACATTTAGTGATCTAACTTGCTGTGAACTTTTATCTTTTAAACAGTCTATCTTTGGACAAGATTCGAAAAAACACTGACTTAAAACACGAATAACACCTATAACTCACATTCGTTCAAAGCCAGTGGTAGCTCAGCTCTCAGCCCCTGCCATCCAATAATCAAAGGATGTCTCACAAACAGTTAATGCCAGCTGAAACTGCTGTTCTTCAGAGTTTAAAGAACTTCATAACACTGTGAATTTGTTCAGGAGTGGTGAAAACCAGGAGGGACAATTTTGCACCCAGTAGACCTTGTTGAACATAATAACCACTAAGCTACAGCAGACTTTAAAATCAAACCGACACTGACTGCAGCAGCTTGGCTCACAGCCCCCCTTGATGTCCTAAGTCTACCAAATGGAAATGCAAAGACATCATTCAAGTCTTTTTCCAGTTTAAATTTTCTTTTCCATAACATATATAAGAATACATCCTTCATATTGTGTGGTGGACAACTTAAACACGTGTCAAGACTGTGTTAATTCTTTCACTGCTTCACTCAGGCTCCTGTTTTTATCCAGATACTCTTCTGACTGGCAGCATCATCCATTACTTAATATGATTAACGTAAACAGAGGGAGATGGCAAGGTACTGCAAATTTAGTGTCCGAAACTCAAACTCAAATACCCCGTCAGCATGCAAAACCCAGACAACCTGTCTGGGCCTGTGTTACACCTCCAAGGCCCCAATGTGGTCATATCCAGTCCATTTAGAGAAAGTGAGACGCTTATTTGTTGAGCTGAGAGACTTAAGAGCGTTGATTCAAATCCTTATTTGTTGCACGTTTAAAAACAGACACATCTTAAAATTTCAGCCTTAAAGGTGCTCTAAAGACATTCCAGGCATGGCTTTTTAATAATTGTTAGACACTCAAGTTTAAATGTAAAAACTCCAAGTTTAAAATCTCTCATCAGGTTTTGTTGACTGAGCAGGCAAAAACACAACCGGTTTAACTTGTTGCCTGATCTATGTTCACAACCTGCAGCTCCAAACTTACAACAAATGCTGATAACACTGTGCTACACTACAACTTTTTGCCACATACCAAATAATTTCACATATACACTGGTACAAGGCTAATCAAAATGTACATGTTCAATTTATTGTCTTAGTTTAAGTTTAAGTTAAAAAAAAATGTTTCCAAGGAATTCATGTTTTTTTTTTACTTGTAATGTCTTGAAATGAGATCTTTACTTGAACTTGTCACATGAGCGTGACTTTAGTAAAGTCTGGTTTGGCATTTTTGGCGAGAAATACGACCATTCACCCGACAAGACAGTACACTGAGATTTGTGTTTTTGCGGTCTAAGTACTGAGAATGCAGCATTTTGTGCTTAAACCCTGAGACTATCAGGACACTCTCTACCGACGAGTTTGATTTATCAGCTTGTGAAAAGCACAAAAAAAGTTTAAAAGTGGATCAAACAGACTAAAAGAAAAGCGCAAGACAGCTTTAGATGGATTTTTCTGGAACTATCCTAACAATTAAAGCCAAAAAAGTTTTATTAAACAATGTCTGGTCGACTATAAATGAGGCAGCTTGGGTTTAAAGCAGTTTTTATTAGCCACAACAAATGTATGATGCCAGTAACAACAACAAAAACAACCGTCAGTGCGAGATATATCATGAGAACTTTGGGACAATGATGTTTTGGTACAATTCTCCTCACAAATTAGAAACAGCTACAAGAAACAAAAGAGCAACAAAAGGATTCATGAGTGTCAGAACCCAGCAAAGACTCTCATTTTGAAAACTTAAGGTCCCAAGTGGGAACGGCAAAACCCAACTCTTTTCTTTGCCTTTTTTTTCTACTTTTTTATTTCTACTTTCCCGTACTTGAAAGAACCAGTAAGACCCAATGCAACATGGCTTTTTCATTGCCCACAAAGTCTGTCCTGCCTCTTAACCCCCTCAAACTTTCTTCATGCCTGCGTCTCTGTGTGAGTGTGTGTCACAGCTACAGTGAAGTAACTCACATCTGTTCAACGGAATTCAACAAAGGTGGAGAAATGGTGGAGCTGGGGGAGTGAGAGGGGGAGAGAGAATACAGACTCCCCAATTATCTCACTCCTCCTTTAACAACCACTCCCACTCACTACACCCCCATCACACACACACACACATACATACACTCACAGAAACTTGTATCTTTCTATCTCTCCCATGTCAAAGCCAAATCCAAGAGGCCCTTGGGACTTTTGCCTATTGACGAAACTAAACACTCAGCAAGAGAAGGGGGGAGAGAGAGAGAGAGTGAGACCCCGGGAAGGGAGCTGGTGTTTGAGGCAACTGAAGTGAACTCTCCGCTCATTAGGCTCTGAAATATTCTTTTCTTTCCTAGGAATCAAGGTCTTTCTTTCAGTTTTCATGTGAGGAGTGTGCAGCTGCTGTGTGACTCTGTGTGTGTTGCAAACAGAGAAAGGCTCCAGACTTCAGCTAACCCAGTAATTTGACAGTCACAAGCAGCTGCTCTTTATCATCATATGGGCGAATCTAAACAGACACCATGCTCACACACTCTCACACACACGTTTTATCTCTGAGTGAAGTTTTACAACTTTCTTGAGAGTGCAGGATCCAGAACTTTTTTTTTGGCAAATTCAATGAAAAACTGTGCAGCTCTGGCTTTCAAAGTAAACAACAACAGAGGTAAGCAGAGTCACACTGGGTGTAGAACTTTTTTAGGGATTGTGCAGAAACTTTTTAACTTTACAGTCGAAAATAAGAGGAGTTTATGGCATCATGGTTGAACTTATCAGCTGCTTTTGATGTAGAAATAGGCTTAAAAATACTGGTATTGACAATAAGCATCTTTGTAAAAGAAATGAAATATCAATATTGTGCTACAAACAAGCATGCGGTTTATTGTAGTCTTTCCACTGGTAGCCAAGTCATAAAAAGGAGGAGAGCCCAAGAAGAAGAAGAAGCAGCTGCTGCTAGTGAGCTCACTGTAGCAGCCCTGTCAAAAAGGGTCTAGCTCTTTTTGAAACGGACATTCCCAAACTAAATTACAGCTTATGCCTCTTCGGGTTTCTAATCAGCTCAGCTAACAAACAATTGTTCTGTGAGGCAATGTTTTCTCGGAATAAATTTCAGCCAGAGCTGGTTATGTGGATGAATATCAATGTGAATATCATCAGAAAGAAAGGGATGATAACATGTAAGGTAAGTGTGTTAATTAGCTAAGTTGGAGTAGTGATTTGCCACTCCTATGTTCCTCAGTTTGTCTGATTGTGCTGCTTTATTTTCAAGTTTTCCATAAAAACTATTAAATAATTGACAAATGATGATGTAATTAGTTGCAGACACAGTTAAAAATATAAATGAACTATTGAACCCCTAACAGACATGCATCCATATGTTTACACTGCCCTGTTTTCTGAGATTACACGTTCGTTGTTTCATTTCAGATCACCACTTAACCTCAGATGATGATAACTTGTATTCACAAAGCTGCAAAAGCCCAAATCAAACATGATAATTGTCTTCCAGAGAAGTTTACCAGTATTGGTTTTTCAGAGCCAATACTGCTACTTTCATCTGTAACAGATATTTAGAACTGATATGGTTTGGCAGTAAAATTGAGAAACTTTCTGTCAAATTTGAAACTGGAATGGTAGAAACTCCAACACAGAAGTTGTCTCATATGCCTTGACTTTGTTTAAACTGAAATGTTCAACATCTGGTATAGGATGGTAATTCTGAGCAGCAGTAGTTAGTCAGAATTACCAGTTAATGTGACACATGCAGTGGCGTAACATGAGCCTGTCCTCAAATACTGTGGGCAGGATGTGAGATCAGACAAACTGGTGCAAGAAAACAGACCCAGAGGGAAGGACAGGCCAGCAGTAGAGCTGAGGGAGTACACTATCTGAGCATTTTATTTCATCAGCTAACTCTAAAGTAAAAGGCTGATACAGATAATCTTCCACTTGCCAAATATCAGCCCTGAGAATCGGTCAACCATGTAATGAATACAGCATATTTCTACAAGGCAATCCACAGTGCACACAACAGTACAGCTAATGCTGCGTTACAGTTGTACTCGGAAGTCTGAATTTCTGAGCTTCGAGTCGGAAATTAATCTGGAACGCCCCCCTGAAATCGGATTTCTGACTGGGAAAGTCAAACAATAGTCACCAACCCCAACTTGACAACAACGCCATCATCCAAGATGGCAGCGCAGTGCATCAACAGTAAAGAGTAACAGTGAAAACTCTCGTAATGTATTATTGATTAGCACTTCTGTTTTGTTTTTGTAAAATTAAATAAGTGGTATCTGTTGTACTGCCAATCGTCTAACTGTGAACACGGTGCTATGGTGTTTGTAGGAGTAAAATACTGTGTTATGGTATAATTAACAACAACTAACAACAGCTGACAACGGCTAACAACAGCTGACAACCGCTAACAACAACTGACAACAGCTAATAGCAGCTGACAATTGTAAACAACGGCTAACTGTAGACGTCAATACTGGTTTTCCGACTTGTTAACTGGAACGCAGTCAACAATGGGTGTAACAATGTTCCCAGTTCTGACATCCAACTTCCAGGATAACTGGAATGCAGCATAAGTCACACATGTATGTGGCATCTAGTTAATCAGATATTTGCAAAATTCACTACAGAGAAAATATCAAGTTGTGGCGGCTCACAGTCTACATTGGGCCAAAGATTGTTAACTGTACTGGTCCAGAAGATGAGATATGCCAAGTTTGGCCTTTTGCTAACTACTAGACATTCTTAACAGTCTCATTTGTGTTTGTACACACTGGATGGCCAGAAAATATAAATATTCAACCATCCAGTCACATCCTACAACCACACATTCTAATCTCAAGATCTATATCATGACCTTGTGTTGCACAGAAGTCAATTCATTTTGCACCCTCACTTCCTCCAGCTTAAGTCTCAATTTAAAATAAACACACAATATTTTTGCCCAAGATGTTTCGAGCAGCTTTTCAACAACCACTACTCAGTTAGATGACCTTTACCAGATCAGACTCTGTGTTGTTGGTGCCTCTGTGTGAGCTCTAAAGCACCTGCTCATCTGTCTCTCAAGAGTAGCAGTTTCCCTGTATCTGCTGTAGGGTACATGTCATCTGCAGAGTCTGCTGCTTAATACAACAGTATGGACCCAAAGTTCATAGCAAACAGGCAGAAATTATGTAAAAACAACAGAAATCAGGAGGCAGAATTGCAGAGTTCATTTTTGTACTTTTTTGGGTTTTCCTCCAGAGAGAGTTTTTACAGAAAGAGGTCACATCAACTACTTCTGATGCAAACTCAGAACTTCAGGCAAATCCTTAGCACTTTGAAACTGGTGTCAAATCTTTTCACACTCTCATATTAAGCTGAAAGCAGAAAGGATAGACCTCGTAAAGAGCAACACAACAAGTACACAACAGATTTGTGTTTTTAATCATGAGTACAGCCATGAAAGTTGCATAAAGTCACTGCCACAAAAAGTCCACATACCTAGTGAGACAGACTGTACAGGGTCCCAAAATTTAATTCCACCCCCACCTTGTTAAAATAAGAACTGTGTGACCCTTAACCATCAATAAAACGCCAAATCATCAAACCCTTGGGCAGTGCACCCTGCCTCTTTATCTTATCTCTCGTCTTACCTGTGTCCTGTCTGAACTGATGCATGGACTGGAGATCTATGATGTAGGGCGACAGCCGGCTGTCCACCTGGCCGAGGACCACACTCCCTCCACGGGGGTCGCTGCTCCGAATGGCCGCCTCTATCTGGTGGGAAACGGCCGCGCTGTAAGGCCTCCACCGGCCGTGTTCGTTGAGCCATTCCCACACTACCACGGCAGAGGCCAGGAGCATGTTGTTACTGTTGGCCCTGCACAGGAAATATATGATGAAATATCGTGAAGCACATTTTTTTTCTGCTCTAGTTTGATGGATTGAGGGATTTGTTGCCTACAGAGGGCTTGCCAACACAAGGAAAAAGAGGCCAGCCACACAGTCAACACTGTGGTAACAATACACATATCCTCAAATACTTGTACTTCAATGTCCATTTCATGATTTTGTGTGATACACAGCTATCAACGCATTGTGTTCAATGCTAAACAAATTCATCTTACATGAAGCCGAGGCGAAGCTAACGCCGGGAGAGACCGACACATTCTTCAGACATCCGAGCCCCTCTCATGGCCAGGCGGAGACGGAAATCACGGTCCACACACACCGCCGTCTTTGTTATAACGCCGCTTTATGGTGTTAAAACAGCCGCAGAGTGAACGGTCAACGGAGCGGCCTGAATATTATGCTTTATGAGGTTTAGTCCTTGCTCCAGACACACAGATAGCTCCTCCAATGACGGCCTTTTGTGAGATTTTGGTGAAGTGTTCGAAACCTCCTCGATGTGGGTAAAATACGGTCCCCAAAAAACAACGTGTCGGTTGATATTTACTCTTTCGCGTGAGCGTGTAAATCCCAAACAAAGCAAGGATAGAGATAGCAACCGCTAGCGTGCTTTCCTCCCGTAGTTTTTGGGGCGTTACATACCGAAATATTGAGAAAGTGTAGTGGCTTCCAACAGCGCAATCTCAGTAGTAACGACTCTCAAACCAGGTGTTACGCTGAGTTGTGCTACCCGACGAGTATGGCGTGCAGCTCGCGGGAGCGCGTACAACTCAATCGGAATGTACCTAGCTCATGACTTCCCTGGCAAAACTCCTCTGTGCAAGGTGGCTTTGGAATCCGTACCATAGTTACCACAAAAAACAAACAAACAAACAAACAAACAAACATATGACTGAACGCAAAATAGTATTTCATTCACGTTCAAATACTCTAGAAGTGAACCCAAAAACATTGCTCAAAACACAATTTTCCACAGATATTTCCAGAAACCCTTGATACATATGTGTCAACTGGTCTGGGTTGCCTTAACATGTTTTTTTTTGACAACATAGCTGATAAAAAAAGTACTTTTCAATCTCATGGACATCACCCTAGTCAGAATACACCCACATTTAACTATGTACCACTTTCTGGGTCTCACTAAATTAACAGTTAACATCAGTTTCATTTCCCTCCTGTGCTGTTGTTGTTAGAAATCCCTATATCAAAACAGACAAAATAATTTGCTTTAATCCTGTTTGCCTCAAAGTATATGAGAAGAAACTGTGAATTACGTTTTTGCAATGAAGAAAGACATTTCCCTGTCAAGTTCCTCTTCGAAACCTCCAAGTGTACATGAATTTGCATTTTTTATCTTTTACAAATACAAGCGAAATCTCGATTTTGTGGCTTTCTTTTGGAACGTGCGCGTCCCCGCGTATCCAAATCTCAAAAGCAGGCACAACTCCGCAGAACACCGGGTCATTTCCGAACAGGTTCAACTGGTCTCGATTCCGTGAAAACACCATCAAGTTTACACTGGCGACAAATGCAATTAAAATATGGTCCGGTAAGCGTTGGAGGACAAGGGTGCTGCTCTTGTGTGTAGGTTTTGTTGCTACCGAACTCACTACTCGGTCTGTATTTTAATAACTATAGCGTTCTTTTTATTCTACAAGTTACTATAGTCCCAATTACACAGTACTTGACATTTTTGGGCCACATGCACTTAAATTGTATAAAAAAGGAGGAAATATTCACCTGTTGCTATGAACGTTGGGTCCGCTCTCCTAGTCCAGCACACTTGGAGGAAAATCCAGGATCGTTTTCATGAGTTTAAACTATCCTTTTCTTCTTCTCCTCTCCACCATGGCTCTTTCTTTCCTTCCCTCAACTCCAGTGGTCACAGAAAGCAAAATCCCTCGTCTTTCTCTTTGTAATTAAAAAACAACAAACGAAACAGGGGAATTTATTTCCCTCTTTTAAGTCTTACATGGAGGCAAACGGTATATTTGGTCCATGATGTGTTAGAATAAAGTCTGCCATGTTGGTCCTGGTACTATCCTTTAGCGTCCATCTTCTCCTCTGAGTGGAAAAACTGGATTTTGGAGTAAGAGGGGACTGAGGAGACAGCGGACCCCCCTCACCACGCCCAGAAACCCCCAGGGTGGACAACAACCAATAGCAGGGGGGTCTCCCAAAATACAACCCCGGTTCTACCTGTCGAATGTGCTGTTTGAAGACCAAAAAAAACCACAGGAATCAGTTTGAGACATTTAATGGGAAATTTATTCATTCACTTGTGATAACATGAAAGAATGAGTTATACACAAAAGGGAAACACCATAAAGGTGTGTAAAGCATGTAAATGTAGAAAATTTGGGGATAACTGGATAAATGTGCGGAAAACACATTGGCATTTAAAAATAATCTCCAAGAACTCCGCTCATCATCAGGTGCTGTTATAGATTCAGTAAAATTCCTTATTTTGTCATATCTGCCTGTGACATGATAGGGTCATATAATATGGTTCTTTGCTCCTTTTTATACAACATACACCCAATTTTAAAAATGGTTCAAAATGTGTCAAAATTAACTTATATTTATTTTAATTTCGAAGTCCAGGAATCATCTTTATTACTCAGGAGGGCTCTTACTTTAGCCACCTGCTGCAGCCTGCTGGATGAGTTAGGAACAGCAGATGTTTCTGTCTTTTAGACAGTCTGGTGTAAAAAAAAATCATTAAACTTCACACAGTCCGTAAGTTCTCAAAGTATGTGTACATTTACACCTCCTTAATTTACTCACGTAAAATAAATTTCTGCTGATAATACCATGAGTAGTGAGTCAACTTTGTGGTTCCACTAAGTTTTCTCGTTCTCCACTACCGACTAGCTTTAGCTCCATTCGACGAGCAGACCGTGAACCCCAGTTAGCTGTTTGGGCAGAATGAGTTACATACTCACACTCGGTTATGATATACATAATCACACTAGATACATATGAAAACAGGAGAAACAAACCACTTTATTAGTGAATGTGACGTCACTGTAAGTGTCTTCGGCTCCATAGCTCAGGGGTTAGAGCACTGGTCTTGTAAACCAGGGGTCGCGAGTTCAAATCTCGCTGGGGCCTGGATACACTTTTCAAAATCTTATCTCCAAAACTGAATGCAGTCTATAAACATTACCTATAACTAGCTATTTCATTCCAAGCAAATTATAATTCTATTTTACTCAAAAATTAGCATTTGGATATTAGCAGTTGCAGAAGTAGTAGTATAATCCTGTGTGGCTTGCACAGCCCATGTGAACTTAGAAAACCCAAGAAAATAAAGCAACTCACATTGAACACCTCAGATTTCAACCTTCACATATTAGGAGAAGTGCAGAGACATTGTTTCTGTCAACTTAATACCTCATAACTTATTGAGATGGTACAACATACTGGAACAGTGCATCGAGTCAAGACACTTGATTTGTTGAGGCAATGCAACATCTGAGGTTATGACAGCACAATATGTTGCACGTGGTTGTTTTAGAAGCGGTATGAGCAGAGCCTGCCCAAGGCATAAGCGAACTATGCACCTGCTAGGGCCCTGTGGCCCCTCAGGAGCCCTCAGTGATAAACAACAGGGGTGGCACAAAAAGTGGGTGGCCCGGGTCTGGGTATGAACATTAGAGGACAGGTACAGCAGCAGCAGACAGACAGACAGTACAGTGCTGCACCTGTCCATTCGGCATTGAGCGATTCATGTTTATGTTTACAATACCTCACTTGTGTTTGCAAAGCTTCCTGGCTTCCTTATAACTCCATACCGCTATCGGTTGGAAAAGAAATATTGTAATGCTCAATAAGTACCACTGTGAGGCACTGTTCAAGAGCCCGGATAGCTCAGTCGGTAGAGCATCAGACTTTTAATCTGAGGGTCCAGGGTTCAAGTCCCTGTTCGGGCGAACATTTTTTCCCTGGGGAGCTGTGGATTGACTGTGCCCTTCCTACCCGTGAGCAATGGCGTACCGCTGCTGAATCAAAGTGTCTCCAATGAAATTGAGCGGGAGGGAAAAAGTGAAAAACTATTTACAATATATGCAGTACATTTAGCTTGTCCCTCTTGTGTCTGTCTCATGGCAGTAAAGTGCAAAGCGACGTAGCTGTTTTGCCACAGTATGAGACTTATAAACACACACACACACACACACACACACACACACACACACACACACACCACAGTCTAAAACAACAGTTAACATTACGAATATTGACGCATGGTGCATCTGGAGAAAACTGAGGATATTGCAAAAATATAACATTTTTGATTGGACAGTTTATGAGGATAGCAGAAATCCGACTGACATTATAAATCTGTGAGTTGCAGTGTAATTATCGGTAGTAGTGAATTACATACCTAATGAATTATTAAACATGTGATAACAGAACTACTTACAGTCTTCTGGACGCTCAGGTGAAGGGATTATACTGACAGAGAGATACTATAGCCGTCATGATGCTGATGAGATGACGGAGAGTGTTACTAAGAAACTTGTCCAAACTGGCTTCTTCACTCTGAGCAGGGAGGTGGGGGCATGATTGACAGGGATATCCGAGATTGGTGATAGGTGAAGAAGGGGGGTGTGATAATTAGCATGCGAGACAACCAGACTCCTGTATACTAAACATGCAGATGCTAATGTCTGCAGTAGAAGATGGGGAAAGAGTTGTCCTTTTTTACACTGCTGACTCTAGAAGTTTCTACACACAGTTTAACAATCCAGAGTAATTCAGCCTCTACTATGTTGTGGCTCAGAGGAAATTTGTCTGAATTTGTTTGTTCATTTTCAAGCTTCCGTGTAAATAATCTTTAATATTGCTATCCCTAGCTTTGTAACTAGTGATGGGCATGGCAGTTCTTTTAGATGTACTGAATCACTAGAATCAGTTCACTAAAAAGATTTGTTCAAAAGATTCTTTCACCAAATCACAGAATCACTTAACGCTTGGCGACTCCTACCTCCTTAACTGATACACAGCTGAACATTTCAGGATTCAGTTCTATTCATAGTTTATCGGACTGGGAGACAAGAGTGTTTGGCTGTGTTGCTTTGGCAAAGGTCATGATGTTTTAAGTGTACTGTCCATTTGTATGCCATTTATCAGGTCTGCTTGGTAAATTGGGCTCATTGAGTGATTTGTTCACTGAATGTTTAGATTCACACTGAACATGCACCGTTCCCTCGCAAACCGCTGCAATGATAGGATGTTGCGGGTTTAATACACTATTTGTTACATGCTGGGTCCTGTTTTATGCAAGTTGTTGTGGTGGCAATCAAGTAGGAAAACGATCATTTTGTCCAACAAAAATGATTCCAGAGAGTGTAGTTCTATGCATGATTCGTTCACCAAGTGATTCAGGCGTCGGTGCATGTGGTTCCTCGTTCGCCGGCTGCTGGCCTGGCAACGCTGTTTCTCACTTCAGCTCGACTGAAGTGAGAAATGAACGAATCACTCGAGGAAGTGATTTGGTTCAGTACGTTCACTTAAAAGATACAGTTCTTTTGAATAAATCGTTCTCGAATGACACAACACTATTTGTAACCCACTTTTACAGTTTTAATTATAATCTATTTCCATAAAAAAAAAATAATATGCTTGTTTCAATTGTGTTATTTCTTTACTTATATATTTGTTAAACTTAAAAGTAAAAGAACAAACAAACGAACGACATACGAACAGAAAAAAAAAATCCCTTTTATTGTTGTTAATGTCTAAATGACTTTTTTTTAAATTGTAAGACTGTTTGATATTTCGCTTATTCGTTTTTGCACCCAAATTAAACATTATTCCCAAACGTGCAATATTATTTGGGATTAAATAATGAAATTAAATAATGTCCTGATATGGTTCATAACAACCTTGTGTTGTATCACAGTTGTCTACATAAGTTACTTAGGAATAACACGCAACACTTACAAAAAGTGTTAAGTAATTGCATCCCTCTCACTGTTTTAAAGTAGATGCAGTTATTCATTTTTTTCACCCAGAGTCTCTTTGAAAATTATTATTATTATTATTATTATTATTATTATTATTATTATTAGTGTTGTTGATGTTGTTCAGGCGCTGTACGGATACCATTTTGAAGACCTCCCCTGATGACGTCGAGGTTAAAGGTCCACATCACGACAACAACATCACGGAGCGAACATCATGCCGTCTCAGAATAGCTGAGTAGTTTCGTTTTTGTCTCTGTTTAGTCAACGTAGAGTCGAAGGAGAGGCATGACAGTCACTGCTGTTTGATTTGGCATCGATATATAAGTGAAATCTTCAGCTAGAGCACCGTTCACAGGTAAGTGACTCTTAGCATTAGCATGTTTGTTCGCTGGTTAGGGTTAGCTGCCTGTCAAGCTGTCAGCATGGTGTTTGGATACAGCGATTTAGAAATGATCATGTTGTTTTTGAACATCAGTATAGACAATGTTAAAGGAACCAACTGGCCTAAATAGGTCTGATAAGTCGCAAACATTGTAGAATAAAAACTCTTCTGTCATGCTAAACGCAGCTGCAGTATAAATGTGTTCTGAAAGTACACACACGGGAAATTTGTGGTGATTTCTTCTCATGAAAATGTTGTCCATGAGTCACACTGAGTGTCAGGAACCTTGTCAAACGAGACACATGTTTGCTCCAGATTTAAAAGACACACAAAAAATAATTGATCTGCAGGAATCTGCCATTTTAGTCGTCCATTAATCTTGTGATTATTCTGACAGAGAAGAAATGCTGCACACCCTTGTGACAATGTAAATGATCTTGTCTTACTACTAGGCTCATATAAAATGCTTAAACTTAATAAGACTGACCAATGCACATTAACTTTTTATGCATTAGTTAAACAATAACTTAAAGGGATATTCCGGCGTAAAATTAAGTTAGGGTCAAACACACCATAACACCAAGTTAGACACCCCCTTGAGAGATGAATGTTGCCGACTGCTTGCTCCTCTAGTTATACCAACTTTAGTAACGACTGCACGATAGCAATACACATCAATCTACATCTCCACACACAAACCTCGACCAAAAAGCCACTCTATAGCCACAGATAATGCTCAGAACAGCACCTAACTTCATCAACGGTACATATAGGGTCCCAGCCACAGCACTAGACACCAAACATCATTTTAGCTTTGCCTGGTTTCTTTAGCAAAGCGACTTAACATAAGTCCCCTACTTTCTTCCAGCAGCCGCTTGTTTGTAGCAAGACCTCAGGCCAGTCCATTATGGACTGCTGCGGGGTAACGCAGCTCAAGGAAGAACGTATGATAATTTCTTAATGGAAATGCAAGCAGACCGAGATGCTAAGGCAGAAGAAGTATTGTGTCTGCAGTGCAAAATTATTAATATGATGATTATTACTATAAGGAAATTATAAAGGGGTGCCTAACTTGGTGTTATGGTGTGTTTGACCCTAAATTAGTTTTATGCCAGAATATCCTTTAATGCCAGTCACTGTAATTTTGTCTTCTTACTCAGCTGCTAAAACCAGTTTAGTAAATGGTGTATGTGACAGATGTTAAATATTCAACTGTCAAAGTAATACTACGCAGGATTTTTAATAGACCAAACACTGGGAATTATGTATTGACACAAGATCCATGGGGAAGTAGTAATGGCATGTAACATTTTCGAATACTTTCCTTCACTTTGAATTAGGCAATAATCAAGAGTGACAAGGGTTTTGATATTGTTAAGAGTGTCTCAGTGAGAGCCAGCTCTCCTTGCGAGATGAGTTTGTGAGTTTGTTCTGCAGCAATGCTAAATTCCTCATTGAGATGAAAGTGTTAATGAGCCTCTGTTTAATGAACCGAAACTGACTGTAAATCTCTCATTCAGCATGGCAGGAGTTTTTGACATCGACCTGGAGACAGAGGACATCAGTGACACAGAGGTCTGTACACCATGGGGATTAGAAATACTACCCACTTACTTATAAGCTGACTAAAAAGAAAGATAAACAGCTAATTTGCCTCACTGGAGTTTCTTTGTTGTGTAGACTCTTTAAAATTGGACACACTGAAAATGTAAAATGCAGATCTCATTTCGCTTTAGGGCAAATTTTGAAAAGATGTACATTAGTTTTAAATCACACCTTTGTATTTTAGATTTGTCTGGTCTCATTTTGTTGTGTTTTCTTGTGTAGGATGATGTTTGTGACTTCACAGTGACAGAGCCAGAGAAGTATGTAGAACTTGCACTTAAATCCAATGAAGCACATGTTGATAATGATCAAAAATTCATGAAGATCAACCCTGTTGGTTAATTTCTGTGTCCTCTTAGTGTCCAGACAGAGGAGGTGGAGTTGACCAGTGAAAGCGTCAACAGAGACAGTGAGAGAGTTGGACCTGACTGCTTTGAGCTCCTTACTGTGCTGGGAAAAGGAGCTTATGGCAAGGTTTGTGTGTGATTTTTTTTTTGTGTGTGTATATGTGAGCGTTATGGCATTTAAACCTTAACAAAGTCATGTCTTTGTTAAGTTACAGGGACATTTTTGTCTTTCCACTAACCACAATTTGAAGAAAGTATTCAAATCCCAACCAGTCTGTGTTTTATGAGTTTTTATTTGACTTGTACTACATCACTCAGAACATGGTGAGGACCCAGACTTGTTTATTAAAGACAGATTTATTGTTGTAATAAATCAAGTCCCTCATAGTTTGTTCACTTTCTGGGCATGAGTGTCTTTGTGACACATATTATAGTCATCATGTTTAACTTTCAATGAGTCTGTAATGATGATGTCTTGATATTGACCATTAATAAAACAATATTTGATGTTCAAAGACAAAATACTGAGTATTTGTGATACTCTGTTGTAGGTTTTTCAGGTGAGGAAGGTCCAAGGACCTCAGACGGGGAAGATATTTGCCATGAAGGTCCTGAAAAAGGTACTTGGACATAGTTCACAGTCCTCCCTTTGAGGTTGGTGCTAGTAAATAAAAAAAGATCTGTTCCTTTGTTTTTTGAAAAATTCACTTAAAGCCAATACAAAGATGTAACTTTGCACCAGGTGATGTCAGTTCCCCAGTGTGAATTATCTTAATGCAGTATTTGTTCATCAGCTGATTTTATTCAGTTTGTGTGACATAGTCTTCTTCTTTTGTCTCTAAAGCACATCAGTGTTAATCTTCTTTGTACTTTACACCCTGATGTACATCAGACATGGCTGACAGAACTCTACAAAATGTTGTGTGTGAATTTTTTTACTTATCTCAACGTGCAGACTGGTGCAAAGAAGAATAACAAAGTTTTCCCCCTTTTCCTAGTTTTTAATAAACTGATTGTAGTTTTATGACTTAACATCTTGAAGTCTTTTCTTTCCCACCCCATTTTTTGTCCCTTCCTCAACTCTGATCTGTGTTCACTTTTATTTCATATTTTCATTTCCAGGCTAAGATAGTGTGCAATGCCAAAGACACAGCACATACACGAGCAGAGCGGGAGATCCTGGAGACGGTGAGACACCCGTTCATCGTGGATCTGCTCTACGCCTTCCAGACTGGAGGAAAACTTTACCTCATACTGGAGTGTCTGAGCGGTGAGACATTGAGGAAGATATCAGACTCACTTTTTATCATTCAGAGTAAAAATGTTGTTAAAGAGAAGAGATTTGAGAAAGAAATGAACGGAGACATAAAACTTGTCATTTAACCATTCTTTTTGTGTTGTTTTCTTCATCATTAGGAGGAGAGTTATTCATGCAGTTGGAGAAAGAGGGCATCTTTATGGAGGACACTGCATGGTAAGAATTTATTTTATTATTGCATAATATTTAAAACCAGCAACACTTATTTTTTTCTCTATTTTTCACTTTTTCTTACATTCAGCAAGTGTGCAAGTTATATAGTAACGTGGACCAATTACATGTCAGCAGACTTTGCTATAGGCAGAAAAAGACAGTTTTTGTGGTGAGAGCAAAAGCAGACAGGAAACTGTGTTGAAATGGTAACCCAGCCCCCATCAGATTTATTTATCTTTATACACAGATAGAGATAGAGAACAGTCTTTTCCAGATCAAGATGTTAAGTTTCACAGTGTCTTGAAACTCAATCAGCAATTTTCTAACTCCCCATAGTGTATCAAAAATGATTGATCAAACATGCGTTCAACGGAAAAAACATCTAAAAGTTTTTTTCCTGAATTAAGGCAGAGTGTAGCCTTTTCGTAATTTAGCATTTACAGTAAAACCGAGACTCTCCAGAAACAGATGAACAATCAAAGCTCAAGACCCATTAATTACGAGGAGGTTGTCTTTTGGAGTCACTTTTCTGAAGTGAGCCAGAATGCAGACTCTGTGTAACTCACCATTTACAGTGAATCTGAGACTCACCATAAACTGATGTATAGTGAGGGAGGAAAGTGAGGTATATTTTTGCTATGGATGTTTCTGGCTGTGTGAATTTCCCTTCACTTTTTTTTCTCTGTCACTTCTTGGTTGTTGATCAGACTATACAGCATAGCGCACAGACAGGAAATGTAACAACTGGCTACACTTCAATGCCTGTAAAAAGTTTGCTGTCATTTTAGAGTCTTTGAAATTTAATACTCCAATATCAAGCATTAGCTGTTGGCTACTGAGGTCGTCATGGTTGTAGCCAAGAACCACAGCTGTGTTTCTTTGAAAACACAAGGGTCAGTGTATGTTTCAGAGAGATAAGGTTCTCGGTCTATTTTCTGACGCAGCACGTAAAAAACAACAACAAAACATTCTCATTCAGGAAAACTGAAACCATCTGCTCACTTGCATGTTTGGATCCTTGTAAGAAATCATAGTTAGCCTAAATGAGTTTAAATCTGAACTGTTATTGAACAGTACACAAACAATGACAGACTCATCAGAATCGTTTCTCTAAATTCAATCAGACACACTGTGGAACATTACCAGAGTTAACCTTTGCTCTTTAGAGCTGCAAACTAAGGCATTTTTCTTCAAGCTAGAGCACACTCTGTTAAATGACCTACAGTGCCTTCTTACTAATGCACATTTCAAACCCCTGAATATGAAGCTGAAAACACCTGATGAGTCTGCAATAAAAAGATGTTGTTCCCTTTCATACGCCGTAGACTCAAATGATCAATGTCTGTGTGAAGTTTCTATTTAGGAGAGATCACACTGGCCCTCGGTCACCTCCACTCCAGCGGGATTATTTACCGGGACCTCAAACCTGAAAACATCATGCTCAACCACCAAGGTGATTCGAAACATACTAAACCATGTGATTAATCAAGTAATCTTAGCAGATATAAGACAAATCAGCACGTGTAAGATTTATAATTATCCCAATGTGCAGAAAGTTATAAATGCATGTTAGAGAGCTTTAGCGTTTAGATATCTGTCTGTGATAGTTTGGATCTCATTTCCCTCAGTGAACCATGTGGTTCATTTGTTTCCTGTTCTGCATTAGGCTAATTTTGTGTGATTTAGTTTCACTTTTCATCTAGATTTAGTTTAACATCCACATTTAACAGAGATACTTTAAACTTCAATCTTTTTCTTTCTTGTTTTCAAGGACACATCAAGCTGACAGACTTTGGCCTCTGTAAGGAATCAATTCATGACGGCACTGTCACTCACACCTTCTGTGGCACCATCGAGTACATGTGGGTAACACTTCTGTCAGCACAGCGTCATGTGAACTCACACTCAAAATTATTCATCATAATTTTATACAGTTTTCCTTAAATCTTTTTTTTTTGCTAGCCAGGAAATGCCTTGGAAAAGTATTGAAATTCAAAATTTCTAAAGAATTCATATTCGTTTTATTTCAATCATGGTCATGAGATTTCAAGGTCATCTTTTGTGCGAATTGTATCAAATTATCGCTTGGTTTTGTGACTAGTGACCACAATATTATGTGATGCATGTTGAAATTTGCAGCGGCTTTGTACTTGAAATGTCAAACATGTGAGTGAAGACACTTGCAAACATCAGCAGTGCACCTACATATCTGCTAAAACTTACTCATCAATGGCTGTTTTGGTAGACTAGGGTGCTACACCCATTTGATCTATTCTCAACAACTGAATGAGCTATTTTTCTGGCGTCTTGATTTACCAGTGTGGCAGGCAGTGTCAAAACAAAGAGGCACATTTAACCAGCCTATTGAACAATAGATTGATCTCTGCTGAATGTGCCGACACTAATGTTTTCCTCTTGATATCCTTTGCTTCATTTTTACTTCAGTGTCTTTCTTTGATTAAGAACCAGTCATTGCCACATCTGAGTTAAAAAAGTAAACAAGCTGTCCTGAGAAGAGAACAGTTTGTTTTTACATCACTTCAAGAGAATAATCTTGAATTTTGACGTCAATGCAAAGGGCATCAGGAAGAACTGGCAGAGTTTTCAGCTGCTCTAAAAGCTTTGACAAACCTTAACTTTATGAACTTTAAGTCATTGAGTTTCCTGTATGAGAGCAGACCTACTTTGATTTACTGGCTGTACAAAGGAATATTCTTTTTTTTCTTTGTGGGTGACCTGTAGATGACATTTATTGTTCATCAGTTGCTGGTAAAAAGTTATTTTGTGTGTAACATTCCTCCACTAGCAAGCATTGTCAGTGAGTGCTGTTGGCAGTCTTTGCTGCTGAATTAAAAACACATTTGCCATTGCACCCACTCTGTGATGATTAGACACTGCTCTCTTTGAACATATAAACAGCCTAGTTTATCTGTTTTTTTCTCCACTATGTCAACAGGCTGTCATTGTAACTGACGTCTGATGTGTAAAATCAAATGTTGGGGTCACTTGATTAAGGTATCTCCATCAGTGTCTAACAAATATCTTTAACTCAAATGTTCATGCTGTACAGTCAGAGGGCTGCAGCAGACACTGCAGTGAGGGAAGTTACACAAAGTCCTTTTTCAGGAAAATTAGGCGAAATATTCTGAAAGTATAAGAAGGTTTTGATATGTGGTAACCTGTTTCGTCTCCTTTGCTAGGGCTCCAGAGATCCTGACCAGATCAGGTCACAACAGAGCAGTGGACTGGTGGAGTCTGGGGGCCCTGATGTATGACATGATGACTGGATCAGTAAGTTAGACCTGTGTGAGGGGAAAGTTAATTCAGTTTGCTGATGATGATAATGGGATTTGCCCCAAATGACGCTACCCATGTATCCATAAAAGGAGGTAAAAGAGAGCGGCTGGAGTCAACAAATTTAAGACAATATTCTTTTGATCTGAATCCAAAGTTTATGACAAGAGAAAAAGAATGGAAATGAGACTCGGCTGCAAGTCAGAGTTTGAGAGAAGCAAAATCTGATAAAGTAATACTTAGATGAAGTCATTCTTTTTTTTCCTGAATATTTGAATTCTTTTTTTAGCTTTTCTTGGTCTCTAAGGTTGTATTGATGATATATATTTAACACTGAAACATCAGGTTACAATTGGTTAGATCAAGAAACATTGACTAAGGCTCACGAGTTTCCACTCAGCAACTAGACAAATATTTGACCCGTTAATATATATACATTTTTTTCCCAATACGACAGACAATAGAGAAGCCACATATCCTTTCTTGTCTGTTTTCCAGAGTATTTTTCCCTCACTAAATGCAAAAACACACTCGTTACTCATCTGTCCATTCTGTGCCATTGTTGAAATATAGTGGTTCAAGATGGTGGCCTCCATGGAGACGTGCTCCACTGTAGATATAAAGGATTAATTTTAAGTTGACTAAAACAAAATGATTTTTATATTCAGGTGATTGTACACTAGTTCAGACTTAATATTCTGACCAAATCTGTTCTGCAAAGTGCCGCTAAATACTACAGACTGTACCTTTATGATTATGTTAAAAAGTGTTGATATTGATGAGGGGTTAAAGGAGAGACTCGGACAGATATTTAACACAGATACTTTTTTATTTTATTTTGGCCTTTCGTTGGGGGAGAATAATGTATAGGAGCATATACACGGTGGGGCCCTCTCAAAATAAAGCATGAATCTCTGAGACTTCATGTTTTATCATTAAAAAGTTACCTGAAGAGCTGTGGATCAAAACATTTACAAATACAAGTGCTAAAAGTGGTAGCATCCCTGTGATAATCACCATTTTGATTAGTCAACCTTTCTCTGACGCACTGTGTGCACTACTGCCACCTTGTGGTGTCTGCTCATGGCTGCATATAGTTAGAAACTGCAATGCAGTTTAAACACCATAAATGTTCATTTTGAACTCCTTTAGCCCTGTGTTTTAACAGCATGAACAGAAAGAAAAGAATGGAAAATAAAGTAATGGACAGATAAATCTCAGCTTGTAAAAATCAAGCAACAGAAACTCTGAGCTAGTCAGTATTGCTTTTAGTGATTGTCCTACATCCTATTCACTTTGGCTAATCCACAAAGCTGCTAACACAACCGATTACAAGCTGCATTTTTTTTGCGTGACTGCACAACAGCTCAATCAAAAAAACTCTGGAACTATATTGAGTAAACAAAGAATTTACAGGACTTCTGGTGCTTTGGCCTCAGATAACTGTGTGATAATCCAAATCAAAAATATCATTTTCAACTCTCATCCTATCTCATGTTTCTCCTTCAGCCTCCGTTCACAGCTGAAAACAGAAAGAAGACCATTGATAGGATCTTAAAGTGTAAACTTAACCTGCCGCCATACCTGACTATTGATGCAAGGGACCTCATCAAGAAGGTACACACACACACACACACACACACACGCACAGTCACACACACACGCACAGTCACACAACCATACGTCAGACCAACAGAGAGACTAATCCTGGTTTTATTTGTTAAACTCTGTTCTCACATGTACTGCCAAAGAATAACTGAGCTCATGAATAGTTTAGTTTGGTTTCAGTGCCTGCCAGTCCTGACATCCTCCAGTTGTTGTTTTTCTTTCACCAAGTGAGCTGATGCACTTCAGCTGTTTTCTTTTATCTCTAGTTTATCTTTATCTGCGAGGCTTACGCACTAACCGCCCAGTTTCCAAAGAATTTAGGAGGCCTGTTTTGGATTTCATATGAGCATTAAATTCAGAAGTGGTTTATAATCAAATACAAGACTGAAATTTCAGAGTTTCACCAGTTTGTATCTTTGTATTTTGATAAAATATGAGATTTGGCTGTTTTAAAAACCATCACACAGTCTCTGTATTCACATTTTACAAAGTTGCATAACTAACGTTTTTGAATACAGAGGTACATTGAAACCTCTGGCCATGTTTGATCTCTTGGATAATCACTTCCTTTGTTTGGGTAGAGCATGCCCTCAGTTTTTATACTAGTTTTTACTCTTGTGACCAAAAAGAGAGTCGTTAAACCTGCAGATGTTGTGACATTAAAGTTAAGGCTGCAAAGGGGGGAACTGCCTGTCCTGTCCACAAGGTTAACTATGAGAAATAAGACAAATTTAAGACTTGGCAACAGCTCCCTTAACCATGGTGATCTATGTTTTACAGAAGGTGAATTATGATATTTGTCAAACTGGGTCATATGTAAATGTTTTTTATAATGTGTTTTAGATTGGCTCCTTGTGTCATAAGTGCCCACTAAAGTGAATCCTGTAAAAGTGTTTATTTGTTTATACAGAGACCACCAGGCTCAGATTTTTATTTTGAGTGTCTGACAGCTCTATGAAAATGAGCCCTATAGAGATACTCTTGTCGTTTAAGAGTAAAATGTTGATGTTGAACAGGAGACAGCTACACTATCACACTCTGGAAAGCCACAACACTCATTTTTGTAAAGCTAATGCTCTACTTGGCAGAAGTTGATGTTTGTTAATACCTCAGTATCTCTGGAGACTTTGTGTTACTATGAAATTGTTCATTAGGATCTGATACAGGCTTTGTGTAAAACCTGTTAACACTAGCTGCATCATATAATCAACTCTGGTGCTCATAGTCGAGGAGTTAAAATGACTGTTTTGAGACCCAGCATTCAAAAAGGTTCAAAAAAGTATTTCTCTTATAGGTAAACCTCTTTATGTCATGTTTTTGCAACAGAGTCAAAAGTTGATCATTTGCAGATGAAGCACTTTTAAGTTGATTTACTTGATTTAGATTTGATGTCTCCACCATTGCATTCTGTTTGGTTTGAACTATCAAACATAATTCAGCAAAACAATTCCAAACTTCACACAATCCATCCAAGTTTTTGATCATTAGGGAAACTGTCACAAAACTTTTGAAAGCATATCTCAAAGCTTGACAACTCCAGCATAAAGTCCTCCATCTTCAAAGTGCCATTTTGTTGTCTTCAAATCTTTTGTTGTTCCAGCTGCTAAAGAAGAATCCAGCCCAAAGACTTGGCTCCAGTAAAGCAGACTGTGCCGACATCCAGGTGAAATCTTTATTTTCTGCCTCGAGAATGCTTCACCTTAACAAGCAAACACACCAAACCTGAAGCCTGGTTCTACGAAAGAGGATTAGGAGGGCCACAAGAAGAGAAAAAATAGTTACAGGAGGGAGATTTTTTTAATTTTCCATTTTGAGATTAAAGTCGAAATTTCGAGATTAAAAAAGCCGTAATAAAGTAATGATGTACGAGAATAAAGTTGTTTTAAAATGATTACTTACAAGAATAAAGTCATAACAAAATCATTTCTTGAAGATGATTACAAGAATAAAATCGTAATAAAATCATTACTTATTCAACTCAACTTTATTTGTTAAGCACTTTAAAACAACCACAGCTGAACAAAGTGCTGTACATAAATAGACAAAACAACGAGACATAAAAAACAAACAAGAATAAAATAAAATCATAATAAAATGATTACTTAGGAGAATAAGGTTGTAATTAAATCATTTGTTACGTGAATAAAATTGTAATAAAGTAAATACTAACAAGAATAAAATCATAATAAGGTAATTACTTAAAGGAATAAAATCATAATAAAATCATTACATACTAGAATAGTCATAACAAAATTATTACTTATGATAATAAAATCGTAATAAAATAATTACTTACAAGAATAAAGTTGTAATTAAATCATTACTTATTTTAACCTGTTGTTTAAGATGATAGTTGTTGAAAAGAGAGCCATGGAGCATTTAGTGAAAATGTACTTCAAAATAGATTTCTCAAACAAGGAGATACTTCATCTTTGACACATCAGCACCACATTATCATAAGTATCATAATGATTTTATTACGGCTTTATTTTCGTAACAAATGATTTTATCACGACTTAAGTCTCGTTAGAAAAGATATTTATTCTCGTTAATTAATGACTTGAATTTCAAAGTCTCCATTTTTTTTAATATGGCCCTAATACTCCGTTGTACTGGTTTACATGTGTGTTTTTAGGAAATACTGCAGTTTTCTTTTTAAATGGAAAGTGTACTGAAGAGGTCACTGTTCAGATAAACGTCCACAGATGAAGTATTGTTGACTGTCAAGTATCAAAGTGGTAACATTATCACCTTTCATCATAGGAAATATTTTTACTGCTATTCTGATACGAAAGATTATGGAGAAATTAATCTGAAGTTAAAAACATCATTTGCAGTATTCAGAGGACAATGAAGGGGGTGGAGCTGTTTTTAGTTTAGAGTTAAAATCTTCACCTTAAAGAATCAGAGACAGTTTTTAGTTGTGACCAGATGTGAATGTAAGAAACATGACTCACAGTTCACCTGCTGTTCAAGGTTAAGTGTTCATGTCTGCTCATACACGTGTCAAATGTTCTGCTTTTGTCCTCTGCAGAAACATCCTTTTTTCAGACACATCAACTGGGACGACCTGCTGAACAAGAGAGTAGAGCCACCATACAAACCACAACTGGTAGGTCATCTACCGCCATTCTATGCCCATAGTGTTACTAACATGCTGCTGTGTTAATATCCCTCATGTTACTCCGAGTTACTTAAACACAGCACGCCTGTTTCCCCTTTGGTCTTTGTGTTTCATTTTGACTGGCTTAAAATCCTGATGTAGACACCAGTCCTATTAACTTTTGTTCTCTATTTTCCACTGTGGGGCTCAGTTTGGTTTAAAATCCTGATGTAGACACCAGTCCTATTAACTTTTGTTCTCTATTTTCCACTGTGGGGCTCAGTTTGGTTTAGTTCATATGATATGGTATGATCTTTACTTTCTCCTACCTCCTTTTCAACAAACGGTACGCTTAATACCCAAAGAGAGGGGTGTCGATAGGGGTCGTTTATTTGGGCACTTGTCCCAGCTTTCAAAAACAGAAATGCAGAACCACAAATGCACCACATGTCACTGTTTTGCGCCCATCAACTTTTCTATCTCCTGAGTTTGGTCTTTCTGTCTCTCTACAGCATTCAGATGAAGACGTGAGCCAGTTTGACACCAGATTCACCCGGCAGACGCCTGTGGACAGTCCAGATGATACGACACTGAGCCACAGTGCAGAACTTGCCTTTGCTGTGAGATTTGTTTGTCTCATATGATTTAAAAAATAATACATATATATATATATAGTTTATTGGGACTGTAGAGACCTCAATCAGATTCCAGTTTTTTTAATCTCTTCCTTGTAAAACTAAATTCACACTGAACAAAAGGACGAGAAAAGAAAGAGGCAGGTTATTTTTTGTCTGAACCTCAGAACTCTTTTTCACGTCAGGGAACAGACATGAAATGGACGGTTATTCCTGCAAAATCAGTTCACATGTGTCCAAACAGTGAACAAAGTACATCCCTAAAAAGTATTTGTGTTTGATTTGGGCAGACTTTATCATCATCAACTTCATCATTACTCTGAAGACAAAATCAAATACAGTCAGAAACAGCAGCTGCAAACCTGATTCTGTTTGCTAAAGACAGTCGTTTAATCTTATTTTGCACTACATAAGGGCTTTAGGTGTGACATAAACACTTGTCATATACATTAATACATGTAAAACAGGGCCTTGGTTTTAAAGTTACTTCTTAAACTTTAACAGGGAACCCTCTAAAGTGGTGATTCTATATTTGAACCATTTTTACCTGCAGGGCTTTACCTACGTGGCGCCATCTGTCCTGGAGAGTCTTAAAGAAGGTTTCTCATTTGAACCTCGATCACGACCTGTACGCCGACACAACAGCAGCCCACGCACACCTATCAGGTAACACACACCATGTTAAAAACATATAAAGATAGCTTTTGTGCAGTCTAACGTGAATATTACTTTATTGTACAGCAGAGTAACTAAAACACAACTCTCAGTAATCCTCACCAGCAGAGCTTGTGTTACTTTTTTCTGCCTTTACTGGAATAATCTACCAAGTAGAAAAAATAAAGGGCAGTATCAGCTAATTCTCACAAATATAAGCAATGGGTCAAACAATAATAAAACAGATTTCTATGGTTTGCAAATCTCTCACACCTGACAAGCATTCAACCCAAAAGTGTTCAAAGATAACAAATCAAAAGTTGAAACTGAAACATTTGTTGTTTCATAAAAAATTTGTGTTCATGACAAATTTGATGACAGTGACACATTTCAGAATGGATAGATGGAAAAGGGACAACTAAAGGCTTAAAAAACTTATGTAATTCTTCAAAAACAGTTGGACTAAGAGCTTCACCACACTGAAACTTTGATAGAAAATAGTTTTAAAAAAAGCATATTTCTTAGTGTGAAAGATATTGTCACCTTCAGAACATAATACCATCAAAAGATTCAGAGAATCTGGAGGAATCTTTGTACAAAAGGGACAAGGACCAAAACCAGTACATGGCTGTGATCTTCAGGCCTCATTTATAAAGCTTGCTTACGCACAAAACCTGGCTAGAAATTGCGTACGCCACTTCTTACGCAAGAGTTGGGATTTATAAAAGAAAAACTAGTGTAGGAATGTGCGCAACTTTAAGCAAACTCCACACCTTGCTTACGCACTTTTTGGAGACAATCGGAGCAAGGTGAGAATAGTCCGGGTGATGCGTTCAGCACAACGGATGACTCGATGCAGCCTTTCTGTCCTGAGAGCTGCAGCTGCCGTACCAGGCAGTGATGCTCGCAGAAAGCACAGACCCCACTGTGGCGGTGTAGATAGTTTGCCAATTTGAATTTACAAATGTGCAAAAAAAACAAATTCCATTTACATGCATTTGTTTTAAGTTTATATGACTAAATCTTTTTGGTTTACGAACTTTCACCACATAAGCAGCGGTGGATAACGGAGCGTTTTTTTTTTTTTGAACACATGCACGAGTGTCACACGTGCATGTTTTTTCTGATTCTCACCTGTCGCCGCTACGCTCTGATGGTGCAAAGCCACTTTTTTCTTTGCCTCCACCTTTAGATCAGACCACTTCTTCTTGATTTCGGCACAGTTTTGTTTTCGTCTACGTCATCGTCAACGAAAACAAAACTCCACGTGTTTGCGCGTGCGTGCGTGTGTGTCTGTGTGTTGGAGGAGCACAGCAGGCTGATGACAGCTGTCAGAGCGGACAGAAGCTGCTCCTTTATGTTAAGCGTTTAACTGACTGAGTTTTGCAACTCTGGTCGTCATTTTCGTCTCGTCCCATCAACGTAAACGCACTTTCGTCTCGTCACATTTTAGTCATCTCCGACTTATGTTTAGCTCGTCAACGTTACGTCTTCGTCGTGGAAGAAAAGGGAAATATTTCCGTCAACAAAAACAACCAGTGTTGTTCTCGTTGATGAAAATATTTCCTTTTGACGCTGGTGTTGACGAAAATATTTGACGAAATATGACGAAAACAACACTGTTTCGGCAACGCTGCGCTCAGTGCCAGCCGCAATTGCCACCACGGCAACGGCGTTTTTATTGGTGATGCCACTCGAATGGCCGCCGAATAAGGTCTCCCGTCTCGCCGCCACCTCATTTACAAGAACCTCCACCTCGATCTCTGAAAAGTTTCTTTTTCTACGACTTGCTGATGCCATGGTTAAGCGTGAAATGCCGTGGATCCACCAGGCTTATTTACATGCAAATCACATTCATGAGGTAATTTGCATGACGATACATGGTGAATTTTGGGTGTGGAGAGGGCGGGGAAGAATCAAATCCCTGCTGAGCAACTTTCCAGCTGGTCTGTGATTTATAAAGGGAAAGTGCGTGCAGGTGTGCGTAGGCAGGGTTTTATAAATCAGATTTTTTTTTTGCCTACGCACTTTTCAGCTTTTCAACTTATGTACACTTTTAGTATGGATCCTACGCTAGGTTTTATAAATGAGGCCCCAGGCCTATCCATAGACTATGTATAGAATGGACAGCGTCTGCCTTGCTGGGTGAAGCCACTGTGAAAACAGCACCCTCTGGTGACGGGCTGCAGTATAGGTCATAAATCCCACCTCATACAGCAATCCCTATGGAGCTGTGGACAAACTTTCGAAATTTATTACACAGAATATACATTTTTCTCCCACCTGCTTGTGATGTCGACATGTTACTGTCAGACTGGTTTGTGCTCAAGTCCTCTTTTTTCTGTACAACTCAATTTTTCAAAGTTATTAGGGGTTCATGTTTTCTATGATTGACACTTGATACAGCCTATGGGTGTACGAAGATTGCGTAACTCAACAAGGGGATATGCTGTTTGAGCTGAGCGTCATCACAGCGTCTCTCTCGCGGAATGCGTACAACGCTACTGCACAATGTTGGTTTCAGGAAGTGGAGAAAAAACCCGGAAATACCAAGAGCTTTTCGGCTTCAAATCCGTATACTGGCGGAAGGCAGAACCAAGTTGTCCATAGTATATACAGTCTATGGTCCTATCACAGATAGAAATAACTCTGTAGTGGAAATCTCTGCATGGGCTCAAGATCACTTCAGGACACTTATGTCAGTGAGCACAGTTTATTAAAACATCCGTAAATGCAGGTTAAAACCTGCAAAGAGGAAAACATAAATAAGCATAGTCCAGAGAAGACACTTCTCTGAGGCCAGGTGGAAGACTGTCCTGTGTTCAAATTTCACATTCTTCTTGGAAATCATGGGTGCCATGTCTTTTGCTCTTAAAGGAAAAGGACCTCCTGGCTTGTTATGAGTGCACAGGTCAAAATGCCAGCATCTCTGATGATTAACAGATGTATGTAGAGATGTAGAGTTTTCACGTCTAGGAAAGCTGCAGTTGATGCTGATCAATATCTACAGGTTTAGGAGAAACATCTGAAGACCTTCATATTTAAGTGAGACAATAACAAACCACATTCTGCAGGGATTTCAAAAGTATGGCTCTATAGTAGAAGAGTCCTGCTGATAAACTGGCCTGCCTGCAGTGCTGACTTGTTACCTATTGAAAAGATTTTGACATTCTGACAAAATAAGTCCAACATATGAGACCCTGAAGTGTCCAAACCCCACAAACGAGTGTCCTTGGTTCTGAAATATTTACTGGTTACTGGTAAAATGATAACATTTTTCAGTTTCAACATTTGAAATGACTTGCAAACCACCAGAATCTGTTTTTGTTGGAAATGGGGCTGTTCATTTCTCACAACTTTTACATTGTCGTCTTCTTCTCTTGTCTTTCAGTCCTCTAAAGTTTTCTCCAGCTGGACCCTTCAAGTCTAGCATTGACGGTGAGCCGGATCTTTTCTCTCCAACCTCTCCACCAGCAGCTCCAGTTCGTACTCCGCTGGAAAACGGAGCTGCCAGTCAGCCGATCAGGACCCCGGCAAGGAACAAGAAGAAGGGACATCGCAGATGAGGAGGACATCTTGGTCAGGTTGATATTTTTAAGGAACTCAGTGAGCGATGAGAAGCAGAGCTGAGGTGTTGAGTTTTTGCAGCTATCATGCTTGTTTGAAGTGGTTTCTCATATTCAGTTTTTACTGTGGGGCTTATTTTCAGAGCTGTCTGCTTGAAATCGAAACCACCTATCCACTGGAAACATGAAGCTTTTACTTTGTGGTGACAAATCTTACTTTGTGGTGGTATATTTTTGTAGATAGCGTTAAATCATAAGCATTAATTTATCTTCTAAACATATTCTCTAAAAGTTCACTTGAGAGTTAACAATTAATTGCAAGATGGTTGGAAATCAGTACTTGTAAGAAGGTGTCAAATCAGTGAGATGAAAAAAAACAAAAATTGTCAAAACCCTTTTCTGAACAGCAGATGGCGGTGTTTAACCTTAGCAGTCAGAGTTACCAGAGGTTTTTTGGGGGGATGCTAATTCACCCAACTTTTCAATTACCAATATTTTTGCAATTTTCATAGAACATCGTGATCCAGCTGAAGACCTTTTGTGTCTTTTTACAAAAAAAAAAAAGTCATATCAAAGCAGAGCAAAACATGCTAAATGAAGGCATCACAAATTTCAGTTTTATGAAGCGATCTCTCTCCTGAAGCTCCAACATAAACTGTGGGTTACTGACATCCCTAAAAACTTAGAAAATATCAGTTTGTGTATCTTGCTTTGTGAGTAGTGTCTTATTGCATCCTTACTTTACACTTATGCAAAAAGATAAAAGAAAAACCACTTGTACAGTAATATTTTCAACAAAAAGCACTTAAAAAAAGGCCACACCATCTGATTTTCCTTCATGGACTCACCTGAACCTCGCTGTGAAGAGAAGGTCAGGTGAATGATAGATTAATCAATAAGTGTTTCATTTTTCATGCTTAGACAATTACAGCAAGAGGGAAACGTCTGATTTATAGTTTTCTGGGTTTGTTAGTTCATTAAGTTTTAATTAGTACATCAGAGTTTGTATACGGAGATTGGATATTACAGTTTGACGTTTTAATTAGAGAACTGATGACTGATCGTTTGATTGAGGTCTGCATTTCTATTCCATTAAGGTTGAACTGTGGAAACTGACCTTCAACATAAAACTTTCAACTCCAAGAGGGATTAAAATCTCCTTAAACCTGGGGCCTGTTATCACATACTACAGGCCGTGAATGCTCGAGTGGTACAGAAAGTTTTACTGGAGATTGCTTCAGACAGCAGCCACAGCAGAAAGTCTAATCCTTACAGACAGGCTTTTTTCCACTCACGGTGCTTGTTCTGGTTCCTTAAAAGCTCAAGTTTTTTTAAGGCGTCTGACAACATTATTTAAATCAACATTTTTCAGAGTGAGGCAAAATCTCACTTTTTCTACCCAATAAAGCCTTCAAATCATCGTTTTATGGGCAACCAAACTCTGTAGTCAGAACACAGCGGTTTCTAGTTTCCTTAAATGTTTTTTTTTTTTGTGTGGAATCATGTGTCACCAGTGCTTTTAAAGATAAGTTAAGGTGCCAAACAATAATTTTGCAACACACTTTAACACAAGAAAGCTCATTTATTTAAGAAGTGATATGTAATCAGCACTTTGGCTGGAAGAGGTACATATTTAGAGGTGCACTAGAGCAGGAATAAGCCAATTTTCAGCCTGTTATGAACCGACCAGTTTCTTCGCTGATCTCAGATTTTCACACATGAGCTACATGTGGCATGTCTTTTGTATAGAGGTACACAAGTAACCCAGATAAACCCTCAAACACATAAACATTTACACATATGCAAGAAAAACATTCTTTCAATTGAAGCCAATTCAAGTCAATTCAGATCCATTAAATTCACCTAAATTTAATAAATTTAAGTTAATTCAGTGCCAGTCAGTCAATGCAAGATTCAGAGTAGGATTCAAGTCAATTCAGTCCAGTCCATCTTAGTTCAATTTAAGTGAATTAAATTTAAGTTAACTTAAAGTTTCTGTAAGGAATTATTTCACAGGTTATGAAATAGACTGAAATCAATACTGATATCATTCATTGACCAGCAAAAGGAAACCAGACTATCAGCAACATGATTGATAATTTCTTTATAGTAATTTTTGTCTCTGCAAAGTCATTACAGAGTTTTAGGTGTCACACAAATCCATAAACAGCATTACACAGAAACAGCCTTAGTTTTCAACTTCCATGGCAAGAATTGGTAATTTGTCAGATACTTAACTGTTAGAAGACAGCAGGATGAGGTTTTTGGTCAGAAAATGACACCTGCACTGGTCCTCGTCAAATCAGTAAAGCCGTCAAGGTACTTCGATGACCACAGGGGGCGCTACAATGTACTCAAACAAAAAGTTAATCGCAGGAGCTTTAAGTAAGTTCAATTCATTCAGCACTATTATTTAATTCACTTTGGGTCCATTTAATTCAAATACATGAAATTCATGTAATTATATGTATAAGTAAAATTCAAATCAAATTTAAGTCAATTCAGCTAATTTCTTCTTAGTTCAATTCAATTTAACAGAAATCAATTCCAGCTAATTCAAGTTAATTGAATTGAATCAACTTGGATTAATTGAAGTAAATTCAATTCAAGTCAGTTTCACTCGAGACAAGTTGAGTCATTTTTTGCTATTTCAGAATAAATCGATCATATTAATTTGTCAAGTTGTTAAGTTGTTTACTTCAGTTCAAGTCAAACCAATTCATTTCAAGTCAATCCTATTTATTTAAAAAAGAAAGACTTCATCAGTCCTCGGCAGGTTTCAAAGGTTTTAGAGCGGCAGTTCAAGGCAAATTCAAACAGCAGTTGGAAAATGAATAAAACAGATAGTGCAAGGCCGTTTCCTTACACTCTGATTTCATTCAGTCCTTAAACGTAATGTGCAGATCTTTAGAACTCATTCATTTAACACGGAGGTTACTCTGTGTGCTTCTCCAGAGCCTGAGGAGTAAAATATTAATGATAATTTTCTTTGATTTTTGTATTTATTGGTTAAGGTGGAACACTTAGATGATAAACTCTGTGTGTGAGCATATTATGAAAATGTTGGAGCTGCTGTGAGATGAAGGACTTTGTGGAAACTATTTAAGATTCATGCACATTGAGAATAAAAGGAAACTGAACAAGACAAAAAAACTCCTAACAGCCATAAATACTATTCATTGAGGCAGTTAGAGAGAGTGAGAGTGAGAGTGAGAGAGAGAGAACCTGTTGTACTGATTTGTTATTCCTGCAGGATTCAGGAAGCATGCAGCTGGAGAGAGTGAGGAGGTTACTTTGATTTATTCATTAATGAGTCACATTAAACTTCTCAGGAATAAGAACAGTATTCAAGGGAACTTAAAGCAGAAAATGTAATGATTAGATCATTTAATACTCTGGAGATATAACAAGACAGATCAACCATAAATCATGGCTTAAAAATACAGGAAAACAGGAAGAGTCACATTTTTTAAATTTATGTAGAAACAGAAAAATTAGACCCCGCAGCTGAAACATTGAAAAAATAAAGAACAAAAGGAAAAGAAAAGAAAAAAAACACCACTTGCTAAGAAATTGAAAGTAAAATTACTGTTCTGTGAAGTATTTTGCCTTTGCAAAAACAAGACCTCATTCTTTGTATCATTTTCTGGTCTAAGGAATCCTTTTTTTCAAAGTTAGCTGGACACTGAGTAAGCACTGCAGCCTTTTATCGCCAAATACAAGCTTTTTTATTAGACATACTCTGATTGTATGCATCGCAATCTTCTACAAAACGTATGAACACTGAATCACACATATTTCCAATTTAAGGACTTAGGTTTGAAAATATTGAAACTCCTCTTCAGAGCAGAAAGATTTCTGTAAGTTTGTGAGTTGACATAACCCTTTAGTGAAATGAAATGTATGCAGAATATGCTTTTCACCTGAATGTCAGATGTTAATCTTTAGTGTCTTTCTTCATAATGGTGCCACTCATCACTGTTTTTTAACCCTCTTACTCTCAAAAGAGGTTCATCGCATCTACTGCCAAAGCTTTGCAACATCTTATCCTCATATTGTACAAAAGGAACAATCATATTGTGATAGAAAGCACTTCTGTATTATTTATTTAGGTTTAAAAAAGCAACTTTGTCTTTATGTCCTATACTGCAGCCAAACACCAGGGAGAGCTCCAAACATCTTGACTTCACTATTGAGAGCTGTCATGCAGTCTTTTTAAACAGTCTCTTAGTACAATGTACAGCCAATGCAAGATGCTAAAAGTGGTGCTTTCTGAAAACAAATTCTAATCTTTTATAAAAACTTTATTTTGTTTACTGAACCTTAAGTATTTTTACAAATTAAATGAGGTTAAATAATATTAAATAGCTATTGACTGACTAGGTTTCAAAAAGTGATTGTCATTGCTTCGCATGCCTGTAAGACTAAACTGTGGGTTAAACTGATCAGGTGACACCACTTTCTCTGTTTCAGTAGAATGTAATGAGGTTCATCTAATGCCAAATTTCTTTCTGTGTTTAAATATTATTTAAAAAAAAAAAGTTCAGCTCAAATGTCTTACAGATCAAGTGAAATGAAGCTCTTCCCTGGAACATGTCAGTACATGTTGTATTAGACAATAAAAAAGGGGAAACAAAACATACACAAGTTTTTAAGCTCTGAAACACAAAACTGTTGAAGACACTGAGACAAAAATATATAATAAACATGTGAATAAAAATACTTTCATCTTGGTTATCAGTCAATTAATTGTACAGCTTTCATGAATGCCTCTAATACAGTCATGTATATATGTAGAGTATCTTTGTTTAATATGAGGTTAAGGAAAAGTGTTATTGTTTGAATTGCAGATTGGACCTGAACCGGAAAAAAAAAATCAATGTAAATAACATGACTAAGGAATAGGCCTGGACGATATAGAAAAAAAGCATATCGATAAAAAATAAATCATATTGATCGATATCGATAATTATCGATATAATTATTATAATTATTTAACATATATTTTAATTGCAGCCCTGGATGTTTTATGCTATTGCTTAATGACCTACTTTTAATAAAGAACACACAAGCACTGAATTCAAATTCAAACCTTTATTCAATTACCTTTTTTATTTTACCACAACTGAAAGTTTTTTAAAAAAGAACTAAAAAAAAAAAGAAATCAACTTAAGTGGCCTGAGTGACATCAGTAAATACTGACAAACATAAAGACTAAAGTGACCAGAAAATCTGATAAATAAATATTTAAATAGTCTTTTGATGAAAATAAACAAAACAAACAAATATATAAATAAACAGAATAGCTTTAGGTGGGAATAGCATACTACCAGTTTTAATTGTGTGGGAAACTGCCCACAGCCTGGTGTCTGAACACTGAAATATTTCTCCCGGGGTCGGGAGATTTATTTTTTTTAATTATCATGTGATTGACTTAATACGCAAACTAAGCACGAGAAGCAGGACTTATCCAAGCCGGTGTTGTGTCGTAGAATGCATCCCTGCCGAATGCACCCCCTGCTAGTAGCCATGATCCAAATACTCGCGTCTTTCTAAAATATGAGCTCATTTTCTTCCACTTTAAGAAGCTACACCGGAACGTATTTCCTCCGCACCCTTCTCACCTTTTCAATCCCTGACCCATTTTCATGCCTGAAGCGCTGTGTTTGAGAAATACTTGCGGCCGGGCACTTCATATCGCGGGTCGAGAGTGGCTAGAAGCTGTTTGAAGCCAGGCTTTTCAACGGTAGTTATTGGCAGTATGTCCCTCGCTATGGAGCATGTTACTGCATGGGTGATGTCCTTATGCCGCTCGGACGCTTTGTCGTATTTTTGGCAAGAAACAAAGTCCAGTTTGGTCTGCTTCACATGCTTTGTGCTGGTGCTGGCAGCGGTTCCAGAGGATTCCTCCTCCGACGATGACGTGGAGCCGCGGCGCGGCCGACACAGCTCGTACTCCTGCGGCTGCGACCGGTTTAGATGGTAAAACAAGTTGGTTGTGTTACCAGACTTGGTTTTTACTAATTCTCGGCAAATTTTGCAAACGACCGCTGTTCGCTTTTTGTCAGACTTGCAAAAACCAAAACATTGCCATGCTGGTGAACTACTGAGACCTTTTTTCGGGACAATGTCCTCCGCTTCTCCTTGCTGTATCATTTTTTCTAATACACGTGCTGTCTGTTGTGGTTTGAGAGGGGCTGGGCTTGGTGCCGTAGCGTACCTGGGTCTGCGTTTGTGATTGGTTTGGAGGAAGTAATGACTGTAGTAAAAGCTACATGATAGGCTATGATGAAAAAGAAAGGGAAACTGTGTTTTTCTATCGAACTTTTTATCGACCCGTTTTTTTTCTATCGCACCACACGTCTATCGATCGATATATATTGTTATCGAATTATCGTCCAGCACTACTAAGGAAGTAGTATTTCAGTTTGTTTGCTTTATCATCTGTTTGCTTTGATTCTTGAACCTGCTGCCCGTCTGTCATGACTCAAAATGAAGAATAAAGAATGTATTTACCAATCTCACATCCAAAATCATGTGTAATTCAGATAGATAATTGTATGTATGCATGCAGGTTATTTATGTACTCCCAACTCTGGCTTGTACGAGTAGGGATTATAGTGCAGATGAGACCGGGGCAAAGAAAAAGAGGTGAAACATGCCAAAAAGCTTTTTCATTTAATGTGAGCAGTAATTGCCAAGAGAGCCAGCTGGTAAAACACAGAAGTTCACCAGAAAGACTGCTCTTCATATCTAGTTTGAAACCAAATGACGACTTTGAATTGAACCATAACCAGGCTCTCCTCCTTGAGTTGTGCCTAATTTAACCATAATGTCATAATGTGGTCACAGTTTGGATAAGTGTAAACATGATTTTTTAGCACGCAGTCCAGTTACTATTGACCCAGCTTTGGTGTGCTGCAAAACAACTGTATGGAGCACAAAACCAGGCAGAATTCTATCCTCCATTACAACATCCTGGCTTCCATCTGAGATCAACAAATCTTCTCGATGCTGTGCCAGAAAAAAACAAAGAAAAAACAATCAGTGTTCAGATTTCGCTACTCCCTGGGATGCATCAGGATTGACTGATTTGACCTTAAATAGGCCACTAGTAGAAAGCTTGTTCTCTTCTCTTCTTGAGGACAGACCTGAGAGAGTTTGACTCACACATCTGCATCATAATATCTCAGACCTGTTGGTTTCAAGTGAGTGAGAAGAAAACAAGTTTCTTTTTCCTAGGCTGATATGGCTGAAATAATGATATGGCTGATCTGTGTATAGCCAACGATTTACAGTGAAACTGGGACTCACCAGAAAAAAATGAATGGGCATTTTTATGAGGGACTTAGAAATGACAATGCAGACATGCATGTAGTGGTGTAGGTGCCAGTGTGTCTTAACAGGGCTGCATGGTATGGAAAATAAACAGTAATGTTTTTTTTTAATTATTATTTTTTTTTATTTTATGCAATATGTTTTGATATACTGGAATACTGATAATTCAATTATACTGCTTTAAAATCAAACCCCCTCACCTACTTACATCACACTTCGTCCAGTTCTCTGACACCCATGTAGAAAAGTAGAAACACAAGAGGAGAAGGTTGAGTGACATGCTACCACATCAGCTTTACTAATAGATGCATTCGACTTATTTACATGTGCTTGATAATTTCAGCATGGTTACTGGGAACATGTGCCAAAATTGACCCTCACTTAACAGTCAGCATGTGTGCAGACTTCTGTCCTGTTAAATCTCATCTTTAGCTGACCGCTCTTTAAGGCACAAAATGACGTCTTGGGTAAAAACAGAGTTTGGAAAAAAATTGAGTTAAAACTGCTTGAATTTATGGGAAAAAGATGTTCTGTCCGTATGTATTCATATGATAAACATTAGGTTTTGTCAGTTTAAAATTGAACATTGAGTCTTTTTTTTTCTAGCTTTATTTTCAGACGTTTAACTGAGAGTATTGGAAAGTGAACAGAGCAGGAAATGGGGACAGAGAGTGAAGGTAAAGGAGCCGCAGGCTGTTATCTGAACCGGCCTGGCTGCTCAAGGCCTGAGTCTTTATATGCAGGACAGGCTCTTTGACTGCAAGGCCAGTGGCACCTCTATTTCAAGTCTTATTCCAGCAACCATCTACTAATGAGAACTAGCACCACTAGCACCACATGAAGAGAAAAAAAAGGTTTTAAAAGATTTTGATTGAAAGACAAATGCCACATGTCTCAGTTTTTTGCTCAGTCTTGGTACTTCAAACAATGTGTTGCTGAGGTGAGAAAACATGAGAACATGAGAACAAAACATGATGTTCCATTTCTCATTTTAGTACAGACAACTGGCTGCTAACCATAAACCAAAACTACCTCTTTATTCTCAGAACATGATGGCTTTATTATCATTGCATAAGGACATAAAGTGTCTTTATTTTGTAATAATATGACTTTAATCGCATAACATCGATCTTGATTTTCTTGAGACTTTATTTTTCAAGTAACTTTACAACAACTTTATTCTCCTGTGGGAAACTCTCTATACAACTTTCTTCTCATAAACAACTAATTTATTTAATTTTTTTTCATTATGGTTTGACAAAGACTATATTGCAAAGTGAAAATGATTAAACTATTACTTAAATCCCTTAGGAAAAGTTTTTCTACAACTTAATTTTCATGAAAAAAGGATTTTTATAAGACTTTAAAAGTTGTCTTTCCTCTTTAATGAGGGCCCTCATATTCCGTTGTTGTTGAGTCTCAATACAAAAACACAGTTTTATTTGTGCTTTTTACAGTTAAAGCTCCTGTGAGAAGTTTTTTGACATCAATGAAATACATTGTATATCATATAGATGCCTTTAATGGTATAAAGGAGTATCTTATTTTATCTTATCTTATATAACTCTCTCTTAAGTACTTGAATTTGTAAAATATTGTCTACCTTAAACGATGGTTCAAGGTAGGATTGAAAATGGTCTTGAACAGACCAATAACAAAATAATTTAAATAATAATAAAAATTGCACTTCTAAGCAAGAAATGTTCAACTCTTTTTAAAGAGAAACCTTCAATGAGGAAAGGTTCAATATAAGCCAAGTGTCATAACTCCTTTACGCCTTAAAATTGTTCATGCAGAGACATCTTCTAATTACTTCATAACTCAGCTAAAAAATGGTCTAGACCACATTTGGTGCATTGAATCCATCACAGTGATGAAACACCATGAAAGTCACAGAGCTTTACATCAAATCCTTGAATCACACTCTACTCAGATGACATGTTTAATATATTATGCTGCAGGACCTCACTGCAGCTCTGGACATGGTCGACTGTTGTGCTATTTTAATCCCTCGCTGAGAGCCAGTTGTCATTATTTCCTCTGAGGTCTGAGGCAAATCTTGTTCCACTCATTCAGAACTCCATCTGTACTTTTACCCAAATAGAAAAACAGATGAAACCAACAGGCCAATGCCAAAGCCCTGCAGATAAACTTTCATCAGAGCAAATATGGGCTTAAAATCAAAATATTTTCTCTGACTTTAATAATGGGGTGTTATGCACTTTTTCAGACTCTATACTTCCTCTCTGATACCTCTTTAATAGCTTTTCATGATTTTCAGAGCGAAAAAGCCTCTTGTTTCTCACTCTGGTGCATTGAAATACCATTATCTCAGCCTCAATCTGAAATGTTTCTTCTGATTGGCCACCTCTCTGGTGGAGGAGCTACTATAGCTGCTGGACGTGTGTTATCTTTTAGCAAACTTGAATGACAACCCTGTGCCCAGAAAAATCCGCCAGTGTGTTTGGTTATTTGGAGAGAAGGGCTCGGTGCAGCAGAGGGAGCAGTAGAACATTTGTCCTATTCATGTTGCACACTGACACTTTAGATGTGCTTATTTTGCAAGGTTGCATTTAGTTCTTATGCTCTGAGGATTCTGAATATTTGTATGAACTCTCTAAAGAGCTCGCACCATGATCCTCAGCTTCTGTCCTCCAGGACATCTGGTTGAGGATTGATTGGTTGTTGTTCAGAATAATTTTCAGGGTCAGTGAGTCTCCAGACCACATCCACTCCCTTAAGCTCAGTTGGTTTGGAAACATATATGAAGTTCCAGATAAGCAGGTCGTCAGACCTCAGCAGTGCAGACCTGCAGCCAACAAAAGCAAAAAACAAAACTGACTCATAGAGGACAATTATACTAGTTAAACACATGGTTTTTATCAAGAGATGTAGAAAAAAATCAAGTCATCAAACTCTTGTGTAAGATCAGGCATTTATTATCTGCTCAGTTGCATAATGCTCTGCTTCATTGTTCTCATGGACTTCCTCTTTCATAGAGGCATGAACCAAATCCCCCCTGCAACGCTGGTGGCTACTCTCCATCTGTTCAAGACCCTAACGTCTGTCAGTGGATCTATTTGTTCTGTGCATGATTTAAAATGTACATGAGAGATTCACGGTGAGGTAACCATGTAAGAGGAGATTTTTCACAACACACAGTACAGCACTCACATTTATTGTTCATGCTTTGAAAGAACATTTATGTCCCTTGACATCATATTGATTTATGATGAGACCATTTTCTGGAGCAGTCTGAACTAATTAATTTCTGCTTAACATTTACAGAATAAGCAGAAAAATGAAACTTTCAAAAGCTTTTAAAGAGAATGAACTTTTAGATTTTACACAAGCAGGTTTCTTGCAGGGTCATTATTGACAACATTCCTGCTTAGATTACACGTCTGCACCAGGGGCCTATTCTACGAAGCAAGATTACTGCTTGGTGAGGTAACTCCGAGGGTAAGTTCGGGGTTTCCTGTTCTACGAGGCGGGTTCACTTCTTAGTGAGGCGAGTCTCCATGGCAACGTACGCTGAACGGCTAACCTGCTCCGGAACAGGTTAGGTTCCAGATTGAACCCACCGAGTATAAAAACCCCGCCCACTGACCAATGAGCTCTCTCAAAAAACGGCTTGTCTGTTCTTGGAGAATCCTATAGACCTCGGTGCTTGCATTGTCCGAGGAGCACTCCGGCGCGCAAGAGTTTTCAGGGACCGCACGGACCCACTTACTTTTCTGGATGACCACCTTTATGAAAGGCTGATATGGCCAACATATCACACAAAAAAAGTAAACACGATAGGAATGAACAAATGAATGAATTCATCTTGGAAATGAATTAGACATGTCTAGTGCATGTTAAAAGCGCATGTTGAACAGTGCTATTTCAGGGTGATAATGGCATCAAAGATTTTTTGTGCACTATACTTGCGCATTGAGACTGTCTGCAATTTTCTGCCAGCATTCCTTCTGTGCTTTTGCAGCGGCAACGGTGTTGCTTTTGAGGTTTATGATAGATTTGAATTCTTCATACTTTCTCATGATCATCTCTTGCTCCTCGTTTGTAAAGTACGCTGTCCTTCGCTCTCCGGCCTGCTCTGATGCTCCAGACTGGTCCATGTTCCCGATTGGTCAGATGCGGCGGGCTCCGCCTTATATGCGTGCATGCGCTCATAGCAAAGGTGGATCCACTTACAAGGGTGATAACCAGCATCGTAAGACCGTTTAGCGAGGCCGCTGGCTACCGCGCTAAGTTGCGCAAGGTAGCTCCAAGGCTACCTCGCTAGGTTGAACTTGCTTCGTAGAACAGGCTCCCGGTAGAACATAAGGAAAACAAACAGAAACAGATACAGCTTTTGCATAGCCGCCCTTGTGCGTTTGGCAATTCAGATTATGGGCAGTCTTTCACAGCTGTGATTGAGCTAATATGTGATGCAGAAATATTAATTTCGAATGGTGTGCTACACCAAATGTTGATCTACAAAAAAAAAAAAAAACATATACTCAGTGATTCAGACAAAGATTCAGAGAATCTGCTTCAGTCTTTGACTGGCTCAAGTGGAAACTGCACTGCAGAGGCTCAAAACACTTCAAACACCACAGTCCCTGGACACTCGTTTTCCACTTCATCCAAAAACGTAGCTTAAAACTGAAAAATATGTGTATAAAAAGAAACATCTGGAAAAGTATCTCGAAACCAATTTCAACATGAAACAGTTAAAGGGATATTCAGGCGTAAGTTTAAGACATGGTCAAACACACCGTTAGCTTTGCCTGATTTCTTTAGCAAAGAGACTAAGCACAACTCACCTACTCTCTTCCAGCAGCTGCTTGTTTGTGGGGGAGCCCAGAAGAGTAAATCACCGAGTGCAGCGGAGTTTCAAAGCTTAAGGAAGAACATTTATGATCATTACTTCATGGAAATGCAGTTTCTTTAGCAAAGAGACTAAACACAACTCACCCACTTTCCTCTAGCAGCTGCTTATTTTTGGGGGAGCCCTGACGAGTCAATCAACAAGTGCAGCTGAGTTTCGCAGCTCAAGGAGGAACATTTATGATCATTATTTCATGGAAATCAATCAAACTGAGATGCTGAGGCAGAAGAACTACCATGTCTACAGTGCAATAGTGCAATTATGCATGTCTGCATACATTTTTCGCTGCTCTTGGTGATTGACTCATCAGGGCTTCCCAACAAACAAGCGGCTTCTGGACAAGAGTGGGTGAGTTGTGTTGAAACCACGCAAAGCGAAAAAGGACGTTTGAAAAAAACTGTACCATGCAAAGATCAAACCATACCCATGATATGCTACACTATTTTCAACTTAATACAGAGTCTAAATTATTAGCATTAGCATTATTAGCATTATTTTTAATCTTTATTAAAAACGTTCCCAAACGTTTGAATTGGTTATGTTCATAGCTGTTTTGTACTCCTGATTCTTTTTGATGAGTATTTAAAGTGACTGTTATTTCTCAACACCACACCGTTGCTATGAATACAGCTTAAATCACCGTCCTTGTGCAGTATAAAGTTTGGTTAATTAGTTTGCATATTGTGGGAAAAACCTTATCCAACACAAAAAATACACAGTAGAGGGTGGAACAGGTAAAAGGTGCCGAAACAAAGACTATATTAATACTTAATAGAGCACAGTAGAGTTTGTTTGTGATTGATACTGTTATTGCCTTCATTTGTTATCATGGACTGCAACAGTTTTGTTTAACAGTCTGTGTTTCTGCATTTGAAGTTAATGACACACATGGGAGTGTTTAGTTAAGGTGCTCACATTTGTCTTTTATTAGTAAAACACTTTGGTATACTTTTGTTGAATGAAAAGGGCTGCACAACTAAAGACTCATTGATCTATTGATAGCCAGGACTGAGTTTTATGAGCACCATTCAGATATCAGGATGATATGAGCATGTCACGGCTCCAAGCAAAACATCCGTGACTTTATTCTGTTGTATTAGAAAGTAAAATCGCTCGCCTTGGTGTCGTGCTGGCTCTGCTCACATGTGCCTGAGAAACAGAGGTGATGGTTTAGTCTTTGTGGTTTCTGGTTCTGACAGAAATCTGTTTCTAATCAGAAACTTTCTTTCAATGAAGAAAGCAGACTCCTCCTGCTCTGGGATCATGCCTGTTTTACTGTTGAGCAACCAGTGGTCTGCAGAAGAAAAAGAAAAGAAAAGACAACAGGACCTACATTGCTGTTTGCTGATTGCTGTAAAATAAATGTTTTCTTTATTTTACATACAGACAGTCGGCTGCCTTCTTTGTACCTCTGTCTAGCTGGCCTGGTGGCCCTTTCTCCTTCCACTGAGATGTCCTCTTATCTGCAGAGCAACTTTAAAATGTCCTCTGACTTCTCTGACTGTACAACACTGAAGTCTGAGGAGTATTTACAGACATTAATAAACATCCTTCTTCAGCAGTGAAAAGCCCCTTTCTTTTACTGTCCGCATGTGTGCGAGACCCCTTGATTGACACAAGAAACCCCTTGAAACCCTCAACTGCAAATTTGGGGGTCCCTTTTAACTACTTAAAGTGTTCTCAATGGTCTTTAAATTGTGATTATGAAGTTTTTAGGCTAAGTCACATTACCTGTGTCATTTTCAAGAGCTTTTCTTCTGCAGAGCTTCAGTAGCTTATTAGCAATTCACCTCTGAGTCATGGGCAGAGCCAGCACTGCTCTGCCCACTCCTCTTCATGCTAGCTTGCAGCCTAACATCGCAGGTGTAGTAGAAGTGGCAGGTTACAAAGGAGCTATTCAGCTCTCAGACACTGATGTCTTCAGGGACACAATGAAAGATAATATTATAATTAGCTTTCTTACGAGCATTGCGATCTGCTAACACACATGCTTGTTCCGCGATCATCCTCTCTATTTCTCCAAGTCTGGCCTGCATAGCGAGGCACTGGGGACGGAGCTTGCAGTTGTGACGCAGGAAATCTCATAGTGTCTGAGCCTGCTGTTTGGGTCTGAAACAAGACAACAAGAAAAACATGATATTCATCAGAGTGGGTCTTTGAGAAGCATTTGCAACATTGTCTGCCTTTCTGCAACAGCCTGTCTTCACCTCTGTTTGTGGACCTAAACTGACCTCCTCTGGACTTATTTGACCCGCTGCCGTTTGTGAGATCCTGGGTCAAAGCAGGGCATCGTCTCTTTTGCTTTTGGATAACGGCGAAAAGAGGCCGAGCCAAGGCCTCTTTGGTCCACTCTTGCTGAAGGTAAGAAAAGAAAAATCTAAACTCAGACTTAACTGACTGGCTATGATAGACCTGCTGTGCTTCATATTAAAAAACATTTCTTCATATGTTGCTTGGCTGGGGTCATATGTGAACGTATGCATTTGTATATGTGAGCGTGCACGGCGCCCAAGTGTCCTATTTGGTCACAGAGCAGAATTCTTCTGAGGTCCAGCAGCCGTGTGCAACTTTGTCAATAATGATGCTGTTTAATCTGCATGTATGCGTTATTTATGGTCCTGTATACTACATGTTATGTGAGACTTCAGCCTGATCCGGGTGCACTAGTTAGGGCGGACCCCCCTGATTGTGGCCGGGTATTTCACACACTGACTATCAGCAAAATCTACTTTGAGACTGTTCAGTGCAGCTGTGGTTCAATGAAAACATCAGCAGATTAACTGTTCCTTCTGGATAAATCTGTTAAATCTTATTGCTTCACTGGCACTGAACAAACTGGTAAAGCCTGTTTTTTGTTATTATCTGTCACCTTTGCTTCTTTTAGAGTTGGGTAAAGGCAAAGCCAGCCTAAGCCTCAATGGGGCCCTAAGCAAATTTGATTTTGGGGCTCTCTATTTCTGCCAATGATATTGATTGTTGATCATTCACACACCTTCACAAATCTCTTTATTAACATTCCATGACATGCAAACATACCTTTATCTTGGCATTTTTTCTCCTCTTCCTCTGTCTTCCTCTTTCTGTTCTCTGCTCCTGAAGGATGTGTCCTTTTTTGTGACATTGTTTTGCCCCGCTTTGAATGCTCAGTGCACATTGTTTTTACTGTATTTCATTAAAAAAAATATATGTATTTGATCATACAGAAAGCATCACTCAAACATGCAAAAAATAATACATATTTAATTTTTTTTGATTGTTCTTGGGGCCCCCTGTTGGTCGCAGGGCCCTAAGCAGGCGCTAAGTTCGCTTACGCCTTGGGCCGGCTCTGGGTTAAGGTTATCCTTGAATCAATAAATGACATGTTCAGGCATGAAATAAATGTAGTTTTTCATACAACAATGATTTATGTATTCTGAAAAACTCACCAACTGCCCGATGATAACCGAACTAGCTGTTACTACTCCAATCTTAGTGTTTTTTTCTGACTTCTGGTTCAACATATCTCATTGGCCTCGGTAAAAGCCTAATTCTCATGACAAGTATAAACATCTTACCAAGACTACAGAGAATAAGTCTTCCATCAGCCCCTCACCAAATTGTCTTCCTATCTTCAGTGGTATTAAGAAGTGGCCTTCTGCACTCTGCATTCAAGGTTTTTTGTGCATCTTTCTACATGCAAACTGAGTCTTAGGTTTTTGTGAAGTGTTTTGCAAACGCAGCTTAAGTTGTGTTTCTGCTATAAAAACTTTTTGGATAATGTGGACATACTTGTACTTGGTAATTGCAAATTTTGTGGCTGATGGTCTTTATTTTATTGGTCATTTATTGACATCATGACCAATGTGGGAGGAAATTTTGGAGGGAAATGTGTAATTTTGTTTGACAGTAGGAAGTAAAACTAACCGATAACTTTTACGAAGCTGCACAATCACATGGTAAAAACAAAAGATGACTTTGGTCTTGCTTTTCTACACTGTCTTTTTTTTTTTACAAAAGGGATATAATTCAATGTTCTGTTTTGTGCTTAATGATAATTAAACTTCTTAATATTTTGGTCCAGAAATAGCTTGTCTCATCTTAGCAGATTTTCTCATGCCTCTTTATTTTTAGACAGTTGCACTTTGCATGAATGAATGAACTGTAGTGCTCGCTTCTGACCAGATAGGGGCACTACAGTCACCACAGTTTCAGCTTGGACGCTGCAGTTATGAATATTATCAAATAATTTAAAATCAGACTTTAAATGTCATCTCATCTCAAGGTAACAAGGACAATGTATTCCTTCTCCTCCTCCTGGTCTATTCACCCTGTTCACTTTTTCCTCTTTTCAAACACCCTTTCCTCTTCTCTTGTTGCCGTTATTTTCCAATGTCGTCTCTTCAGGCTCTCTCAGGTACATTTGCCATTTCTTTGAGGTGTTTCTCCCTTTGGCAGGTAGAACAGGTGAACCTGTTCACACATACCTGCGCACTTGCATAACGCTCCTCCACCTGTTGCCTGTGGGGCATTTTAAAAATGGCTATTAAAAAAAATTGAAGGGTGATCTAACTTGTCTCTTTGGATAAAATGTTTCCTATGGCCCTTAGGTACTTCCATACCAAAGGAACAGTAAATCTCAGTTTAGGGGGAGGGGTGGGGGGGGTAAGTTACCCTGTCAAAACGTACATTTTTTCATGAAATTAGCATATTTTACCTTCCACTATCATGGCAATTAATGATGCAATGTTTTTTTTTGCATTGAAACCTATTTAATTGAATTCCTAGACCCCAAAAATGTGCACTTTGACACCAATATTATTATTATAGCTCCAACAGAAGAAAAGATATGGGGTCTGGTGTATTAGCGGTTTATTGTCGGCAGCAATTTTTAAAATGGCTATTAAAAAAAATTTAAGGGTGATCTAACTTGTCTCTTTGGATAAAATGTTTTCTATGACCCTAAGGTACTTCCATACCAAAGGGGACATTTGTATCATGACTTGAAGTAAAATGTGTCTTAGGGCCCCCACTACTTTAAAGCTATCCACTACCTCTGGGTTGTGGTTTTGGACCACACTGGTGTAGCCGTGCAGTATTCAGGTGAATAAGAAATTCAAAAGTCAAGATCGCTGATTTCATCTGAATTGCTACTGGTTGTTACACCCCACCCAAAAGTGGCCCTTTGGGGCTAGCAACCATCCACATTTTGTCCCATTAAAGTAACAGACAAAAACCTTTAAAAGTTTATCAAAGGTGTTCTTAAACCAAGACAACAAATGAAATTATCAACCAAGATTAACGAAAGAACAACATACAGCCGAAACACAGCATACAGCCATAACACTGTTGCAATGGACGAAAATATTGGAATTTTAAACATGCCATTAAAAAGCTTTTTATTATAACTATTGAATTTTATTAATTAATCAGGATTAAAGAATGTAATAATTTGACAGCCTCAAAGTAAGACTATATCTTCATTATTACAATGCAGCGGACAGAACCCATGCAAGTTAACATTTGGCCAAAACTCTAGTGTAGTGTTCCTGGGAGTTGAACATGGTTAAATGTTTCATCAGCAGTGTTACTGTATGTCTGTGTTAAATAAACAAACTTCACATTGTAATTTCCTTATCACTTACAGACAGGAAAATGTCTGCACCAAGACAACAACAGTCTTACAGGCTATTTCCAGCTCTTTAAGCTTCACCATGCTTGCAGACTTGAGCACTTTGGGAATGCATTCTTTGGCCTTTGGTCACATGACCTCAAATGTGTGTTTACATGGACTGAAGTGTCCCTGTTATGAGCCTCATCCCATTTTTGGTCATGTTCAGGACATGGAGTTTTTGTGCACATATGAAACCTGTTTACTTGTAACCTTGTATAAATCATAAATACCTTGAACTGATTTCTGTTTCTTCTTTGCACCTGTTTTATTTTATAACAACAAAATCTGCAGTAAAATCTGGAAGAAATGAGACCACTAGGGCTTACTGCAGGCTGAGCACTGTTTAATGGCAACATCAACCCCCCTACTCCTTCCTGTTCACCACAGTTTTCAACAGGTCCGAATGTAAATGCTTTCCCCCACTTTAAAATTCTGATTATAATTTGCAATTATTAAGTTAAGGAAAAATAAAAACCAAGTTTCTTTGTTGCTGTCACCATATTTGTTTGGCTGATGTGTCCCCCCATCTGAGGAGTTGTTAGAAAACCAGGGTTAAGCATATACATGCCACAGTATCCTGCATTTTTTTCATAATTCTCCAGGTGGCAAAATTAGATTTCTTAAAACCGGGAAAACAGGTTTGTCTTGGTTTCTGTAATCAGGATATGATGTTTACATACACTTCAAAATCCTGAGTGCATGTAAACACACTGATTTAGGATGTTGTGAAGACAGTTGGGTGTCCTTGCAAGTTGGATATGAATGCTGAAAGGGTTTTTTTGTCTGTTGATTACCAAGGTGAAAGTGTTTGGATAAGTTGAGAGGGAGATGAGAAAGTGTGGCTTCAATCATGTGTCATGCATGATTTTTGGTTGGGATGCAGCAACCACTAAAAATGAATAAAAAGAAAAACTTCTCAGAGGCTGATAACACAGAGGTACGTTATTCTGAATAAGACAAAATTCAGTTGTTGAAATCATGTTGAAAATATGATTGGAGGGTAAACAACTTCAAAAGTCTCAGGGCTTTACTTTTGTGCCTGCTGGCGGCGCGGTGGACGTTGGTGCACCCCGCACAGTGGTATTTTCATCTGGCGGAGCCCGGCGCACAGCCAGTTTGGTATTTTCATAGACTGAGGTGCACCGAGGTCCGCCAAGCTGGGCGTGGTGGTGCAGTAGTGGGAGGTATTAAGTGCGCTGAAAGCTCGCCGATTCAAACCTGGTCAGCTTTCAGCGCAGGCGGAGCACAGCTGGTCTAGAGGTATTTTGGTAGACCTGCGCATACATCACAGATGCCTCACAAGCAGGTTTCCACAGTGTCAGGCACATTTCAGTGCAACAAATAATCAACAACAACTAATATTAAGTGCAACTATCTGAGTCATCTATATCAATATATTCTGATCTGTATCTTGTCTGATTAGCGCATTTGGAACACGTTTGGACACTCAACCTGACTGAATTAACAAAGTTGAAACCGCATTAAATTAAATATCCAGTAAACAGACACACATTATAAAGTTAACAAGATATTAAATCCGTCTCCCCCCTTTTTCTCCTTCTTCCTCGTGCAGCTCGACTGGACATGTCTCTGTGTCCTCTCCCCATCCTGCTGCTGTGGCGGCAAGGCTGACCAGATGATTTATTTTAGTGAACAGATGAGTTATTTACTTCGAAAATTTGAACAAAAAGATAAAGGAAACTTTCATTCAAAATAACCTGTTTATCTGATGTTCTCAGATCCTTAAAATTCTGTGAATATTCAATCCCGAGTTAGGCATACATACAAATATTATAATATTTAGTTGTTTGAGCCAAGTTCATTTTATATGCCAACATCAATGAAAGAAAGCCAGGCCACAGAGAGCGATGCATCCTTTACGCACATGTGGTTCCGATTCAGGTCACTGCCGGCGAGGCACAAAAATAGAGCCCTAAACGTTAAAGATGATGTTGTACATTTATTTAAGACTATATTGACATAAACTATCGACGTGATACTGACATCTAAAAAAAGGGCCACAATGAGAAAATGATCCTCTTATGTAGAATGTACTGATGTGTGATTGCAGGGTTCATCACTTGAGTGTTAGAGCTGGTAAGAATGGAGCTCACTTTAATCATTTTTACTTTAGAGCTTGTGATCTTTTTTGGTTTATCTTAAAACATGCAGTATCAAATTGTGTAAAAACAGCTTTATTTCTTTTTGGTAAGTGGAGAATTAGAGGCATACAGCAAAGTGAAATGCTAATGTATTTGTTCCTTAAAATGTACTTAAATATATTTGAGAAGTACTTATTTCATTCTATGTAATTATTTTAAAGATTTGTTTCCAGTTGAAATGACTGTTTCAGAGCTGTGATATGACACACAAAAGCAACAAAAACACACTTTGGCAATTATAACGATACAAAGGATTTGACAAATATTACTCCCCTGTCTTTTAATTTCATTGAAAAGTAATAATAAATAATAATTATTAATATATAATATTAATAATAAATATATTTTTAACTCTTCTATTCAGAGGGGTAGGCGGCAGTTGATGAGCCTGAAATTTCTGTAAGTAATTAATGTCAAAGTAAAACTGAAACAGTTTGATTAATCACATGGATACTATTTATTTCTGGAAACAATGTGAGGTCTCTGTCAGACGGTCACCTTACCTTCACTAATTTATGGACCATAAATTAGTTGATCATGCTCATGAATGTCTCAGCATCATAGGTACCATCTCATTTAACCTTATATTTATCAAGAAGTCCCCACAGTAAAAAAAAAAGGACTTCGGAGTCATAATTAGCACATTTCTAAGTAAGCTAGTGTAAAACATTTGATACTAGTGGATTCATGATGATTTCCAGATTCAAATGGTATCAGTGACTTAGTTCAAGCTTGGGCTGGATAATACCATATAAACACAATGTATTTGATGTCAAGTATAATTATTTATCATTCTGGAGCCTCAAAAGTAGTGAAGTATATCAAGAAATAAGGAGAAAACCAAATTTAATGTTACGGCCTAAAAGAAAGCTAAATATGTCTGAAAGGAAACATTCCAGGGTTTAGTTTGTTTGTAGTAGATTGTTTTTATCCTGCTGTGAAAATATTACATTTACTTTAACTTTTTTGCTTACTCCTGATTCAGAGATTGTGAAACAGAGTCGTAGGAACCGTGGTTTATTTAATCTGTTATATGAGTTTTATTTTGTTAAGTCATGGTCAAACTCACCATTAGCGTAAAAAGTTTACCTACTCATCAATTAACGAACTTACTGGAAAAGGCTCTAACATGATTAACAAGCTCTTAATGTGGAACATGTCTGGATCAGGTGACAGGCTGTAAGAAGCTCAGTCCTCCTACTGCAGCACCTGAGCCCCACAGTCTATTCCCAGTCTCTGCAGCACCTATTTCCAGCTCTGGCCTTAATCTGAGGGTTTATGTCGGCCTGTGTTGACAAAGAAATGCTCCTCAAATAGCATGCCTCCGTGCAAGCTTAACACGGTTTTATAGTTTTATAGTTAGCTGTGTGAGTCTGCCAGTTGAGCGGCGTCTGAGGAAACAGTGTAACTGGGGGAGACAGGGTGGGGAGCTCCTGTGGACACGAGGACCTCTGTTAATGCAAATATATGCCATTTATTTCTTAAAAGTCCAACTGTGTCCAGAAAATGAGGAGAAATATTTTAAATGTAACTTCACTGCATTAATGACCGGGTATATTTTCATATTACTTTTGACCACATGAAGTGTGTGTGGGTTTGAATAATATCATGAACCTTCAGAGGTTCTCATTTCACAGTCAAACCCTTAAATTTAAGCCACACTGAGGACTTCTGTCCACCTAATGGTCACACTTAATTTTTCATCATGGCGCTTTACATTCCTGATCTGCTGTAAGAATTCCTGACTTACATTATTTCCTGGAAGTGTACCATTAAAGGTTGGAGACTTGTATGAAATTCAGAACAAGGGATGAGCTGAGAGTGACGTTTATGATCCTTTGGGTGAGGGATTTTATCAGGAGGTTTCTACATGGAAAAGTGAGTCAGTTTTTCCTTGGATCTGACTCAAATATGCCTGAAATACTTTTTCTTCAGGAACCTTTACAACGTCACATTTCCTGCCATATCATGATACATGATCATGTGAAGTGATCATGTCATGAAAACTCTGCTAATCTCCTTTGAGGAGGGGGGGTTGTATTCCAACAAAGAGCTGCTTGTGCAGATAAATGACAAACAGCATGTTTAGATAAACCAAAATGAGGGTAATTTTTACAAAGAGACAGCACTGAACAAATGTGGCTGTCTTCTGATTTTATTGGCAGTACTAGCAGTGAGGCCTAAAAAGCTCTTCTCAGTGATTTATTATTTCCATGTGTGGTTTAGACTCCCATGTGCGACTCTTCAGCTCCTAGTCTAGAGAGATCTGGTCTGATGCAAGTGTCACGCAAGAGGCGCCTAACATCTGTCTATTTCTCTGTCAGCTGTTCGGGGGTCATTTTTTTTTCAAAGATTTCTGGTGTCTCACTGTTGAAGAATTGTTGTTTACTTGCTATATTTTGACACCTCTCTGGTATATTTGTACTATAGGAGTGTCACAGTAAATATGAATGTTGGGAAAATGTTGTTTTTCATTTGATTAAAAAAGATAAATGAAGTGTTTCAGACAGGTGATGGTATGAGAGTTTTCAAAGACGCCATTCTGATTTGATGAATGAATATTTGTTTGTTGTAAATCATGTAAAACTTTCACAAAGCCATAAAAGGAGAATAAAACTCCTGAATATGAGGATGATACTCTGTCTTTAATGTTAGTTTAAATTATTACCTGGCTTTCATGCTAATCACAAGCCTTTGTTAAAAACTTCTGATCAGTCAAAATCTCCTGATAACCACTTGAAAACAATGACTAATTCTGCACAACAAGAGCAACACCACAGACAAGTAGATCACTCACATCCCACCACAACACCCATGTACGGCGCATTTCACTGCCGCCTGTTGACCCTGTCACAAAGACGCTTCATATGTAGGCAAAACACCATGCATGTTTAAATCAATCTCAGATAAACACAAGCTACTTCTGCTTTCATAAGAAAGATGAGCGCCTAGTGAGAGTAAAGAAGTGAAGCATCTTTTGTACATTGTTAGAAAGAAAACAAGGGAGGACAAAGTTGTGACTTTAACCTCATTTAGATTTAAAGGTATGTCAACTGAAAGGTAAATTCACATTCTTGAAGAAGACCTGTTCACTTAGTCTAACGTAATCATCAATAGAAATGGTCGGTTAAATGTGAATGATAAGAAATGAGCAGGTTATGATGTCTCACTCATCTTTCAGAGTTCTCAGTTAAATGATTAATATCTTGGTATGGTGACGTTTAATTGAACTGTTTGATGTGTGTTCCTACTGCAAGCAGAATTAGAATCAGTTGCCATGGTAGTGCTACTAACCGTGGAATCAGTGGGTAAATCTGTACATATACTCACTTTCAGGGCTGACCTCACAATGAGGGCATGGTATCAGCTGAAGGATTAAAGAAGTAAAGCTGGAGGTATCCCCACAAGTCAGACGGTGATATAAGAGTCCTTAAAGGACTAAAAAAGTAATAGTCATGTCTCTAAACTAAATTTATACTGTATACCAGCTGCAACTGCAAGTCAAGAAAGATGCTGACAATTTTAATTAAAATTGACAGAATGAAAATAGACATAGCCAATCAGCCTCATCTTTAACACTAAGGATTCAGTTTTTTTAAACGATTGTAAGGATTTTCTGTATATCACTTTGTGCTACAGCTCAATTTATGAAAAGTGCTATACAAATAAAGTCTGATTGATTGATTGATTGAAAATACTAAAGTGCGCATATGTTGTGTATCACACTGTGTTTTTAAGATTTATCACGAGAGGGGTATTTATTCATCTGTTTATTTATTTTTTTGTGGCATTTGCTGCTTTAGAAAAAAAAATCTTCAAAAAACTGTCAATTTGTCATCCCCTTTGTGCAAATGTCATGGTAATAAGCAACAGATATTTAGGCATCTTAGACCGTATCCACCCTCAGTTTGGTGAAAGACACTTTTCTTACTCATGCTGGTTAATGTGACTGGAGAGATTTTTTCCCCTAGCTAAGTCCCGCCAACTGAAAAATTTAGTGTCACTGTGTTTATTGATCAAGTCTCACCCTGAAGTGACTCTAATTTCCATATCTGCCCATTCATGATGCGTCCTTTACCTGTATGGAGACTGATAGGAATCTGTTGCCATAGAAGCGTTTCTGGCTATAAAATTGAGGCTGTATAATTAAATCATTTTAAAATCACCAAAACCATCTTCAACCAATATATTGTGGAGACTTGTTTAAGTCTTTAGTTGGTAACCAAATAATATATGGACTAATATTAAGTATATGGATGGTCATTCACATTAGAGTCCCTTCCTTTACATGTAGTGGTTATGCTCACAATACCATGGTTCGTATTAGCATAACCACCTTATTACCCAATTGAAGTTTCCATAATACACCCACTCCTTCAGCTGGAGTAGAAAATATTATTGAGGTTAATTTAAAGGCCATTTTACTTGAGGACATTTTGTAGTGGGGACACAAGGAAGTCAGATGTGACTTTTAAGTAGTGACAGGTGATTTAAAGGTCCCTCAAGTTTCATGATGGAACCCTTCAGTAGAAGTTTACCAAGGGTTGAGGTGGTTTTAGAACAGGCCTGATAATTCTGTGTTAAAGTTCATTCAAGCAGGTCTTGGTTAAAACTCAATCAGTCCTCTCATTCATTTAGATGAGGTCAGACTGGCAACTCAGGAAGGACACTAAAGACAGGAGGGAAAAAAAGAAAAACCAGGTCAAATTAGCTGCCCAAAACTGCAATATCATCCAGCAAGTCACTGCACTGACAGGCAGTCAGCATGCGAACCAACATTCCTGGTGGATTAGTTTGGATGTGGGGTTTTGGGATTTAGTAACACCCATGATTTCTGGAGAAAGCTCTCAAAGAGTAAGACTCCAGGTTTTGTTAGAGGAGTGACTTACTGTAAATCTGTGGTTCATTTTGGACCAGTTCCAAAACACATCTGAAAACATGAATGTGCGTAGGTCATAATGTTTATTGCACAAATGACAGAAGGTGTGTGAAGAAAAGCAGAGTGGTGTATTGTACTCAAAACTAATTTCTCATGTAACTTCTCCTCTAATACCCACAAGCCAAAGTTGGATTTTTGTTGTAAAATCTAGACAAAACCCAGGGTTTTGTAAATTTCGGCACCGGATCATCTATAGTCACTTGTCCCTCAAAATGTAGTGACAGTTTTATGTCTGCATCACTCCACCTCAGTTGTTGAATATCTTGTTTGTATTTTGAGCCACTTCTCCATATCCCCCTCCCCGGTGTTTGTGTGCAACAGCTGGCCTCAGTGATTCAGGGCTTTTTGGGGGCTTTGTAGGAAAGTGGCAACATCCAACGTTGGTTATACACATGTTGGAAGCCTGATTCATACTTTTCTGTGTTCAGGATCAAGTAAGAGGTGTTTGGTTTCTGAATTTGAGTGTTGTCTGATATTAAAGCATGGACTGCTAAAGTGGAGTCTCTCTTGTTAGGCTGTTCGGAGGCAGGACTCTTAACTGGACAGTCCATCTATATCAAATTCAGAAATTGAAGTATGAAACCACAAACTTCACTAATCAATACAAACAGAGTTCTCGCTGAAAATCCCGCAGCCACAAGCTGTCTGGATAATGACATTACTCTATTGACATAAACTCATTCACTGCCTCAGTCACCCTCTGACCATCTTGTTTCCCTCCACTTGGACATCCCAACCCACTTTCACCATTATGGCACAGCTTCTCTCTGTGCTCTCAGGCTATAATTGGCTCTGTTAGCCTTGTCTGGCTAATGCATTATAAAAGCTCCCTGGCTGGATTTATCCTGCAGCAGACCTTACAGAGTCACACCTCCATGTCGCCACAGCATGTTCTGTGCATGCTGAGAGCTTCAGCAAAAGCACAGCTGACACCCACAGATTGCTGGCATCCTTGGTGAGAGAAAAGAGACTAAGAGGCGGGAGAGAGACTCAGTAAAGGAGTTTTTGTCATAAATCAAGCTATCATCAGGAGGTATCACAGAGACGTTTATAGGTAAGTCTGTGTTGGAAATTCAGATAGATTAGGCCTGTTTTTACAAACAAAGCCTCAGCAACCAATGTGGTTTCTCTTTGTCTGCTCAGCATTGTTAGGCTGGAGGGATTTTCTACAACATGACGCTTCATCTTCATAATGAAACTTATCCCTGACATTTTGCAGACAGCTCTGTGAACTGTATTTCTTTGTTATTTAAATGTTTCTATTCAGTAGGAGCTTTCTTAAAAACCCTCTGAGGTTGAAGGCAATATATATATATATATATATATATATGTGTGTGTGTGTGTGTGTGTGTGTGTGTGTGTGTGTGTGTGTGTGTGTGTGTAAGGGCAGTCTGGTAAATGTCTATCATCTATCATCTATTTTACATTTTTTAGATGAAGTCCTAAATAGCTTTTATGTAACAAACCCAGATGTAAAAAGGTACAAAATTAGGTTTAAATATCTTGGTATTCATGCTGAATTAAATCTTTGACAGCATTTTTGAGGGCACCTCCTAAATGTGTTGTTCCTCACAGGAGCTTTAACTGGTGACCCCAATTATAACATTTTTACTGTCTTTTAATAGTTAGTGGTTTTAATCCCTATTCTTCCTTGGTAAAAGTAAAATTTGTCTTCCCATAGCGTGTCCATTATATCTTCTATGTTCTTGTTTTTATTAACAGGAACAATAACTTCTTTCAATAATATATTTATTGTGTTATATGATTGTAAAGTTTGGATTATATCCCATCTGTTAGAATGGAGGAATCAAGTTTTAGATTGTAGCCAGTCGACAGGGGGAGCTTAAAGAGGTTTGGCTTCACTTTTGGGGAGCTGTGATGTTGTCCATTCATTTGCATAGTCTGGGATTCAGCCTGATTGGTTGGCGCATTTAAATTGCCAGTCAGAAAATAAGCTTTGGTAAAGCTTTCATACAAATAAATGATGAAAAAAAAAACAAAAAACATTTTATCGTTTTACAAACAACATTAAGCAAATACACAGGACACACAAAGAGAAAGGATTTTGAAATGAAATCAGAGGTTAGGCAAAAGATTGTCAAAAACTTTGAGAATAATTGGGGAATGATTTAAGAGTCCAAGAGATTAAAAAAGTTTAGTCTAGTACTCAACAAACTTCATCAGAGCCTGTGTTTGGGACAGTAGACTGCTTTTTCCGAAATTTGGATCATTGCCATTCTTGGCTCTTCTGGTAAAAGGAGTCTCCCAAAAAAAAAAAAAGCACGGTTGACTCCTTTTACCAGAAGAGCCAAGAATGGCAATTATCCAAATTTGGGAAAAAGCAGTCTACTGTCCCAAACACAGGCTCTGGTGAAGTTTGTTGAGTAATAGACTAAACTCTTTGTTCTCTTGAACTCTTAAATCATTTTTCTTTGACATGTCATCATCATGATTCCCCCAAATCATGATGATGACATGGCTTACAGCAACACAGGATATCCTTCTGATAACACAAGGAGCCACTTTTATGTTCACATCACAATAGCAGCATTAAATGACATGTCTTTGTTTGCAGAATGAAGGCTAGATACCTCCTCTCCACCGTGAACAGACTTCCCACCATCAGTGAGATGCAGGAGAGCGACATAGAGGATGCAGACCTGGACTTCTCTTTGCACACCATGGAGGAGTACGTAGACTCTATCAAAGAGCTCTCTCAGCCAGCCCCATACCCCCTCCATGGGCCCCTTCGAGGTCATCGCCGCTGGATGGTACGGACAGGCTCTGTTGTTCCACCTGTGGCTCAACCCGTTTACCTGCTCCCTAAGATGACCTGCGCCCCCTGGATCCCAGTCGAGTTATCAGATGTGTCATTCACTCTAAGAGACCAATCAGTGTGTGGCTCCTCTCTGCGTTCTAACCAGAACCTTCTGGATAAGTTGGTTGCACAATCTCTATTTGCTGGCCTGGTGTAAGCCTGAGAAGGAATTAAACAAGTGAACAAAAGAACTTGATGACTGGGTTACTCACCCCCCGAAGGCAAGCATTGACTTCAGCTTCTTCTGAGATTTATGTCTGAGAGAAATAATCCAGTACAACCTCTTTCTGGGAGCAATATGCATTTCGCTTAAGAGCTTAAAAATATAAAACCAAAGATGAAAAGCGAAAAATGTCAACAGTCAGAACAAACAAATAGAGCAGGCTCAAAGCCTGAGAATACTATGAGGTTGTACTGGCCTCCTCAGTCAGCAGGGGGCCTCCTAACAAACCTAAACAGTGAATTTTCTTTCCGCATATTAATTGCTTGTTTTGAAATTTTAGGATGAATCTCCAAATTTTGTGTGCCAAGGCCAGACTACATGATCTTGAAGTCTTTTGAGACAATTACTATGTTTCAGTTGAGGCTGCAGATTCATGCCATGACTGGCCTGACAGACATGACTGATGAAACAGCCAGAACAATTATATGCACAATGTATTTGAGCCATGGTTATAGCTTAGTTTAGCGGTATAACTGAACCACTGTCCTTGTCCAAGCAATGACTCAGCATGTTAGTGCGATAACAATATATACAAATTAGTGTTATTTCAGCGGAAGTAACGTGTTACCATGTATTTCAAAAGTTTAGTTTCATTTGGACTTGTGCAATAAATAGATATTATGGATATGTAAATACACTGAGTGGTACCCTTCAGCAACCAGAAAGGCAATCTTACTGGGTTGCTGCAGCGTGTGCAATGTTTCGACAACCCAATTTTCTTTTTGCAATCTTATATTACTGTCCCTTGATGACACATTATTAAGGCATGGGGTACTGTTGCAAGACCTTGATAAACTTTACCTGTATTATGTAGTTTCATTTCATAGCACGTAATTCATCATTCTTTTTTTTGTGTACACATGCAACTTCTGCATGTGCAGAGCTCCAGTGGGGGATTGTGAGGCGTTGCATACATGTCCTTGATTGTTGTTATCTACGACATGCTGCATGAGAGAAAACAATCAATCTTCAGGGCTTTTGCACACATACGCTCCGTGTTTTTCATCTGAAATCATGGCTAATTTTAAAAGAAATACTATCTCATGCTGTATTAATCTCATTTGCTTACTCACTCTGAACATGTCATTTGTCATAGATTTTTTTTCCAAACAGATTTTATGCATGTTTCGTGTCTATCCCATGCGCTCTTCCAGTGTGTAGTGAGTGGTTTCTAAATATGGACCATAATAGTGTTGTCTGAGATGCAGATGCTTATGCACACTTTTCCAGCTGCCCGATTTAAATTAATTGCATGTGTGTGCCTGTGCTACAAACGTTCTCCTAGCCATTATTCAATATCAATTACTTCATAGAAATTGCTGCTTTTTCAATGTGTGGTTCCAGTACAACAAAAAGTAATCAAACTAGATCACTGACATTCTGAACATACTTGTATGCGATCAGGATAGTTTAATCTTACTGCTCCTTCATCTGCAGGAGAACTCATCTTTCTCTTGTCTTGGTTTTAGGGGATGATGGACACAGTGTTTTTTTTTTATTTTTATAATGAGCGAAAGATCTACAAAATTATCCACACAAGTTTTCCAATATGTAGGAAAGATATGCATAAGGCTAACAGTGTAAGATTTCTGTGAACATATCTAAAACAGCATTGAGTGTGCAAAGACCTTACATCTGCTAAATCAGGCTATGATCATACTTACAATGTGTGATCCAGTCTTGGTTAAAAGCACCTAAAAAGAACCATGATTTAAAGTACATCTAAGTTGATAAATGTCTTCTCAAGTTTGGCTGGTAAAGCGTACATCCTCAACTACTAGATTCAAGTCCTCATTCAGGGAATACAGATTAGATTTGAAGCAAGATCTTCTTAGTTTGTCCTCATTTCTTGCCTGATAACAGCTGTCTCTGTCAAATATAAGAAAAAAAAAAGAGAAAATATGATATTTTCTCTAGTCTTTCAGCTACCAAAGTTTTCTTTGTTGGAAATCTTAGAGCACATTGAGTATTGTTAAAAAGTATGCCGTTAAAAATCATGGCTAACCTTTCTGAATGACACCAGGCAGTGAAAGACTTGCAAGACCTCCACAATGCAGGTCCAATTGTCTACAGTCCAGTTAGCAACTTCAGAAGAAAGTGTGCCCCTCCAGAAATATTGTATGTCTATAATTCATTTATTTATTTTCCTTTGGTGTACTAAATCCTTAGAGTAGCCCTTGTTCACGTATTTCTGGTGAATCTCAGTTACACAATAAAACATATTTCACACTAACTCTTCACTCTAGCTTCCCTGAGAGGTATGAGCGCCCTATGGTGCAGACATGTGAAAAGTCAAGCTTGGTCAGGCTTGTCCTAAAAAGAAGAGGAAAACAACTTTTAAATATTTGTTGAATGGAGGTCAGAAAAATGATTCCTGAAGCATAGTGGGAATTTGAGAAATTTAAACACTTATTGGCTGCTGTAAAACAGCTTTGAGGGGATTTATGGCTCAAGTTTAAATGTTTGATCTAAAACAGATTGTTTACTGAACTTGCATGCAGATATCTCTTTATAGAGCCAAATAAATTGATGTCAGATTTCTGCTCATGGGAACCAAGATGTCACGGCAGCATATTTGCTTTTGCCTGCTTTTATTCTCTGAATGGACTTGTTCAGTAGGCTGAAAAAAGCAGAACAGTCAAAGCAAGTCTGACCCTGCAGAGTCTATGTATTTTTCTGTATGTATAGAATTATTTTCTTAAATAAAGTGAAAATACAAAATCTCTTTGTGTCTTGAGTCTTTATTGTTAGAAGAAAAGTTGCATTTAATGACTTTTTCTTCCAGATTTTGGATATATGAAGCTTTACAGCATATAACTGTGTATCACACAGACTCCAACACTGCATCTCAGAGCTATTTGGTACAGTCTTTGAACATAACCGTCCATTGACCATGTCACTGAAACAACAAGTCAGTGTTGGCATTTGATTTGAAGAACTCATTCTTTTGAAAGTCTTGTTCTTAGTTTTCCACATCCAGCCTCAAAAACATGAGGCCAGCACTATTTGCTATAGTTTATCGCCATCCCAGGCCAAACTCAGAATTTTTGTCAGAATTCTCTGAGTTCCAATCTGATTTAGTCCTTAATGTGGACAAGGTAATTGTTGTAGGAGACTTTGATAAAATGTAAGACATGATGAAGGGAGATCATGGATGGCGGTGGTGAGGTTATATGTTGTTGAATTAATGATTTAAGGCAGTGGTTCTCAAGTCCAGTTCTCGAGGCCCACTGTCCTGCATGCACACCTGATTCAAATGATTAGCTCGTTATCACGCTCTGTAATGACTTAATAACGAGCTGACCATTTGAATCAGGTGTGTTGGAGCAGGGAAACATCCAAAACATGCAGGACAGTGGGCCTCGAGGGCTGGACTTAAGAACCACTGATTTAAGGCGTAGATGTTCTTGGGATTGATTGCTCCTGATGCTGTATTCCTGGACCAGATGGAAGGATGGGACAAGTGTGTTATTCTAAAAAATATGTTGTAAATGTGTGATTTCTCTATCTGGCCATGAGTAGAAGTAGATTTTTTTTGCAACAAATGAAATCAGGGTTGAATCTGGGTTTGAACCCACACATTAGGTGTGAGTTTAAATGGTTTCAGAGTGGACTAAGTAATTGTCAGAGTCGCTGATATTGTCATGGTTTTGGGTTTTAACTGACTGAGAAAAGGTAAACCAGAAATAATGATTTTTTATTTTATTTTTTTTTACAAAATGTGTGTTCAGGAACATGTCATGTTTTGTCTGAGAGTGAATCCAAATGAATATGTATTGAAGGTGATTTGCCAAAAAGTAATAATGAGAGTTTGGTGCAGCCAGTCCGCCCTGCACTTTGGGTCTTTGTAAGATTGTGAGTTTGATTCTTGGTGTCTGGTGTTTCCAGTAAAATTTACTGACGATGGAATCTTAAGATCTGAACCAGGAGAGGGTGGGTTGGGTGTGGATCATGGTGAAGAGATCATTAATTTATTGGTAAGGCTGTCATTTTAACTGATGCAATTTTAACACATGACTCATGATAATTAAGGGTTATTACAGGAAGTATCATTGATTCATTTTCCTCGAATAATGATTGAGTTACTATGACGTTATGTAATGAGCATGAGCTTGATACATCATTTTACATATTCACTGTGACCATTACTTCTCATTTCATATGTGAACAAATAGCTTAACATACCAGGATTTTTACTATGATACATAGAAACAGCCTTTCATGCTAAAATTCATAGTTATTCCTAAGGTCTGACTGTATTTTATGTGCTCATATATAGTGCCTTGGACCCAGAACACTCCCCTACAGGTTTGCCTAGCAGTGTTTGCTTTTAATGTGCTTTTTACTTTTAATTTCTAATCGATTAACTTCAAGATCTTGAACCCAGGGTCCTTTCATTGAGCCTTGACCACTTTGCACGGTGTCAACAGGCAGAGCTGAGATGTGCATTAAGTCCTCCTCTGTGGATGAATTTGATATGATGTATTTGACCAGGACCTAGACAGGAAAAATTTGACCCTTCCCTTTCGACAGAAGTGATGGTGACAAGGAAAATTTCCCTTTAACAGTCAGGCAAACCTTGAGCAGGACCCAACTCATGTTGGACAGTTGCCTGCTGCTGCGGAGTTGGGGGAAACAGAGAGAGAGAGGCAGCTCAGATGAACCAGTTAGGAGAGCCAATAATTCTTACATAAGAATTTTAGTAAATCTTGTACATAAACTAATTGCATTTTTGCTCATTCGTCAGAGATTTAAGCCATTTACTTTTGTTTTCTAGGATTATGACAACATACAGTATGTTTACCTTGTGATTTAACACTTTGAATACATGTAGTATGGACACCAAACTTCATAACTTTGGTGTGCATGATACCACCCCTTGAGGAATAATAGATTATTTCAATCTGAGAGCAGCAAAATAGCATCAACTGATTATCAGTTCAAATATACAGTAAAACACTTACATATATAAGGTCATATCTTTAAAGACATTTGCTAAGATAAAAGATATTTGTTTATAAAACAGGAAATGACTCAAGCCTTCAAAACAACCCTGTTCTTTAACATGTAAACATCCTTTTTTTTTTTTTTCTCCTCTTCATTGTGCTTTTAGTTTCTTTTTCCCTGAAGTACTGTGACTGAATGGAAAGTGTCTCCAGCTGGGTCTTGGCAGGAACTGCTTGAGTACGTCTTACAAACATGTGGTCTGGGGGAGAGAGGGAGAGAAGCAATACCCCTGGAGACGCTTCCACAGAACAAGCCTGAAAGTCGTAATGTGGCTGACCCTAAAATGCTCCCACACATTGTAACACTGTATACGTCAAACCCACAGAAATAAATGTATTCCTCAGAAAGATGATGGTCTTGCAAAACCGTGAAAGTGCAACATGATACTCTAGACACCTGACTCATTTGAGTTTGCGGTCTGTGAGAGAGATAAGAAAGCCATAACTTAAAGTGCTGCTTCAGCAATATGTCTGAAGACAACATTTCTTTTCCTTTTAATTAAATCCACAATAACGTTGATGCAGATATCGTCTTTCCTCCAAAACTCATTAAAGCTGAAAAGGAGAGAGTTATTGTACACATTGTAATAAGATGCGGTGCTGCATGTCAGAGGAGTGATATAAAACAGATTTTCTGTAGTTGATTCAAAGTTTGGTTGTAAAAAGTCAAAGACCCATGAGTTTTGTAAACATTCTGAAGTGTGGCGTTAAATATGAAATACAGCTGCAGAGTGCAGTGAAGCAATCTGAGCTCAGTATCAAAAGACACAGCATGGTCTCAGTCTATAAGGTAATAAGATAAAAGATGCTTTTCAAGAATACAATAACACAGTATAGAGATAAAACTGAGTTAAAGCTGCAGGGTGTCAGCCTCAGACACAGACATGCACAGGAGTCACAGAAGTAAAACCTAGGCGTCAGTGTGTATGTAGTCCTCATAGTGAAACAGAAAGAGCAAGTTTGTTGACTTAACTGAACTTGCTGCACCTCATCCAAGCATGAATGACAAATGATTTCTCTGCAGATCCAACTACTTGCAAAGTTGCGTCACTTTTGGCTGCTGCCGGGCAATTGAGCATGCCAAAACCCAAAGACTGTTGATAAAAAGTTGACACATCTAAAGGTTTGAGAAGTGACGCCATAAATGGAGCTCTTTAAAACAATTAAGTTTGCAGTGACGAGAAAACTCCAGTAGTTATAAAGAATTAATTGGAACAAGCCTAAAAAATACATGACTGTCCTGACTTAGGTTTTTAATCTCTTCTTACTTTTTAATGAGTGAATGAAAAGCAGAAAACCTTCTGTATTGAAAGGTGAAGCCAATGCAGATGGGCAAGAACCAGCAGTTCTGACAGTTTTCATGAAAGCAACCCAAAAATTGAGGTATCCTCATTTTAGTGCCTGTATCAGAGGCACATTTATTTACATTGTAGAGTAACAGGAATGATTATGACATACATCGTCCCCACCAGGAGGCATACAAAAGGGCTACCCAACAAAATCTTACAATAGAATTATAAAACAAGAGAAAAATAGATATGGATAACAAAAAACAAAGGAAAATTCACCTTATCCAGATTTTAAATGAACACCATATCACAGGAAAAGAAATAAATCAGTGCACTGTATCCACTGAGTTAAGATGGGAAGACTCTTCTCCTTCAGTTGAATATAATGAGACAGCATGCAGGTGATCAGAGATGAAAAAGCAGCTGCATTTCTGCAAGGATGAAAGAGTTCCCTCTCGCCCTCTACTACCCTAAAAATAGCAGTCAGATGGTTAGGATTAATAGTTTCCCCTCTTCGCTGAGAGATAGACATGACTAATACGAAAGCCTATCTTTACGGGTTATTTTTACATGTTGACGGCAAAGAACAACAACAAAAAAAAAGGTTTCCATGGCTCACATGTTAATTTGTAACACTTTAAGGGTTACATTCAATTTGAACTTATTTCATATGAATGCATTTAAAAGTTTATGCATAATTAGAGGTGTAACCTACGGGTGTGTGTTGTTTAGCTGTGGTGATTATGGTAGTCTAGTTTTTGGTCTTTTGTATTTGCAGGTAAGGTTTGACGTCTTTGTTAGATTAGGAGGAGGTGTTGGGAGCAACAGTTTCCTGCCTGGCTGGCCAAGCACCTTCCCACCTTTTGTTGATTCTGACCCGGGTCTTCAGTCCTTTTGGGTTCTTGTGTTTTTCTTTTTGTTTTTAAACATTTGAGTGTTTAATCTCCTTAAACAAAGCTTGGGGTTGGAATATTTTCCCAACGTGTGGCAACCCTGTTTACACGGGTGGACTAACTGCCCAAGCACAATAACAAAGCAAAAAGAGTGAGTGGGGTTAAAGTTGCACAATATAGAATAGAAGTTTATATTTTGCACCTTATAATGTTACTGCAACACTGAGCAATGAATGCTTACACAAGTTCTTCTACATATCCTGTAGTCTGTTGGAAATTCTCCAATTCTTCGTTGAAGGGCAACTGGATTTGTTTGAGGTTCTTGAAGACCTACCTCCTCTATTAAAAGGCTTCTTCAGTTCAAACGTGACTAGGGTCAAAGTTGTTGACTGACTTGCTGTATGCTGATGCGTGGGATGCATACAGAGTCACACCCTTCCCCCCACTTGGGAAGTTCGACCACACCCACAGCCCCAATACA